CTAAGCAGGGGCTTTAAAATTAAATAATATTTTTAATATTCCTAGTTTTTTTAGTTTAGCACCTAATACTAAAAATTATAAACTTTAAAGGCCGCCTTTTTTTACTTATTAAGCTTGTTTTAGTTTCCTGCGTAAGTTATTCTTATTTTTAACCTTGCTTATACCTATTTTAAAATAGCCTTTAATAATCTAGCTATTTATAATTATTAATACTTAGCTTTTACTAGTTATAAAAAAAAAAGGTAAATATTAAATAGGCTAGTAAGTTTTTTAGTAATAATAGTAATTATAACACAGGTAAAAACTAATAGTAATAAGGGTTTATAAATAAAAACTAGTAGTAATTAATAGGTTAGCTTTAAATAGCTATACTTTAGTTATTAAATTATATAAAAAAATATAAAAAAAATATAAAAAAAGACCTGTAAAGGCCTTTATTATATATTATATAAATTTTAAGCTTACTAGTAGTATTATAATTAAATAATTTATTTTTATCTAGCTTTAAATAAAAATCCGGGCGTAATAATAAATTAAAGTACTTAAAGCTATTTAAATAATAATTTTTTAGTTAAAATATAAGTAAATAAGTCCCTATATATTTTAAAATAATTTATAACTAATGGACTTTTCCTAGTATTAATATTAAATTAATATATAAAAACACGTGAATAAACGCGTGGTGTTTTTAAATACCTAATTTTTACCTTTATATTATTATAAACTTTAGTGCCTTATATTTTAATAAATATAAAAGCTATTTAGCTTTAAAATATAAAATTTAAATTTATAAAAAAAAGTAATTTTTTTAGTGCCTAAATTAGCTTAATTAAGGCCTAGCTTACTATAATATTTGCCTTTAAAGTTATTTAAGCACTTTTTCTTAACTACTTTAAATATTAACGCCTGTTTTTTTTAATCTTACTATTAATTTAGCACTAGTAGGCCTTAGGCACTTATTTTTTAAACTTAGTTATAATAATACTTAAAAAAAGGAAGGGATAATACTATTTAATATTAGCTATTATTTAGTTTAATAAATAAACTATTTAATAAATTACTAAAAAAAGTGGTATAACTACTAGCTTAAAAAAAGAATTAAAAAAAGGCTTTATAAGTGTTTTAATTTTTATAAAATTTTTTAGCTTTTTATAAATATTAATAATTTTATTTTTATTAAAAATTTATAAAGTTTCTTGTTTCTTATACTAGCTAATTTTTTTTAAAATAATATTAAAATTAAAATTACCTAGTACTAGGCTATACTTCTTTTACCCTTTATAATAATTTTATAGGTAAAAGCCTTAGTTTGAATATAAGTAATATTATTAAAAAAGTAAACTTTATTAAATTTTATTTTAAATTAACTTAAAAAAGTAGTTATTTTTATAATTATTCCGCGGAGCTTAGTAATTTTATATATTTATTATTAACCTTTACTTTAATTTTTTATTTTTAACTATTATTTATATTTATTTAGCAAAGTATTTTTTTTAATGCCAGCACGGTTATAATAATAGCTAATTTACTTTAAGCTTATACTATACTTGTTATATTTAATTTTTTTTACTAGTAAATACATGATATATTATTTAAATACCTTATAATATTCTTAACTAATATATTAATTAAAATACTTAATATTTATTTTAGGCAAGAGCGCCCATGTGCCTTATTTTATTATATTTAATTTATTATAAATAGGCTTGCACTTACCTGTATTTAAAACCTAGTATTTTACTATACTTAATATTAATAAAACTAGTAATACCTTAACTAGGATTTTTTTAAAAAGCTAACGCACTTAAAGTAATAGTAACTACTAATACTAAAGCCTTTTTTTAAATTAATATATTTAGGTATTAAAAATAGTAAAGCCCTAAAATAAAGTAATAAAGGTTAAAGGCTTATTACCCTTATTAAAAGGTAAGTTATATTTTTATTATTTTTATACTTTAAAATTTAATGCTTGTACTAACTTTTTTATTTTTTATATATAAAAAATTATAATTAAAAAAAATTATAGTTTTTAAAAAACTCCCGCGGGCTTTATACTATAATAAAGTTAGTAATTAAAAGTTACTAGGCCTAACTAGCCTAATAAATAAATTATATAATATAAAAATAAATAATTATATAAATTAAAAAATAAATAATTATTATGCTTGCGGCTAAATATACTTAATTAAATTTTATTTACTAAAGGTTACTAGGGTTAAGTATTACTATTCACGCTAACCTTATATAGTATAAAAAAAAAAAACTAAAAAAATTCCCGCGTGATTTTATAAAGGCACTACTATAACTTTATTAAATATAATAATAGCTTTAACCTTAAAAAAAACTAAAAAAGTTTTTATATAATTTTATAAAAATACTATTATAGCTTTATTAAATATAGTAATAGCTTTAATTTTAAAAAAAATTAGGAAAATTTTTACATAATTTTATAAAGGCACTACCATAGCTTTATTAAATATAGTAATAATTTTAATTTTAAAAAAAACTAAAAAAAATACTAGAATCTAAACCTAGTTATTATAATTAAAATAAAATAAATAATAGTAAAAAAGGCTAAAATAAGTAATATTTTTTTTTATATTTTTATGCTTGTAAAGTATAAATTAACTAGGTATTAATTAAAACACAAGTGCCTTTATAAATTAGCCCTAGTATACTTTTTTTATTATAGCCTTTTTTTACGTGATTTTATAAAGGCACTACTATAGCTTTATTAAATATAGTAATAGCTTTAACCTTAATAACTTTTTAATTAGCTAGTATCTCTTTTATTAAATAGCTAGTTATAAACTTTACAGGGTATTTTAATAAATATAATAAATTATTATAGCTTTACTAAATATAGTAATAGCTTTAACCTTAATAGCTTTTTAATTAGCTAGTATTTTTTTTACTAAATAGCTAGTTATAAACCTTGCAGGGTATTTTAATAAATATAGTAAATTATTATAGCTTTACTAAATATAGTAATAGCTTTAATTTTAATAACTTTTTAATTAACTAGTATCCCTTTTATTAAATAACTAGTTATAAACCTTACAAGGTATCCTAGTAAATATAATAATAGATAACTAGCTTTATCTAGCCCTAGTGGTCCTAGTAGCTTAAATAATATTAAAATATATAACACGCTAATAAAAAATTTTAATAAATATAATAATAGGTAACTAGCTTTATCTAGCCCTGGTAATTTTAAAGGCTTAAATAATATTAAAATATATAGCGCGCTAATAAAAAATTTTAATAAATATAATAATAAGTAACCGGCTTTATTTAACCCTGGCTTAAATAATATTAAACTATATTTAATTTTAAAGGCTTAAATAATATTAAACTATAGATTATGCTAAGTAATTACCTAGCAAGTAATTTATAAATAGTCTTATTTTTTTTAATTTTGCGCAATGCCTATAAAGCATGTATATATATAATATTTAATACCCTAGTATTATTAAAAAAATAGCTAATACCCTTATAAGTAATATTAAGTTTTAATTATAATATTTTTTACTATATTTATATTTTTATAATATATATATATTAGGCCGGCCTGTACAGCCTATAAGTAAAAATATATTTTAAAATCTTATTTTAAATTTAATTTTTATACTACTTTTATAGTATAGCTATTATTATTATAATTTACTTTAATATTAATTTTACTAGCTTATTAAAATAATATTAAAGTATAAAACTTTATACTTGCTTAATAACCTTAAAAAAATATATAATTATTATGGTAATTATATTTAATTATTATACTTAACTATTATGCTTAGCTATTATACTTAGCTATTATTTTTTTATTTTTAATAAGCCTAGTTTATATTTTTTTTAAAAGCTTAATAATTATAAAACTAGTACTAAAAATTTTTTAATATATATTATTATTATTACAAGCCCGTGTTTTACTTATTATTTACTATATAAGTTAATATTTTATAAATTTACTTAAAAAAATGCCCCGGGGTATTACTACCTTATAAAAAAAAATTATTATATAATTAATTAATAAAAATTAAAATACTAAAATCTTAGGGCGCGCCCGGGGCTAGGGTATAATTATAAAGTAAAAATATAATATAAAAGTTAAGTAATAATAACTATTATTATAAAGCCTTTATTACTAGGTACAAGCTAGGGTTTTTTTTATTTACTTATTAATTTTATAGTTTTTTTAGGTATGCTAGTTTAAAATTACTTTAATTATTTTATAATATATTTTATTTTAGGGTTTATTTTATTTTAGGCCTAGTAGGCACTAAAGGCTTATATTAATTTAAGTAGCTTTAATTATTATTAATAGCTTATATAAAATATACTATATAACTTATAATTAGTAATAAATAAGTTATTTAAGGCACGTGTTTAATATTAGTAAGTATTTTATAAAGGTTATAAAAATAAAAAATAAAGTTTAAAATAGTTAATTAGGTTTAAATAACAATATTCTTATAATAAATAAATAAATTTAATTAAATTAAGTAAATAATAATTTTTTTATTTTTAGCGCTTAATTTTTAAGGTTTATTATTTATAAAATAAATTTATTATTTTTTTATATAGCTATTTTATTAAAAAAGAACTAGACTATAAATAATAAGATTTAAAAAAAATTATTAATTTAATATTTACTAGCCTTAAATAGCTTTAAACCCAAAGTAATATTATAAAAATAATAACTTTATTTTTATTTTTATTACTTAAAAAAATATTTATTATGGTGTTATTCTTATTTAGTTATATAAAAAAAAAGTTTAATATATTTTTAATAAATAATATAGGTTAGCTTTATAATAACTTTAAAATTTAGGCTTTAATTTTATAAGGGCTTAGTATAGATTTATTACCACGTGACTAGTAATAGCATTATAAAATACGTACTTTACCTAGTTAGGCCATTTTAACGGAGTCCTCACTATCGGCCGCCGTATGCAGGCCACTCTTCAGGTCATTCTGCAGGCGATGCCATAATCGACATGAGCCACATCCCCGGACCCTCATACCATCACGATTCCCCACCCTGGGCAACAACAACAACAACAACAGCCTCATCGTCGTCAGACGTCGATATTGATATCCCCTCCCCGGCTGCTATCGCCATCTCCAGAATCAAGGACAAGAACAGTGAGCAGCATTCTCATCGATATCCTACGGTATAGATACTAACAAGCCTTGTAGCAACAGCTAAACCCCACTCTCCATCTCCATCTCCAGCCCACGAAAAGCCAGCACAGGCACCTGCACCGCAGCCCGCAGAAAAGCAAGCCAAAGCCAAAGCCAAAGCTCAAGACCAAGACCAAGACCAAGACCAAAGCCAAGCAAAGGCCAGTGTTCTCCACCCTACTGGTGTTTTAGCTGCTGCGGTGGCGGGGCATTCTTTTTTTCTGCTGAGGCTCTTTATTCTTGCGAGTGTGGTGAATTTGCTATACCGGGATACACAAAAGGCATAGCATGCAAACCCTACCACCTCGTGCTGAGGGGTCTTGTGGCAGAGAAGAATGTAAGGGTACTGGAGTGGTTGCTTTTGTTATCCGCTATTGTGCCGTACAGTTGTTGTCGGTTTCCCAAGGCTTCTTCTCGTGGCGGTTGTGATTCTATGCAGGAGATTTCGAAGCTCCAGGTGCAGTGCAAGTGGATGAAAGGCTATTCGAAGGTCAAAGTCGCTCTACTTGACGAGTTAGGACGATGCGTTGAATTTGAATTACAATATTGAATCAGTTGTCCTTTCCGCACTTCCGACTCTACTTCTCGGCCTGATGCTGGTATAGTAGGGAACACGGAGTGGGGTAGGGTTCTGAGTGCTGTGCCCTAACTCCCTGGGTACGCCGAACATTGATGGAACAGTATTTAGAGCCCAGGTTGCTTAAACAATAGCTAGGAATAGTATGTTCTGCTCTGGCCTTGCTAGGTGATTTAACCCGGGCTATTGGGGAAGAGGTACATTGATTGCGATGCGCTATTCATCTTTCATTTACTTCATAGTTCGAGACAACTTACTAGAAACGAAGTACAGAAAGGATGGCATTTTTTACCTACTGTCCGATAATCAGACGGCAGAGCAGGATCTATCTCCCCTCAAACACACTCCACCCTTCTCACTTCCCACAGCCAAAGGAAGAGAACACACTATGCAAACTTCTTCCTCTCCTCACTCCACCCAGGCCTCAACCCATCCACATCCAAGCTCCCAACATCCAACGAACTCCTAACCACATAATTAACCCTCCAATCCACCGCCAGTCTCGCCCCAGCCTCCGTCTGCGCCCAAACCGCCACCCCGATCGTATTCTCCCCAGCGTAATCCAAGATCCCAGGCGGAACAGGATACACGACCTGGTTCCCAACGTACGGATTATACCGGCCATACTGGTATCCGTTGACGAACAGCTGGGCGCGGAAGGCAGACGTGTTCCCTGACGACGTGCTGCTCGCGTCTGGTGTCGAGAAGACGAATGAGATTGAGACGTCGACGCCGTCGGGGATCGAGAGGGGCGGGATGACAGTGCGGAAGAATTTGACTGTTGCGCCGGTGAAGGAGAGCGAGCTTCCGGTTCCGTTGACGGGCGTCCACGCGCTATCGTCGAAGCCCGGGAGGTGCCAGCCGACGCGCTCGGCGTAGAGGCCGTCTTCGTTGTAGACGCCTCGGACGGGGTCGAGATCTGACTCTCCGCCTGCGGCGCCGGCGATGCGCCAGTGTGTGAACTCGGGTGTGTCGTCACTGTCGGCAAGTAAACGAGCCTCGAGGATTCCCCTCGGGTTGAGAACGCCCGTTGTCTGGTCGTGGCCTGTGTCGTCGTGGACGACTAGGAGGACGTTGGGCGTGCCGTCTGTGGTTGTCGCGTTGGCTGGGAAGGTGAGCGTGCCGTTTGCTTGTTGGATCGAGGCATCGCCGAGGTGGGAGCCGATGAAGTGGCCGTTCAGCCAGGCGGACCAGCCACTGCAAAGCAGATACATTAGTTCTGATTGTAGTTAGAGCCAAGGAAGGGTTGAGCGTACAATGCGGCTCCGCCCTGAATGTTGAGGAAGACGCCTGAGGCGGTGCTGTTGAAGTAGCCGCGCCAGAGGCGCACGCCGTTGTGGAATCCTAGGGTGAATTAGATCCTGTCACTGGAAAATGCTTCTAAACGCACCGTATTCATCGGCATAAAGAACGGGCAGTGTAGCTGGCTTGTTCGGGTTCGGGGTCGTCATATGATCCGCATCTGCCCTGGTCAATATCTCTCTCGTGTGTTGTATCGGAAAACCTACCAACCCATGCCGCGCCTGAGTCGTCGTAGGTCGGCAATCGCTCCGGCAGGCTGTCGCTGACTTTCCATCCGCTCAAGTCCGGCAGCTCAACAGATGGGGGCTCGGCAATGGTGGCTTTGAGACTGCCATATTGAGTCCTTGTCACCTTTACGGCCTCTCCATTCCATGTAACCTCCTTCACCTTTTCGGGCGCAAAGACCTCCAGTGTGGTTTCGCCCTCGGAGTCGCCTCGTAGTGCCAATTTGGACCCTGATAGCCTGGCCGATCGGACGAGGTAGGGGCCACTGACAAGAACTATTGCCGGTTAGTATATTCCCGCTAATGCATGAATTAGAGAGCCTTACCACTTTCACCCTCAGGGACAAGCGGGTCGTCTGTCAGTGCGGGAGCCCAGAAATCATACGCAGTCTGTCTGTCAAGCAGAATCACTCGCACGCCGTTGTCGATCTCTAGGACACTGAGGCCTTGTCCCTGAGTGAACCCAACAGTCAAGGACTCATCATCGCGATGAAACTGTACAGAAGAGCATCCTGAACATGTCGCGACTGATCCGTATTTCGCGCCCTTGATAGCAAATTCGCCTGATTCGCCCGTAGGCACCCAGAGAACAAGAATCGGTTTGCCGTCAAAGACCTCGTAAGTCAGAACCTCAGCTGTAGAGTATAGAAGTGTCTCAGGGCCAATGCTGAAGTCGGTAACGATGATCTTGGATTGATGGCCATTAAGTCGGATGGTGCTTCCATGCCTTGGGATGGTAAGAGCTCCTTCAGAGGTGTCGACGTGCAGCTTGAACGACTCGTCCGTGCCAACTGTAGTGTCCAGATGGTTGGTCACGTAGAAGGCAGCGTTGGTGTCTGGGTTTCGCAACTCCGTGGCACTGACTGCTTCGTTGTCGGTGTACTGCGTGCCGTTCCCGAGGCGATCGGTCTTGGTCAGGTCCGTTGCGCTTCGGGTGAACAGTCCAATCAGTTTGGTCTCATGATACTTGGACCCTATCGATCGATCTTCTGAGATTGGTGCGGAATAGTCGTAGCTGCTTGCCGTGACTGGTGCTGCGAGGCCGCCCCAGTTCGTTCCTCCAAACATCATGTATAAGCTCATCGCGGTTACTCGCTGACCGATGTTCCACCTGTAGAATAGATTGGCGAAATCGGCACCGGTGTCCTCAGTGCAGCCGCCTTCGGGGCCGTCCCACGGGTTGTAAGATCCACCTTGGAACTCGGGCATGAAAAATGGCATCGTCGGTTGGACTTCCTGGAAATAGTCGTAGTAGTCGAGCACCTTGTAGGGCACATATTCTCCGTTCGTACCAGTGCATACACTAACATCGCAGCTCCAGCACTGTCCAATTAGATGAGTCTAGTAATGTAGAAACTGGGCACTCACAGAAGGGTACGAGTCCAAGCCCACAGTGTCGAGGTTACCCCCAGCATCCGACCAGTCGCTTCCCCAGGATTTGGTCCTCATATTAGGGTCGTTCCCGGTCAATGGAACGGTGATACCGTTCGCACGGGCCGATTCTTGCAGAAGTTCCATATAAGCAATAGCCGTCTCATTAGGGTTCCGGTCATAGGGGTCCCCAATCCACTGCTGCCCGTATTCGTTCTCGATCTGGTAGCAGAGGGTATAATGCCCGTCGGTAACCTGATACCTGCTCGTAATCTCGGAAACCTCAGCAAAGTAAGGCCCCCACGCCTCCGTATATCTAGGGTCATCGTTTCGCGTCGACCCGTATGCACCAGTCGTAAGCCAAAGCGGGTAGCCGCCGGCACTGGCTTCGGCGTTGACATAGGGCCCCGGGCGCACAATGATGTACATTCCAAGCTCCTTCGCTAGGTCGTATATGGGCGTGATATCACGGGCACCGGTCGAGAAGTCGACGGTCTGGTTGTTGGGTGCATGGTAGGCCCAGCTAGAGTAGAACGCGAAACCGGTGAACCCAATCGCCTTGATTTTCTCTAAGATGTCGCGCCATAGTGCCGGCACTGGAATACGCCAGTAGTGGAATTCTCCCGAGAACAGGAAGATCCGCTGGCCGTTGACGTAGAAGCTGTAGTGGTCCCATTGCACGACTTTGCTCAATCCATTGTCATGTAGAGGCCATTCCGAAAGGGAATCGTTCTGGGCAGCCGTCAGAGTCTGCAAGCTCCCCAAAAGAAAAAGAAGCAATTGGAAGGCCCTGGCCATGGTGGAATCGGGCGACAGAGCGTGGGCTGATTCCCGTGCATCACGTCTGGTTGGAAATCGGCCAATTTATGTTTTCAGATTTGATGAAGCGGGTTGAGCATCGGTTAAACCGGCCAAGCCTCCGCATCTTCGAATACAAAGACTATCGTCAGTTCCGATGGCTAAGTGGAGAGGACTATGAGGTCAGGTCATCTCACTGTGGCCTGGTCATGGTGGATCAAAGCATAAACGTGGGGACAATGTAGATTTTCCTCCATTCATCTGGCAGGTCGGCATGCTTTCCCCCGTCGGCCGGGATATGAACAGCAGGGGTGTATATCAATTATGGAGACCGGGCAAATTGGGAGATTGTCCGATGGAGAGAATGAGGGGTTTGCGGAGAGGAGCGCGGGCGTCACATGATTCGTCCTCCAGAGTGACGTACTACGAAATTGTTCTCTTGGATGGAAAAGAAGAAAAAGTAATCAGAACCTGCCCTGTGATTCCCGACCCCTCTATTGATAAGATACATCCTTTTATCGTCTGAAAGACCGCCCAGTCTTGAAGAGACTCCGTCAAACACCCATATAAATATATACAGAACAGAAACACCGGCAAAAAAACAGAGTGATACGCTTTTGTACAGGATTAGAAAGGCATGAAGACACGTTAACGTTAGATCATGCTGCCGTAGGCCTTGCGCGCCATTGCGCGACGGGCCGACGAGAACCCAACTCGTGGGTTTCCAAGCATACCCCTCGAGCTCGTAGACTTCATGAGGGAGTAGGTTGGGATGGCTACCGTTGAGATTGGGCCATATGAATATGGATAGAGGTGGATAAAGATAAGCCAATCGGAGCTCGCAAGCTTACCAGGCCCCTACACCTGGCGCTCAAAATTCATGACTGCCTGGACGAGCCAAGCTTAGTTCGGGGTGCCGTTCGAGTTGCCCAAAACTCCAAAAGGGTTGGAGGTCTTGACCTCAGCGGAACCACCGGCGCTTTGTGTCTCCTCTTTGCTGGCTCTCTTGGCGCTCTTTCCGGCGGGGACGGTAGAGAATCCCTGTTGAGACTCGGCTTGGCTCTCAGCTGCGCGCGCCTTCTTGGCAGCGCTTGAGCGGGTTCGAATGGGGGAGTTCTCGGCGGTATCCTGTACGTGGTGTCGGTTTGAGCGAGCCTTGGTAGCCGCCTCGTCCTCGGTAGTCTCGCTGGTCTCTCCGCTCATCTCCGCGGCTTTCTGGATTTCACGTTGCACTCCCTTCAGCGCATCCAAGCCAGCTTTCTCGGCGGCGTGGATATGAGTGGCCTGAGGACCGGGTTCCTTGCGATACAGGTAAGAGCGGACGAAGAAGCGGGCGAAGAGGTAGGTCAGAGGCAAAAGGTAGGCAACATTGAGGTAAATCGCAAATCCCTGTCCGGAGGTATTCATGCAGGTAACCATAGGTCCGGCCTGTACAACCTCGCGAGGACCGCCAAGGTTGGTTCCAACGTGTCCCACATTTTCGGCGATCCCTTCAGCACCGGCTGCGCGGAGAGCGACTTGCTTGATCCAGGACAGTCCGGTGGCGGCTGCGGCTTCCGCAGCGGCAGATGTCGTAGGAATGAAGCGGACTGGCGGAAGAGTGTAGTGAACGAATAGGTAGGAAGCGGCCATGGTCGATCCGATAACGAACTGGGTGATTTGCATCGTAGTCAGGGAGCGCTTGACAATGTTTGGGACGCGGATGCGAAGAGCCGTCAGAGTGTAGTAGGTGTACTGAATCTAGTTAGCTAATCGTTCTCATAGGAGTAGTTCAGTATTCATTACCATCATCGCATGGATCGCGGAGTTGACCAGAGTGAAAATCCAGATCGGAGGCGCAATATAGCGAATACCAGCCCACATGCACATCATGGCACCGGCGTGGTGGTAGGTCTGCAAGGTCGAGCTCTTCTTGCCCTTGGCAAGAATGATCGCGGTATCGAGCACCTCATAGAACTTGGAAAGGTAGAAGATCCAGCCCAGGAAAGCCAGACCCTGGTTCCACAAACGGCCGACATCCGACGGATCTGGTACGCCGCCTTCAGCCAATCTGTATTCGGGGTTCTGGATCGACCATTGGTTCACAGTCGTGTCGTAGGTAGCAGCGTTTCCGTAACCCCGGGGACCGTTGCACTTGCATAGCGCATCGACAACGCCGACGAGACCATTCTCCTCCCAAGAGGGCCAGGTGTTGCGGAATGTGCGGACCATACCGGCGAATGTCCATGCGGAATAGACGGCCAGGAAGACGTTGTGCAGGATGACGAAGATCTTGAAGGCCCTGGTTTGGCTGAACGCGTAGGGTTTGTAGCCTCGGCTCTTGTTGATGCGGTTGATAATGACGACGGTAACAGCGTAGACGCTAGCGATAGTGATCGGCACGCGGACATCGAGCAGCTGGTTGTAGAGACCGGTGGGGATGTTGAATGGTTGGTACCATGTCGGCTGGTCAAGCTGGGGAGCAGGAACGGTGGCCGGGAGCTCGTCCGGGGGGAATTTGAGCAGCGAAGATGGAGGCAGGCCAAATCGCACGACAGCAGGGCCCGACCCTGTGTCCAGGGCGAGATCGTACATTGCGAATTGATGCGATTGACCGCGTCAGTAGAAAAAATTGTCAGGCGAAAAACCTCCGCGGGAGACGAAAAGCAGCTCGAAGCGACAAGCACGAAAAGGCGCGAGCAAAAGAATCAGGGGCGCCCTAGCAATTAATAGAGACTCCAATGTAACCTCGTCCTGGCGGGCGACTGGGGACAAGAATATCAATTTAAGGACGAGAACCAAGAAGCGATGAAATAATGCTGATACTGTCACTCGCTGCGGTTTTCGTGTGGAGCCGCGACTGCATTTTCCCAACAAACCATCCAGACCTCGGCCGCGCAGCCCCAACAACTGCAAATCACAGAACTTGTGAATCTTGTCCTTTGGACTGGCCAAATCTTGGGCTCTGTGGTCGAGTCGATCAACTGCGCTCTGATAAATGCTCTGGACCGTTACCTCCAATCTACGGAAGGAGGTACTTGGGCTAGCTCTAGCTACGCTGACGTATTGGTGACCCTCACGCGAGGAGCTTCCGCATTGACGCCAAACCAACGGAACTCCAACGGGACTCCAACGGGACTGCGGCGGCGCAACTGATCTCCGTCCTGCGTGGGGGGCGTTCGCCGTTAGACTTTAGGCGGTTCCAGCTGCGTCAGGCTGCATGATCATTGTCCCAGACCCAATTTTTTGAGGATCAGCCTTCACTGTTGTGCTCCGTAACTCCGATGCATTATTGCTGAAAAGTATGGGGGACCAAATGGACCGAGGATGAATGCTCCGTCCAATCACGAGCCAGATATGGTTGCACGTGACTGTCCCTACAGAATGCATTGCGTTGAATAAGTGGTTGAGAGTATATAAGGCGGAACGCTGGAAACGCCAGTCAAAGCAAGTTTAATCTACAATATGAAGGTATAGAACTAGAGCCCTGCTCCGGCGTCAGCGGGGTTTAGTACCGAGCGGAAGTGGAGGCGGCGCTGGTGATCCCGCATTGACAGGCGTCGACCGTAGCTGGGCCTTCTTCTGGGGCGGAGGTGGTGGAGGCGCTTTTCTCTGAGCTAGAGATGCGGTTTCCGAGCTAGAACTGGTGGTCGAACGACTCAAGTTTGGATGCGGGGGAACGGGAGGAGCTTGTCCCGCGTTGTCTGACTTGCTGTTCAGAGTGTTATTGATCCGTTCGGTGATTCCGTACTTCTGGTTGAGCCCATTAAGTTTTGCCTTTCCGGATTCGATCTGATCACTATGCCTGGACCGGAAATCATTGAACGCGGACTTGGCGTTGGAGACATTAGAGGTCGAGTTGGCCGGTGACTGGGTTTGCTGACTGATTTGCTGGACTGGCGGCAGTGCAGGCGATGGAGACGACCCTGAGTTAGTTCTCATTTGAGAGAATCGGCTCTGGAGCTCGTTCATCGGAGCCTGATTGTAACCCGATGATGGCGAGGTCGGGTTCGAAGGCCTGTTGCCAATGCCAAGCTCCGGAACAGATACCCCTGCCTGCTGAAGACGCGATGTAGCAGCTTGGTTCAGGTAGCCATCTGCGGCCTGGGGCTGCTCTGCGGCTGGCGGACTGGGGGTGTAAGCAGGAGGAGGAGGCGTGTGCGAGGCCGGTGAGGAGGAGTTGGTCCGAGGTGGTACACGGGGCGGAACACTCGGTCTCGGTCTAAGGCTTGCGGAGGTCGGTGCTGATTCTGCTACTGAGCCAACCCGCCGGACTGGGGGTGGTGGGAGAGTGCTGGGATCGATTCCTGTTCGGTTCGCGCGGTATGGCACAGGAGGCCGTTTCGCAGCTTCGTCCTCTTTCCCCCTTTGCTCCTCTTCTTCTTGTTGCTTCTGGGCGTACGAGTTATTTATCTGTGTCTGGCTCAAAGGCGCACCCCATCCACTGCGATCCGGGGTGGTTTCGTTGGGGAGCGCCGCCGCTCCGTGGTATTTGATATGTTTGGGCGGGGGGCCGAAGGAGGAGGGGTCTTTGAGCGATGAAAGCGGCCGGGAGACGTGGTTTTCCCTCTCTTCATCCTTAGGGTCTTTTCCTTTGCCCATCCATCCTGCCTACAAAGTGTCAGAGTAAACGTCGTGCGCGGCAAGCCGAAAGAACTCACCACTTGGTTGACGCCCTTGAAGTCGTTACGCCAGCCCTCTTTTTTCCCTTCTCGGCCTTTCGGGTGCCACCCATCCTTCATAATACCCTTGAAACCGCTCATAGCGAAAGTCGGCGGTGGTTCGGCAGATATCAAGGCTAACAATAACGACAGAGCAGTTGCTGGAACGTTGAAGCTGACGAATGTCATCATTTCCCCGCAAGCTGAGCCATCCGGAAGCGGTCTAGCTTCGTCTGTCAACACGACTGGGCCAGTCACGCCGCGCGTCCATCACTCCATCTCCTTCCATCTCCCAGTTGGACCTTGGAATCATCGATTGATATCAAAGAAGACGGGATCTGAAAATAGATGTCGGCATCTGCGGCATCTCTCTTCTTTGTATGGGATGTTCCCGGAGCTCCAGTGAGGGTATACGCTCACCGACAGTCGTCCCTGCTCACGGACAGTCCACAGCTTGGAGAAAAGTTGCAAGCGAATGAAAGAACCACCATGCGAATCAGGACACTTTACGGAGTAGAGTCAGATCATTCTAATTTCAGATCTGTTGGTCTTCGTGCCACTGGCCTATACCTACACCTGCATCCAGCATGCTATACCCTTTCGGGGATTCTCCCTGCCTCAGGTTTCTTATCGCCAAAGCTTGAGTTGAGGCTTGAGGCCTTTGTTGCTCGGACAATGAAACGGCCGCAGTCAACTCAATTCCAGCAGACCCGACTCGGACCTTTTGAGTTTCTTTGCTGTCAAGCAAGCTAGGATACAGAAAGATCGAATGATTCCTGACCCAGGACCCAGTCCCAGTGGATGCGTCAGGAATGGCCCCCAACCCACGATGATCTGACGACAACAGGGCTGTGAGCCAGCCGACCATCCACAACAGCCCAAATGCACACTAACCCAGTCACGAACGGACAATGCGCCTTCAAGAGCTAAGCCTGCGGGTCGATCAACTGTCGGCACAGCCTCGCCATCCTCTTGAAACAAAGCGGGTTTTTCGTGAGGGCGACACGTCTTCGCTAGATCGTTTCAAGCCCCTGCGGGCGCCTACACTGCCGTTGACGGACAGGGATCAGGGCGAGAATTGTCAAAGAAGAGGAGAAAGAACCGTCTTACCGCCGTGCTGTCTTTGTACAACGGCCCCTCATGCTCATCTGGTCGATATCCCGACTCATGTCGAGTTCAGCCGTGCCCACTATTATCTGCTCGTAGGAATTAGCATCTTTATACTAACTTGCTAGGGCTATACGCGTTGGAGCCGCTGCGCCATGTCAGCTCTCTCTCCTCTTTTCTACTCAACGCTGCCATTCGTCTCTTCTCTGATTTTTCTTCTTCCTTTCCCTTTCCTTTCCCTTTTCTCTCCTTCTTTCCTCTTTCTTGTGATCCTTCCCTGTCGGTGACTTGGCGCCTTGCACGAGACGCTGTCAATAAGCCTGGATACGAGAACGCTTGCTGACTGATTACTATTATTGGGTTCTCCATCTGCATGAAAGAGCGGAGGTGAAACTTGGAGACTCAAGAAATCTTACATCTACTGGGTGGGGGTGGAAAAAGTAACTCCATCCCGCCATCTGTATAGACAAAGTGCTAACCGCCGGAACAGACACTCACAACTATACGAATCCCCCTCAATGATGGATAACGTCAACTGGAACGGCTGGGACACCTCCGGGGATGACCAATCAGCCGGCGAAAACACCCAAACAGATTCCAACGCCCAGAACAACCCAGCTGAATCCGTCTCAAACTGGGCACAAGAAACCGCCACTGAGGCCACAGCAGCCACGGCGTTAAGCAACCCATCAACCGCTGAAACAGCAACATACACATCAACATCCTCGACCACAAGCTTCATCCCAGAGTCCACTCCAACCAGCACCTCCACATCCTCCGCCGAGAGCCAGAATGGCAACACCACCACCAGCAACAACGGAGGCGGCGGCGGCATGAGCACGACCACCAAGGTCGCCATCGCAGTCCCCGTGGCCGTCGTCGGCGCCGCCATCCTAGCCGCAATCCTCTTCTTCCTTCTCCGTCGTCGCCGCCTCAAGCGCCAACGGTCCGCCCCGCCCGTCATCTCAACCCGCGAGCTCGACACCTCATCGTCCGCCTTCCTCCCCGCCCAGCCCCAACCACAGATCGCCCCTGTTCCAACCCCAGGACCAATCTCCCGCCGTCCGGTTCCCAACGCTACAGACAATCTCCCGCCACCTCCACCGTACCCACGTCCCCCCGGGACGGGTACAGAAGCAGACAACACATCGACGGCAGCCCCGCTAGCCGGTGCTGCAGCAGGAGGTGGAGCCGCCGCCGCCGTAGGAATCGCAGTAACAGACCGAGACCTCGACTGGCGGACGTCCGAAGAGCGCGCCAGGGACTCCGCTGCGCGGCCCCGTTCGCCATTCGACCATCCCCATGATACCGACAACGACGACGCGATGTCCGATGTCTCAGAGATCAACGACCGCGAGGCGATGATGAGGGCGAGGGGCGTCAGGGAGGACGACGAAATGTCGTCCGTGTCGAGCTTTGGTGGCGACGAGCATGAGCATGAGCCCAGACAGGCTGCGAATCGGGGCAGTTAGTTGCACCTGACCTCCAAGCATACTTTCACGTTCTAATCATGATGTTTGGTTTCAAGGGTTCCTCGAGATCATTTAGTCTCTAATGCCTGCGTATTTATGTCATAATCTATTTCGCTCTATATCCAGTTGCGTTGGGAAGTTGAATCCATGGCCTTTTCATTCATTATATGGTAACTTGTAGATTCGCCGTCATATACATGCTCCGGTATATTAGAGTTGAAAATAAGTCTCTACCGCCCACCCCCAAAATCAGGCTTATAAGCCTTAACCCTCCCCCTCATCAACTCTCTCAACGCCATAGTCGCATACTGGCTCGAGCCAAGCTGGAACTTCAGCACAACAGCAACCTTATCGCCCTCGGCCTCTCCGCCGGCCTCCTGCATAGCCACATCACCGCCATCCCTCGTCTTGGAGGTAAGAGTCTCCAAGTCCGTGCGAACAAACTGCTCCTCATCCCTAGCGTAAAGCCTTACATCAACCGAGTAGTCCGCGCCCATCCGACTAAGCACCTTCCGATAACTCCCGCTCAGACTCGCGTCCTTCCACTTCCGGCGCATGTCGAACGGGTCGAGACCGCCGCCGCGCTGACTCCCCATGAACTCCTTATAGAAGTCCGTCATTTTGTTGGGCGGGTAAAGGACGTCGAAGCCGGGTAGCGGGAGGACGATGTCGAAGATGCTGTATGCGCCGCTGTTTGCTTCGTCGGCTGTGAGGGCGCGGGCGCGCGTGAAGGAGTCTTCGGCGCTGAAGGCGGAGTCGTGAGCTTGCGGGGCGATGATGATTTCGCCGTCTGCGTCGACGGTTGCGGTTTCGGGCGCTGCTGGGGTTGCGGAGGAAGAGGACGTGCCGTCCTTGTCGCGGTGTTCGTGGATCAGGACGAGATCGCCTTCGACCACGCGGTCGCCGTAGAGGCGCCAGCGTTCGCCGACGGCGAGGTTCCAGACGAGGGATTGGTAGGCGTGCACATACATGAGGCGGAGGTTGCGGGGGATGGTTTGCAGGGCGCCGAGGTAGTCGTTCTTAGAGCGGCCGATGTGGCGGATGATGTTTGATTCGGCGGAGAACTTGCGGGGCATCTTTTCGAGGGCCTCGCTGACGCGGCCGGTTGTTTGGAAGATGTGGATTGCGAGGGCGCGTGCTTTGTCTTCGGAGCTGATGTTTGTTGCTGTGGGGGTAGCGCCTTCGGCGGCGTTCTCGTCTGCTTGTGCGGCGGCGAGGATGTGCGGGCTGTAGTCGAGGATGGAGTCGCAGGCGCCCTTGAAGTCGTCTTGGAGGATCTTGACGCCGACTGTGTCGGTGCGGGTTGTGAAGGAGCCGAAGCGTTGCAGGCCGTAGTAGTTGAAGTAGCCTCGTTGGTAAAGATTCTGGAGGGATGAGTTGACGAGCGCCTTTGCCTTTGTTACGGCGGCTGCGCGGTCCTGAAGGTTGACTCCGGGAATCTCGCACTCGCGAAGGGTCACGACGAACTCGTTTCCGAAGAGATCGCCGAGCTCAAGGCCGTGAGGCTGGTATTCAAAGTCTCCGACAACGGCGTTGCGGAGCGTTCGGTTGAGCTTCGCCAGGCGATCGGCTTGCAGGCGGTAGGCGCATGCCCTCTGTGCGGTCACTCCGCGGCGGTCCTTGGTGCCTGCGAACTGGAAGCTCTTGGGGTTCATTTTCAGCTGGCGCGCGATGAAAGAGATGACCTCCATGGTGTCCTTGTTTTCCTTGTAGATCGTAAAGTGCAGGTACGGTCCGCCCAGTTCATCCCAGTTTACACGGTTCTTGTCACGTCCGCCGCCGTTGTTGCCGCTGCGTCCACCACCCTGGTTATTCCTCTTGTTGCGGTTCGCGGCGACCGAGATGACCATCATTCCCTCGCTGTCTGTTGAAGATTCAATCTGCGAACTGAAGATGCGACGAATTGCCTGGTGCATCTCGACACGCTGGTCGCGGTCGTTAACAACAACGGTGTTCAGTCTGCCCAGTTCGCTAGGTTTGGTCTTCGGGTTCGCCAATGCTTTCTTGTGTAATGCCACAATCTTTTGTGTGTGCTGAGCGCCGAAGAGCGAGTCCAAAAGCGCCGCATCTTCCTCCGTCAAATTGAACTCAGCAGGAGCCGGAGTCTCCGCAGGAGTTTCCGCAGGAGCTTCGGGCTCCTTGGGCTTCTCCTCTGGCTTTTCCTTGGCTGGCTCAGGTTTCGTCTCGTCCTCATTCGCATTCGCGGTGGTGTTCGTCAAATGCAGAACTTTCCCAGATGGCAGGATCTCGTTGACAAGGAAATCTGTGTATCTGGAAGCGCAATCAGCGTGCTTCATGCCCATCTAGTGACATATCACCATACCGCTTCTTCAAGATACCCGCAAACCCCTCGTTATCCGCACTGACAAATTCTGTGATTCCAACCTCAATCTCCTTCGATAATTGTTCGTCGATTTCGGCGTCGGTCTGCGGCGGAGCTCTGCCAACGGGAGGAACGACCTCATCCGTGCCGGCGACATCCTCGGTCTTGAGGCGCTTTTGCGGCGGCTCGATAAGATCGGAGATATCCATTGCGGCGAGTTGTAGGCGATGGTTGTCGCTGATTGTCGTCGGAGCTCGTCCGCGGAGCTGGAGGAAAATCTCCGATCGATAGGTTGCTAGGGCTAGCCCTATGTCCGCTTTGGGAAGTATATCTACAACTCATTGCTCAATTTACAACTTTTACTACCATTATCCCCTGCTTCAATTCAAAGCTTCTGTTATTTGTCTGGCACGGCTTGGTGCGGTTGGATGCCGTGCTTTATGACGTGTTAAAACATGAAAGCCATACACTCTTCATGTCGAAGGAGGCGCCTCCGCGCCCTTACTGCATAGATGCTTAGGGCTGGGCATTCGAAGACATCTCGGAGGCTTGATACATTAGGTGGCTATCTAACTGGCTTCAGTGGCGGCATTATGGTATACTAGCGGTAAAGTACAATTACCTCACTCGTTATTAGGCTCCGCTGAAATACATATCCTTTCCTGGAGGTTGCGATAGACACCCAGTTTGCTAGCAGGCCTACGAAACTGGTGCTACCTAGTCGGCCAAAAGCCCTCCAAGACGAAAACCCCATATGCGCAGAATATGGACCTCTTTGAGCAGCAAGTCCATGACCGGAGAACTGCCGGACTTCCAGGCACCTCCAACAAAGCCTTAGTTTGGATACTAGACCCTTTAACCAGCTCATTGTTTTTCGGTCAACATTACAAGATGCTACAATGGCGTCTCCAAGCAAAGAACCATGCAATAAGCAGTCAATGGCAGTACATGGCAGTCAAAATAAAGGCCTTTGTCTCTAATATGGCATTCAAAAACCTCTCCTCGTCTCTTTGTCCGAACTTCCCAATCCAAGGCCCTTTGAGCACAGCCAGAGCATGCAGTGAGAAGGCCGAATATAAATAGCCCGTCCGTCATCTCCATTATCCCCTGATCATCATACCAGTCTCACCGCGAGGATCCATATCCTCCACCAACTGATCCGCATACGGGCTCGTATAAACCTCCACTTACTTATAACCACCATCCCCATCGATGCCTACTAACCAAGCCAAAATGCCCACTAACCAGCCCCCCTTCATCTCCTGGGCTCTAGTGGAACAACCCACAAACCCAACAGACGTCCCAACCCGGGCCCAGCTAATGCGGCGGCACGGCCTAATAGTATCCGACGAAACCCCCGACATAATCACGATCCTCCTCGACATCCCGCGAGACGAAGAGAAGAAGGAAAAGAACTTCATCCTGACAGTCCTTCGAAACATGATTGAAGTCGTGCAGATGCGTCTCGTTACCAAGGAATTCGCGAACCCGCACGAGGCCGTGGATCCCCGGAACAGCCGCGCCATTGTCACGGCGATCACGGATAGCCCGACGCCTTTTGCGGTGTACAAGGATATCCATCGGGCGTTGGTGTCGTTGCGGGATAGTCTGGCGGAGAAGGAAGCGCGGGGGGAGATTCTGGAGATGGATGAGAATTGGGTCTATTTTGAAGGATGCATAAGGATGCAGTGGGTTGAGGGAGTGGTTCCGTTAGAGAGGCACTATAATGCCCCTGTTTCTGATCCGCGGTGGAGAGATGAACTGGGGCTTAGCAAGATGCCCGGTTGAAGGGGTAGTTAGGGAGGTGAGTACTCCATTCCTTGCTCTTGATAACTGCTTGCAGGCACTTCAGACTACTTCCGACTCAGCTTAAGGCAAGGGTTTACTTCATAGGCTCAATGCAGAACAGGAAAACGGCCATGGCCAGATAATGAATACTAGTATTCCATGCACGCTAAAATACATACACTCGTTCATGCCATCATTAACCTCAAACCGCTCTAATCGCGTCCAATACACTCCATAGGCCTCAGAGAAGCAAGAAACATTTGCTGGAAAGTAGAATAATTTCAAATCAAACAGTGCTCAGAGTCATTTTGCATCTGCGTATGTTAGCGTGGTTGGAAATAAGTTCAACGCATAGATATACCAACACTGGGGCTCTTGGAGGTTCCTTAGCAACATTACAGCTCTAGCAGTTGGCTTCGGCATGTTCGTTTGTCGGTTGATGCACCACTGTGGCAGAACATATACACTCCATGACAGTGGTGTTTATGTGGTAGGAGATGGTCACACAAAGCTGGGCAAGCAATGACCAAGATGAGAACGACCAGTGTCCAAACTGTTCATTCCTTTCGCTTGCGCAGAGGTAGTGGTGTTGGTTTTGTCTTCCTATTCTCGGTGTGCCCTGCCCAGGCTGCTCGAATCGATCGTACCGTAGGCAAAATCGCCTTGCGGGCCTCGTCTCGGGCGACACCTGAGCGAAGCAGCGCCTCATAGGGTGTGTGTACGTGTCGTATATGAGCGTCCACCGCTAGGTGGACCTTCTCTGTTTCGGACGTGGTCGTGGTCCTTCCGACACGGCCGGAGCCTTTGAGGAAGGCGTGGTCGAGGATGGTGTTCAGCGATTCGACCGGCATCAGTGGAAATTGCTTGCTTAGAACCTCTCTGTAGTGCGCCTGTTCCTTCTCGTCGCGAGCTTTGACAGCATTGGCGCGGGACTCTGCCGTGTCCTCGGCAGATTGTAGGACAGCAGTGTGGACATTAGCGGGGACGCGGATTCCGAGTGGTTTCTTCCCTGAGTTGTCCTGGGGAAGTCAATCACTGGCTGCAAGCACGGGTATTCAGAGCAAGGGGAATTGTTCTCACATAAACTTTATAGACCAGCCGGTGGTCTTGCTTGGTTTGAGATCGACAGTGCCGGGTAACATAGACATTACCCCTAGGAACAAACACATAATCGGCGGGCATTGGTGCCCTCTCGAGACAGTTCTTTGATAGCTGCACGTTAGCAGGCTGCAGGGGACATCTACTGCGCAAGGGGGGGCGACGCAAGGGGTGTATACTCTATTGTGGTACATACCTTCTCAAAGGGTTCTGACGATGGCCACTCAGTCGGGGCCTTGCACTTCTGGGGATTTGTGGGGTTGCTGGTGGCCACCTTGGGAGTTGTCTTCTTGCTCTTGGCAATCATGAGGCTCAGGTTCTCGATCAGAGCCTTTTTCGACCGTGCCCGGTTATGTGTTTCTTTGACCATAGCCAGCGGAGACACGGTGGGGAGTTGTTCTTCAGCATGGATCTCTCCGAAACGATTGTTGTGACCGTGGTTGATGGGAGATTGTTCTTCGGCCTGGGTCTTCCTGAAGCAATTATGGTGATCGTGGTTATTGGAGGGGCGTTCTTCAGCATGGATCTCTCCGAAGTGGTTGGTTTGACCGTGGTGGTTCGCATGGTAGCTTTCATGGGCATGGGGCTCTGCAACTCCAGGAGTTGTCTCAACGTGGTTATTCTCAGCGCGGTGACCAGCATGGCGCTTTCTATGGCGGTGCTTCCTGGCGTGCCCCCTTCCGATGATACCGGGGTTGAAGCTACTCCTCTCAGCACTGAAGTTCGGGAAGCGGCTTCTCCCAATACTGAAGTCCGGACGGCGTCTGATCTCGGTACCCGGGTTCCTCTGGACGGTGTTCCTCTGAATACGGCTCCTCTCAGCTCGGCCCTGGTTGGCACGATTCTTCCTCCCGCGGTTTCTGCAGTCATTCCTCGCTGCTCCAGCTCTGGGCCTGGTGGGAGCCATGATGTCAAGGGTGGATTGCTAAAATAGAGACAATTAAGATGAAAGAGAGACGAGTCGTAGAGATATGGGTAATATATCGCTCAGTTGAAGGAATAGTCCCGTAGCACTGACATCGAGAATGCAGATGTGGATGGGCTTTGTTTACTCGAAACTGGGTCAAAGAGCTGGATGAAGAAACTGCAACCATGACCCATGGTGAAGGAACATGGTGAGAAAGAGCGCTTTGCCAAATCTTGCTATTTTTGACTCAGCCCTGCTTCACATTATGCGCTCATTTTGGGGCCTTTAATCATCAACGGGCTGTACGTAGGCTGGAGGAGGGAGGAAGTTGTACACGGATGTTTATTTATCAACCCGGTGGAGCCCCGGGCTCACATCCTCAATTGTGCCTGGGTGTGCAGCTCAGCCATATTGTTTATCTGGTCTTCGACTGCGGAAAGACAGCACACACCTGAAGCGACTCTGGAACCGAACATGAAACTGTAGGAGCACGAATTGGTGACACAAAGGTCGAGTGACACCTTGGACAATGAAAGAGCATCAAATGGTGCTCACATTCATAATTGGACTTAGATCAAAAGGGGTTGCACAATATTCAACAGTTGGTTGTGTAGTGTAGTGGTTATCACCATCGGTTTTGACGCAAACTGATCACTTCCGATTGACCTGGGTTCGAACCCCAGCACGACCTTCTCTTTTTGTTATTTCTTTTTTTTCCCTCTCCGCCAAGTTCGTACGGACAGTACATCCAGAAAATCACTGACTGGGCTCAGGCTCATAGGCGCCTGGAGAAGCGACCGAATGTTACCAGGCGGGCATACTTACAAGTGAGTACTCCGTAGAGGCAACATGGAGAGTTTTATGAATGAAGGGTGAGCGGAGCTTGTCTTCCATGGGTTGCCAGGCCACAGGCGGCACTTGAAACGAATTGTATTCCAAACAGATACGAATCCATATAGGCGAGAATCTAGATCCATCCTGCTGTCTTCCAGGAGGCATAATTAAGCGCCCGAGGTCCGACAAAGTGCATCTGTCACGACTCATGACCAGAGACCCCGATGGGCCAATGTCGTCATAAGCGTGCTAAGTAAAATTACCCCAAGCTGAGGCTGAGGCTGGATCTTTTCAGCTCCAGAATCCAGGCACTAAACTTCCGTAGTCTGATTGGGATCGTGATCGAGCTCGACAAATGCAGTCTGGATCGGCCAAAGGGATGGGATCTTGATCCCTTGACAAGTTGACATGTCTTGACTATGTTTCTCATGTCTCTCGTCGCCCCCATATCCAGAATCTCTGTCTCGGCAGACTGACACTGGAAGCTGGGACCCCTTTCATGGCTTCGTACTTAGACGGCTGCAGGCATGAGGATGGCCCGGCGACGGCGCCAGCGCCGGCAGCTCGCAGTGGTCACTTGGTGATGGAGCAGACGATCCACGGAAAACCACCGCTGTGCCTTGTTCTGCAAGCCAATTATTGGCACTCAAACATCCAAGGGGCTATATGCGTCGCCTTTTATTATTTTCTCCTTTACTCTGCCGACGGGGATGTCACAAGCCAGCTCCGCTAGTTCAGCCATCCAGACAAAGCGAGACTCGACGATATACTCCAGCGGCATCTCCAGGGCCGATGGCTCGATGCTACGTTCCTAGATAGTCGTCGTAGTCGCAGTAGATTAGGCACCTGTTTCTCCACCAGGCACTCTTAGTACGAGGCCACCCTGGTATAGACAAGTCATAATCTCGTTTCTCGACCCTGTTATCTGTCCGTTATCCAGGGTTGTAATTGTCTGAGTCCTGAGTCCTGACTGTGGATCTGCGGATATAAAGAAAAACCGTCAAATTATTACCAAATTTTACAAACAGAGCAAAACGAAAACATAAAATTCTCCTCTCTGCAGCGTCATCTTCTCTTCCTCATCTCCAATCCATTATTCTGCTCTTCAAACGCCCTCGGCCAGGCGGTACCAAACGCATTCCTCCCTCCTCCCTTTGCCCAGGCGTCCTTCCTCCGCCAGCCTCGACCGATCCCTCGACCACCCCCTCTTTACCTCCCCGAACCTCCTGCCATCCCAACCGACGATTATAGGACTATGTTCTGAACCTGGCCTTTTCTCTACCGAACCCTCCTCTCTCCTCCGCCCACTCCCAGGGCTCCGGTCTCCTCGACGCCTCTCGTTGAACGTCAATGACCCTGTGGAGGCATACATTATCCGTTCGGCAGTCTCCCTCCTACCGATCCGCCCCTCGAACATTCCTGACGGCTCCGAGATATCTGGACGTTCTCCGATCAGAGGGGTTGCCTGGCAGCTTGACTTGAATGGTTGCTAGGAGTACACCGTTGCTGACATGAGTTGGGATCAGCCTATCCACAGGTATGCTGCCTTCATACACTTATCGGGCTCTAGTCCTCGGTGTATTACCCGATACTCTACTTTTCCCTTTTGTCTACATTGCCTTCTTGTCCGTTGCTAGTCCCCCCCACGCGGATATCTCACTGCTATTAGCATGTGTAGCATGTTGCTAACGGAACCATCGGTCCTCCTTAGCTTCAGCTATCCCAACGGTGAACCCCAGACTCCGACGAGGACTCCCCCCACGAGCTTCTTCAGTGACGCTGCCTTCCAAACGCCAAAACTCGAATCCAGCTTTTTCGATCCACGAGTCACATGGGACACCTCCGATCCATACGCTTCGAGCCCTGAGTTCTTCCGCACGCCCCAGCGGTTTGGGTTGAACAGCCCCCGGTTGCCCGAACAAAAGTCGGCTCAAGTTCTGGGGTCTCCAGAATTACACAATGCAAAACCATTGAGCTCTCAGGTCGAGACTGCTAGGAAGCGTCGCCCATCGAAACCTTATGGACACTGTGAAGATGGCTCCAGGACCGTCGAGTCAATCAGATCGGCTGCCTCCATGCAGACCCCTCCGCCAAGTAGCGCCTCGAGGACAAAGGTAACGGAGTTTGGAGGTCTGAATAGTGCGGGGCGTCGGCCGCCGGCCGCGAGTACAGCGGCGGAACACCTGGAGACTCCCAGCCGAGTCATGGGCGCCTCTCCCCGGTTGTTCGGAGACCTTCAGTCGTCCCCGGACCCGTTCCAACTGGGTTCGATCAATCCGTCAACATCGCCCTTCTTTCCGCAACAGAGGCTGTTCTGGGACCATGGGCTCGACCAGCACACAACAGATCTGGCTTTGTCCGGGAATGAAGGCGGCTTGTTCGGCTCGGCAACTGCAGACTCACTCCACGCGAGTACAACAAATCCTCCACAAGAACCTCAGATCCCGCAGTTACCCCACATCGACAGAAACATGGAGCTTTCCGACTTTAGCAACACCATTTACGGCTTATCCTCTGGTGCTCCAACCGACGCTGCCTTGTTTCCCGCCCCCTTTTCCACCTCTCCTCGACTCCCATTACCAAAGGCAGAAGACCCCGCCCTGTTCCTAAGCTCCCCTGCACGACGATTCGGAGGGCATCAGCCTACCCCGGAGAAGCGGTCATTCTCGAGGCAACATCGGCAACCGTATCACCACCAAACAGAGGAGTTCAAACGGGAAGAGCTCCGACGGGCTCAGGGAGTCAACCTTCAACTCTCCGAAGAAGAGGACGATGACTACACGCCTCGGCAGAATAGGCCTACATTGACTCGCAGCCTCACTGTCAGTGCAGTGAATGCGTCTCGCCCGGGATCTGGTGGGGCAATGTCTTCTGCTAGTGGCATACGGAAGAGCCCGTCAAAAGGGCGATCGTCGCCGATCAAATCACTCCGTGCTCCGTTATCTAGATCCAACTCGCTGGCCAGTGGCTTTCCACGACGATCCCAGTCAGTAGTCTTGAAAATTGGCAAAGATGGCAGAGCGAAGACGGAGATGCAGCCTGTTCTTGAGGCATCAACTGGGCTGACGGATCCTCTAAACAGCATGGATATGGGCGGCTCCCCCACAGAGAGCGAGTATGATTCGGCAGAGTTTCCGGAATATCCTCTGTCTAGCAGCCGCAATCCTTCGTATGCCTTCTCAGAAGCCGGGAGATCTACGATCGCTCGGAGTGACTCTGGCTCACGGCCCCCTTCTATGGGCTCTCTCACTTCATCTCACTCAGGCCGAGTCTCTCCCTGGGCTACTGCTCCTCGAGGCCCGGCCAGAAGGCCACCCTTGAAAGCTACGCTGGATGACTGGAAGAGGACCCCGAAGAGGCAGACCTCGATGTTTCCAGCCGATTTATCATATAGCAGCGCGGCTTCCATGTCTGGCAGTTTTGCTGACATAGAAGAGGACACTGGCGATGCCCAGCATGCCCTTCGCAAAGTCCTGCAAGACAAAGGCCGGATACCGAGATCACAGACCGTTGCAAGCTTTGGCTCCCGATCGCATCGCTCACTGCAGTCATTGGCACAGCTCCAGTCGTCCCCTCCTCGCTTCGGCACGGAGCTAGACTCGGATTCTCGAGAAACAAACACCTCTCCCACGACCGTGACCGACCCTGACCTTGCAACTCCCTCCACCGACCGATATAGCAATCCAAGCAATGGAACCAGGTGCGTCTGCAACTCAATGGATAATGGTGGCCATTTGATGATCCAATGGTTCGTTTTTTCTTTCCTGCATCATCATCTCGAGTACTAACGATTGTGCAGCGAATCGTGCAGCCACTGGTTACATACGAAATGCGTCGGCCTGGAACGGTCCAACCTCCCCTCCGTCTACGTCTGCGTCTTCTGCGCGCAAACGCCGTCTCGGAAAAATCGAGTCCGTGTCCCAGCCAGCGGTGTCGGCCATGCACCGACTTCACCACTCGCCCACAAGTCGTATCGATTTCGATAATAAACATGTACCTTTACGGTAGAGATATGCCTCAACTCGCGTCGACATCCTCCTACAACTTCTCATATGCATTTGTAATGAGCATTTTCTGTCCTAGGAAAAGGACTACCTTTCACTACCCTGCCGGGTCTCAATTGTTCAATGTGCACCATGTTAGACATCATACCCATATCATACCCATACCCATACACTTTTCTTTGCGGCATCATGCGGATGCAAATGTATGCAACATACTGTGTTTCTCCATTTCCTACTAATTGCTAGTATTGGCCGGCCACGGAGGATAGGATAGCATACCTGTATCTACAATGTCTGACAGAACGAAACAAAATAACAAGACAATGCTACTAACAGCAAAAGATCTTATACTGTCATCGGCTGAATTGTGTAAATGCGCTATAATAATACCCTTGAACTACAACCAGCGGGCAACTGGCCTGTTGTGTCTTGAATGACTCACCCTTCACAAATCTGGCTAGGTGCCACAATTGCTCATCGAAAGCTATATAACCTCCTGGAGATACCTAGAAAGTCCCTATCTTACTTCCCTCCATCGCATCTACAAGCCCATCCGCTCGAACAACCAATAACACCCACCACCACAATGCCATCCCAAACAAACCCCAATACACAAGATAGCCTAGGCTCTTCTCCAAATCCCACAATGAGCTTCCAAACCGCCCGCCTCTCATTCAAACCCCTGTGCCTCTCCGACACCGTCGCCCTCCATGAACTCCGTACCGAGCCCTCGGTGATGAAGTGGAGCGTGCAGCATGTTCCCGATGCGAATCTCCAGCAGACGGAAGATTGGATCCGGCGCTCCATTGGCCTCGACGAGACCGGTTCAGATGCAGAAAAAGGCGGGGCGAAAAAGGGCATGAGCCTGAAGAAAGGCAAGGGCATCGTCTTCTCAGTTCGGGAACTTTCATACCTACAGTCCCGAAAAGATGGAGATGGAGAAGAAGATCGGATCATCGCCGTAATCGGGATCAAGGAGTCTGAGTCGCCGGTCTCGGGGAAAATGCAGTACGAGCTCGGGTATATGTTTGTGCCTGGGGTTTGGGGGAAGGGGTACGCGAGTGAAGCTGTGAAGGGGATTATGGGCTGGTGGTTTACGTACCTTGACTCGTTCGGTACTTCAATTGCGAAGTCGGAGGCTTCGGGCGTGAATGGCGGAAAACAAGGAGATATTGAAGATGAGGACCGGGTATATGCTATTGTTGCGAAGACGAATGGCGCCAGTATCAGGGTGATGGAGAAGTGTGGCTTCCGGGTTGTCGGACAGGGAGAAGAAGATGGCAGCGGGTTAGAGCTTGTTGAGTTTTGTATTTCTAAATCTGATTTGGCGATATAGTGAGCTGAGTCTTGAGCGAGAACAGACGTGGCAAGGAGTTGTATAGAGGGTATAGAGGAAGGGTATATATATATACACATAGAAACTGTCTACGACAGTCAAAAACAGCCAGTCAGTCAGACGAAGAGAAGCATCTACCATAAAGGCTATGCAGAATAAAGAGAGAACCTGTACCATATCGACGCCGTAAAGGTGAATGTCCCGCGCGAGGTTGAACCACATCTGTAGGTGACGCGAGATAGATATCACGAAAGAAGTTAACATGCCCATATCGCGTAAATCCAGGCCAACCCTGTGCGATGTAATCGCTAGAATAACGTCCATGTCCACCCCCGTAAAAGTAACCATCCCGGGCCTTGATGTCTTGCTTCAGCGGCCAAACTCCAGAGCAACCAGTAGCCGATATACTCAGGCGGCTGGTGGCGACCCATACATATTATCCAAAAAATGCCATCGTAACTCGAACTGTACCCATACACAATAAGCCGCTGGTATCCGTGCGTACCAGCGATATATCCAATGCAAGATAAGAAGAAGATCAAACTCCGAAAAAACGCCTTTTGAAGTCGAAATGTGCCAGGCCGAATATAAGCCTATGCTAGAATGCTCAGCGCGGCTGACCGTTGCGCTGCAACTGTTGCCCAATCCGCAGAGCTTCAGTCCCATCATCCGTGATTGGTTCTTTAAACCACGCATGCTTGAGGGCATCCTTGGCGGTAATACGCTGCTTGGGGTCGTAAACGAAGATACGTTGTAACAAGTCCAGGAATAATCGGTAGAACTTGTTATTCGTTGGCATGAACGACTGAGACAATCAGCAAACCGCTTAGTAATTTTGGATACGAAGATGACATACTGTTAGTCGTCTCATAGCCTGGACGTATTTCTTCGAGGCTCGGGTTGTCTCTTCGTTTGGGTAGTCAAGACGGTTTCGAACGAAGTACCTAGAAAGTCAGCCGTGCTCATATTGTCATGGTTAAGGGACTTACTTGGCGGCTTGATTCTGGTTGCCATTCCGGCTCCCTTGCATCACTTGACGTACGAGTTTTGCGTCAATGCGCTCTCCAATGACAGCTTCCATCATGGCGAGGTGTTCAAGATTATCATGTGTTTGGAAAAGAGCATCGCCGGTAAAGAACTCGACAAGAATGCAGCCAATACTCCAGATGTCACATGGGAAGCTCCAGCCAAGGTTGAGAATAATCTCGGGCGCTCTGTAATGCCGCGTGGAAACAACGGAGGAATGGTATTCATCGTCAAAGGTGGCAGAACCAAAGTCGATCAGGCGAATCTCGCTATCCAGCAGAACACGCCTTTGACGCGCATTCCGAGATATTGCAGTAGAGGATGAAGGGATAGAGCGGTTGTAAGTAAAGGTTTGATAGGCGTTCTTGACAAGGAGAATATTCTCCGGCTTTAGATCTGTATGTATGAGGTTAAGGTCGTGAAGGACTGCACCAAAATTAGCTAGAGTTTGAGGATTGTAGCACAGAGACTTACAAGCCACGCTGGTGAAGAGTTGCCGAGCGAAGTTCTGAATCTGGCTGCTGGGAAACGGAACGAACCCGTTGCCCTTGAGAAAATCAAAAACACTCTGACCCAGCAGGTCTGTGACGATACATATATGGTTCCGGTAATCGAAGCAGTCTCTCAGGTGGATGCATTTGTTTCGATTGCTCTTATCATTAGATGCCAAAGTTGAGAGTACACGGAGTTCGATTCGTGATGCGTCACGGTACTTCTGTATAGATCGTATTATTTTGATGGCACAGCGAGTTTTGCGTTGTTTGTCATATGCTTCGACGACCTTGCCGAATGTTCCTTGCCCTAAAAGTTTGACTATTGAGTCTTCGCAAAGTTAGCAGCGAAATTATTAGTCGAGAATTTGAACTGCTCACATCGGTCGGTAATAGGAGTATTAGGATTGACGATGTAATGGCCATCGTCATCATCGTATTTCTCACCCCTGTTCGCATACTGAACCGAGTAATTAGCAGATGAAAGCCTGATGAATGCAACCGAGTACTTACAGAACGAACAACGGGTACGGGCACATCCTTGGCCTTGATAGGCGGCTTGGGAGGAGGTATGTAGCTCAAAAAGGCATCGGTTGCCGTTTCCTGCTCCAATTTCTTTTGCTGATCTCGAACAGACTTTCGCGTCGCTACCCGCTTTCGCTTCTGGCCGACATTGGCGTCTTCATAATAAGCACCGTTGCTCGCACCAGAGCTGCCCTGTGACAGGGACGTAGGGGCAGTGGTGTGCAACGACGCTGTGCGGTCTGTCGAGAGGGAGCCAGCAGACGACTCTTCGCCATACTGCTGGGGGTTTATGGAAAAAGAGGGACGATCATAGTAGCCTAGATCGTATGCCGTCTCGATACCGGTGCGTCGTTTCTTACCCGCCGGCTGCGGAATGTTGCCATTCGGAGCCTGAGCGGTGGATGCCGCCGGGTAAGTACGCGACGCGGCGGCAGTCTGGTCAGGAGGAGGTGTATCATCAATGACAATAACCTCTTTCGGTAGCCCATTCTTGTAGAATTCGCCCCAATCCGGCTTTTTCCGCCTCCCGTTTTGAGTCGAAACTCCCGTGCTGGCAGGTTTCTGAGGCTGCGGCATGGCTGCGGTGGTTGTAGGTGTAGAAGCTGCGGCGACTGAGTGAGGAGACTGAGTATACGGAAGTGCAGCAGTCGCTGAAGGGACGGCGTAAGGATAGACGGCAGGGTTTATGTGCGGAGTGGACGTGGCCGGATACGAAGGATTCGGTAGGTACGTTTGATGATGGGGAAATCCGTAAAGTTGCTGATGATGCGTAGGATGTGTGGCGGTAGCAGTTGACGGCGTAGACATGATGGTTCAGAGAAACCGTCCGGTCGTACGAGCGGCGGATGGGGGTGAAGAGGAGGAAGGGTACCAGTGGAAGAGAGAAGAGAAGAGAGGAGGTCGTCCAGCGTCACTGGTAGTCCGCTGTCGCCCTCAATGAACACGGAGACCTCGACACGCCAGGCCGGAAAGACGGGGATTCTCGCGAGAATCCCAAAGTCGCTGGGTGAGGGAACTTGGATAGTGAATCCAGTGAAGCAGACAAACTGCAAGAAGGCAGCAGGCAAAGTTTGAACGGGAGGAGACGTGACGAGCAAGGAGAAAGTCAGAGAGGCGTGGGGAGTGATGCGAGGCGGTCGGTCGGGGCAAGAAAGCGTTGTGGTCCGCCCGGTAAATGAGGTCTACATGACAATTCCAGTCCGGTTATTATTTATTTTCTAAAATAATAGAGTGCATGAAGCAATAAAGAAACAAACACCAAATTTCTAAATCAGAATTGACCAGCGTTGTTGGTGAAAGAATTGTTCATTGTTCAGCTTTAGATACTAGGGTAGAGTTGATGAGGCGACGGGATCGCTATACCAGAATCGCAAGAGTGCTGGGGGGTTGGCTCGGTTATGGCTTCGGCGCACGTCCGCTTGAAAGTACCTACGAATTCCAAGAATAATTACAGTGAGCCCTGATGGACACGCTGTTCAAGAGGGTTCAGGCTCGAGGAATAATGTATGATATCTTCCCTCATTTCCGAACAGTTCCCCCTTCTCCTCGTGGTTTCGGCCTGCGATCGCCAGAAAATAGCATTATTAATGTCAGAACATGGCCACTCCGCTATTTTCTCGCGGGGGCTATCTGAAAATAGCCCAAAAATAGGGCAGTGTTTTCTGATTACCGTCGCAACGACTCGAAGTCGTAGTAACATTTCGTACAGGCTGGCGTAGAGTGCTCCGGAGGGTATTTCAGATGGTTCACACTTCACAGCCAGGCCTTATAGCAAGCGAATCTGGACCCCTAACGCAAGACAGAAAGAGAGACGCCTTGGGTAGAAAGTAGTGTACTAGACCTCCTGATACTCGCTTGTTTAATTCCACCCTCAGCCGTGAGGCAGTACCGGAGTCGAGAATAATTCGTTACTCCGACTCGTCAGCAACACGGCCCATGCCCGAACGGTTGAATCCCATTTGCCTATGGTTGGCGCATCGACAATCGAAGGCGATCCCAGCACCTACGTCTGAGGTGCATCCCGCTCGCCGAAGGCCGCATGTTATGCGTTCTCGAATCCGTCCTCGCGCTGCAAAAGATGGGCCCTAAAACGATCTGGTGAGTCTGGGCGAGGATCGGAATGATTGGCCTGATTAGAATTGGATTGACACGCGGTGCAAAGTGGGAACCCCTCCGCCTTTGAGGTCTCGCCTTCTGACATCATCGTTCATTCAGTTCTGAGCGCGTCAATTCGTGGCAAAGACACGGGCTCTCTTTATCCGGCGCTCCGCCGTTCACTTGGTCGCGTTGATCATCGCTGCGAGGTAGGGCACAAGGCCAAAAATGCCAGGGCTTACTCCGTAGAGGCAATTTTCCGTCTCGAGTTTCAAAGCCACTTCGCGATTGCTGATGGTGTCCTTCGCGTCCCGGAGTTTACGTCAGAGCCCTAACCGTATCCGGAAAGGTCGCAAACTACCCTTAGGTACGGTTGCTGGAGACCTTCGTAGGGACGGACTCAACGCTATGGGGAAGCGTCATAGGGTTATGCTCTATCTACGCAGAAGTGTACACGAGTCAATATTTTTCATTTACATTGTTTAATAGAGCCACCAACGACCAAGATCTTCGCAGGGCAACTGAACCGAGCGCCTTGCCAAATTCCGTGCGAGTAATTAAACCACGATAGAAGGCGAAAGAGTAGGGAAAAAAAAAGCCCAAGGATGATGCAATGATCCAGGAATCATTAGAACTGAATGGTGCAAGATGCAGGCGAGAAATAGGATTAGACACGTAGACTGTAACCCCCGACTGATGTACCGCAACGCCAAAAAAAAACCACGGTCCTGCGCAGTGCTCATGCGGAACGTAAAAAAGTAAGGCAAGACTGTTCAAAAGCAATAGGAGTCAAGGAGACGGAGTAGATGGTATCAGTCTGCCTTGTCTTCCTTCATGTCTTTCGAATATCCCTTTTGTATATGCCTGGCCGCTCTTCCATCGGACTCCAACATGAAAAGGATATCTCGGACCTGTATCCCAGCTCCCTTCTCCTTATCCTCCCGCCAGGCCCCCAGCCGTTTTGTGGGAACCGTTGCAGGTTCTCCGGGACGTGCTGCCTTTTCTGTATTGGCGCTTGGTGTAGACGGGTTGATGCGCGATGGCGTGGAAAAGCCACTCCCAGCAGTAGGGCCACTTTTTAGCCACGAGTATTTCTTCTTTTTGCCAAACATGCCTCCCGACATCATAGTCTGAGTGGCCATGCGTGCCGTTTCAACAGACTGTTGGTGCTGCTGCGCTTCGTTTGCTTTTGCATCCTGTAACTTTCTAGCTTCCTTCTTGGTGAGTCCTCCTTTACCGATGGTGGGAGCCCTCTCGCCGATTGGAGTCGAAGCACCAGATCCGGGTACATCCATTGGATCAGGTCTGGGGGTTCCACCTTCTCCTAATATCGCACTAGCGGTGCGCTTTGCGCGTTTCGCTGCTCTTTTCTCCTCATAAGACGCATCCTTATCCACTAAGGACCGATATTTTTCTGCAAGTATTTGGGCTACTGGTTGCGAATCTGGGTGCGGCCCTATGTCACTGTCAGTAACTTTTGGTTTTCATGAGTGCGCGGGACTTTACTTTTGAGAGATGGCGTCTGAGGACCGGACGCCCCGCCGTTCACGTTATCACTTGTCGAAGCTAGGTCTTTCCACTCAACAGGAACCATTCCATGCGAATGAGCTCGCCTGCTTCTGGCAAGCGATGAAGAATAATCAACCACAGTCCGTAGTCGTTCCTCGCAAGATATCGAAAGAAGATTTAGAATATCCACAAGAGGCGCGCCTTCCTGGTTCAGAATGGTCTGGCCAGTACGCACAACTGATGAGCCATCTGGCCCAGTGACCTCAATAGGCTGCGGACGACCGGGTACTGGGTGAAACAAGCCCTCCGCGGGTATGCGAACTCCAAGGTCAAAGCCACGTCTCTGAAGCCTTTGTTCCAACACCTTCGTCAAGAGAAAGGGCTCTTGTAAGTGGTACTGCGCACGTCTAGCTGCTTCGGTATCTTCTCGAGTCGGCTCGTTGGGGTCGACGAAAGGGGCAAGAGGCTGGGTTGAGGCTTCGGTGTAGAAGGAATCTTGGGTACCGGGAGGTTTGTATTGTGAGGGTTCGGTGAAGCTTGTGGGCGCCGAGGCCGTTCCAGTAGTTGATGTTTGTGAGGCGAAAGATGTGTTTAGAGGAGGGGGTTGCGGTTGTTGTTGAGGGAGCGGCAACTGAGGTCGTGGTTGTTGTTGCGCCTGTACGCCGGGGCCAGAATAACTGCTGGTGAGAAATGCCTCTTCTTCCCTAACATCGATACCAGACGATGCCAGAACATCCGTCAGATCTGCTGCATCCGTAGGCTTGTCAACAGGTCGCGACGGAGGGCCCATGACGCCGGGTGGTGGGGGAGCTGGCGACTGGGCTATCCCGTTTGTGTTTGCCCCATTCACGGCAAATGCCTGGTTGTTGGGTAATTGCAAGGTCCCGAAACTTGGTGAGGCGTAAGGCGACTGAGCAGACTGAGGATGAGGGGAGAGGCGTTGTCGCTTGTTCGGTGGTGGAACACTGCCATTCATCGGCGAGGGGGCGGGAGAGGGAGAGGAACCCGGAGGGGAGAAAGACTGCTGAAACTGCTGTGTTTGCGCCATTTTGACTGCGGCCCCTAGCCGTGAGCAGATTCTTTGTTATTACGCGATGGTGTTCGATCAAGGTGTGCGCTGCTTCCGCGGACAGATTGGATGCTTTGCGCGTGAGTTGAACCGTGAAGCGGACTGCTGATAACCGCCGCCGCCGCCACCTGTAACCATCTCAAGACATCGGGTCCAAATTCCAGTCGCGATAGTCTGTCGGTACGAGCTGCCGAGCGAATAGATAACCTCTGACGCGGCGGAAATCTGGCGTTGGTCGGGATGCTGGCACGGACAGGGACGACGAGGTTTGCTTCCGCGACGAGCGGATCACGTGGCTTATGTAAGTGAAGCTCCTTTGAAGAAACCACCTCATGAATGCACTTCTCCTTGTCACTTGGTGACAAACAGCGAGACTCGACCAGTGAACTTCTACCGGCCGTATTCTTCGCTTGATATCAATTCTTTTGATTGCGCGGAAGTTCGTTTGTTTTGCAGCGCATCCATGGCTCGCAAACACAGCGCGAACTGAGACGCTTCATCGAGCTTCGTCTGGACATTGTCCTGTTATCTAGTTACTTTTTTTTGCCTCTCGTCGTCCTATACACTAGTTCACCTATACTTTTGTGCGTTAGTTGCTGGGCACGCGTGTTGGCATGGCGGCGAAGCGAAAAGCTGCGGCGATGAACGCCGTCGACGACGAGCCCGTTGACCCGTCGGACGAACTGGCGTTTTATTGCTTAGGTGGTGGTAATGAGGTTGGACGGTCGTGTCATATCATTCAATATAAGGGGAAGACTGTTATGGTGTGTATTCTGTCCGGCATACCCCTTAGCACTATCTAATCCGAGGCCAACAGCTCGATGCCGGCATGCACCCTGCGAAAGAAGGATTCTCGGCGCTTCCCTTTTTCGACGAATTCGACCTGAGCACGGTGGATATACTTTTGATCAGCCAGTACGTGGAAAACCCAGTCTCCTTGTTGCTCTCTTTCCTTCACATCGTGGGTGTGTCTGGATGCCATAGGGTTCTTCGACGCCTCGCGGGTGATGGCATGACAAAGCCACCGGATATCAATGGTGGAATAGCTCTTTTGGCAACCCGGCCCCTGCTTCTTCCATGTATACAAGAAACGCAATACAATTCAATATATCTTGTATTCGGTCACCATTCTCTGTATTCTGTATCATCCTTAGCGCGGGATTCATCCACCGGCCGTTCTTTCTCGACAGATAGACTAATAGGCGTTTGTCGCGTTACAGCTTCCACGTCGACCATTCATCCGCCCTTCCATATGTCCTCAGCAAAACGAACTTCAAAGGCCGTGTTTTCATGACGCATGCCACGAAGGCTATCTACAAATGGTTGATCCAGGATAATGTGCGAGTCAACAACACTGCCTCGTCATCGGACCAGCGGACTACTCTATATACGGAGCATGACCACCTGTCGACGCTGCCGTTGATCGAGACCATCGATTTCAACACGACTCACACCATAAACAGTATCCGCATCACCCCTTTCCCAGCGGGCCACGTGCTTGGAGCTGCTATGTTCCTGGTATCAATTGCGGGCTTGAACATTCTGTTTACAGGCGACTATTCTCGTGAGGAAGATCGTCATCTTATCCCTGCGACGGTGCCCCGAGGTGTGAAGATTGATGTCCTCATAACCGAATCAACGTTTGGAATCTCCTCCAACCCGCCTCGACTCGAACGTGAGGCTGCCCTCATGAAGTCCATAACGGGGGTACTTAATCGCGGTGGTCGAGTTCTGATGCCAGTTTTTGCGCTCGGTCGTGCGCAGGAGCTGCTACTTATTCTTGATGAATATTGGGAAACGCACCCCGAGCTGCAAAAGATCCCCATTTACTACATTGGTAATACAGCGCGAAGGTGCATGGTTGTCTACCAGACATACATCGGAGCGATGAACGATAATATCAAACGTCTCTTCCGCCAACGGATGGCCGAAGCTGAGGCTAGCGGCGATAAAAGTGTCAGCGCCGGCCCCTGGGACTTTAGGTTCGTCCGCAGTCTGCGCAGTCTCGAACGATTTGACGACGTTGGAGGTTGTGTCATGCTAGCATCGCCAGGTATGCTACAAACAGGTACGAGTCGAGAGCTTTTGGAGCGATGGGCGCCAAACGAGCGAAATGGCGTTGTCATGACGGGTTACAGCGTGGAGGGCACGATGGCCAAACAGCTGCTCAATGAACCAGACCAAATCCATGCCGTGATGTCACGGGCAGCCACTAGCATGGGTAGGACACGCATGAACGGCAACGACGAGGAGCAGAAGATCATGATCCCGCGTCGATGCACTGTCGATGAAGTATCGTTTGCGGCCCACGTTGACGGCGTCGAAAACCGGAACTTCATTGAAGAAGTATCCGCCCCTGTCGTAGTACGTATCGTCTTCCATCTTCCACGCCTCTGTCTCTGCGCTAACGTCCAATAGATCCTAGTCCACGGCGAAAAACACCAAATGATGCGTTTGAAGTCGAAACTCCTGAGTCTGAACGCTGACAAGACAGTCAAGGTCAAAGTCTACACGCCAGCTAACTGCGACGAAGTCCGAATTCCTTTCCGAAAGGACAAGATCGCCAAGGTCGTCGGAAAACTGGCGCAAACAGCACTACCTTCCGAGGACGCAGACGGAGACGGACCGCTTATGGCAGGTGTCCTCGTCCAGAATGGCTTCGACCTGTCGCTCATGGCTCCGGATGATCTCCGCGAGTACGCGGGTCTGGAGACTACCACAATAACCTGCAAGCAGCATATCACTCTCAGCTCCGCTAGCATGGATCTGATCAAATGGGCACTGGAGGGTACATTCGGAGCCATTGAGGAGATCGGCAGCGATCAAGACGCGAAGAAGGAAGATCAAGAAGAACAAGATATGAAAGAGGATGTTGATGAGGAGATCCCCATGGAGAAGCCCCAAACATACCTCGTCATGGGCTGCGTTGTAATCAGATACCACCCTCGCACCCGCGAGGTCGAGCTCCAATGGGAAGGAAACATGATGAACGACGGCGTCGCCGACGCAGTCATGGCCGTTCTCCTTACCGTTGAAAGCAGCCCAGCATCCGTGAAACGTACGTTCCCATCTGAAATATCAGTGCATTGTACCCTGCTAACGTACCTCTCCCAGAATCCGCCAAGCACAACAAACACCACCACCACCACCACCATCACGACGACACCGACACCGACACCGACACCGACACCCTCGACACCCTCAACCTCCTCAACCCGCACGCCGCGCAAGACGCAGAAGAACGCTTCGCGCGCCTCCTAATGATGCTCGAAGCCCAATTCGGCTCGGACATTGCCCCCATCGAGCGTCCCCGCCTCCCATCCACAAACGCAATTGCAAACGACGACTCAACTCCAGCGAAATCCGACTCCGAGCAGTCCGAGGAATCGAAAGCCACAGACCCAGGCACCCTATCCAAATTCGAGCTCGCAGAGCTCGCCCGTCTCCAAGCCCTGGGCATCCCGGTCCCGGGTATCGAGATCAAGGTCGATAAGCATGTTGCGCGGGTCTGGCTGGAGGACTTGGAGGTTGAGTGTGCGAATGCGGTGCTGAGGGATCGCGTGCGGGTTGTCATTGAGCGCGCTGTTGAGACGGTCGCGAGTATGTGGTCTGTTGGAAAGGCGGCTTCAAAGGCTGTTGCGAATGGGAATGGGGGAGCAAAGGGGATTGCCGGTGCGGATGAGGGTGTGTCGAAGCCGGGTTTGGAGGTTGAAGCGAAGGCTTAGGTCTCTTATTTGCCTTATGCATGCTATGTATCTGTAATATACGGTTTTTATTGAATTCTATCCATCATGAAGTCACCGTCATCTTCGAAAGAATCCCAACCCTAATCAGTAACCAAATTCAACGCAACCCCCCGGAGCCCTAAACCTGAGCAAAGACCTCGCCAAGGACCTTTGCGGTCGTGTCGACGATAATGTCAATCTCCTCCTTCGTAGTATTATAAGCTGGGGAAATGATAACGTGGTCGCCGCGAATGCCATCGACTGTCCCCGTGCAACCATACAGCGAGATGCCGAACTCAGATTTCAACCCTGTCTCCTGGATCTTAAACGCCAGCGCGGTCTTCGGGTCAAAGGGTTCTTTCGTCTCTTTGTCTTTGACAAACTCGATCTGCCATTGAAAGATAGTCAGTATCTATACTCCGCGTGCATACTCCAGGTGAGGATTCTATGGATGAATAGACAACTTACCCCCCAAAACAAGCCTTTCCCCCGAATATCCCCAACATACTTCATTCCCCCAAGAGCCCCCCGCAACCTCTCCTCCAAATACTTCCCCATAACCCTCACATTCTCCAACAGGTTCTCCTCCGCAATAACCCTCTGCACCGCCAACGCAGCCGCACAGGAAACCGGATGCCCCTGGTACGTCTGGCCATGCCGAAACGCACCCGTGCCCTTGTCAATAACCTGTACAACCTTATCTGAGATCAGGAGGCCCGAAACAGGCGCGTATCCGCCGCCCAGCGCCTTCCCGATGGTCTGGAGGTCGGGCACGACGCCTTCTTGTTCCCAGGCGTGGAGCGTACCGCAGCGGCCCATGCCGCTCATGACCTCGTCAAGGATGAAGAGGGCGCCGTGCTTCGCGCAGACGGATTTCATGGCGGCGAAGTAGCCTGGTACGGCGGGGACGCAGCCTAGGGCCTTTTAAGTGCGTATCAGTATCACCGCCACACACGCTATTAAGACAGTATAGAGGGAAAGAAAGGGCAAGAGAACGTACCGCTCCAACAACAGGCTCCGCGATAAATGCGCAGACGGTAGCCGGACCGACTCGCTGGAATTCAGCATCCAGCTCGTCCGCAAGTCGGGCGACGTAATCCGCGTCTGACTCGCCGTCTTTCTTGCCTCGGTAGGCGTAGCATGGTGAGACGTGGGAAGTGTTTTGGGATAGTATAGGCTCAAAGGGCTGGCGGCGGAGGACGTGGCCTCCAGCTGCTAGGGCGCCTAGTGTGGTGCCGTGGTATGAGGGTTTGCGGGCGATGAAGCGTGTTCGTTGCGGTTGGGGAGTTGGGAGTTCGAGGAAGTACTGGCGGGCGAGCTTGAGTGCTGCTTCAACGGCTTCAGAGCCTAGAGAAATGAGTTAAAGACGACCAGGATAGACCAGAAGTAAGAAAAATATAAGGAAATGACATACCAGAGCTGACGACAAACAGCTTGGACAACTTCCCGCCAGTCGAGTCGACAAGCAAACGGGCGAGCTCTTCGGAAGCCTCTGTCCCGAAGAACGCAGTGTGGCAGTACTCGACTTTCTTGAACTGCTCCATGATTGCTTGAGCGACTTGCTCGTGGCCATGGCCCAAACAGGAAACAGCTGCGCCGCCTGTGGAGTCGAGGAACTTGGTGCCGTCTTCGAGGAGGAGGTAGCTGCCTTTGCCGCCTACAGCCTTTTTTGGAACGAAGCGGGTGTCTCGATGGAGGACGGCGCTTGTCATGGTAGGGGCTACTGATTGTCAGTCATTGAGAGCTTGGTGGAGTATAGATTGTTTGTTTGTACCTGTATTTGCTTTTGCTTCAAAGCTCATTTTCTGGAATTGGTGGAAAATCCGTTATAAGACGAGTCCGATAGAGAGTTGCTTTGGCTTTTAGTTTCTGCTCCGTTGGCAGTTGGAGAAGCAGGCCTTTATAGCCAGGTTGGAGGCTACAGCACTAACTGCGATCTAATGCTATCTAAAGCCGGGGAGAACTGTAGAGAACCCGAGGCTCTGGTTGGCTGACCCCGCCGTAAGCACGGGCCAATCAGGTTGCCCCACTCAAGTATACCACTGCTGCTGTAATATGAGAGGCGAAGGGGGTAGGAATGCTTATCTAATGCCAGTCGGATGATCGTGTATAAAGTTGAAACAATCATTATAATATTATCACGGGCCATGGTTTTAAAACGGCGGTAAGATTACCGTAAGTTAAAAGCTTAATTGACGAGGAACGCAGGAAAATACATCCGCGTGGCGGCTTATTGGATTAACGCCTCATGCAACATCCAGCTATCGCTAAATAAACGCCAATCAGCCGTTGTATAAAGACCTTCTTTGCCCGTATGGAACACAAAGGGTCATCCCAGCATGGAAAGATGGAGCCCATGCGGTGTCAGAAGTGCTGGCAGCTGACCGTTTGAGTGACTCGAAATCCAAAGAAACTGACGATTCTACAAACCAACCATGCCCGTGGCCGTCAAAGGGGGAACAAAGAGGTTAGCTTGTTTCATGCTTGCCAGTCTGTCCCTGTAAAAGCCCTGTGATTCGTACGTAATATTGAGTCGAGAGCCATGCGCAACTCAATTGCGAGTCGAATCCCTGCTTATTTCTGTCTCTCAGTACTCGATTCGAGGCAATAATCAACGCCGAAGCCCGAGGCCCGAACCTTGAGAAGAAAGCACAACTAATGTAGGCGCTATGATGCACATCACGTTGTACTCTGCCCCTTTTGACAGATGCGTTCCCCACTGTCGCTGACAAACGTCTTTCGTGCTCTCATGGAACGCCTGCTAAGATACCGTCAGCAGAGACCAAAGATATAAAGCGAAGCGGGGTCTGGCAGATATCCATACTTTCCAGCACAATCACTTACGAAGCATCTCATCCAATCCCATCCAACCCCAACATGAGCCCCAGAAAGGTCATCGTCTTTGGCGCAACAGGGGCCGTAGGTTCTGCTGCCGCTCGCACCGCTCACTCTCACGGTGCCAAAGTCTTTCTTGCTTTGCGCAACATCTCGAAACCGGTCCCCGGCTTGAGCGCCACCGAAGAGCAAAATGCCGGATATGAAAGAGTCCAAGCCGACCTCACCCAGCCAGATACTGTCCACGATGCGGTATCCAAGACTGGTGCTACCCATGCCTTCATTTACGCGGCCATGGGGGCCTCGTCCGACCATCTATTCTCCACGGCCGAAGCACTCAAAACGGCAGGGATCGAAAGCATCGTCATGCTGAGCAGCATTGGTGTGCAAGGCGATCTTCGTGCGATCCAACCAGATAACTTCAGCGGATACGCCCATGCTCAAGTCGAGCTTTCGCTAGAAAGTGTTTTCGGGTCGCAGGGATACGTTGCAGTTCGGCCTGCATTTTTCGCAAACAACTCGCTCTGGTGGCAGAGGCAGATTGTCGAGGATGGTGAAGTAAAATGGGCGTTCCCGGACAGCAAATTTGACTATATCTCGCCGGAAGATATTGGTGCAGTCTGCGGGACAATCCTCGCGGGAGCTTACGAAGGCGGGCACGAATCTCCAGTCTGTTTGTTTGGACCAGAGATAGGCCTGTCCGTCGTCGATGCCATTGAGGTTATCGGACGCGTCATCAACAAACCGGTGAAGTTCACAAAGGTCAGCCCGGATGAACAAATCCAAGTGTTGGTTGAAAGGTCCGGGATGCCTGAGTTTATCGCCCGGATCGTGACAGGACAATTCGCAAGGGACAGTGAGAACAAGGGAGAAGGGGTTGGTGAAATAACTCCAGAGATCAGAGGGAATGTTGAGAGGTATCTCAAGCGACCAGCGATGCGCTTTTCCGAATGGGTGGAGCTAAACAAGGACAAGTTTGGCGCCTGAGCTATGTTGCACTTCTATCTGTGTCTGATGAGATGCTCATCCATAGTCAACCTATTTCCTCATTGTCAAAAAAGATTGATTAGTCGCGTGGGAATAGCATTGTCTGTGCAAATGACTTGGCAGTAGAACTTGTAAGTTGTAGGCTTGTAGCTATAGAAAGCACGCTAAGCCCAATTAGTCTCCCGGCCGGTTAAAGGCCGGGGGTTCTATCTCATCGCGCCATCGCGGGTACTATATTGCTCATCAGCAACACCCACGCTGGAGGGTCTTTCGAATCAGATCGCTTCAATTTATTGGCTTCAATGCTGAACGGGTCCTGCTGTTATGGGAGACTGAAAGATCGACTCGTGCTAAGGACCTGTTGTGATCCAGGCCCCCACGAGATTGGGCCTTTGCGATTCGCAGCCGTCATCACCATCATCGCGTGAACAGTATCCAGGATGATGTGCTTTCCGCCATGTGCGGTGCGCCATGCACGACGCACCGTTGACAGCTTTAAATGCCCTATCGGCCTCGAATGCGCCATGAACCGTGGTCGAGTGACGATAGCTTTTCATCTCACCCGGTCTTCCACATTACTCCTGGGGGAGAACCACGCTGCCCAGGTGTTCGCGCATATTACTCTTCTGTCTAGCGTGCCCTTAGCGAACAATGGCGGACCTGAAGGAAGCAAAGGGTTCCGACTTGGGCCCTGATCGGGAAAAGTTCGACAGCTCTCCGGCAGAGAGCCAGGTCGCAGACGACTTCGCCGACATCAGCGAGAAATCGCTTCTTCGAAAGCTGGATTATAAACTCCTTCCGCCTCTGACGATATTGTATCTTCTGTCGTTCCTTGACCGGAGTAATGGTATGAATTGGAAATCTTGCTGGACAGATACCTGTGCTAATCTAGGCTGTTCACAGTTGGCAATGCTCGTCTAGAAGGCTTAGCTGATGATGTTAACATGAGTACGAATGGCCATTTCAATCTAATGTCGAGCGAAGATACTGATGCATATTCCCACAGCTGGGAACATGTACCTCACTGGGTTGACTCTATACTTCATCGGTTATGTCGTGTTTGAAGTCCCCTGCAACATTATCCTCAAGAAAACGACTCCGCGGATATGGCTCCCGACGCTCACTTTGGTTTGGGGTATCGTGGCTACACTTCTTGGTACAGTGCAGAACTATGCCGGCTATCTTACCTCGCGAACTGGTATGCCCTAGTATGGTTAGGTTGACGGACATCGCTAACATTTCTGTGATAAAGCGCTTGGTATCGCCGAAAGTGGTCTATTCCCCGGAGTCGTCTTCTATCTGTCCATGTGGTACAAGCGTAACGAACAGCACTACCGCGTGGCATTGTTCTTTAGTGCTGCGTCCCTTGCAGGTGCTTTTGGTGGAATTCTTGCATGGGTTTGTACTCCAGATCTACTCTGCCTGGCGCAACATATTGATTTTCTTTCAGGGAATTGCGCATATGGACGGTGTCGGAGGTTACGCGGGTTGGCGGTGGATCTTTATCCTGGTATGCAGCAAATGGCACATCAGACGGATAGCAGTATACTAACTGGGCGCAGGAAGGATTGCTCACGGTAGTGATGTCCGTTATTGCGTACCTATGGGTCTATAATTACCCAGCTACCGCGGAGTTCTTGTCGGAGAAGGAACGCAGCTTCATCATCTTCCGCCTAAAGAACGATAGCGATGCTACGCGCGAGGAGAAATTCTCATGGGCGGCTGTTATGGATGCCGTCAAGGACCCCAAAGTCTGGCTATATGGACTCGGCTTCCACTCAATGTCCCTTCCCTTATATACCTTGTCCTTATTCCTGGTAGGCCTCCCTTATGTCCGGTTTTCAGCCTGCGTTGCTAAACTTAAATAAGCCTACCATTATCAAGGAACTCGGCTACAGCGCAGCCAAGGCTCAGCTTCTCACTGTGCCTCCTTATGCTTTGGGGTTCGTGACGACGATTACTGTGGCTATCCTGTCTGAGCGCACCAAGCGACGGGCTCCATATATCATGGGCTCGTCAGCGTTTGCTTGCATTGGTTACATCATTCTCCTCGCCGGTCGAAAGCCAGGTGTTTCATATACCGGGACATTCTTTTGCTGTGCAGGCATATATCCTGCCGTGGCAATCGTCCTATCTTGGCCGGCCAACAATGTCTCTGGCCAGACAAAGCGAGCCATTGCCAACGCTATGCAAATTTCTATTGGTAACCTCGGAGCTGTCATTGGAACACAGCTATACCGAACGGAAACGAGCCCCCGATACTACCTGGGGCATGGATTCTCGTTAGGGTATCTCGTGGCAAATATCATCGTGGTATACATTTTGTGGCAGGTCCTCAACCGCGAGAACGCCAAGAAGGCTGAGATTAGAGAACGTGAAGGTCTTCAAGCGCTAATGGGTGACATTGGTGATGCGGAGGGCGAGTTCCAAGGTGACAAGGATCCTCGATGGATCTTTCAGACATGAAACAGCCTTGGGTCTTTTATTTTATGGGTGAATGTGTTGAACCTTGGAATGCTAAGTGGGGTTATGGTTGCGGATTTGACCTCCGCAGAAAGACATGTCTGATGATGAGCAATAAATATTCTCTTTGATCAAATCTATCAGTCACCCTATGAATAGTACAGGATTCTTAGTCACTGGCCTTCTTTATACTCAAAAATAAAGTTGAGAAAGAATTGTTGGTGAAAGAACCCTTGAGGCATTCACTTCGAGTTTCAGGCAACCATTCCGAAAAAGGAAAGGCCGGGATTGAGTCCTTCGTCTTATAAAGTGTCAGAAGTAACTCGTCTTTCATCCCAACACCATCTGAGCCAACTCCCAGGAACATGGAATCTTCCAACGGCAATATGGAACCTGTAACGTCGGGCTTACAGACGGCAATCTCAGGGAATGCTGAATCCAACTACATTCGAAATCATCAGTACACGAAGAAAGTCGCACCCAATTACTACCCCGACATCCATTACAGTGGCCTTTCCCAAGTCGCCCCAGAGCCTGTTGGGTCCGGAACACATCCCTTTCGAGAAGGCGAATTCGTCAGTCCAGGGTTTTTCCAGCAGGTCGATCCCAGCATCTTCACACTACCACAAGCAGAGGCCGAGTGGTCGTATAACATGCGCCGCACTGCACAACGGATATTACCATTTCTCTACCTAGGACCATGGAGCTTCCTATCGGAAAAGCAGTGGCTCCGAGACGAAGGCATTACGTTGCTCCTGGGTGTACGCGATAAACGATTCGCACAGTCGCGACTTTTCTCGGGCCAGAAAGCCGCTGCGGATGTGGGGATTGAAGCGGACTCTTTAGACGTCGCTGATGGGCAAGATCTCATCGCCAGGCTTCCGCAGGCAATACGGCGCATCAACGACCATATCTATCCCACAGCGGACTTCGTGCCCGGCGCGCCAAATCCGAAAAAAGTCCTTGTGTTCTGCGAGACTGGAAACGGGCTGTCCGCGCTGGTCGTAGTGGCCTACTGCATGGTGATGCTTAATATGTCGCTCGGCCAGGCGATGAACTTTATTCACTCTCAGCGGTTCTGCATCGATTTCGAGGACGGTCTGAAGCCGATGCTGCTGGCGTTCGAGGGGCTCTTGGAGGCGAAGCGGGACGTTGAAAATGCGAACAGATCTGTCGGTGCGAACTCGTTTCTGGCCGCTCCGGTGGTGACGCTCTCGAAGAAGCGGAGCTTTGCCGATCAGGAGGAGGACGAAGTGATGGATTTTGATGGCGAGGAAATGGAGAGGAAACCTACGGCACCATTTCAGGATCGCTGGGAATAGCTGCGCTACGAATTTGATTTCTTCGCCTGAGGAGATACCCCGATCTCGGTGATGCTTTACGGCCTTTCGTTTCTCTGTATCTTTTATTCTCTTTAGCCATATAACCAATGCATGTGTTGGCCGGGCGCCAGGAATTGGCCGCGAAAGGAATATTCTAATTGGGACTTTAGTGAATAGTAGCAGTGAAATTAGGAAGAGGAGGCAACGCTCCCACCATGCCGGGGCAGGTAGTCAGTCCTTCACACAACAAGTGAATTCTGGTATAACACCTCCTGAGCTCCCGCTACTTCCTTATTTTCCTTCTTCTTCTTCATAGCCATGGACCAAAGCTTCGGTTCTGCACAACTCCTTGCTACCTACACTCTATATCTTGCTACTCTTTCGCTTAAGCATCGATGGTAACAGCAACAACTCCTAGATCTCTATCTATACCACATAACACTCATTCACTACATTCGTTTGTCATCATCATCAACAGCCACTCCTTATCTTCTCGTCTCTCACTTTTACCATATCATCGCCTTACGCCCTCTCAAGCGGGCAAGAAGCGCAACCAGCGAGCCTCAACACAATGCACATGAACCTCCGAAAGACCATCCGCCTGCCTCAGCGCTTCAGCCCAGACCATCTGTATGGCCCCAGGTCTCGGAAACTACGCGGCGATGACACAGAAAGGCCGCCGTTAGTTGAATACAACCCGAACCTACCCCCCGCCGCATTCCCGACGCTCGATACGCCACGGACTTCTAGACAGGACCACAACACTCAGCAGGAAGGCAGCGACGAGGACAGGCACAATGGACCCATTCGAAGGAACATCAGGAGGAGCCTGGACGACCTCTGCAGACTGACGAACCCCGAAAGCGAGCGAGATACGTCCCCGAATGCCCATGTGGAAGATATACCGCCGGACCAGCTTGACAACCACATGGCAAGCAATGGGGACCTCAATCCCGTCTGGGTGAGCAACATGGCGAGCATGGCCGCTGCGGATCAGGATGCTGCTGGTGGTATGGACATGGAGGATACTGATCTGGAGAGTATGGTGACCGGCAAAACTCAGGTGAGTGGACTGCCTGATCCCGCGCAACTTCTGACCAGGCATTCTACCGGTATAGAAAGCGTCCACTAACACATCTATTCCAGACTCCTCCAACAGCACTTCTAGATCCCATCTGGTCCGACCTCTCATACCGAATGAAAGCCGAGATATTTCAGAACCTCTTAGAGCGCTTCAGCTACCCTGCCGTGTGCCGTATGCTCGGCCTGACAACCGCCGAGCGCGATGCCATCGAAGATACTTTGAGCGACCGCCGGAGCCAAGAAGAGTCGGAAAACAAGCATCTGGATGCAATGCGGGAAAAGCAACTAAATGACCTAGCGAGGATAGACAACAGTTTCAGGAACCAAAGCCGATCTTATCAGCTTGCCTTCCGGAAGGTTTCTCGTCAGACGTTCCGCGGGTTGAGAGAATACATCGAGCCGGAGGTAGACTTCTTTGCCTGCGGACGGGCCGAGCTCAAGATCGCGCAGACTTTCCTGCGCAAACGAGGAATCGAGGCCAAGTTTGCGGGGACTTGGGGGAACGACATTGCCTTTATTCGGACTCTAGAGACCGAGACGCCTTTTGGAATGTTTGGCTTGGATGGAGCTCCCGGTCCTAATATCGTTCCCTTCGAGTCCAACGAAGCGCAACCTTCAACGTCCCCCACAACTCCTAACTCACAACCAGAAACACCCCATGCCTTCAAGGATGCATACTCAAACTGGCTCGGAGACTCACCGACTAGCGACTCACCTCGACCCATCCGCCACAACCGCGACTCCGTCACGGCTAGGAGATGGCTCGAACAGTACAACGAAACAGTCGATAAGGAAATGCATCACGGCGCGGAATCACGAAGACAGCTACCTGAAAACTCTGTGCGTCAAGACCGGCAATCGCTTTTGCCTGGGAGCTCGTCTGCTAGGATGTCGAACCCGCGCGACGGCCACCCAGGAGAACTAGCCCTAAATAGCAGGCTGCAGCACCAACAACAGCGGCCGCAGCAGAACAACCAGATCAACAGTCCACAGAGACCAGATCCAGGTCTTCAAGTCCCAGCAGCCCCAATACCTGCAACGAATGACCAAGATACGCATAGCTCGCGCCTCTTTCATACCCCGCGATTAGACGGCGATCTGGAGATGCATGAGTATCATGATCCTGATGAGACCGAGGATGAGTTTATGCATTGGGACGAAATGACGATTTTCCCGAACTGAATGTACTCTAGCTCTAGAATCTATGAGAGAATCGACAGTTAAGTTTAACAATTTCATTCAGCTATCCGAGTAGCTATTCAAGCGATGCTATACTAAACCATGCTCTCGTAGGGTATACAGTGATGCAAAAGCAACAACAAAAAACAGTAACAGCAGAATAAGGTATATACAGCATCGAAACCCAAAACAGGACCGCGTCCGAGAAAAAGCAACAAACTCCTTTTGCAGATCACCAAAAAGCAAACCATGTCCAAAAAGCCGCGAACCACGAAACTCCTTTTTGTTGCAGACCACCCAAAAACCGATCAGATCATACAATGTCCAAAACTCCTTTCCATCGTTCCCTCACTGCGCTGCCTGCTTCGTCTGGTAGTAGAACAGAAGACCGTCGACACCCTTGTTCTTCGATCCCACAATCTCCCAGAATCGCTCGTCGTCCACCATCTCACGCAGGGTGATGCAAAGCGCAAAGATCCTCCGCTTAACGGCCACGGCCGGAAGCGTCATCACACTCCTTACAAACTCTCCAAGACGCTCCATCTGATCACTTGGAAGCTCCTTCAACTGCTCGTTCATGCTAGCCAGACCTTGCGTGATGACATCCAAGCTCTTTCGAAGCATCCTGTGCTCGGTCGCGCCAGCCTCGCTCCGGACAATGGGCAGAAGGTGGGTAACAACGCCATCGATGATCCCATACTGCGCCTTCGAAGCCTCAACCACGTCATCGATAAAGTTCTCAATGGCCTTGACTAAGTGACCTCCCGTGTCCGCCGATCTCTCCGCATCCAACAACGCCGTAACAGTGCGAGGGTAGTACGGCGCAAAAAACTGCCTGAAGTTCTCAAACATGCACTTCACAGTATACAGGACCTGAGTCTTGTGGTCCGCCACCGTTCCGAAAGACAGCACAGTCTTGCTCGGTGGTGCCTGGGCCGCCAACTCATCAAGCAATCCGATCAACAGCACAGCGAATTGCTCCTCGTCATCAAACAGCTTGGGGTGGTATTGGATCAAGCCTTGCAGCTTTCGGAATCCGTCTGTGGCCATGGTCCTCGCCTGAATTCGCTCAATCCCCTTCAAAAGTATCTCGTGGGCATTGGTGGCGTTCTGCGACCAAAGAGTCACGTTCCGCTTTGGCAAAGGGGTTTTCGATACGGCCGTCGAATCAACATAGTCGCGCTCGGGGCTGGGGGTCCGCGACAGGCGCTCCTTGGCTTCCGGCTTCGGCCATGGTGCGGACGCGATTATCTCCTCGGAAATCGACACCTTCCTTGGCTTTACATCAACCACGTTCTGATTAGTGAACTCCTTCTCGTGCGCGAGCCTGCCCCATGAGGCCATGACCCGATGCGCGTCGGCCGAGCTCTCGGTGACATGTCCGGCCATGTCCGCCTTCTCCACTTTCTCTGCCTGCTGTCCCTCGCTTGTACTGGGACGTTTTCTGGGAACGACCAGGGTCCCGAACGGACGGTCGTCGTTGTCTGCGTTGCCGATTGCGGGCACAGGGGCTACCCACTTGCTCTTTGCCGGACTGGCATCCTGCAGTGGGTCACTCTTCTGCCTTCGGCGAGTTAACGGTGTAGAAAGTTCCGGTCCAGGTCCAGGAATCCGACACTGGTGCTTTCGTGGGCTCTCATTCTCCTTCTTCTGAAATCCGGCCGCGGTCGCTGGGCGCGGGGGCTTGGGCCGCATGGGCGCTGCCGACAAGGTTGAAACAGGCTTTTTCGGCACAGGTCTCTTCGCGGGCGCGCGCGCTGGCGTGGTCGCGGCAGTAGTCGCGGCAGTGGTCGAAACGAATGGATCAGACAAGGCGCCAGAATCATCCTTGGTGTTCTGGGACATGTCCTTTTCAATCAATTGTTGGGTTTTCGGTGGCAGTGCATTCAGCACCTTTTTGGCTTGCATCGGGAAAACGCCAGAGAAGCGGACAAAGGTGTGGCGGTACGCCTTTCGAATGTCTTCTTTGGAATCCTCAATGCCGCCCTGGATACATGACGCGATCTGGGTCACTCCTTCAGAGTGAGTCTTGTGGCGAGACTGGCCATCGATGATGATTCCAAGCCAGTTCGCGGAATAGATGCGCAAACTCTGGTTCTTCTCCTTCGCGGCGCTCAAGATGTAGCCTAGCACGCGCTGATTGCACGTCACGTTCTCGAGGATAGCGATGATAGTCATGTTGCTGTTTTGCGAAGTGATGCCCTTCGCGTTCGAAGCAAGCTTCAGCACATTCTGCAAAATGATGTGAATCAGCGGGTCGAGTTTTGTCTTGTTGACGCGGGCAAGCGACTGGACCGTTCGAAGGCCAGCGGTTTGCAAAGTCGTCCGACCGGAATGGGCCGTGATAAAAATAAAGGTGAGGGTCTCCTTGACGAAGCCAAAGTAGAACTTAGGCCACTTCTGTGGCGCGTTTCCGTGAGTGATTCGGCGGATCAAGATGGTGTACTCTTCACGCCTCGAAAAGTTCATCTCCGTCTCTTTGCCCTCGAAAAAAGGAGCCATGGTAAGCTGCAACCGTTCAAGGTCCTGGGCAGAGCCGAGATCGTAAGGCTGAACATCGAGAGGCTCAGCGTCGCGACCGGATTGTTTGGGAGCACGTCCCGGAGTTGCAGGCACAACCTGCCTGTCGACCGAAGACGCTTTCTTTGCGTTGGCTTTCGTGGTGTTAACCGGCTTCGGGGTTGGACGCACGGTAACAGGCTTGCCTAGTCGATTGTCAGATTCCGGAAGACCATGAAGTTGGAGTAGAGGAGCAAGCTTACCCTTGACCGATTCTTCGGTATGATAGTCGGTAGCGGTAATAGATTCCGCGAAGACGGTTTCATGATCAGTGGCGGTAATCATGTCGCTAGTAACAGGAGAGGTTCGAACAGGCTGCGGATGATACAGAACAGGAGCGTCATCGTCGGCCGGAGTAGCATCACGATGAGCGACAGCCGTGCCAGAACGTTCGACGAGTGTGTCAGCTCGTGAAGGCGCACGAGAGATCTCAGCTCGTGAAGCAGCCCGTGAAACGGCGGCTCGTGAAGGAGCACGCATGCCAGCCCGCGATGCTGCGCGGGAAGCAGTAGCAGCTCGGGAGGGTGCTCTCGGCTGCATTGAGAATGGACGAGAAGACTGGTTTTCGTCGTAATGGTCGGGATCAAGCCCGATACCAGCAAGGATCTCCCTCGCATATGACTGTCTAACCTTGTGCTCTTCAAGTGCCAACTTCAGCTCGTGCTTGATGTCGTCACGCTCGCCGCTATGCGGGATTAGTCGCCGGGCAAATAACAAACGACCGATGAAAGGCTTACCTGAACATCTGTACGAGTAGCTGTCGCGCATTTTGGCGGACAGAGGGATCAGCGTCCTCGACGCATCCGATGATATGTGGAGTGTAACCTTTAGCCATAAGGTCTGCATGCATGGCAGCATTCTCCGCTTTCTGGACGGTAACGTCCGCATGGGTGAGTGTCTGCAGTGGACAGTCAGATCATGGTCAAGAGGCGGATCGAAGGCAACTTACGAGCGAGATCAAATTGAGACAAGAAAGTTTTTGGTAGGGATTCTTTCCCTGGAGGCCAATGCCGATGACAAGACTCTCGATTTGCGGGCCGGCGCCTTCCCACATGTCGGCCAAGGCATGGGTAGTCTGGTACCTGATGCGGTCCTTGTTATCACCCATGCGGTCCATGAGAGTGGCGAGAAGCCGTTCGGAGTAGGCGGCGACGAGTCGGTGGAGTCCTTGAATATACATGCGTTTCATGAAATGGCCGAGAGTCGAGAATCCCGCCGAGTAGAGGGCGTGGAAAGGTGAGGCTATTGCATGTCGCAAGCACTCAAAGATCAAAGGCACTGCTTTCTCCGAAACATTCTTCTGCTTGATGTCGGACTTCAAAGCAAGTAGACGGGTCGCCTTGGCGTCGACCGACAGCTTGCTGTCCTTCAGCGCCTCGAGTATGTCCCTCACCTTCTGATCCATCCTGGCTACAATAGGCTTGAGGAGGTGTAGCGCGAATGCGAGGAGGTAAAAGGAGACGATGAAGTACACGCCGTAGCGTGCGACGAGGAAGGAGAGGTTGAAGAGAAAGACCCAGACGTCTTGGAGTGCAATGAGGATGAGGATAAGAAAGACAGTAACTGCCAGCTGAGGATTAGCTTGATACATGGTTAAGATTCGTTTTGGAACGTTAAACATGTGAGAAGATTTGGGATGCGGATTGTTGGAGAGGGAAGAGGAGAGAGGGAATGCGGACGAGAGAGCTGATGCTGATATACTTACTGTAAACAGATAATTGCGGCAGTCGCAACTCAGTCTTCCATGGAGAGTTGTAGCAGGTGCGCAGACAAGGAGAAGGAAGGCGTGAGGTCGTTGGCGGGCAAAAGATGAGGATGAGGGAAGGAACACGGAGGGGATGGTGGGCGATCCGATAAGGGACACAGACGAGACGATAAGCGCAAAGGGACACTCCGCCGCAGACCAGATGAAAGTAATTAGGACAGAATAAAGTGAGAGCGAGGGAAAGCGAGGGAAAGAATTGGAGAGGATAGGGACGGTGGTGATGTTGAGAAGGTGGTTGTTGACAGTTGATGTTGTCGCATCGACACTTTTTCGGGCTAACGTTGTTTACCCGCAATGCACATTGGCCACAGCTCCGGGCCCACTTCAGCCTAACGCTTAGATCAGTGTCGTACAGTTACTTTGTAGATGGATATTCTTTGGATGGAAATCGAACGACTTCATTTGAGTCTTGCCTGTGCAGTTAGATATTGTTCTAGTACTTGCGTATCTGCTGGGCTATTGTTTGACCGGCGACCTGCCCCTGGATTCCGACACAAGGATGGGCAGTACCTAAAGTATATATTGGTCCCTGAAGGGAAACGCCCAAGCCTCAGACAAGTTCAATGCCCAATAATCGTCAGCAGTAAATTGTTACTAGCATTGTAAACCAGCCATCTAGATACAGTAAACCCCGATACTTCGAAGCCCGCAAACCATGACACCTGGGCGGCTGTGTCGTCAGGCACGCCATTCCTCAAACCTACAGTAGTCGGCTGCGGGTTGCGCCGGCTCGCTGCATCCCCGCTCCTACATCCAAGACTCCTCCATCATTGATTTGGAAGTATCTCATAGCTTCGCAGTATACAGACAGCTTCCACAAGTGAGCTTCCACAAGTGACATGGCTACACCTTCCGCAATCCCAATCATTACCGGTCCCCGCGACGCCTCCGAAGAACCACCTTCGGCCGCCGACTCGACTGCACCCTCGCATAAGCTCCCCGCACCCAAGTTCCAGCTTCAAATCCACGATCTCCGCCATCCTGCATCTCAGTTCTTCCTCACCACCATCCCCGATCTCGCATCCACGCTCGAAACCGCCCTCTGCGCCATCATCCAGAATCTCTACACCCCTCCCACGCCAGAAACCGTCGCCGGCGCCGGAACCCCCGCAGCGAGCGGCAAGAAACGAAAGCACCCACCAACGTTCAAGCCCTCCATCCCACCAACCCGCTCAGTCACAGTCCTCCTGCGCGACATTGGCGGCGTCGCATACACAACGGGCAAGGACCTCGACAACGACCACAAGGAAATCCACATCTCCCTCGCGTATATCCAGCACTGCCGCACCAAAGCCGATCCCCTCGCCGAGATAGTCGGCGTGCTTACTCACGAGCTCGTCCACTGCTACCAGTACGCTGCGCCGCGTGCTACCGTTGACGGCAAGCCCGATGACTCTACACCCCGTGCGCCGGGCGGCTTGGTCGAGGGCGTTGCGGACTTCGTGCGCCTCAAGGCTGGGTTGAGCCCGCCGCATTGGACTCGGCCGACCTCTGCCAAGGAGAGACCGGAGAAATGGGACTCGGGCTACCAACATACGGCGTACTTCTTGGCGTGGTTGGAGGATGTCCGGGTTGGTAGGGGAGCAATAGGCTTGTTGAACGATCGGCTTTGTCGTGTTGGATATGTCGGAAAAGGTAAGTCGAAGGAGGGGGCTGTGGATGCCGAAGGTAAGAAAAGACACAGCTTCTGGGCGGCTTTATATGGGGCCACGATCGAAGAACTATGGGATGACTATGGTAGCTGGTTGGATGGTTCCGGCGGCCATGGAGATTGGGAAGACGAGATTGTAAATCCATGTGAAACTTAGACTAGACCTTGAACACGTACCGTCACCTAGTTAGTATATATATCCCAAACTGGATATACAGCGAACGTCCTGGAAGCATACGTTATATTGTTAGGTAAACCCGTGTCTTTTCTCAAACAAGAAGACCATGATACGACGATTGCTTCGATGATGCAATTGCCCAGAGGGATATGCGCCCTTGACCGGTGCCCCGACGGTTAGGGCCTGAGATGCGGAAGAAACTATTAGCAAGCGTGGATTGATGCCTCTATGTACTGTATGTCTAAAACACCCGGCAGCCTTGCCCGAATGACAACTTTCACCTGCAAACAGTAACTGAAAAAACAAGTGGAGAGAACACCAGAAGGTTAGAATAGATTGCCCATACTGTACAAGATCCGATCTTTAAAACATTGATAAAACATAATATACCGGGTACCTTTCGCCAACTGCTCTCGTCGACAATGTACCATGTAGAAGAGAATGCCAATTCTCCACCGCTTGTCTTCTAGGAAACCACCTCACCCAAATCCACGTAAACTGGCTTCCAAGGAGCAGCGCCTTCCTCCTCCATAGTGCTGGGTACGCGCACTTCCACCGGGCTGTAAAGATACCACCCCTTAAGAGCGGCTACGGCAGCTCTCGCCCGAGCCTCAGGTAAACTGGCGCCTGCGCCCTCGCCCAACTTATCCTTACCAGAGAAGATTCCCACAACGAAGACGGGGGTTCTGCTTCGGCGACCTGTTTCGCTAATGATCTTGGCAACCGGAGGCTCATAGTTTTCACGCGCACAGAGTCGAACCAAGTCACGGGTAGGCTCAGAGAAGTTGAACAGACTGGAGATGTCGAGGTGTCGGGAGAGGATGTGCTGTTCGAAGAACCGCTTGGCGGCCGCTCGGCCGGCGTGGAGATAGATTGCGCCCATTACAGACCGCACGAAATCCGCGCTGGCTTGTTCCATGGTTACCGGCTTGGTGTTCTGCGCTTGTTCAGGCTGTAACTCGGAAGGCGGTACGCCTGCCAGATCTGGATCCCCAAATTCATTGTCATAGACAACGCTCGAGTTGATGGATTTCCGCCAATGTTTCTGGTCTTCGTTGGGCCTTGTAGTCCCAACGAGAGGCTCCGTAGACAAATCCGTACCCGGATCCACTCTCTTGTATTGAAGGAGGCCGGGATCTACCTCGCCGCCGGGAAGGGCAGCATGTTCCACACCCCATTCCCTGGCCATCGCAGCAAGCGTTTTGGGTCCGACGTAAGCATAAAGTGTCGCAAAGACAACCGACAGGGGTAGTCGCGGATATGTGCAAATGAGGTGTTCGGTTGCGTAATTGGTCAGGAGGTCATGGCCGAGTACGGAGAATGATGAGTTGTTGAACTGAGGATTTCGGTCTGCAGAGGGGTTGATTAAACACCGCGCTAGTGTTTCGAGCGGTAATCGCGAGGGAAGATAGAGTCGTGCATGAAGAGCGGCGAGTTTTGCAGACTCGTGTGCGGCCTGAACTGGTGGTGAAGGGAGTTTGTATTTCGAGACTCTGACGGGGCGACGAATGGTTGTGGAGGGGAACGACTGCTGTTCGGCCAACTGTTCACTTGCAGGCTGTACAGGCGTCGCGTCGGTCGACTGAAACCTCTTGCTTGAGCAGAGTTGTCGCTGCAATCGGCCATCAGTTCTAGCCCGCGACGATAGGGCCGAGCTGCTCCATCGTTGGAGTTGCAGCCTTTTCATCAGGGCGATTGAGCAGCGGCAAAAACCTCAAATAATAGAAAAAGAGGGCAAAGAGGTGAAAAATAGCCACCCGGAAACGTCTGGCGTGGAAGTGAGGAAGGGGGCTCTCGTGCTGTCGCTATACAAACTTTTGGATTGGACAGCGAGAAAAAGCTGCGGCGGAAGAAGTCACGGGACCGAATTCCGGATCGAAAGACGCAGATCACGTGCAGAACCAACGACGCCCTTCGGATGAGGAGCATCACCACACCCCCAAGAAACTAGTATTGACACCCTCTTCTTTCGAACCCAAGAAAATCCTCTCAATCACAATGGGTGGAGGCGGAAAGATCCCGTATGTCAATATACACAGGAATGGCATCCTACACCAACTTCCCAGGCTTACCGATGTGCTTCTAGATACCCCAAGGAAGTTTGGTCTCCCGCCGGAGGCTGGTACGCTCGGCCCGCGAACTGGAAGGCCAATACCGCCATAATCGGCGCGGCCATGCTTGGAATCGTCGCTGCTGTATGGAGCATCAGTGCAGAGCGCGAATACCGGGATAGGATGCCAGAGCCGGGCAGGTTCTTCCCCAGCCGATAGTCAGTCACTCTTAGCACCATTGCGCGCCGAGTCTAGGTCCAACATTATACTGATGCATCTTGTCCCTTCTAGCTGGAGCAAGCAGATCATCGAACACGAGAGGCAACAGGCGGCCAAGAACGAGTCATAAGAAGAGACGGGGAGACAAAGAGAGCCGCAGGGGAAGCTATGTTTCGGCAAAGTCTATGTTCTATAATTCTGCGGGCTGTATGAAAATAGAAGGGCGTTATCAATCGGTCAGTTGATCTGCAAGTGCTTTTGAGGAGATTCTTCGAGTGTTCGATACAATCCCTGGGTGTACAGACGGACTCGTTCCGTGAATTCAGTTCCGTTCCAATGTTCCTTCCCTTCAGCAGATGTAGACCGGTGGGGCACGCCAATCTGTTCAACGACGAAGCTTGCAGCGACAGTGGCGAGAATCAAGGCGAGTGGGATACTCTGGTGCTTTCCGCAAACCGCGGCTGCTTTTCGCCAAACTGCGGACTCCGACAGGACAGATGCGACGGCCTTGGCCGCATCTCTACCCTCGCTCACCATTCCCTGAGCCAGCGCACCTAAGAAGGAGTTCCCAGCTCCCGTTGGATCAACAACCGGGGATTCCCCGGAGGCAGTAGGCTGATGATAGGCGGGCAGCCAGATCCTTAGGCCTCTAGAATAAGTGTAACTACCCTCTTTCCCTGCCCGAATAACTAGGTGTCCCTCGCCTCGAGGCCCGACCCCTGACTCAAGAATTTTGTCCACTATTTCCTTGCCGAGGCTGCTCTCCTCATTCCAAGCAGATTGGCCAAACATCATGCCCAGCTCTAAATCGTTGGGGCTCACAATGTCAACTTCGCGACATGCTTCCAAGAACTTCTGCTGCTCCTCAAGAGTGCACATATCTGGTACAGGTTCCCAGACAAATATAGGCCTATCAATATGGATGCCAGAAGAAGATAGCACCTCTCGTCGTTTGAGGATTTCTCGTACTATGATTATACAACGGGACGAGGAACAGACCATATGGAATGTTCTTGAGAGCACTTGGGAGTCCGACAGCATATGTGGCTCTAATCGTAGCTTCGGGGTCAAGTACTGGAAGGCTATCTTTCGTTATCATTTCGCTCGCACATCGCTGAGATCCTGGGACATTACCTCGTTTCTCATTGGGACCATAGCCATTCCATGCCCTAGTGGTCAATCTGCTGGAGTCTTTCCTAATAACGCAGTCTGTATCCCACGCTTTGATCGCATCCAGGACTTCTGGTGGAAAGTCGGAGCCAACGTCGACAATCCAACTGACGGACCTCGAGTACTCTTTCCCAGCCGCTAGTCGAGCACCAATGACCGCAAATGAAGCCGCGCCACCAAGGACGTTCTTCACACTCGGCCGGGAACCCTCGAAGTCGATATCATCTGGGGATTAGGCCAATCTATGAGTAAACAATGCGCCGAGGTCGACTGACAGATGGGGTGCGCATACCGAGGATGAACATGCCCAGAGTACAGAACTCGACCTTGGACATCTTGCCCTCATCTGCGGCGCTACCTTCTCCGAACATACTGAAGCGAGCAGGGATCAATTATCGCAAAGCACCGTAGCTAAAGCTCTCGTTTGTGGGGTTTCGTCCGACTCTTATCGCTGAAGAGATGCAAGGAACATTACCACTCTGGTACGTGATAACGTCATCGGAGCTGGGCCGACTGCACATAAATAGCTCTTACAGCCGTAATGTACGGTAAAGGCCCACAGCGGAGACAGGCAGAAGCTCAGGAGTATCGTCAGTTGATCATCGACACCGTAGCAATAATTGCTCTTACATTCCTACAACTTGGCCTTTCTTCTTCGCGGAGACGCTACTGTCTATCTCTTAACTCCTTGGCCATTTGGATAATAGTCCAAGTACTTTCTGGTTCCGAAGGCCTGTCTCTTTCTTTATCTTTTCTCCAGCTCCGCCGCCCGCAGCCTCCTTGCTGCCCGGAGAACCGACAAGATGGCGGCGACCAGCCATATGCATAATCTGACGACCCTCATCAAGCGGTAAGACCTCGCTTTTTCACTTATACTCCATAGATCCACTCGCGCTTGAATGGCAATGGTCTCTATCCTGCCATTTATCTTTCTCAACTAATAACATACATGCATTTACAGGCTAGAAGCCGCGACCTCCCGTCTGGAGGATATGGCAATGTCGTTAGACGACCATGACGCTCAAAAGGCTCCTGACACATCAGCCGCCCTGGAGCCGCAAGCTGCTAAGCAGCCTACACCAGCGGCCCCAGCGGCCCCCGCAGCTGCTCCTCTTCCGCCTCAGATCGAAGACTTCGACACATTGATTAGCAAGGATGTTGGGAACTTTGTCGAGCTTGGAAAGAAGATCGGAGGACTTGTCGCAGAGCAGGTACGGTACCAATGTCCGAGGTGGTTGAATGCAATGCTCATTTGTCCCTAGTCCGACGCTGTTCTTGAAGCCTTCAAGGCAGAGCGCACATACCTCTACGTTGCGACTAAGGCGAAGAAGCCCGAAATCCAGCCGCCGGAGCTCATGAGTGAACTTCACAAGGCATCGGATACCATCAACAATATCCGGGAGTCCAACAGGGCTTCGCCCCTAATTGACCACCTTAGCGCCGTTGCCGAAGGTATCGTTGCTATAGGCTGGTTCGTTGACCCGAAGCCTGCCGATTTCGTTGGTGAGATGCTCGGAGGTATCCAATACTATGGCAATAAGGTGCTGAAGGAATACAAAGAGAAGTATGTGCTTAGAATGGGCAATCAGGTTGCACGCCAGTTGCTGACACGCTTACAGGGATCGTACGCACTATGACTACATGCAAGCGTACTATCAGATCTTCAAATCGCTCTCCTCCTACCTCCGCAATCATTACCCGAAAGGGCTGATATGGAATGACAAGGACGGGATCGATGCGCAGGAAGCTCTTAGACAGGTTAAGGGCAGTTCTGGCCCTGCTACTGGCGGTGCAGGAGCACCCCCGCCTCCTCCTCCAGTGCCGACTTTGAACATTCCCGGGGGCGCTCCTCCACCTCCTCCACCCCCACCTCCACCCATGATTCCCGAACAGCAGAACTCGGGCTCCTCATCGGATATGACGGCTGTGTTTGCTCAGCTGAATCAGGGAGACGCCGTCACGCAAGGTCTCCGCAAGGTTGACAAGTCCGAGATGACACACAAGAACCCGAACCTTCGGGCTAGCTCTACCGTCCCTGGAAGCCCTAGTTCTAGTTCCCGTTCCAAGTCGCCAGCCCCCAGCAAGAAGCCCAAGCCAGAGAGCATGCGTAGCCGGAAACCGCCCCGCAAGGATCTCGAAGGCAACAAGTGGTTCGTCGAGAACTTCGATAACCCCGGGGAGATTGTTGAAATTCCCGCTAAACAGAACCAATCCATCCTCATCTCTCGATGCAACAAGACCATTATCAAGGTTTCCAGCAAGGCCAATGCGATAGCCATCGATAACTGTCAGGGCCTTTCCATTATCGTCGACTCTTTGGTCAGTAGCCTCGACGTCGTCAAGTGCTCCAAGTTTGCCCTTCAGATTGACGGAGTTGCTCCTACCCTGCTCATGGACCAGGTCGACGGCGCAACCATTTACCTGTCGTCTCAAAGCATGGGTACAGAGGTCTTTTCGAGCAAATGCACCGCTGTCAACGTCATGCTTCCACCCAAGGAAGGCACCGATGAGGATACAAAGGAATGTCCCGTCCCGGAGCAGATCAAGACCTACATCAAGGACGGTGTGCTTGTCAGCGAAATCGTCGAGCATGCGGGTTAAAACCTATAGGCGTTGCCTTTCGGCTTGTTCTATGAAATACCCACCCATCTTGAGAGGAGAGGGACTCTCGGTGCCTTGGAAATTTACCCAACTCAAGTCCCGAGGGTGGCGCTCTCAATCGCAAATAGACAGCCATATTATACACACAATCTTAGTATCTAGTTCTTGACCACTCTGAACCATGTATATCTGAGCTAAATAGACAAGCACCAATCCCATGCAGCATCCGTAAATACAGAAAGAAACAATAGCCATTATAAGCGGGTATCATGCTTGCAATAACACTTTTAGTTCGCCCTTCTGCTCCTACTAGGCAGACTCCGCAACCAACCTCTGAACCCGATTGAGCAACACTTTACTCTCCCTGCCCAGTCTTCTCTTTCCATTCTGATCGGGCCGCTTCGCTCTGACCATAGCCTCTCTATCCTTGGCCCTGAACTCCCGCTGCTCCCTCTTCTTCTCAGCTGCCTGCCTCCTCTTTTCCGCGATCTCCAACTCCTTCGCAAAAGCCCCTCGCTTTGGTTTCCGGCCTCTTCGCTCTCCCTGTCCTTCTTTCCTTCTTTCTACCCGCTCAGGTTCCGCGTCGGGAGTATCCAGCATTGCCTGTCGATCCGGGTGAAGCTCTAAACTCGCCGCAGACTCGTCACTCTGACCTTTGTTTCCTTCCTGTCCTTCTTGCTCTTCACGTTCGAGGTAGAATTGCTTTGGTTGAGGTGCGGCGAGCTCCGCGGCTTTTACTTTCGCATAGGCCTTTTTGACCTTTGCTTTCTGGATGAGATCGGCTTTTATTTTTTGGGCTAACGCAGGGGTCAGCATCTACCTGATGCAGTTATGCAGTGGAAAGTAACAAGTACCTTTGCGACGATAGGTTCCGTCGGGTAGGTTTGCAGGGCCGACGGAGAAGCCTTTGCGTTTCTTAATGGCGGAGCCATCAGAATGTGGTTTTTTGCTGGTCGCAGCGCGTTCGACAGGACGGTTTGGTGCCATTATGAGTTTTCAAGTGAGAGTTTCGTTCCTTCGTTCAGGTGCTGATATAATGAGCTCGACTTGGGGAAAATCTTCATCGATAAGAAAAGTCGGACCCGCCATCATTGATTTATTTGGGCTTAGCCTGGTTCTGATTGCCGCGGCTACTCCGTTCTAGGACTAGTGCATCTGGTATCACCGAGCTTTGACGGACTTAAGCCTGTCGACATGGGCATCGATAATTCGTATGATGCCTTACATTCGAACCCTACGACGATGAGTTGCTTGCCATGGTGTATGCACAGACGAGTCAGGTTGATTTTGGCCGTTTTGCAGCATGCTTACAAGGTACTACACCGGATCAGAACATAACCCTCTGTGGCCGGAAAGATAGGGACCTTTCGGACACCGAATGTTTCAACCAAGACAGCATCAGCAGCAAGAAGGCGAAATGGACATTATCCGACGATTTTTCGCCGGGAAACTTCGATACAACTGTGATAAACTGACTATGTAGCTGTCCAATCGTAGGGTATCAGCACTCCGAGTTTGCCCTAATTCAGTGCTGGCAGTCAACTGACCACCACAAGGATCTACACACTATGTTTCCGTGACTTACGACCCAAAATTGGGCATTGGTTTACAAAAGTAGGTGGGGGATGAGCCATTTACTGTTGTCCAGCGCGCGATAGACGTACTATACACTGTAGTATGAGGTGTCACCGGCCCAACAAGAAATATGTTGTCATAACCGGCGGTAAAGCATCTGGAACGGGCACCTGAAACAGATTAATCCTTTGTTACGCTGTGCGATGGCTAGTTGAGAGCTATTGAGCTTACAAATGACAGAATAATCCTCAAATCATGACGCTATTTGACCGTTTCCGGGAGCAGTGGTTAACTTACAGCGGGAACGTGAGGATACTACAAGTGGGGAACGGCAAGGACTCTGTCCAGCAGCCCCAAGCCGCCCTGCCCCGTCTGTTGAATATTCACTCCTCACCTCTTTGTCCCTGGTGGACGAAGCCTAAACTCTTTTGACAGCTTCCATTTCTCAGACTTGCGTACCTTTGCCGTCATAAAGCAGTTATCCGCCGTTTGCTCCCATAGTCGCCTCTCTTTTCTCGTCTTTATCCACACCGATACTCGCCGCCACCACTGAGGTCGTCCTCCGTCTCCGCATATAGTGAATCACTCCACGCATTCATCGCTCCATCAAACCACCCCCGGTGCCTCACTGTGTTTCAGGCTTTTCTACTGCGATGTTAACTCTTTTATAAAACATATCTGCCCTTTCACCTTCGGTGACAATGCCTATCTTTCAAAATCCCAAAAGTCGGCGGTTCTACGACCTTTGGGGCGATGACCAGCACATGGCTCAGGAAGCCTCTCAGCCAGATTCCAGCTGGTTGGACTACCGTGCGGCCAAATTTCAATCATTAGGCCAGAGGGAAAGCTTCTTCCACGGGCGCCATTCTGAAAGCCCCAGCCCGGCAAGATTGCGTCCGCATGATCGAGAGGAATTGATACATTATATCAAAGCTGCAGAGACTACGAAATGGTCGCAGTATAGCTCGGTTAGTTAACTCAGGGCTTTGTCGCATCTTCCACGGTCCCAGGCCTGTTAACGTTGACCCGTGTATAGTCCGGAGACAGATCCGACCACCACGTGCTTCTTACCCCGGAAAGAACTTCAGTTCCGAACGAACGAGATGATCAACCTTTTCGAGATTGCCACTCAGAGCTTGCATCACCAGCCGAAATAGAGCGGCCTCGTTCGGCTCTTCATTCGGGTGATTTCCGAGAAGGAACACCTCAACTCGAGCGGCAGCAGCAATTGCCGCAGTCACCAACACCTGACCGGAGTGCCAACATTGGGATCCCTTTCTTCGCCTCGTCCCCTACAACGCCATGGTTCGCCGCTCCCTCGTTCCCGTGCCGCACGCAAACCGCTCCGCTACAAGCTCGAGAAGCGATAGTCAACGAGGAAAATCGTGCACCTGCGCCATCGGTTGGATCATTCTCGTCTAGCTATGTCCTCAAGGCACCAACCAGCCCTCTAGTCCATCAAGCGAATAACACCGACTTGGATTTCTCCCCTCGGTCAGACTCCGAGCATCGTCGAGCATTGTTTGACAAGTCAAATCGTAGGAGGACCCTTCCGCCTGACACTTTCAGAGACCTGCAGGCAGGCTCTATTAAGTTTGGAACGAGCCGTCCGACAAGATGGGATACTTTCCCCAGCCATTCCCAGTCATCTCATCGGCCTCTGGCTTCCTCTTACAGCCTTCAACTTGCGTCGTCAACTCATGGGTACTCCCCGCGGACTCGAAGACCATCACTCTCGTCCGAGTTATCTGGTAGGCCTCACGCTCCGATGGTTGGTTCGTACGAGGAGTCGATACTCCGCGGGAGAATGTCGACTTGCCCGTCCAAACCTTTGGACTTTACTGCGCAAATCGGTGTTTTGGGCAAGAGTAAAGGCAAAGCGAGCCTCAAATGTCCTCCGCATGTCACCGTTCCATTCCCTGCGGTATTCTACAGCTACCCGACCTCTGGCAATGGGCGTACAATCTCTGACGATAGTCCCAGCCCTTATGTTGGAATGATTGACCTTGAGAACTCGCTGCCGAAGGAAACTTCAAGCCATAGTCGACGCCGTAGACGCCATCAAGACCCAGTCGATAACTGCAACAATCATTATACCGAGGACGCTATGTCGGCAAAGCACAATGAACAAGAAGTTATTCGCAGAAGAGAGAAGAGGCACCGAAGGACAGAGTCCCCAAGGGCTCCTCCGGGTGGTTGCTATCGGATTCCACAGCAAGGCCAACTACAGGTCATGATCAAGAACCCTAACAAGACTGCTGTCAAACTATTTCTTGTTCCCTATGATTTGTCCGACATGGAACCAGGGACCAAGACATTCATCCGACAAAGAAGCTACTCGGCCGGTCCGATCCTCGACATGCCTTTGTCTGCTCGCTCAAATTACGGCACCGATCGCCCTGAAGCGTCCTTGACGAACTCCGATGACCCGAATGACAAACCAGTTCTGCGGTACCTGATTCATTTGAACATTTGCTGCCCGTCAAGAGGGCGTTACTATCTCCACTCAAGCATTCGCGTTGTATTCGCTAACCGGGTGCCTGATGGCAAAGAGAAACTCCGAAATGAGATTCAGCATCCTGAGCCACGTTACTCGCCCTACAAAGTATGCCGCGACTCTAACTCGTTACGCGTAAGTTCAAGGTGCCGCGTAGACAAAGGGGACCGGAGAGCGTCCCCTCGCCGCGCCTTTGATGAGCGTCCACCTCACCCATTCCGGCCTATTCCCTCTATCCGAGGTGATCTCGTCGGGCTGGACACTCTACACTCGACTCCGACTTCGCCTTCTGAATCGAAGCTTTACAATAAGCTCAGCAGGGGAGACGCAGGATATGGCGGCTATCAGTCGCCTTCGATCGCGAGTCCTGAAGGCGAAAGCCTGCTCGCCAGAAAGCTTCGAGGACTCGATGTCCAGAAGCCCGACGCTTCTTCCGGGAAGCACCTATTGTAATTAGACCATCGGATTATCTGCGCCGTCACTTAGGGTTACCACCAGGCATCATCTTCGGTAAATATCCGCCTGCGATACATACTTAATCGCGCCCTTCCAGACGTGTAACGTGTCAAACAGATCCAACTACTTGATGTTTAGCCAGACTAACACAGGATATGAATCTCAAAGATGCAGGTCCATCTTTTGCAAATACCATCCACGCAGGGTTTCATCATCATTGCCAGGCGCAGGAGTATGTTCTCCCATTATAACGATACCCATATGGCGCAATGAAGGCTTGGAACAGGCACTGCGCACTTTTTTATACTTGTCTTTGATTGGTTTTCTGCAGCAAAACGCGAGTCTAGGAGTTTTTGCCGATGTCGGTTTTATATAAATTATCGGTCGTCACTTTTTTTCGTTGGTTGGTTGGGCAATCGCTTGGATCGATATGATCAACTCGACATTGCTGGGTATGAATGGAGTTCACACTCGTTACGTGAAAAAAAAGATAGTATATGGATATAATATAGCATAATCGCTCAAGAACCAGAAAACACCTACCATACATAGGCAAGGTATCAAGCAGCAGCGGCTTTCTGCGAAGTACCGCTCCTCGGCTTCCTAAAACAAGCAAATTCACCCTTCGTCCGCTCTCTCAGTCTCTTTAGAATACCTCTCATCTCACCCAACTCAGATTGCAGGCGCGCCCTTGCTTCATGCGTAGTCCTCCGATCCAACTCGACATAGATCTGACTTTGTACAGCGGACGCATCGTCCGACGAATACTGCGACATCGTCTGGGCGATGAACTCGGTGTCGAGTGTAGCCTGGATCAGCGCGTTTAAGGAATACGAAGGCCGTGAGTTGAAGGCATTCATGAGGGCAGTGGAGACTTGTGTGAGGAGGTGCGTGAGGACCATTGAGAGGAGGGGCGACTGCCCCGAAGCAGAAGAAGCGGCGGAGCGGCTTGCTGTAGAGGATGATGTTGAGGGGATAGTTGTTGAAATCTCGGTGTGGACGAGGACAAGAGCGAGCATTGTGTTGTACACGTATGGTCGGACGTGCTCTGGGCGGGATGTTGCAGGCTCCCAGTTTGGCGATGTGATGCCTTCTGTGATTATGTTCTTCAGGTTGGTGATTGTGGGTTCTGTGTATGATCGGAATAGCCGTTGATCGACTTGGTCAAGGACTTGCCGGATAATCTTGGCCTCGTCGGTCAGCGTTACGGAGAATGCCGTCTCGAAGTTGGCGATGAGTTGGGGGACGAAGTCCGCTTGGAAGGCTTTGATGTTCGATAGCGTCAGGAGAATGCGGACATACTGTACTCAAGTTAGTCATTAAAAACGTCATAGAGCTTCGAACTTGACTCACCTTGTTCTGGTAATCCACAGCGTCCGCGGCAAGAAGAGCTGATGATCCATTGCTGTTCTTGGCTGCCGCTGTAGATTCAGACACGGACCACTCATCATTCTCTTCACGAGCTGTTGGATGTTCCGCAGTTTCAACAAGACCGCCGAGTGCCTTCTCTATGCTCGATATGAACTCGCGACGCACCATTTGGAGCAATTTGGTTGGCGGCTGAGAGACCACGGCCACTGTACCTGGTTTAGCCATCGCTTCTGACATGTAGAGGACCTTTTGCAATCCGCTGAGTATAACGCTCTGGAAATTGACAAAGAGTGCTGGCATCTTTGTCAAGTCTCTTCTTTTTGGGTCCCGGGTCCAATCTTCCAACAGCCGACAGACTTCTGCGTCCTTCTCCCATGCGGAACAGGCGATGCGAACTGCACGTTCACGTATGACACTTACGAGTCCTCTGAGCGACTCGCGGGTGCTGGTGCTGTTAGCAACCGGTTCCAGCGTCGCCATCCCTCCCGCTGCTGCGCCGATTATAACGAGGAATTGACCGAGATAGTGGACTCCGCTGAGGGAGTTTGAGAAAGGAGGCCAGAACGCATAGCCTTCCCATAATTCACCGCGCTTTGGTGTAGGGAAAGGCATATTCTTGGGATCGAGCTTGAAACGGGACTCGGTCGGCGTCACCCCCAAGCTTATCGGACTACTCGGACTCGGCGGTTGCACTGGAGAGGTGAGAAGAGAGACATCCTCCACTGGCGCTTCGGCAAAAAGAGACAGAACACCCTCTCGAACCAGACTGACCAGCTCAAGAAGGCCCTTTTGTAAGTCTCTCACATCGCTCGACGCAAATTTGTGGTGCTTACGGCTCTCGCCTTCATACCCAACCGGCAGAAGCTTTTGCTTGTTCCCATCAATGAATGACTGAGCAACTTCCCAGAAATCTAGAACTTCCCCAAGTATACCTCCCTGAGACGACAGCAGCCGGTTTAGGTATGTATGAACGCACTCCCAGAGTTCTATTACTTGGTCAGTGTCCGGCAACGGCGTTGGGCCAGTTGAGCTGTCCTGGGGTGTTCGTCGCAAGTAAGAAGCCACTTCCTGAGGCGACGGCTCCGCTCCACTCGCAAGACGGCGCCTCAAAATCTCGATTTCAACCTTCCCGCGTTCACAGAACGCTTTGGTCTTCGCCCGTAAGTAATCATAGCGGCTGAGAAGCCACACCCAGATAGGGTTGTCGTCCACACCTAGCTCCAACAAAGCCCCGATCAATTCCATATATTCTTCGATGGGCCCAGAAGTCGTTATCCTCGTGGATGTGCTCGGTGCTTCATTGAGACGCCTCCAAAGATCACGCTTGAAGCCCTGGATCTGCTGGTCGACGTCAATCCACATCCTACCCAAAGCCAGAATGACATGGGTTTCCTCGTCCGTCAAGGACCGACTTTCTCTTGCGGCGATGTCGGTAATACTCTTGGCTTCCTGAGTAAGAGCTCTTGCTTTCCGATACTCCTCGAAGACGGATTCGTAGTCTCTCTGCTTAATCGATTTCGACAGATGCCCACCTATCTCAAAGACCTCCCGGCGCCTCTCCATATTCTCAACGACAGACTTGAGCATTTGTTCTCTCTCGCGCCCGCTCAATGCTGGGCCCCATACTTCCTCAGCCTTCACGGAAGCTTCCGTCAGAGGCACTCGAATGCCCTTCACGCCGTAATCGCTCTCCTTCAACAACGCATTCTTCCTGAATTCCGAGCCCTCGGTGGACGGAAGGGGGCTTTGTTTCGCTCCGGAAATGCTTCGGATGTGTCCCACCGACCTGCGGTGAGCCACTAATTCCTGTTCCCTTCCTTGATTCCTCATCTCTGTGTATACACTGTCAATGGTTGCCTTAGCTCGGACGAATCTCTCGAAGTTTGCCTCGACAAGGACCTTGAGCGAGGCGGATTTCTGGTCGATAGACTGAGAGAGCGCATTGAGACCGTCAATGAGAGACTCGATGGAAGCGTCGGAATGGACTTGCGACAGGAAGAGGGCGGGGGAGAAGCCGGTAGAGGAGAGCAGGAAGCGATTCCGTAGGCGGCTGTCTTCAGCAACGGGCAATCCGCGCTTTTTCAGAGTGTTTAATACACTGTTAGTAGAACCCAGAGGGTCAGGCTCGTCAACCTTCACAAGGTTCTCCCGGCCATTGTTGCCTTTCAACCCCCCGAGATTAGGACCCCGCCGACTGTTGCTCCGATCCAGGACATGGTAGCTAGACTTCGAGCCGCGGCGCTGAAGAGCCTCCTCCTCTTCTTCGTCTCCATCGTCCAGCTCCGCAGGCCATTCTTCTGGGTACGCCGATGGTAAATTGTAGAAATGGGCAACGTCGGCGTCAGTCATCCTGACGAGCGTAGGCCTGAGCTCCACCAAGGGGTCCGGGAGGAGGGATTGACAGCGATGACGACCAGCCCGGGAGGCGCGTGCAGGTAGCGCACGAGCGAGCGGAAAGTGACGAGTGTGGAGAAGTAGTTCGAAAGTAGGATGAATAACTTGGACCTAGACAGGAAGGGGAAATATGCGAGGGCGTGTAACGGCGTAGCTGGCGCTTCTCTGGCTGCGGGAGAGTTATCTGATGAGACCCAAGACTCCAAGTGGACCAGCGCCGGCCAGAGACAGGCTGCCGCTCCCATGCGTTGCTCCATCCCGGTCGGATCGGCTGCGGCGGTACCGATCGAAACTTCAAGCAGCCGTTCTTCCTCTTCCCGCACAAGGTCTACCGCCGCTTCCTCTCTTCTCCCTTCACTCTCCTCTCTACCACCTCTCAGCCCTTTTGTTTGCCGTTGACTCTGGGGTATCGTCACAATGTTTGCTGCCAGGAACTTCGCTACCCCCGCCCGCCAATGCCTGCGCTCAACGCGTGTGGCTCCGAGCCTCGCATCTTCTCGTCTGCAGGTAATGCAGCGCCTTATCCTCGCGATGAGGTCAAATCTTGGAAAACCACTGACCATTGTTTAGTTCCGTTGCTACTCCGCCGCTGCCGATGAGCGGGTTGCTAAGTTCAAGGGACAGAAGGGCTCTGATGTATGTTGCGCTATTTTGACACTTCTCTTTTCTTTTTTCATTCCTGCAGCTTTCTGCCGAATTTCGGCCATTTCCCAATCGGCGATGCAATGAGCAAAATTGGATGATGATATCTTGTTTGAACCGCTTCTAACCTGGTATACCTTATTTTTAGGGAAAATACACCGTTACCCTGATCGAGGGTGATGGTATTGGTCCCGAGATCTCTCAGTCCGTTAAGGATATCTTCTCCGCCGCAAACGTAACGCTTCCTTTCGTCGCCATCTAGCTACGATAGTTATACTAAGTCGGTCGCAGGCCCCTATCAAGTGGGAGTCCGTCGATGTCACCCCCATCCTGAAGGATGGCAAGACCGCCATTCCCGACGCTGCCATTGAGAGTGTCCGCAAGAACTACGTCGCGCTCAAGGGTCCCCTTGCCGTACGTTATACCACCTCCGCCGCAAAGCGCATTGCTAAACCAATTCCAGACCCCCGTTGGAAAGGGTCACGTCTCTCTTAACCTTACCCTCCGTCGTACCTTCAACCTCTTCGCCAACCTGCGTCCCTGCCGCTCGGTCGCTGGTTATAAGACCCCCTACGACAATGTCGACACCGTCCTGATCCGTGAGAACACTGAGGGTGAATACTCCGGTATTGAGCACGTCGTTGTTGATGGTGTCGTCCAGAGCATCAAGCTCATCACCCGCGAGGCCTCCGAGCGTGTCCTGCGCTTCGCCTTCCAGTACGCGCGCTCCATCAACAAGAAGAAGGTCCGTGTCGTGCACAAGGCCACCATCATGAAGATGTCAGACGGTCTTTTCCTCAACACTGCCCGTGAAGTCGCCAAGGACTTCCCCGATGTCGAGTTCGATGCTGAGCTGCTGGACAACTCTTGCCTGAAGATCACGACCGACCCTACTCCCTACAACGACAAGGTCCTCGTCATGCCCAACCTGTACGGTGACATTCTTTCCGACATGTGCGCCGGTCTCATCGGTGGTCTCGGTCTGACCCCCTCCGGTAACATCGGTGACGAGTGCTCCATCTTCGAGGCCGTCCATGGTTCCGCTCCCGATATTGCTGGCAAGGGTCTTGCCAACCCCACCGCCCTGCTTTTCAGCTCCATCATGATGCTGCAGCACATGGGTCTCAACGAGCACGCCACCCGTATCCAGAAGGCCATCTTCGACACCCTCGCTGAGGGCAAGGTAAGCTAATAACCAATATCCCCCTAGTTCTTTGCTACAACCAATGGCTCACTCGATTTAGGCTCTCACTGGTGACCTTGGTGGTAAGGCTAAGACTCACGAGTACGCTGACGCCATCATCAAGCGCCTTTAAGGGATTCGGTCTATTTCCTGTACTATATCCCTTTCTTGTTTCTTTTTAGCCCATGAATGAATATTAGACTACATGCAGTGATCTACCATATATGTATCGAAATGGATATAGATTTCAATCTTATATTGCGCAGGCTTTGGTTCCTTCAGCATTAATTTTGATTCGGTCGAAAACAATTCATTCAATAGTCGTACATCGCTGGAAGTTGTATCAAGCTAAGCCCACCCAAACGCCCGCCTTGTGGTTGGTATCAGTACAAGGTCTATCTGTCCAGAAAGGTATCTCTCGCAAGCAAAAGCACTTTAATTCAGACGTCGTCGTCCCCTTCTCGAGATGCCCCCACCCCTCCTATTCCCTCGTTTTGATTTAGTTGTTCGAGCCCGCGTGCTTCGGCCAGCCGGTGAGCTGCCTGTATCTCCGTCTCCGTCGTCATCCTCACTTTCCTCTTTCGCGTCGCTTGACTCTTCTTCGCTCTCATCGTCCTCGTCTTCGGATTCCGCCTCTTCATCTTCTGTGTTAGAGCTTTCCTGCCGCGACTCGATTTCTACTTGGAGACGCGATGACCGTGTGCCCCGTCCAGCAGGACGGCCGCGGCCAGGTTTTCTGCCTCTGGTGGGAACCGGTGATGATCGGGGTTCTGATTTAACTAACGATTAGTTTCATCAGTACCGGAGACGAAGTACCTTAACAAGAAAGCAAACGAACCATCTGTGTCTACTACGGTGCTGCCCCTCCGCGACCCGGGATGGCCACTTGGCGCGGGGGACGGCGACCCTTCCATTGCCAGCCTTCGTTCGAACATCAACTCGCCGTATTCATCCTGGGGAAGTTCGAACGGGCAGTATACTTCTTTTCCGTCGACGTCATCGGAGATATCTGTTATGAGCGAGTCTTCCTATTATAGCGTACAGAGTAAGCAGGGTGCATTGCGATACAACGGTCGCATTCACGTACCCTTTCATCGAGCGCTGGCAGATTGTACAATGATCCTAACTTTTTCCATATTCCCGGTATTCGCGTGTGTTCGGCGTGAGAAGGCGCATAACCTTGGCTTTTCATAAACTCCGATATTGCAACCATTCGAAAATGCTTGTGCATGCCTGACAAAAGCCTCTGTGAGCGGGCGACACCAAGCGGCAAAACATGTAGTTATAGGAGGACTAACCAACAGGCTTCCATCTGATGACTCCTTTGAGCAGCGCCGTCTCCTGCTCATCGGTCCACGGATCCGACACTAGGTCATAGCTCGGGGTACGGTGAGTGGCGCCTTCGGTCGGGGCATTGGCGGGAGACTGCGCACTCTCCCCTTGACTAGTGAGCCTAGGCTTCTTCCTTGGAGGCATTGTGATTCAATCGATAATAGTGAAGCTCTTTCGCAAAGACGTAATTGACCTGATAATTGATCAGCAGATGAGAAGCAGTGGGTCTACATTGAAGCTAGTCAGTTCCTGGTTAGCGCCGCGTGACCTCGCGATCCCCACGCGTCGCCCAATATCGATAAGCAATCTGGGAGTTGCCGTTGCGACTGCGCTGAATTGCTATGCTTTGACGGGACATGGGTCGCTGCAATGGATCGTGAAGACTACTGCGCGGACCCATTCTCCAGCAATGGGCTGTGGAGGATCTCCAAGTTCACCTTGGACTCACTACAGCCGCTGGAGTCTTTACCCTGGGACGAGAAGCTTCCCGGTATGTGGTAACTCTCGGGCTTTCTGGAACTTAACTTTCTTACTTCTTCCATGTAGACCTCTCGGAGGGCGTTTTCAAAAGTCCATTCAGTTTGTTTGATAATGAGGGCCCCGAATTGCACAAGCTAGACATTTCCGGAGCCGACCTCTTTGAGCCGAGCGTGTTTGCGGAGTCCACAACGGATACGTCAAGCGACGGTCAACATGAACCCAGCATTGGCGCACAAGATATTGCCGATGATCTTGAGGATATTTGGAATCTTGAGAATGTTGGCTCAGCGACCGTACTTAACGACGCCCTTAGATCTTGGGAGAAGTACCATGACCGCCACTTTAGCGAGCCTCCGCGGGCATATTTCAGTGAGTCTGGAGCGAAGGGGTTCGACGCTGCAATTGAGAATCGAGATAAGCATGGCTATGACAACCCTAAACACATTGTGCGCTACAACACCTTCTTCCAATCACTATTTCGGCTTGGTTTAGGGTGGAGCTCTGTGCTCTTTCGGTACAACAAACAACAGCAGAAATTTGAAAGAGTTGTCAAGGATATACGCATCTCCGGTATCAGCGCCCTTGCCCTTAGTGGCGTCACGGATGAGATCCTACAGTGCGGTAATAATATGCAACGAGTCCGCGCTTTCATCGAGAGGGCACCAACTGTGGCAGCAGAGCCGTCTGCGCTGTCGGCGTTTTCCACTGCTGCATCGGTGATTATATACACCTTGGAGAAGCAAATGCTTGATGGCTTTAAACATATCAGCTCAGTACTCCAGATCAGAGCCTTGTTTCAGCGATGTGGGGAACTGGTAGGAGCTCTAGCGAACATGATGGATGCTGTGGAGAGGGCCGTGTCAGAGGTTGAGATAATCTCCTCTGTATTCAAACTGGCAGCGCAGTATTCTCACATCTACGGTCAGATGGAAAGCCTCTTCCGTGAAATTGTCTTCAAGGTCGCAGGGCCGTGGCTAACGTATGTGGAGTCGTGGGTTGGCTTTCGTCCAGAGACATCCGCATTTGACGAGTTAGTGGCCAGCGGCAGAAGCTTCGTTTCCTCCGTGAAGTCTGAAGCTAAGGGCAAGCTTTCGTCTCAAGAAAAGCATGACTATGTGTTTCTTCCAGACCAAATGCCGTCTTTTGTCCCTCCTGACCAGGCGCAATTGATCTATGAGAGCGGACGCAGCCTTCGGCTGCTCAAACGGTCTCACCCACATCACCCTCTCGCAGATGATAGAGCACATGTCGAAACTCCGGAGCTGAGTTGTGCTGGTACCTGGGCTGAGCTGGAGAGAATTCAGACTAAAGCTCGTGATTATGAGGCTAGACTTCGAGCAGAAGTCCTCAAGTACAACCGCCATGGACCATCTGAAGATGACGCAAGCATAGAAAAGCCTGAGATCGCCAAACCAAAAGGCGTTCCAGACGCTTTCGATCTATTTGACATTGACGACGCCCACAATATGACCGGCCTACTCGCCGGTGCATCGTCTCTAGAAAAAGAGAAACTTGGCCAACTGCTGGTCGAGGCTGAAAGCGCCAATGAGGAACAATCCGGGAGGCTTGAGACAAACTTCGCCCCAGAAGTAACGTCCTCGCTCTACCTATCTCTTGCGCCTCTACTCTCATCGCAGGCTTTACTAATTGACTTTTCCTGCCTCCACCTTCTATTCAAGGAGCACAAGCTAAGGGATCATTTAAGCCTGCAATGGCGATTCCAACTTCTTGGCGATGGGTACTTCACATCTCGTCTTTCTCAATCACTCTTCGACCCCGAAATGGAGAGCGGCGAACGAAAAACTGGTGTTGTACGAAGCGGTGTCCACACGGGTCTACGGCTGGGAAGCCGAGACACTTGGCCCCCAGCAAGCTCAGAACTGCGCTTAGTTCTGATGGGTATACTCAACGAATGTTACAGCGGCGAGTATGCAGATGGCTCTGGGAATCCCGAATTCGAGAAGGAGAAGGAACTCCCGGGAGGTTTGAGCTTCTCTATACGAGAACTATCAGAGGCAGAAATTGCCAAGTGCAAGAATCCCAACGCCATTGAAGCGCTGGACTTCCTCCGCCTTCAATACAAACCATCCAGCGTCCTAGAAGCCATCATCACCCCCCGCTCTCTCCGTAAATACGATCAGCTCTTCAAACAGCTCCTCCGACTCCTTCGAATGGTTTCAGTCGTCAAGGGTCTCATCCGTGACTCAACCGCCAGGAACTCACTCTCCGGTGACACACGAAACATCCTCCAAAGATTCCGCATAGACTGCCAACACTTCGTCCTCGCTCTCAGCGATTACTCCTTCCAGCTGGGCATCGGCTCCACCTGGCAGCGCTTCCAAGATACCCTCTCCCAAATCGAAACTTGCCTAGACCGCGGCGATATAGACGGCACCATCGAAGCGGCCCATTCTATCCCCAGGCTGCGAACTTACCACGAGGATACGCTCGACCAGATGCTCTTCGCGCTCTTCCTCAGCAAACGGCACGCCGAGGTCGCGAAACTGTTAGATGGGGTATTCGACACGATACTGAGGTTTGCTCCGTTATCACGGTTGGACGGGATACATGGTGTGCGGCACGAAAGTGAGGCAATGGTTAAGCGATTGCATGCTGTTTTTAGAAAGCAAACGGCTGCCTTTGTTAGGTATTTGCGTGGTCTTGATGGCGCGAGAGGGGCAGCGCAGTCGAAGACAATGGATAGAGGGAGATCTGGGATTGCTTTTGCGAGAGAGGGGTCCCCGAATGTGTTTGACCATCTTCTGGTGAGACTGGATATGAAGAGGTACTACTAGTCGGCAGACTTGTTTCTGGCTTGGAAGCCTGTAACTTGATGAAACATGCACTTTGCATCTCTATTGTTATATACCTCTCATGGCCGTACATATCATAAATCATATATCCAAGACAAACACCAGACCATAACCAAGCCATGTTGGCGCCCGAAATCTAAAACCCAAACCCGTAACCAAGTCTAAAAGTAATGAAGATTCTCCTCCTTCCAACCCAACGACAGCAAAATCGTCTTCGAAGCCTTCTCCATAGGCCCAGGCCCACAAACCAAAACCATCGTCTCCTCAGCCGGAGTTCCAGCATACTGCCTAATCAGCTCTTCATCAATGCGTCCCCTCCGACCAGCCCACTTCTCATCGCCCTTCGTCAACGTATGCACAACAGTACACCTCTCCTTCTTCGCCTCCAAAGCCTCAAACCCATCCAGTTCCGCACGGAGCAAAATATCCTCCTCCAGCCTATTCCCATCGAGCAAAACACACTTCGTCTCATCGCACTCATCCTGCATCACAGCCCTAAGAACCTGGAAAACAGGCGTAATGCCCGTCCCGCCACAGATCATCACAAACGACTTAACAAGCCTCTCAGTCTTCCCGCCGACAAGGACCTTCCCACGCCCTAGATACTCGAAGCGGCCCGTGGGACCCTTACACTCGATAACCGAGTCGAGCGGGAGTGCTTCCAGGGCCGTCGTCATTTTCCCGCCGGGCGTACTGGGTGTCTCGGCGTAGATCTTGATCAGGATGTCGACGGTTCCAAGCTGGTCGGTTGGTGAGATGGGCGTGTATGAGCGGATGATGCTTGAGCCTGGGGATTTAGGGTCGGGGGTCTTGAGCATCAGGTGTTGGCCTGTGGGAAGACCGAGCTTTTGGGAGGCGTGCTCGAGGGAGAGCGTGAAGATGTGCGTGTCCCAGGAGACGGAGGTTTTCTTGGTGAGGGTTGCTTTTGTCCAGGATTTCGGCGTTAGGAAGGTTAGGCGGGGTGTGCTGGGGTCTGTGGTTGTGGTTGTGTCGGCGGTGCCCTTGCGCAGGGCTTCGAGGGAGGCTTTGTCGAGGGTGCCGATGTGGTAGTCCGGCATCATCTTTTTGGCGGTTTCGCTGTCTGATTGGGTGTTAGATACATTGGAAGCTGGTCAGATGGGGTTGAGAATGGGATGGTGACTTACGGATCTCGAGGAACTCCTCCGAGGCGTCGGTCCCTGCAGCCGATATGATACTCTGCGCTCCGCCGGGGTGTCCCTCAAGGAATGCCGTGCCATCGTATACCTCGCCGTTCACGACGAACCAGGGCTGCTCGTCCGTCGAGTTCTTCTTGAACTCCTCCAGATCGATCATCCTCGTCACGCCCTCCTTCTTCATGTTAACCTCCACCACGGGCTCCGGTTCAACGGGCTCCTCGCCTTCCTGCCTCTCTCCCCAGTTCCCATTTGTCAGGTCGCCTCCGGCCTTCTTGATCTTTTCCATCCACCCGCTCGACCCGGTGATATCAGTTGGGTGTTCGAAGAACAATCGCCCGTTCTCGTTTGTGATCTTTACCCGGAACCAAGGGTTGTTCATCATACCGAGGACAGACCAGTACATGTCCTTTGGCTGGAGACTGAGTGCTTCGTCCATTGCGCGGACCAGGAGAGCGTCGCTGCTTGCGAGTTCCGGGACGGGGATGTCGAGGGACCAGAAGGACCAGCAGAAGCAGGTTTCTCGCCAGGCCATATCGATACGGCCGCCGAAGAGGTTGCCTTCGAAGTCGCGGTATTTGTCTTCCGCGTATTCGATATTTGCGAGGCGCCATGCTGGGCGGCATTAGTGAAAGATCAGGGATGGAATGGGATGACGTACATTTGCCCTTATCCAGTGAGATCTCAACGCGGGTGATTCTTCGACCACCGCCAGCATAAGCGTATCCCTTCGCTGCGTACATGGGTCCAGCGGTGGCAAGGTCGAGAGTTTCCTTGTGCTGAGGATATGCGGCGGCTGAGTTGACGTTGAGATCGTAGATGGCGTAACGTTCATCGCGCCACCATGAAGGGTCCTGAGAGGACATGTCTGGTGTGACCATGGTACTATAGGGCATCAGCGAGGAATAGCAGTGAGAGAGATGAGACGTACGGTAGCACCCTGTTGTCGTAGATATGATACCAGTTATCGCTGGGGGCGTCGGTGATAATAAGCTTCTTCAACCACTTGACGCTGCGTCCTCCGATCTGGCCTGGCACGACGGCTCTCAGAGGGCGGCCGTGGTCAGGCCTCAAGTCTTCGCCGTTCATCTTGTGCGCGAGCATGATGCCCCTGTTAGGGTCCATGACCCAGTTCAACTTGATGGATGTTCCGTAGTGCCCATTTGGCTGTAGAAGTTAGCACTCTAGTACTTCCGAGTCTCCCTTTAGGGCTGGCAGTATTAGACGTACCAACTTATCAGCACCCTCCATACAGACATACTTCGCCTTGCGCAGAGGCTTAGCGCTCTTGATGACATCGGCCATCATAGGCCCTGTGAAGAGCGCAGTGGATAGACCAGCCGAACCCCATGAGAAACCCTTTGATTTCCGAACGGTGTTCTGCTCTTTGCGCCTGTTACCGGCACATACTAGAGTAATGGGCGCTGTGATCTGGTCGTAGTTTTGCAGAATCTGCTTGAAGCTGAGGGTGATGGGGTTTTCGACGAGTCTGTACCATGTTTGTTAGGGCTATACCACCAATTGAGAGGGCGAAGGACTGACCCTTCAATGCTGATTTCCCAACTGGGAATGTCTTCATCTCGGACTTGTGGTACTGGACCATGATTTCGGACGTAGAATAGCTCAGGAGATGTTAAGAAGCCTTCTTTGTACAAGGACGTCAATGGGGGCTCGACATTGAACGGGTGGACGCCGGTTAATCGGATCAGTCGCGGATCTCGTCGGACATGGCTGTCAGGTGTAGCTTGATCTAGGCTCAGGACCTCGGATGGTTCTTTCGATGGCGGGGGTAAGGGAATGTCTGCAGTGTCAGGCGTTGGAATTTCCTGCTCTTCGATCTTGATTTGGGCGGCTTTGAGAGTCCTGGGTTTTGAGCCCGTCCGGACTTGGGTGATGGTAGTGGACATTATGTGAGAATATGGTACAGTTACTCCAGAGTTTGTACGTTGTAAGTATAGAGTGGAGAAGCTCGTAAGAGTTCGCAGGAGGAACCGCTAGATATGATAGATCGAAGACCAGGCTAGATCAGCATTATGCACGGGTAGACAGCAGGCGGGCGTGGGAGAGATGCAGTCATCAAATACAGGGGTCTGCGGGATTTGGCGGCCTTCATGAATAATGTGTCTTGCAGCCTCGGAGAAAGATGCTATTTTGTTTTCTAATTTTCACGACAGCAGGCAAAGGCTGGACTTTTGCGGTCCACCTCCATCTCCGCGGGCCGGCACGGGTGCAAGCCCTTACCAAGTCACCACAGGACTTGACAACAACAGCATTGCCAGCTCAAAGGATTTGGCCACAGACGTTTCCTTCAATCTTACTCGTGCAGAGAGACGATCTGGTGGCAATTGCTTCTTCTGGCGTGGACAATGACGGACGACAGGTACTGGACTGTCCGCTCTACTACCACCCACACCGTCCCTTTGGGAGCTGAGTGTCCAGACCATGATCAATGGGTATTATTCAAGGCCGGTCTGATCTTCGGATGATCTCATCGCCGATTTATTGCTCGATGTCGCTGACTTTGCACCGTGTCCCATTTGATCGAGGGCGGAGATAGGGCTCGAATTGTTGTTGGCAGAGCCGCCAATCAGATCCTCGGAAAGTCTTATCTCTGGCCCGGTGGAGATAAGCCGATAAGCGGGAGATCATGGGCCAGTCCCGGCCAATCAGACAGCGGGCCCTGGCCAGAGTCAACATCTCCAGCGCAACTCCGCGGAGACTCTGATGGCAATCATGGCATCCACAACAAAGCTATTCTTATCGCCGATTCATTATCGTCCATGGCCTTAGCCACACTCCAGTCCACTCCAGTCTCAAGAACTTCGTGGCGTTCAATAAGGATGACTGTCGTCCATTGCGAGATCGCTGATTCGCGTGGCATTGCCTAGCCATTGGCCGATTCGATTATCTCATGCTCCCAGTGCCACGGAGATACAGGTACCAAGTCTTTGGTTACTCGTCGTGCGACTCAATGGATCTACGATATATGAAGCTGGGCATGTCGCCCGCGGCCCTTCTTGGGAGTTTCTTTCCGTTAGATTCCCCAGCTTTTTCCCCGCCCCCGACATCATGCCCTTGATAGACGGTCCCCGGAACGGTGAGACTGTCACTGCCAGTGCTCAGAATGGCATTCCTGTCATTGACGGGGTCGACCCCGCTACACATCAAGGGGACTTCGAGCGTGATCCCAACAGGCGGCAGAAGATCGTAGTAGTGGGATTGGGCATGGTTGCAGTTGCATTCATGTATGTCTCTCAACATCACGAGCTCACGATGCTCGGATCATACTGACTATTTCGCACCGCAGTGAGAAACTCGTCAAGCTAGATTCAGAAAGACGCAAATACGACATTGTCGTCATTGGAGAAGAGCCGCACATTGCCTACAACCGCGTGGGCTTGTCATCATACTTCGAGCACCGCAAGATCGAAGATCTGTATCTGAACCCAAAAGAATGGGTAAGGAATTCGAAGTCTAGATTTGGGTCAGAACTAACATAGTTCACTTCTCGCAGTACGGCTCATTCAAGGACCGATCGTTCGACTACTATCTCAACACCCGAGTAACCGATGTCTTTCCTCAACACAAAACCGTCAAGACCTCGACCGGTGACATTGTTTCATATGATACCCTCGTTCTCGCTACTGGTTCAGATGCCGTCCTTCCTACCAATACACCCGGCCACGATGCCAAGGGTATTTTCGTTTACCGTACCATTTCCGACTTGGAACGCCTCATGGAGTTTGCTTCTAATCACAAGGGCTCAACTGGTGTAACGGTTGGAGGTGGCTTGCTCGGTCTGGAAGCCGCCAAGGCCATGACAGATCTCGAAGACTTTGGCAGTGTCAAGTTAATAGATCGCAATAAATGGGTGCTCGCCAGGCAGCTCGACGGGGATGCCGGTTCTCTTGTGACGAAAAAGATCAGAGACCTTGGTCTGGAAGTGCTTCACGAGAAGCGAGTTGCCAAGATTCACACTGATGATAACAACAATGTGACCGGTATACTCTTTGAGGACGGCCAGGAGATTGACTGCTCTTGTATCTGCTTTGCTGTATGCTCCGCAACTTGATATCTTACTTACAGGTGCTGACTCTGTTTACAGATCGGCATTCGGCCACGAGACGAACTGGGGGCAAACGCCGGAATTCAATGCGCCAAGCGTGGTGGCTTCGTTATTGACGAGAGCTTACGAACATCCGTTGATGACATCTACGCCATTGGCGAGTGTGCCAGCTGGGAAAACCAAACGTTCGGCATTATCGCTCCCGGTATCGAGATGGCCGATGTACTCTCTTTCAACTTGACGAACCCCGACAAAGAGTCTAAGAGATTCAACAGACCGGATCTAAGCACGAAACTCAAGCTTTTGGGGGTTGATGTTGCCAGCTTTGGTGACTTTTTCGCCGATAGGGATGGACCCAAGTTTCTGCCTGGCCAGCGACCATCTGCCGAAGGTATTGGCGCTGCAGACCTGACGACTGAGAAAGAGCCTCAGGTCAAAGCCTTGACGTACAGAGATCCTTTTGGTGGAGTCTACAAGAAGTACCTGTTCACCATGGATGGCAAGTACTTGCTGGGCGGCATGATGATTGGCGATACCAAGGACTATATCAAGCTGAACCAGATGGTCAAATCACAAAAGCCTCTGGAGGTACCACCCAGCGAATTTATCCTCGGCGCTCAAAGTGGCGGAGAGGAAAATGCGGATGATCTGTAAGTGTTATTGTTTTTCCCTTGACCATCTCATTTACTGACCCATCAACAGTGATGACAGCACCCAAATCTGCTCGTGCCACAATGTGACAAAGGGCGACGTGGTGGAGAGCGTCAAGACAGGCACTTGCAAGACAATAGCAGATGTCAAGTCGTGCACTAAAGCGGGAACTGGCTGTGGCGGCTGCATGCCTCTGGTGCAGTCAATCTTCAACAAGACCATGCTGGACATGGGCCAAGAAGTCTCGAACCACTGTATGTTATCCGAACCAAGAATCGTGTCCTCGCTAATAATGCGCAGTGTGTGTTCACATTCCGTACTCCCGAGCGGACCTCTACAATGTCATTGCAATCCGACAGCTGAGAACCTTTGACGAAGTGATGAAGTCGGTTGGAAAGTGCGCCGACTCGCTTGGATGTGAGATCTGTAAACCCGCGATCGGTTCTATTCTCTCCAGTCTCTTCAACCCTCATCTTATGGACAAGGAATATCACGAGCTCCAGGAAACAAACGACAGATTTCTTGCCAACATTCAAAGAAATGGAACATTCTCTGTTGTCCCTCGAGTTCCCGGTGGTGAAATTACGGCGGACAAGTTGATTGCAATTGGTCAAGTGGCCAAGAAATACGACCTATACTGCAAGATCACAGGTGGCCAGCGTATCGATATGTTCGGTGCTAAGAAGCAGGATCTACTGGACATCTGGACCGAGCTCGTCGATGCTGGCCTTGAGAGTGGTCATGCTTATGCCAAGTCTCTCCGAACCATCAAGGTAGGACACATTTCAATCTCAGTATACTTCGGTCACGCTAACGTTACTCAGAGCTGCGTTGGAACTACCTGGTGCCGATTCGGTGTAGGGGACAGTGTCGGGATGGCCATTCGACTGGAGCAACGGTACAAGAGTATTCGAGCTCCTCACAAGTTTAAGGGTGCTGTCTCTGGCTGTGTCCGAGAGTGTGCCGAAGCGCAAAACAAAGAGTGAGTACCATGACAGTGTCTCGGAGTTACGATTGCTAACATGAAAAAGCTTTGGTCTTATTGCTACTGAGAAGGGATTCAACATCTTCGTTGGTGGCAACGGAGGTGCCAAACCTCGACACTCAGAGTTACTCGCCAAAGATGTGCCACCTGAAGATGTTATTCCTATCCTAGATCGCTACGTGATTTTCTACATTCGAACCGCAGACAAGCTCCAGCGGACTGCACGATGGCTTGAAAACCTCCCTGGCGGAATCGATTACCTGAAGGATGTCGTCCTCAACGATAAACTCGGTATCGCAGCAGAAATGGAGCACCAGATGCAGGAACTTGTTGACAGCTACTTTTGCGAATGGACCGAAACGGTCAACAACCCCAAGCGTCGCAAGTACTTTCAGCAGTTTGCCAACACCGACGAGACGGTCGATACCGTGGAGATTGTCAAAGAGCGCGAGCAAGTGCGCCCGACTTATTGGCCAAAGGACGGAGCGAATGAGGACTTCAAAGGTCACCAGTGGTCTAGCCTCTCATGGCAGCCTGTCCTAAAGGCCGACTACTTCTCAGATGGCCCACCTGCAATTTCGTCTGCCAATATCAAGCGTGGCGACACCCAATTAGCCATCTTCAAGGTCAAGGGCAAGTACTACGCTACTCAGCAGATGTGCCCCCACAAGCGGACCTTTGTCTTGTCCGATGGTCTGATCGGAGACGACGACAACGGCAAATACTGGGTCTCGTGCCCTTACCACAAGCGAAACTACGAACTCAACGGCGAACAGGCGGGCCGTTGTCAGAACGATGAGGAGATGAACATTGCCACATTCCCGGTTGAAGAGCGGGAGGATGGCTGGATCTACATGAAGCTTCCACCAGTTGAGGAGCTTGATTCTGTTCTTGGGACGGAGAAGTGGAAGGTGAAGAAGGGTGAAGCCACAGACCCATTTGAGGCGTATGACAAGAAGTACAGCAGTGGGATGAAGGGGAAGAGGGCTGGTGCGAACGGTATCGAGGGCAAAAAGTCCGCTCCGTCTACTAAGAACAATATAGATTGGTGAGCTGTTGATGTGGATACGTTTGTTATGATGTGATACTACGGCGGCATATTCATTGGGTTCAAGGCGTTTAGAGACAGCGGTTCTATGCATTATACCTAGTGTTGGATACATTTCTATAATTATACTAGTATACTCAGACTTGTCATTGGCGCCTGTACAAATGCCTAATTAAGTTGTGCCTTGTGTATGATTTCTGATGGCTGGTCTATGTACCTTCGTATCTATGGCCGAATGAATGCTAAGGACAAGGCATATGCTCACGTTACCTTTGACGTGATTGGCTGGCGATACTGTTATCTCTTCGACTCAGCCAGACCCATTTTCCTCCGTAGTCCTCCATCTGCCCCGATAACACGCCTACAAAAGGGTCCATTTGCCCCTCGAGATCTCCGCGGAGCAATCATACTCGGGATCCCTGGTTCTCGTCCGGCTTTCAGATGCACCCTCGTCATCATGGTGCCATGCGAAACAGGGTCAGGGACAATCCCCGTGGAGCTGTCAGCACTCACCACCCGCAATGCATGAGCTATTGAACACTCAGGATTGATCCTCCGAGGAGATGGCAGACGGCCATGGTCTGCCTCATGCATAGACACCAAGCGACTTGCTCGAACAGCTGCAGAACCGCTTTTTCCGCCACTTGCCAACGGCCACACGGACGGGTCTCGACTCGAGACAAACCGCTCCGTTCGGTTCCAGCTTCCTACCCGCCGCGGAGTCTGTGCTGCCACTCCGCCGGCAGGCTGAACGGCCTTATCGGAAGACCCAAACTCTGTTCGAGATGAGGATCCAACCTGTGGGTCGTATACTTACTTTCCTTATCTCGATGTCCTGATAGCGCTCATCAGCCACACACCACTTTCACATTCACGGCCTTGTCTCCTCCGCCGCTTACCAGCCTGGCTCGGGTCGCTTGAAATATGGGGCTTGGCTTGGATATCCCACGGGGCGCCGTTGCCTCGGAGCTCGCTGAGTGGATGCGGATCGACGCCGGTTGAAGGAAGCCTTGCCTACTCGGTTCGATTAATATCAATTTCGCGGCTTTTCTCGTTACGAGAATCGAGCAGATATCTATCGGGTTGGCATTGCTAATCGACAATCGGGCTCGGGGGGGACCACTGATAGATGATTCTCGTGCTGGCTCCCAAGTCCCTAGCCTTGACGACATTCTGATATCCCGGGGAGATACATGACAATCTGTTTTCAGTCAGACGTGATTCGTTTCCGAGTCATGGTTGTGTCTGTTGCTTATATAGCAGGTCGTCTTTCATTGATCTGGCCGTGACCCCGGATAAGAATCAAGCAAATTGTCTAGCCTGTTTGATACCCTTTCATGAACTGCAGTTTTCTTCTTCTAATATCGTTTGTCCCATTGTTTTGCTCTTCGTATACCCCGGAGGTACAGGACCGTACGGCAAGGTCCCTTTCTCGACAGATCGAGCTTAGCTCTAGCAGCATTCTCTTTGTTCAGATCAGACGAAGCTATCCAGAGACATGGAGTTCGTCAAGCTCATGGTAGCCTCTCCCGAGGTCAACCCTAACAACCGAAAGGCCCTCTCCATCCCAATCCTAAACCCATTTGACACATATGGCCGAGTCTTCTTCTTCTCATGGTTCGGTTTCATGCTTGCATTCCTTTCATGGTATGCTTTTCCCCCTTTGGTAAGTCCCCTCCCTCCCTTTCCACCCGCTAGATGGGACCAGAAATCCTAACATTGGTGTTTTCTAGTTGACCGTCACCATCCGTGATGATCTGAACATGACCCAAACACAAATTGCGAACTCAAACATCATTGCTTTACTAGCTACGTATGTCTGTTTCTTTACAAAAATGGACCGAGACAGCCCTAACATCCACTAGATTGCTAGTACGACTTGTATGTGGACCACTATGCGATCGTTTCGGTCCTCGTCTAGTCTTCATCGGCTTGTTGCTGGTGGGCTCTATTCCCACCGCAATGGCCGGTCTCGTCACAACACCACAAGGACTCATCGCTCTTCGCTTCTTCATCGGTATCCTCGGCGGCACGTTCGTCCCCTGCCAAGTCTGGTGCACCGGCTTCTTCGACAAGAAGATCGTTGGAACAGCCAACTCCCTAGCCGCCGGACTGGGTAACGCTGGCGGAGGCATCACCTACTTCGTCATGCCGGCCATCTTCGACTCCCTCGTCCACGACCAAGGCCTCCCCGCACACAAAGCCTGGCGCGTCGCCTACGTGATCCCCTTCATCCTCATCGTCACCGCAGCTCTAGGCATGCTCTTCACCTGCGACGATACACCCACAGGAAAATGGTCCGAGCGACACATCTGGATGAAAGAGGAGGCCCCCAACACATCAAAAGGTAACATCGTCGACCTGAGTTCCAGCACCTCCGGCGCGCAATCCAGCCGCCCCTCCGGACCCCCATCCATCACCAACATAATTCCCGACGTTGAAAAGAAAGGCGCCCAAACTCCTAACCCCATGGAGCCCCAATCGCAGGCCCTGGGCCAACTCGACGCCCTCCGCACCGACGTAGTCGCTTCACCCTCCCGCAAGGAAGCCCTCAACGTCGTCTTCAGCCTCGCAACCATGGCCGTGGCAATCCCCTACGCCTGCTCGTTCGGCTCGGAGCTCGCAATCAACTCCATCCTCGGCGACTACTACGACAAGAACTTCCCGTACATGGGACAAACAAAGACAGGCGAGTGGGCGGCTATGTTCGGGTTCCTGAACATCATCTGCCGTCCGGCCGGAGGGTTCCTGGCAGATTTCCTATACCGCAAGACGAACACGCCCTGGGCGAAGAAACTCCTCCTTTCATTCTTGGGCGTTATCATGGGCGCATTCATGATTGCCATGGGCCTTTCAGACCCGAAGTCCGAGGCGACGATGTTTGGCCTTACGGCTGGGCTGGCGTTCTTCTTGGAGAGTTGCAACGGCGCGATTTTCGCGCTTGTGCCGCATGTTCATCCTTATGCTAATGGTATGCTCCCCATCCGTTCCCAATCGCCAGAAAAAATGCATATCAGTAGACTAACCGTGCCTCCAGGAATCGTCTCCGGCATGGTCGGCGGCTTCGGCAACCTCGGCGGCATCATCTTCGCCGTCATCTTCCGCTACAGCCACCACGACTACGCGCGCGGCATCTGGATCCTCGGTGTGATTTCCATTGCCGTGCATCTTTCTGTGTCCTGGGTGAGGCCTGTGCCGAAGAGCCCGATGAGGGAGTAAATGCGCCGTTTTCATTGTTTTGAGGGGGTCATTGTGGTCGAGTTTTGTTCTTTTGTTCTTGGGATTGGATTTAGCGTTATGATACCATGCATGGCATATGCACTGAAGATTGAGCGTGATTACATCGGATAATGGGACAACAAAATACATCTTGAACTTGAGTATCAGTATCTTGAGACCAACGTCCGCGTATTCTGTACTTTACCATACCATTCAAAGTAAATATCCATAACCCCACTGTTGAAGAAATTACTCCATAGACCCCAGACTATGTACACCCTACCCCATACCTCGGGCTAATACACCCCGAGCTGAGGGGCACAGCAGACAGTAGCACCACCTAGAATAGGAACCTCCTCACAACCCCTCCTCAATTCCTTCAAGCAACATATCTCTTTCAATAAAACCTCACAATCTATCCAGGCACAAAAAGAACAGCAAAATGCCCCGCCGCATCGCCCAAATCGTGCACCTCAAGGCTTCCGCCGTGGCCGCATACAAAGAATGCCACGCAAACGTCTGGCCCGAGGTCCTGCAGCAGATTCAAGAGTGTAATATCCGCGACTGTGCGCTTTACCCCCTTCTCACTCTGATCCTTTCCTTTTCAAGTTTTCATGAAAGAGTGCTGATCATGGCGCGTGATAGACTCTATATTCTTCGACAACGAGCGCACGTTGTTCGCGACGTTCAAGTATGTGGGCGATGACTACGAGGGTGATATGCAGAAGATGGCGGCGAACCCCAAGGTGCGCGAGTGGTGGGCAATGACGGATGGGATGCAGGAGAGTCCGATTGAGGGGGCTGTTGGTAGTGCGGAGGGGCCGGGGTGGTGGAAGGTTCTTGAGGAGGTGTTTTATACGGATTGAGCGAGTGCGAAAAAAGATTACGTTCAACGTTGTATTGTACATAGTAGTGTTGGCAATTCTCTCAAATGAGAATCCTTGACTAGGTCAAGGTATCTGACAGCTTATCTAGCAAGGTGTTCTATCCCCGCAACGTCCTGAGGTCTCCGGAGCGACCGGCGCTCCTGAAGTCGCAACAGACGCGAAGATTGAGAGCCCTAGCAGCAGTGTCATGATTAGATAGAGTACACGCAAGTCATGCAAAGATGGGTATCCTTCACGAGCGAACTGCTAACCCGAGTAAAGAGTACCCAAAACGCCGGTCCCCGAATGAATGCGAAATGTGTCGAAAATCATCATAACTCATGTAATGTCCGCGAAGTCGCGCTACCTCATTCAGAGCTTCCCGGTACATCCTTCAGGATCTCCCAGCCGTATTCTTCCTCTGGCTTCTCGGGTTCCATGCCTAGAGCATTGCGGTAGGCACGGACTTCATTCTGAAGGCCGGCAACGATACGGATAGGCAGTTCTTCTTCCTCACAGCGAAGGCGATAAGCGGTGCGGATCATCTCAGCGCACTTCAACGTTTGTGCATGCCAATGATCACGGTCCAGGCGGCTTTCCAAGTGGGCATCGCGCTCCGCCTGAAGGAGATTGTTGTAATGGCGTTTCTGAGACAAGTAGTGCATGTTATTGTTGTGGCAGTAGTTGCGGATCTGCTCCACCATCGTGCCAACGGCCGCCTCGTACTCTCCGATCAGCTTGGTGTTTTCCGCCTGTTCGTTTTTCAAAACCTCCACGGTACGCTTCTCTTTGGCGAGAGCGCGCTCAAGCTCGGCAATACGGGCACCTAGCTAGTTAATGACAGCACTTTCTTGTATAAGACCAGACTTACTAGAGATTTCCCCGTTAACCTGCTGGATGCTCGGACTAGTTCCTTCTGAAGCAGAACGTTTCTGACATTGTCAGCCCACATCATCAAGCAATAGCAGGAAACACACCATAATCTCCTCTGCGCTGGAGACAATACTCTTGGTCATATCACGGTTGTTCTTCAGCACGTCACTCAGCTCCAGCACCATATCAAACAGATGACGCAGATCCATCTGGTGTCCCGCATTCATCGGCACTCCGCCATTCATCCCAGCCATTCCCCCGCCGTTCACTTGCGGAGGTGGGGTAGCCATTGGTGAGGGGATAGGCTGGCGGGGAACCCCGGGCATGTTGGACGGCCCCGCGGCGGAATTATCGTAGTTTGAATAGACTCCCGAGCCAGAGTTGCTGCTTCCACTGTTCATAGACATAGTCGCAGCGTCGAAAGCCTGATTCAGTTCTGCCAATTGGGACTCGAATTCCTTGCTGTTCGGATTGAGCGCGCCTTCGTCGTCGTATTCAAAACCGGTAGATTCCACACCCAAGACCTCTTTTCTGAACTTCTCCAGGTCTCGACGATTAACGTGGGTGGAACGACGACGATGCCCACGCACAAACGGTGCCTTCGAAGCACTAGAGGGCGTAGACGCAGCGATGGTGTCGGGTGGAAGGGTGTTTTCGTTGCTCGGGGAAGTGGGTAGACGAGGGAGGGACCTCGATACAGGAAAAGGAGCTCGACAAGAAGTCGTTACCGGTCTCGCTTTCGTGTTGTATTGCTGAGCTGGGCGCTGGAGATAAAGTAATAGAGAAGCACTGTCTGGGACTGGAGCTGGGGGAACACCTTCACCAAAACAGTCAAGCGCCGGAGTTTCGGATGATAAATCCCGAGCCCCAGTCTCAAGGGGGCCACTGAATGAGGTGTCTTCACATGAAGCTTCCATCACAAAGACAGGCTGTGGTTCTGAATAATAGGAAGATATTGCTGTAGGGATAATGGGGACTATGTTGACTGTAAGAGGTAAGATCTGTGGCAGAAGGGAAGAGTGTTTGGTGTTTCCTTTTCCATTTCCTTTAACACTCTGTCACAGTCGCAGCTGCAGTCAGTTCTAAGTGCCTACAGTTTTCCCCCTTGCACTTCTCTCCAGAAAATAAGCAATAATTCGAAACTCTCTTCAGTCTGTGGGATATAGTAAGATAGTTGCCCGTTTTCTGTCGGTTCTTTCCGCGCTTCTGTGCTACTGCGCCAGGCAGAAACTAGATATCACCAGGATTAGGTCGACTAGATATTGCAGGGATCTACGAGGTATATCATGAAGCATTTTGTTCTGAAGATGGCCGAGAAAAACAAGCATTGCCTCCGTTAATCCATTTCAAGAAGCGCCTCAAGCTTCTGCTCAGAGTCCAGAACATATGAAGCCTCGTTTCCGCCATCGTTGTTAGCCGCCTGGCTCTGCGCAATGCGACCACTGACCCGTGCGACCAGCATGCGCATCTTCTCTATTTCCCGAGCTAGTTCACCATCCCTCGTGACGAGATTGGGCTGAACATTATTCTGAGGTTCCCGGAACGGTTCTAGGAGACGCTGCAACAGTCGCAATTGGTCCAGGCGCCGCTGTCGCTGTTGGCGTTGATGATCAAGGTTCGCAAGACGTTCTCGTAAGCGCTTGTACCTGTACAACGGTGAGCCGGATAAAACTGAAATCCACCGAACAGGGGTGCAAACCTAAGCCTTTCCTCTTCGCTTGCGGATTGGTTGTACAGCTCTCCTGGAAGCTGAGTAATGTTTCTAAAACGCGTCAGCTGAAAGCAGCGAACGGATAAAAAGAACGAGGCTCACGGATGGCTGGACAAATCGACAGTTTTGTCGACACCTCTTTCCAGCGAGGTTACCTCACGGCTAGCCTGGTTGACCGAGGACCAGTACAAACTTGCAATTTGTTGCGCCACATGCTGAATCGCCTGAGAAGAGTATATAACGCGATTGTGTTGTTTCAAGGCTGCGTTCACTGAGGTGCAATGTTAGTTGACTTTTTGAGCATGTAGGATAAGGGCAGGATGATAAATACGGTCGAGGCATTATGTAAAAAATCGCACAAACTATGCGTGATGGAAGAACAGCAAGGCACGTACATTGCACTTACATTTCTGCAATACATCACCAACCACCTTGTCGCTCAGGTCTTCCTCTGCTGGTTCGGCGGCATAACTTCGCCAGTCCGCCGGGGCTTCGAGGCTTTCGGACAAGATGCGGACCTGCGTCCTGATGAACGACGACTTCAGTTCGGATATGGACCGAGAAGACTCCATGGCCCCATAATGACTGCAATGCGAAAGCTAAGAAGAAGCATCTCCTAAACGCGCGGGCCACGCGCCCGTTATCGATAGGTAAATGACTTGGTCACGTGAATTGGTGGGCATCGCCCAATGCAGACAGTATGAGATGTGGAATTATCCAATCTCAGTATACGCAGTCGCTGTGGGGTTAAAAGCAAGGCATTGTGGCTCAGATGAAAGACGTAGTATGCGATAAGTGTCAGGTGCGCCGCCCCAGAGGATGAAAGTGGCATAACTAGCAAAGTAAACTCCGTGGGCCATGGCCGATATATACCTCGGCAACCGCATCTTACTCCGCAAAGACACAGGTTACGCAACTTTCAGCGAACAATTTCTCAATATACATTTGTCTTGAGTGCAAGGCAAGATTTGCTATTTCACAAACCAAGCAGCAAATAATATTTTTACTGCTTCATCATGGCAGAAAACCAACGGCCGGTGGGCCTACTGTTCGATATCGGAGGCGTCTGTGTAAGCTGCTGCGACACCCCTACCTAGGGATCGACTGCAGGTGCTAATATCCAGTCAGGTTGTGTCGCCATTCCAAGCCATCTTGGACTATGAGATTGCCCACAATATACCTCCGGGATGGGTGAATTTCAGCATCTCCCGCACATCGCCTCATGGTAGTTGGCATAGATTGGAACGGGGAGACATCAAGATGGACGCGGACTTCTTCGCCGGGTTTAACAAGGACTTAAGGGACCCTAAGTTATGGAAGCTATTCAACGAGGGCCTTCGGGAAAAGAACCCCAGCAAAGTGCTAGAGGCAAGCCCACCATTGCCTGAAATTGACGCAGAATGGCTATTCTGGGAGATGATGAGGATATCAAGGACGCCTGATAGATTCATGTGGCCGGCGCTCAAGAGGCTGAAGGAGTCCGGTCAGTTCATTCTTGGGGCATTATCTAATACTGTCATCTTTCCCGACGGTCATGAATTCAACGACGACACCATCGAGCGAAAGACATTGTTCGACTTTTTCATATCATCCGCACATACTGGCCTTAGAAAGCCCGACCCGAGGATATACAAGGTTGCTTTAGAGGAGATGAACGCTGTTGCTCGGAGAAAGGGGTTCAAGCAGCCAGTACAAGCAGGTGACGTGGTTTTTCTGGATGACATTGGCCAGAATCTAAAGCCCGCGAAAGCTATCGGAATGAGAACCATCAAGGTGAATCTTGGGCATATACAAGACGCAGTCAAAGAGCTGGAGAAGGTTACTGGGCTTCAGTTGTTAGACAGTCAGGCCAAACTATAAGGCGGGCGAGTCTTTCGTGACATGGTTCGAACAGATAGCACGAGATAGATATTTAAGAATAGAAAAATTTTTCAAGGTAATTCAGTTATCTCACTCAAGACAAATTAGTGTTCTTGTTCCTAAATCCTGGGGTCGAGTCCGAGTCGTCGCCCACCCGCAGACCAGAGCTGCTGCGGGACCCGCTAAGCGACAGTCCACAAATGCCCGCCACAAATAGATCATCCCACGAAATTTCTTGATCTCTCTGCAAGGCAACGTCGACAACCAGCCCAACAGTCAAAATGGTGAGTGTATACTGCCATTCTTGAGGAATGGCGACTCTGTCGCATAGTTTCTGGCCTATCTTCTTGAAAGCATGAGTGTTTCTCGTGGTTTTCGGGTCTTTGCAAGATGCTTCGGATAAAGGGTTTCTGAAGCGCAAATTGCTGACTCGAATGACTGTCTGTAGGCCCCCTACGGAAAGACCGTCAAGTCCAGCGCGTACTACAGGTAAGAATTGCCAATGCAGATCTATGGTTTGGAGAACGCCCGCTAATCCTCTCGCAGCCGCTACCAGACCAAGTACCGCCGTCGCAGAGAGGGAAAGACCGACTACTATGCTCGTAAGCGCCTGATCACCCAGGCCAAGAACAAGTACAACGCTCCCAAGTACCGCCTGGTCGTCCGCTTCACCAACCGCGACATCGTCACCCAGATCGTCTACTCCGAGCTCACCGGTGACAAGGTCTTCGCCAGCGCCTACTCCCACGAGCTTAAGGCCTATGGCATCTCCAACGGTCTGACCAACTGGGCTGCTGCCTACGCTACCGGTCTCCTCCTTGCCCGCCGTACCCTCAAGAAGCTCGGCCTCGACGAGGACTTCACTGGTGTTGAGGAGCCCGATGGAGAGTTCTCCCTCACCGAGGCTGCTGAGACCGACGAGGGTTCCCGCCGCCCCTTCAAGGCCTTCCTTGACGTTGGTCTTGCCCGTACCTCCACTGGTGCCCGTGTTTTCGGTGCCATGAAGGGTGCTTCCGACGGTGGTATCTTCATCCCCCACTCCGAGAGCCGCTTCCCCGGTTACGACATTGAATCCGAGGAGCTCGACGCCGAGACTCTCCGCAGCTACATCTTCGGTGGTCACGTTGCCGAGTACATGGAGGGCCTTGCTGACGACGACGAGGATCGTTTCCGTGGCCAGTTCCACAAGTACACTGAGAACGAGGTTGATGCCGGTGACATCGAGGACCTCTACACTGAGGCCCACAAGGCTATCCGTGAGGACCCCTTCAAGAAGGTCGAGTCCGAGGGCCCCAAGAAGACCAAGGAGGAGTGGAAGGCTGAGAGCAAGAAGCACCGCAAGGCCAAGCTTTCCCACGAGGAGAGGAAGGCTCGCGTCGAGGCCAAGATCCGTGAGCTTGCTGCTTAAGTTTGTTTTCTTTGACCGGAAGGCGGATTGTCGTGCTTGATGTCTACTTGAGTGCGATAGTTGAAAAGCAGAAAAGTTTACTTTGCCAACAATACAGGGCTTGCCAGTCGGCGATTCTTGAATATTCAGATATCCTGCCTGTAGTTTGATGACCTTATGACCATGTTTGTTTTATACTAGGGCTTGCCTGGAGCATTATCGGGCGCGGGGAATTGAAATGACTTAATTTTCATTATAATTCGACCCTCGAATCGAGCCTCCGATAAATTGGCCGGCAACCCATGATGCCCCAAAGACTCCTGGGTCTAGAACTCGTATACCCTTGCCCGCCACCCCCGCCACTGCTCTGACTCGCAACTTTCCTGGGCGTTATTGAGGTTTTTTGGCCACTTAGCGGCATCTTGCGGACAGAGGAATGGTTTGCGCCAATATTTTCTTCATTGGAGAACTTGTATGCCATTCTTGTTGCCGCGAGAGCCGTCGGATACTCGGAATATGCTTCCAAATAAAGTATCTTCTCTTGTGATCCACCGTCCACGAAAGATCCATACTGAATCCTGATTACTGATCCGCAGAGGATACCAGCGGGGCCAAGATATACAAAGGGCCACTACTACGTAGATACTCCCTCACCGCATCAGAGCAGCCTTAAAAGTTAAATCTCAAGCCCAAACTCTGGTCCCTGATCGTTGATCATACATCATAGCATGGAACGATCCTCAGGTAAGCAGCTGCAGCCGCCACGACGCAATCGCCACTACGTTATCAGACCTATGGAGTAGAGACAGGACTCAAAAAGCCCAAAGCAGCGATCAGCAGGTAAAATCGCATGGTGGCTTTGTTATGCAACCCGGCGGCATCCAGCACCTGACTTTGCCCTTGGTATATTACTAGTGGTAATCTGGATACGAAGAATGGAAATCGGAGGCCGTTTACTCGTAGAGACGGCAAAGAAGAACTTGATGAACCGTGCAGTAATCGTCCTCGCATGCGTCTTGCCGACCACTGCAACAGATGCTTGGCCCCGAAGCATTCTGTGTAACCATTAAGGATATCAGATGGTGTGACTCGAAGCAAATTCTGACATTCTGCTTTTTTGCGCTTGCACAACCTGCTTCGGAACTTGCGACATCATAGAGAAGAACAGGGCCCTAGACTAGCTCTCTAATATGTTTTGTCGACAGGCTAGCCATCTTAGCTAGCGCGCCTGCTCCTAGTTTTTGGCGGGGAAGCTGAACCAGTGACCTAATGGTGCATAAGGTGCATCGGTGCGGTGATTTCTTCGGGCTTAGCTGAGAAATGTGTCTCGATTTGATTCAAGCATAAGACACGCAGGGTTTTCTGGTTTCTTCAGCGTCTCGCCTTCGCCGGGATAACAGCGCGGACTGAGAAATCGTTGCTCATCAAGCGTAGTGGACCTGCGATCTTCTAGAAAAGGAGACCGCTAGTAGAGCTGATAGCCCGCTATCCAGGTCTCCGATGCCCGGAGATCGGAGGAGACTCCGGCCGCCGAGCGGAATCTGGGTGTTTTTGCTTGGTATACAGCCCCTAGACTACCTCAACAGAGTCTGGGGAATTTCGCTGTTAAAAGATCGTTCTAGATGGCCAGCGGGTGGAAATCAAAAATCTTTCAAGCCACACAGTCTTACGTCTTGAGAAGTGGTCTTGAATCACCCAACCGCCATGACCCAAGAAGCTTAATGCTGAAAAATACGCTAGTAACCGCCGTACGGAGTGCTCTGTCGGCCTGCTGCCCACCAAGACTTGTGCCTCCCAAGAAGGTCCCAGAAGACACAGAAGGAGCTGAGAAATATCGCTCTTGCCGTGGTTCACAAAACCATTCTTCGGTCTCCATCCATATTTTCCTCTTGGCCCAGTCACCCAGAATCCTTATCTTCACTCTACCGCCTCACTCCTTTCCTTTCTTCCTGCCATCCCATGCCCGTCTCCCCATCCTAACGTCATCGTCATACTATGATTTCCGCATTGTTCTGCCGCATTGCCAGAATGAAATTTCGCAACGGCCACTGCTGCTAGACCCTCAAGAAGCTTTTCGCCTTTTCAGCAAGTACAACAGGCTGCGATACGCTGCGATACAAATAGTGGATAATTCTGCAGTCACAGGCATCTCGATTCTTTCACGGACTGAGGGTTACGCCTGTCAGTTGTTAGGATTTGGTGGTTTGCGCTCTCGCTCATTCATTCAAGTCTATCTACGATACCAGCGAAGCCGAAATGGAGGGTGTTGAGACAGTTGATGTAAGCTGGCTGCATCATTCTCAGAAAGGTACATCCTACTTGCTTTGGTTCTCCGCATTCAAGCATTCTAACCCCGGCAGACAACAACCTTTCTCGCTGCAGATCCGCCTCATCCTTTGGCAACGACGTGGAAAATTCGACGGCACAGCAAGCCAATTCCGAAAAATCTCCTCTGGACAAATCATCGCCAATCGCACAAGATGCATCTTCCCGCCCAAAGTCCGCCAAACCGGACGTACACAACGCCAGCTCCCGGGCTGACAAGGAAAGTCGGAATGGCGAATCCACCGCAAGCAACGGAACAACCCCGTCGTCAGACTCATTCCCGAAGAGCGCACCGAAACCGATAGGAAGGCGAGGCTCATGGATTTCAAGCCTTAGTTCCAAGTTCTCCTCTGGCTCTACCCCTCCGTCGCAGTCCAACATGAAATCCCCGACAGCGCCAAAAGCAAGCCCTCCCGCCTCAAAACTCGACATGCATAACCCGTTTGGAGCAGCATATTCGCCAAAGGACAAGGAGGAAGAGAGAAAAGACGAAAATACCCCTTTCACGTCGAGTTCGCCTCGGGGGCCGTCGTTCTTGCAGAGCGCGTTCCGGAAGTTGTCCTCATCTGGCTCTGGAGGAGGAAAACCAGCTGCTGGAAATGCTGCGGTTTGTGAGCGTCGCACATTGAATATTGATAAAGACCGGGATAGGTGTAAAGTTCCGAATTTGAATCCGGCGAAGCTGCGGCGGGTTGCCTTTTGCGTTGACGTCGAAATTGCGGGTATAGCCCCCCGTGACGATGAAGAAAGCCCGAGCACAGCACGACGCCATGTTATCGAGCTGAATGGTCACAAGCCGAAACGTTCAAACTCGAAATCGAAAAGTAAAGACGAGGCAGAACCGCTGAAGCGTCCGCAAGCTACACAGGCGGAGAAAGAGACATCGGCGCAGGAGAACGGCGCCCCGAATAGCAGCCCACCTACAGCACCAGCGAATGAGGACAATCCCAAGGGCGAGACCAAGGAACCCACACGAAAGCAAGAAAAGAAAAAGCGATCAGAAGAGGAGAGACGAGAACGGAAGGAGAGGAAACGTAGACTAGCGGAGGCAAACGGCTCGATTCCGCTACAGCTGACAGCTGATGATCATGAGGGCGATCCTAGAAACAGCGCACCTGGCGGCACCCGGTCTGGAGCGCAGAACCATCCGACAACGGATCCTATCCGAATCTACCGACGTTGTTGCCAATTGCGTGAAACTCCTGTCCTCAAACGAATAGTTGATGAGATTTCGTCGCCTTCGTCAACGCTCGCGGAATCGCCTGGTACTGTCGCTGTCTTGAATCTTACCAATTTCCCCATGACTGCCGAGGACATTGCCACATTCAGCGACTGGTTGGCTGTTGTACCAGTGCGGAAATTGATCCTCGAGAAATGCGCCCTGACGGATGATGCCGTCCGCGCCATACTTTCCGGTCTCCTTTCTACCAAAACCGTGGAGCAGATGAGGCGTAGGCGTGGGAAAAAAAGCAGAGGCAACAGCCAACCACAGGAGAAGATTGAGAGGTTTAGTGTCGTGGAAAGATTATCTCTGAAGGATAATTCCAAGATCGGCCCGGAAGGATGGCGCCATATCAGCCTATTCATCCATCTGTCCAAGTCTCTAAAAGCCATCGATCTCTCAGGCATTCCTCTGCCAAAAACAACTATTCCGCTCAATGATTCTACAAACTTACCTCCGCGGGGAATTAACCCTGCCCCCTCTTCCGCGCACATAGACGTGGCCGCCGTGTTTTCAAATTCTCTTTCAAATCGATTTGGTGCCGATCATCTCGAGGAATTGCTGTTAAGCGAATGCAAGCCTACAATGGACGAGGTGAAGAAGATTTGTGAGGCTGCCACAACCGTTGGTTTGAGGAGGCTAGGCTTAGCCAATAATGGAGTAACCCGTGAAGGCCTGCAACATGTTGTCAATTATCTAGAATCCGGGAAATGCGAAGGTCTCGATCTGGGCGGGAATCCCATAGGGGAGGATCTGGATCTCATCACTGATGCTATCGAGAGTCACTTGCCTCTTTACGCTCTAAGTCTGGCAGACTGTTCCCTGACTCCCTCCACCATCTACCCGCTGCTTCAAGCCTTCACGCATCTGCCCAACATTCGATTCATCGACTTCTCACATAACCCTGCATTGTTCTCTACACAACCGGATGCCTTGTCGACTCTTAGACGCTTCCTGCCTAAGATGCCCAACTTGAAGCGCATTCATTTGGCTGACGTTAACCTTTCTTCTGACCATACGATAGCTCTTGCCGAGATTATCCCCGAATGCCCGAGTTTAAGCCATTTGAGCATCTTGGAAAATCCTGCCATTGTTGCTCTTGCATCGGCGACGGACCCGGAGGCTCAGGAAGAAGCGTGCGCGGTTTATGCATCTTTACTTGCCGCAGTGCGCGTATCAAGAACCATCATAGCTGTTGATATTGAAGACCCAAGCGCCGAAAACAATGAAGTTGTCAAAGCCTTGGCATCTCAGATTGTCGCATACTGTCTTCACAATCTTGAAGGTGGAGCTCTTGAAGCCGAGCTCTCTGGGAACATCGATCCGTCGCAGCCACGGACGGCGGTCCCGATTCCTGAAATCCTTCAGCATATCGTTGGTAATGGTACTGCTGATGAAGGGGTTGATGAGGATGACGAGCTTGCTCCTGATGAAGACTATGTCATCGGGGGTACAGGTGTAGTCAAAGCCCTAGGGGTATGTCTCGGTAATCTTGATCAACATATGCCAGGCGACGTGTCCGGTCCTCCAAGTGGAACAACAACACCCAGGCATCGAAAATCAAGGTCATTGGCTGCCAAACGTCCCCGCGATATGTCTAAGAATCTTCTGGATTCAGCTCGTGGCATACGCAGCAGGATTGAGTCGGCACTTGTGCGCGAGGATCGTGCAGGCAATGATGACAATTACAGTAAGTTTCTAATCGCGTTGCTTGTTACAGGACGCTGCTAACGTGCCTATCTAGGGCGTCTCCAATTCCTTGACTTTACACTACAAAAAATGATCCAGCGCTTCGAGGATGAATACCCGGAGACGCGGATTATACCGCAGCCTCTGAAGCCAACCCAGGACACAAGCTCTCAGAATTCAGGAGACGACAGCTATCTTGCTACAAGTATAGGGAATCTCCAGTCAGCTGGCGCTACACTTGATAATGAGAACGCGGTTGATGATGACGAAGGTGACCAATATGCTGTCCGGCTGTCGCGGGCGAGTTCCATTACATCCCTTTACTCTCGTGCAATGACATCTGAAGAAGGTCATGTCCACCGTCTTGGACAAAACATACGTCGCGATTTCCTCCCCCTAGACCAGGCAGAGGAAGGGGAGTCCTCCGAAATGATGGATGAGTCGCAATTTACAGCCTTGCGGGAGAAGCTGGATCGGTTACATGAAGAACAGACCCGCTCGCACTTTGAGAGCGTGGGTGCCGACAAGGCTTTCCAGGAGCTGGGATCCACGGTCGAGGAACTATGGGCGATCCAACGACAGGACTCAGAAGCCTACGAAAGATTCAGACAGAGCCAAATTGCTGCTCAAATCAATAGCGGTAGAAGGACGCCCTCCGTGTCGGACACTAATAGGGCCAGAGCAAGCAATATCGGTCGCGAACAGCCATCGGCTCCATGATCTAGCACTTCTTTCGGTCGACCATCTTTTGTCGCGAAGATATAGTGCGCACATTTACATTCTATCGGCCACTGTATTGTTGATCTTCTATATACCCATTACGGTACATGTCTTTCGCTTCTTATATGATGATCATTAGCGTGTATATTTGGCATAGCATATTTCTACTTTATTACATTCTTTCTGTACTTTTATGGATGTAACAATATTTTGTGTGGTAACCTTTGCAGGTCACTATTTCTTATGTTCGAGCGTATAATGTAGATTCAACGAGTTCTGCCCGTAAACACAGCTTCCACTGCTCAGTGTCTGGTGACATCATGGGCGAACTCGACCTTGGCGAGCCTCGGCTCCAACCCCAGACTTGCGAAGAGGCCCGGTCGCCTTCACATGCCAATCATGCGCCTCCAGCAATCTTACCTTTCCTCAATCAACTCCGGCCATATCGTGTCCTTCTAGGGAAGCAATACAAACGGACATGTCGTCTTACGTTGACTCTGGGTAAAATCATTCTCGTTCTCGTGTGAGCGGCCACTCTGTCGTTATGGCTGCTCAATCGAAGCTCCTTCCCCAGGAACGCCCCATACGGCACATCTTCTCCAGCCTAGCATCATCATACCTCCGCCACCGCACCAATATCTCCCGCACAGTCTATCTCGCTCTCTTTGCTGCCCTCGCTAAGCGGATACATAATGCCATCTCCGAGCAGAAGGCGGCCTCTCAACACCAGGCGGATCTGCGGAGGAAGCCAGGAACCAGCAGTCTCGGCGATGGCGAGGACAAACCACGGAAGAAAGTTGGGGTCAATCGTGAGTTCTTCAGGAACTTAGCGCGTCTATTGAAGATTGTGATTCCGGGTTGGCGGAGTAAGGAGCTACGGCTGCTCATGAGCCATAGTGTTTTCCTGGTGCTCCGGACGCTGCTTAGTCTGTACGTCGCTGAACTGGACGGGCGGCTTGTCAGCAACTTGGTGCGGGGGAAGGGGAAAGATTTCTTGCTGGGCCTAGTGTGGTGGATGATCGTTGCTGTTCCAGCGACATTTACGAATTCTATGGTGAGTTTTATGCGTTCCCGGGGCTAGGATAGTGGCTATGGGAGTTAAGAGTGGCTAACATGTTCCTTCAAATAGCTTTCTTATCACCAGTGCAAGCTTGCACTTAGCTACCGCAAGCGCCTTACCGACCACATCCATGAGAAATACCTCTCGAATATGACCTTCTATGCGATCTCGGCTTTAGACGACCGGGTCAAGAACCCCGATCAACTCATCACCGTCGACGTATCTCGCTTCTCTGATAGTTTGGCGGAGCTATACTCTAATCTTGCCAAACCGATCCTTGACATGGTGATCTACAGCTACTCGCTCTCGAAGAGTGTTGGTGGTGAGGGCCTCTTCATTATGAGCCTCTTGGTTCAAATATCTGCCAACGTCATGCGAGCACTAACACCACCATTCGGCAAATATGTCGCCGATGAAGCTCGTCTGGAAGGAGAGTTCCGGTTCCTTCATTCAAGACTGATTGACTACAGTGAGGAGATTGCGCTATATCATGGCCACGAGGCAGAGAAGGACACCTTGGACAAAGGCTATTTCACCCTCATAAAGCATGTGAATCGCATCCTGCGCAGGCGCTTGTACCACGGATTTATGGAGGACTTTGTCATCAAGTACTTCTGGGGCGCACTGGGTTTGATTCTATGTAGTGTCCCAGTTTTCTTCCGAATCCCTGGTCGAGTTACCCAAACCATGGGCGACCGTACAGAAAGTGAGTTCATACTGCTCCCGGCTACTGAACGATGTCCCATAACTAACGATCACGGCAGGCTTCGTCACTAACAGACGGATGCTTCTCTCTTCCTCCGACGCCTTCGGCCGCCTAATGTTCTCCTATAAGGAAATATCCGAGTTAGCAGGCTACACAGCGCGCGTCTCCTCCCTAATGGACGTAATGGACGACCTACTAGCCGGGCGCTTCGAAAAGAAGCTCGTATCCTCCGCCTCAACAGAAGAAAACGCCGCCGTGCTCTCCGGCCGCGGCATCATCGAAGAAAGCTCCGCCATCGAATTCACCGACGTCCCCATCGTCTCCCCCAACGGCGACGTCCTCGTCCGCAAACTCTCTTTCACCGTCCACCCAGGCGACCACCTCCTCATCGTCGGCCCCAACGGCTGCGGCAAGTCCTCCCTCTTCCGCATCCTCGGCGGCCTGTGGCCCGTCTACGGCGGCCGCGTAAAGAAGCCCCGCTTCGACGATATCTTCTACATTCCACAACGGCCCTACCTCTCCCGCGGCACGCTCCGGCAACAGGTCATATACCCCGACGGCGTGCGCGAGATGCGCGCAAAGGGAATAACAGACGCCGACCTCTACGAGATCCTCTCCATCGTCGAAATCGCCTCAGTCGTCGACCGCCCTGATGGGTGGGACGCAGAGGAGGAATGGCGCGACGTCCTATCCATCGGTCTCCAGCAGCGAATCGCAATGGCGCGACTCTTTTACCACCGGCCGAAGTTTGCGATTCTGGACGAGTGCACGTCGTCCGTGACGCTGGAGATCGAGCGCGTCATGTACGAGACTGCCAAGAAGCTGGGGACGACCCTTATGACCGTTTCGCATCGGCGCAGTCTGTGGAAGTACCATAAGATGATTCTGCAGTTTGATGGGCAGGGAGGGTATATTTTTACCGGGTTGGATTGGGAGAAGAGGATGAAGCTGGAGGAGTAAGTTCCTCCCTCTTTTTCTTTCATACTTTCGATTTTTGTTGGGTTGGATTGGGTTGAGTTGATGCTGACTGCTTCTGTGCTTTTAGTGAGAAGGAAGAGCTTGACCTCCACTTGAGAGCTGTACCGGAATTGCAGAAGAGGATGGTTGAGTTGACTTCTGGGTAGATGGGTGCAAATATACCTTGCCGCCAATGTATGGGTATGGCCAGGTATTGATGAGATTAGGGAACTGGCTCAACGAACTATATAGCTAGCTTATGAGATCTGTACTGAGTAGCGCATCGCATTGCATCTACTAGAGTGGCGACATTCTTACTCGAACGAATACTAGTTGGGTGAAGCTTGAGTTCGAAACCACATGAACTTGACGACAGTCTCTTGTAATGCAGATGCACTAGCTAAGTCTACCTATGCTGAAACCCTGGGGGTCGCTCGATGGAACGGAATCACAACTCTGAAGACTTAACAGGAACGAAACATCAAATCCATACAGACAAATTAAGACAATCAACATTGAAAAACAGGTCAACATCGCAAGGCCCTGAAATGCACATCACAGTGGGGCAGAGCATCAACCATCAGAGTCCATGGGCATTTAATAGTCTTTGACAGCCAACGGCTCCACGTTCCAGATACTCTCCGCATACTCATTAACCACACGATCTGTCGAAAAGAATCCCATCCTAGCAACGCTAGTGATGCTCTTGTTCACCCACTCGTCACGATCCTTGTATGCCTCGTCAACCATCTCCTGTGTGGTAATGTACGAGTTGAAGTCGTCCGAGACAAGGTAGTAGTCGCCATGCTCCGCAATGGAGGCGAGTAAGGCAGAGAAATGCGAAGGCTCCCCAAATGTGCCGGATCGGATGGCGTCGAAAACGCCGGCTAGGTGCGAGTCGAGAGTGAAGGCGCCGTACATGTGCTTGTGCCGGATCTCTTCGACGTCTTCGGCGAGGTTTCCAAAGAGGAAGATGTTTTGCTCGCCGATCTCGCGGGTAATTTCGATCTGTTGGTGGTTAGTGAAGCATCGCGGTGGACCAGTTAGGGCTAAAGTGGAGGAGTAGGATACGAGGCGATAGTTAGGCTGAGAAAAGAAGGAAACGGAGACCTACATTAGCACCATCGCAGGTTCCAATAATAAGACCACCGTTGAGAACGAACTTCATGTTGCTGGTTCCGCTTGCCTCGGTACCAGCTGTGGAGATGTGCTCACTGATGTCGGAGGCAGGGCAAATGATCTCTGCTTTGCTGACGTTATAGTCTTCGACGAAGATAACTTTCAGAAGATCGCCCACATCCGCGTCGTTGTTGACGACAGACGAGACCTCATTGATGAGATGGATGATTGTTTTAGCCATCCAGTAACCAGGCGCTGCTTTACCACCAAATATGGAGACTCGGGGCTGGACTTTCTTCTTCTCCTCAGCAGACATGGACTTGATCTTGAGGTAGCGGTGAATGACCCCGAAGATGTTTAGCTGCTGGCGTTTGTACTCGTGGATACGTTTTACCTGAACGTCGAACAAGGAGTTAGGGTTCACGCTGTATCCGGTGGTTTCTTTGATGTGCTTGGCCAGCCGCAGTTTGTTCGACGTCTTAATTTCCACCCATTCCTGCTGGAACGCCTTGTCATCTGCGTAGGCTTCTAGTTGATCTAGAAGGGTCAAGTCGGTTAGGAAATCATACCCTCCAAGCTTGGAGGCGATCAGGTCAGACAGCCTGGGGTTCGCTTGGTGAAGCCAGCGGCGAGGAGTGACACCGTTGGTGACATTCATAAACTTGTCCGGGCCATAGATTTCCACGAAGTCTCTGAAGATGGTAGACTGGATTAGGTCCGAGTGCAATTCGGCGACACCGTTGACTTTGTGAGAGCCAATGACTGCTATATGAGCCATCCTGACCATCTTGGGGTGTGATTCCTCGATTATGGAAACTCTCGAGAGGATCTCGCGGTCATTGGGAAACTTTTTCTCCACGAACTGCAAGAAGTATAGGTTGATCTCGAAGATGAGTTGCAAGTGTCGTGGAAGGAGGTTTTGCAAGAGAGGAACCGACCACTTCTCCAGGGCTTCCGGCAGGACGGTATGGTTGGTGTAGCCGAAAGTGTTGGTCACGATTTCCCAGGACTCGTCCCAATCGAGGCCTTCCTTGTCGATGAGAATGCGATGCAGCTCAACTATTGCCAGCGTTGGGTGGGTATCGTTGAGCTGGATGGCAACCTGGTCCGAGAACTCGCTCCAGGCTCGACCTGTCTTTTTGAACCTTCTTACAATGTCATACAGGGAAGCAGCGCACCAAAAGTACTGCTGCTTCAACCGAAGCTCTTTGCCCCTATCTAGGTTATCGTTGGGGTACAGGACAGCTGAAATCGTTTCGGCGCGTTGCTGATCTGCCACTGCACTCTCGTAATCACCGGCATTGAACTTTTGGAAGTCAAACTCGCCGCTAGCTGCTTTGCTCGACCATAAACGCAGATTGTTCGTCGTACGAGTCCCATATCCGGGGACGGGAACATCGTACGCCACGGCTTGTACCGTCTCACCGTCCTGCCAGGAGTGTACGGTCTTTCCGTTTTCATCCTGGTAAGTTTTCACCCAGCCGTAGAATTGGATGTCGACAGCAATATCATGACGGGGGAACTCCCAAGGATTGAAGTCAAGCCAGTAATCAGGAATTTCAACCTGGTAGCCGTCCACGATCTCCTGCTTGAAGATTCCGTATCGGTATCGGAGCCCATAACCCCAAGCAGGGTAATTGAGCGTTGCAAGACTGTCAAGTAGGCATGCTGCTAGACGTCCCAACCCACCATTACCAAGGGCAGCATCATGCTCCTGGCTGATTACATCCTCAACACGGAAACCGAGATCGCCTAGACCCTCTATGCATGGCTTAGTATCAGAGCCCTTCTGATAAGGACTCAACTCGTACCTTTCGCAACGTCCTTCATGCCTACATTGAGCATCGCATTATCGAGCGCTCTGCCCATCAGGAACTCAAGGGACAAGTCTGTTCATGGGGTCAGCACGAGTAAAAGGCAAGAAATGTTCGTCCTACAGTAGACTCGTTTCTGGTCGTTTAGGGTTTGTCTCTGCTGGGTTTTGTTCCATTCGATGATCAACCGGTCTCGAAAAGCCAAAGCGGTTCCGTAATACGCAGCCCTAACAGCTGGTCAGACTTTGGATTCGAAGTGATCAAGGGAGGGAAAGTACAGCTCGTCACAATTGTACAGCGAGCGTGCCAGTGTGATTTCGACGTGGTGTACGAGTTCGTGCTGTTGAGATGAGCGCGGTCCCGAAGCTGTAGGGTTGAAGGAAAGAGAAGCGGACATACTTCGAAGTCATCTTTGTTGGTAAAGCCAGAGGCAGACTAGAATGTATGTTAGCTTTATCCTAAGTAGGAATCGTCTTTGACAGCTTTGTCAGGTTGCCGGTGGTGTCTCACATGTTTCTTCCATCTAAAGGAGGACCGGTTAGTTGTGTCAACCGATGGGCACTATAAAGAAGGCCACTTACGCCTCCCTCAAAGCTTCAGGGATACTGGCTTCAACGCTCTTAATCTCCGCCTTTCCAAAGCCAGTGTAATTGCGCTTGTGCTTAGGCCGACTGAAGCCAGGTCCAATCGGGCCTTGGAGATCCGAGACCGGCGCTCCAACCGAGGGCCTTCTTTCGTGGCGTCCCTCAGACATGATTCCGGTAGCTGATGTTGCACAATGCGGCGGGGCACGAGTTGGGGAGATGGATGGCCTGGGTGTTGCGAACAAAGCAACGCAATGCAACGGTTGGGGGAATGAACGAGCACGGCACAGTAAGCTTCGATGATGGATTGAGAAACGAATTGGCAGGATGAAGCGAAGGGCAGAGGGGAGGGGGATAAAAGGTAGTAAAGAGGGGGACGGCAGTAGTGGTATGAGGATGAGGATGAGGAGAAGGAGGAGCTATGGCCTGGTCTTTGTACCCCGTGACGGGCATGCTGGGATTAAAACATGGAAAGCACCAAAACGGCGCATTGAGGGGTTTTCGAGGTCAGCACGGGCACTTGGGCTGCACCTGCAGTGAACCCATGTTGGTGAGCTCAAGGCCGTTTCGACAATCCGGACTGGTTCAAGATGCGCAGGCTCAAGAGGCTAGCTGGGGGTCTAGACTTGCCCTCCACTGCGGAGAATCAGCCGTCAAGTGCTCAGGGCGCCGATTTTAGTGGCTACGGCCCGCCTGGAAATACGTGTATAGAGCAGCTCATATGGCATGGTGTTTCTTGATTCTCATGGTCCAGAGATAGCTAATGCCCCTCTACTACTATGACGCAACCACTATATGCGACGATGCTAATCTGACCATCCCGGCACTGGTCTATATGGTTCGATCTGAAATGCCAACCGGAAACCTGCCTTAACGACGCCACTGCCTTGGTTTTTATTATCTCTAGCCTGCGACTAATTAATAGAGCCTCTTAGCGATTATCCAGTCGGTGCCGGTGAGAGCTTAACGTGGAATTATAGAACATGAATCATCAGACACTACAACTTGGGAAGTGAATTCGAAGAAACCCTGCTCAAGGGCGGCATGATACAAAGACACTGACCATGAATGGTCGAACGTAAGAAAAAATAGTAACAACAGGAGAAACAATCTCAGGGCACATGAGACCGGATATCAGAAGCCCTCACGCATGATATATGCAAAGTATAGTGCCGAGGTCTGCAACTTTTAGATCACAATATAGCGCTCATGTATCCCAAAACAGCGGGGACTCGATGGGGAAAAATAAGGAACAAGGTAACTCGTGCCAATGACTAAACGATGCAGACAAACGGCGTGGGAGCACGCGCCCGCCCGCTCTCAACAGGATTAAGGTGGAAAATTATAAACGAGCAGAGCAAAGAGACCACCATGCTAGAAGTACCAATGAACATGATCCGACCCGGCGCCAAAGAAATGGGTAGTTGAAAAACAAAATGCCGGAACGCCGATAACTCTCCGCCAAAAAAACGTAGGAAGGGGAATAGAACAAGGAGAAAGAGAGAAATCGAGAGCGAACGTAAAGCCATCAGGATGAAAATGTAGAGTGGACGCAGAAGAAGGTTGCGTTCGTTATGATGGAGCCTGTCGGGCTTGAGGCGGCGACGACTCAGTTGTCGTTCACAGTATGCCTGAATCTTTCAGAGCGTTTTGCAGAATGGTCTCCTTCACCGCGGCGAATACTAGCCGGATATTCGTTGTGTCGGTAGCTTGAGTCAAGCTATGGGGCAATTGTCAGATAATCAAGGCAGAAAAAGAGTCATCAGCGGAGACTTACTGAGGGTACAGGTTCAGGTGCGCCCTGTTGACCTGGTTAAACCTCCAAAGAAGGTATTTCGCGGCCCGATTTACATCATTCCCCCCTGAGTAGTCTGGAAAGTAGTTGCTCAAAGGGGAGCGAGGTAACTTTTGCCGGAAGAGATCCACCTTGTTTAGGAAAAGGATGATGCTTGTTCGCATGAACCATCGAGAATTGACGACAGAGTCGAAGAGTACCAGACTCTCCATCATCCGGTTCTACCATAGAGCGTTTAGCCCATGCAAGAATACTGCGTATGATGCAGACTTACCTGGTTCCCCTCCTCCAATAACACTTGGTCGTATTCGCTCAAGGCCACGCAGAAGATAATAGACGTGACATTTTCGAAACAGTGAATCCACTTTTTTCTCTCGCTGCGTTGGCCGCCGACATCAAACATACTATAGCAAACGTTAGTCTTGATCGGCAATTTGACGCAAGTAGTTGCCATACTGAATGCTCAATTGACCCATAGTGAACCGTGTCTCGTAGATACCCGTCGTCTTGGTTCTTGCGCGCAGCACATCATTGACATTTGGTATATAATCTGGTGCTGTTATGCGCTTCGCCTCCTCAAAGAAACTAAAATCTCGTTCAGCATGGGTAATTGAGGAAGCTTGGGGGATCCTCACTAAGGCGCTGAGTCCATCAAATAGAACTCATTCTGTCGTTCAAGTGCTGTTGACGTGCACGGATCGTTCCAGATGTACGCTATCGCGTCTCCCACTGTTGGATCCAGCGGTATATTGGGGTCCGGGTCGATGTTGTAATCGGTGAGAAACTCGATGTGATCGCGGACTTTCTGGCTCGTCGGTTCAAGGTTGAATTGGTGGTAGGCTCCGATCAGGGCTTTCGCGCATTCGAGAAGGTTTTTGTAGACTGTGAGACGGTACAGCGCTAGCTCCTCGACTGTGTATCCGTTCTGATGGATGATCTTCATTTGTTTGACAATTGTCGATTTACCGCTCTCTCCGGACCCTACCAGGAAAGAGGTATGTTAGCTGAAGATATCCAGAGGCCTGTCGGATGCTGAGAGCCGACAAACGAAAAGGGAGCTGTAGCGTACCGAGTAGCAGAATCTTGCATTCCCGCCGTAGACGCCTCGAGTCCTCTTCTAATCTCCGATCGATTGCCTGGCTTCTCTTCTTCTGTTCCACATCTCCTGCCGACTCTGAACTGAAACACGACCCCATTTTCTAGGAACTGTGGTTGATGGCGTCGGGCTGAACCATACGCTATTCACTCGAGCGAGCGGCGTTGGCCGGTCAAAGATGGTTAGGCCCAGTTGACACAAAGCCGGGAGCGACAGGCTGACCCTACAAGTCGCTATTGTTATTTGCGCGATGGAGGGGCGATTTAGGATGGATTCGAAGCGACTGGAACTTCTCGAGGATTGGTGACGCCCGCAGAGGGGATCGAGAACAGATGGTGGTCTCAGGGACAGACGGGGAAGGATTAGGGATCGGACGAAGGTCTGAGCAGCGACTGCAGGCTGCCGAGGACGGAGGTGACGGGTTGCGGCGCAGGTGACGAAACTAGGGAGAGGACGGAGAAGAGTTGCGAGCAGAGTCCAGCTGTGGAAGAGCAACGTCTCGCCAGGGCCGGTCGAATGGGGTGAGGGGTGACAGGATACAAACTGCGGAGCAAGAAGGCGTGAGAGAGTGACCAGCCGACGCTAAGAAGGGTAGCAGAGGGCGATCGGGGGATGATGTGGGAGTTGAATGGGGGCGGATCTCCAGAGTCAGATAATGTAAGCAAGCACCGCTTCCAACTGGAGAGGTTTGAGAGCGAGGCGGAACAGAGACACGGGGATATGCATGTAATACTAACAATTAGGTTGGTCAGTCTTATTGTTTCTGAAGTCAGGACACGTTGTGTAAGAGACATGTCTCTAATTCTGGTTGAGACCAAACGCCCAAGGCCTCAGGATGAGCTACCGTAATCTGCCTTGCTCTCCAGCAACGAACGAATCTAAGGGCAGCTAATCAGCGAAGCGACCTGACGTCGTGGGATTAGTGGCGGCTATTACTATTTGCACTATTATTATGTATTATCGCTCTAGGCTTTGATATGATTGCTATAAAGAAACATGAGAGTTCGTCATCGACCGCGGTCGCGGTGGAGTTGAGCTGAAGAGGATCCCCTTCCATACGTAATTTGTACCCCGGAGTAAGCTGTGAACTAGACAGATGCGTGGTTATCCATCCTTATCCATCTCGATCTGTGGGAATAATATGTGGACCGGGACAGTTAGCCGCAAATATTAATAAGGACTCCCCGGTAGTGATAGTCGACAAACATAGTCTCCAGATCCAATTTCCCATGAATCGGGCAGCTGTGACATCAGTTCCTGCGCGCATGGCCGAAATTAAGCAATACCGAGTAATGATAGAGGCCTGTGGGAGCTGGATTCTTTGGCGACGCTGGTGTGACAGCCATTAAATAATCTTCGTTACACACGCCTCATGGCTTTCGTCTCCCCCGTCTATGCGTCCTATGGCTGCTATATATAAATCAGACTCGATGTCCTAGGTTCATCTTGCAGCTCGTTCCCGCCACTACATCGCAAGTTCATAATACATGAGTTCCCCTACCGTTTCCGCCAGAAGCGCGGCAAGCTCCATATTTCAAGATTCAATTTACAGCTGTCACAGACAGAGTCTTCAGCCAACCATCTCGCCCGGTTCAGACACCCTTTCTTGGTGGCACAACCACGTGATGCCAATCAAATTGCTTGTGCAACAACAGAACCAACAGAACCAAAGCGACAGATCTACGACCCAATCCCCTACAAAGTACAAACGCTCTGCAAGGTTTCGAGGTCTTGCCGAGCTGGTGCCTGACAGGACAACTCGATGAATGAATGATTATGGCGGGGTAACCCCGTTTGACTTTCGCCCTTTCGAGTGTCTTTTTGGGGCGAAATCGCTCTGCCCAGTTTGCCCGGACGCCGCCAGTGTTACTGAGGCTGGGCTCCAGCCTCCTGATGCCCATGTCTGTATCAAGTCAGCGCTGGAGTGGGGAGAGCGCGGTTGTCACTTTCATTATTGCTCGCTTGGCGCCTATTTGACTTGCAAGTTGGGTACTTTTTTACCTATCGTTTCCGATGAAAAGACCTCAATTCATGTGATTCTACAGAGTACTTTCCATAAACCCGCGGAGAAATTGGACGAACCAGAAAATGGAAAAAGGAACGGATGAGAAGTATCCAGCTATATTGTGGACGAGGGGCGCATCAAATAATGGTTGGTGAAGCCACAGAGGTTCTCTTTCAGAGTCTTTCAACATTTTAGGCCGCCTCAAAGAGTCAGGATCCCGCGTCTTGTCCCGGAAGCTGTCGCCTCGCGGATGAAATGAATAATAAGCTCAAGCGCATAATCCGGGCTCGAGGACATCCGGCTGCCGCAGTGAACCACACCTGGTGCTTAATCGAGAAGCTCTTATCCGGTCTGAAACGTGCGACAACCAGGTGACTTTGTGCACCAAGGCCATTACGATCGGGGATCTATAAGCTATGCCCTAGCTATTGATTTGTCTATCGTTTGTGTCGGCATCCGCTAACAGTATCAAGTCTATTGGCCGATATCTCGTTGTATGACATTGCACGCATTGTTTTGCGGTCTCGCAATATCAAACTCCCTACATGGATATGCGCGTTCATGCATCTGATTGCAATGCGCCACGTGATGAACTTGAAACTCGTCGGCGGTCCAACTGGAGAGTCACTGTTCTCTGTAACTGCCCCTTGCCTTCATGACTACCATGCACATTTCCGATGATGGGCCAGATGATAGGCTTAGGATCTTCGATAAGTCTGATACCAGGCCGAGGGGTCGAGGCTGACTTGACACTGAGAAAAGAACTGAGCATAGAGAGGGTGCATAGGCCATTACTCATGAACTGCCCTTGCTCGTGGAGACCAGTGTGTTGCCCTCCGCTGGCTAGTGAGCTCATAACGGCCGATCTGGCATCGACACAAACACACATTTGAACAGAGTGCGGCATCTCTTTGTGCAATGCTGGCCAGGAGACTTCGGCCTTTCGTCCACTGTCCCAACCACTAGTAGCCTTCAGTAGTATCAGGGCACGAAGAGGATAGTACCTAACGCAAGGCGTCTGTGGTTATACATCAAGACAGCTGGATTTATGCCTGAGCGTGGCACAGTGTTATCAGCTTGAACAATGCAAACACTCGCATGAGAAGCTATATATATTTAAGGTAGTGCTACTGTGATGCCTCTATATATACACCCTCTGGCCTGCATCGATCGATACCCACCCAATCTGGCCCACAGCGCTAATGTCCACTAGTTATTTATGACCATACAATTACACAGGGAATTATCATAATTAGCCACAGGCCAAGTAAATTACAGGCAGAGGATAGTACTATAACAAAGGGAAGTGAAATTAAAGCTATTTGCACCTTATAAAGTTGATATAAAAGCTACAAATAAGCAAATAAAGCAAATTATACACACTGGCCGTTTAACTATTACATAGCGCTAGCAGCTCACTAAGTGGATCTCACGAAGTGGGTATCGATCGATGCAGGCCAGAGGGTGTAGGACTGCAGGGCGGTGAGTGTGTGTGTGTGTTGTCATAGTAAATTGGTTTGAAGATTGAGTCCACACAGTGTGCTGTGCAATACCAGCCAGAATACATGAGTTTGGTCAGACGAGAGAACTATCGAAGGGTTGGCAAGCTGAGTCTCAAAGACATCCGTCTGCTTCGGCTCTCGCTGCCTCTCAAGATAATAATGCGAACGCGCTGTGTTGATGTTCGAGCCAAAGCCGAAGAGGGTCCGGTCCGGAGGTCTACCGTCTATGACGTAGTGCATTTAACTTGACTCTGGGACCCTCCACCAAGACGCGCCCGCTAGTAGGTAGAATGGAGCCTAGAACTTTCTGTTTTCCAGCCCTTCCACAAACTGGCGGTCGGTCGGAGTCGAAAATCTTGTAGATAAAGTCAAAATTCAACTGGATGATGGCCGTGCAAGCTCACCTTATGGCAGAGGCTTACCTACTCTGTAATATGGCCCATGAGGGGTGACGAAGGGCATCTGTTGCCCAGTGCACTAGCGGATGTCATATTGAACGTTGGACAAGACGCTGAATTCTTGCAAGACGCCTGTTAGTAAGCTGTAATTGGAGGCTTGGAATAATCTTCCGGCCAATATGTGTGTGCTATGGTGAGGACGCCGAGTGTAGGGTGTTGGCCAACTCGCGGCCCTGTTGTCTGTCCCTTTCTCCAGGCTTGCTGCTCTGTTATCTGGAATCGCACGTCATTATTTTTCTGTTCCTTCAAGGATCGGAAACTTGCTACTAGCACAGCAAACTAGACTAAGTAGGAGGGCTCGTCCTGTTCCAGTTCCCCACACACCATTCATTTGGGCTTGCGCGCCACCACCTGCTCCCCTCGTCATTTCACGACAATCTTCTCTATCTTGTTCCTCAACTCTCTCCCCTCCATACTTTTTCTTCCCCCATCGCCCGCCCATTCCACGAGCAGCACCGTCAAGCTTCGCAGCCACAGACAACCGGATCGCCCGACTGCGCCCGTGCCTGCTGTTCCGGCTCTCTTTCGATCAAAATGGCGGAATTCGTACGTGCCCAGATTTTCGGCACGACCTTTGAGATCACCAGCAGGTAAGTCTGCTCGAGCGCGCGCAAGTAAACATGCATTCCATATTGACGTGACGACTTCGCAGATACACGGATTTGCAACCTGTAGGAATGGGTGCTTTCGGACTGGTCTGGTACGGCTCTGACCCCTCCCCCTCACGACGGCGGCGCATCGCCCAGTACAGCCTTATTTTCGCTGTTTCTCCTCCGGTTTAACCGCATCCCATGCTAACATGCACTGCCAACAATTATAGCTCCGCGAGGGACCAATTGACCGCACAGCCGGTTGCCGTCAAGAAAATCATGAAGCCTTTCAGTACCCCGGTTCTTTCCAAGAGGACTTACCGCGAACTGAAGCTTCTGAAGCACCTGCGACACGAAAATGTCAGTCCACGCCTATCATCTGCCACCTGGCATATCAACTGTGATATTAATGGCTAGCAGATTATCAGCTTGAGCGACATCTTCATTTCTCCTCTTGAGGACATGTACGCCTGCCCCGTCGTTCTCGCGCTAATCGTATTCCGCATCGTATCCTGACCATGTCTACAGCTATTTTGTCACGGAGCTTCTCGGTACCGATCTACATAGACTCATTTCTTCTAGACCGCTGGAGAAGCAGTTCATTCAGTACTTCTTATACCAGATTATGGTGCGTGTTATTCAGACGCCTCACGGGCTATCCAAGGGGGTCATGCTGACCATACCTAGCGAGGACTGAAATATGTTCACTCGGCAGGCGTTGTTCACCGTGACTTGAAGCCTAGCAACATCCTCATCAATGAGAACTGTGACTTGAAGATTTGTGATTTCGGACTTGCGCGCATTCAAGACCCGCAGATGACAGGATACGTCTCGACCAGGTACTACCGTGCACCAGAGATCATGCTCACATGGCAGAAGTATGATGCCAAGGTGGACGTTTGGAGCGCAGCATGCATCTTCGCCGAGATGCTGTTGGGAGCGCCTCTGTTCCCCGGAAAAGATCATGTCAATCAGTTTTCCATCATCACAGAGCTTCTTGGAACCCCTCCGGACGATGTGATTCAAACAATCTGCAGTGAGAACGTGAGTAACATGCCTGCTTCCATGTCGACCTTTCGAAACATCCGCTAATTGCGTTTTATGAGCAGACTTTGCGGTTCGTCAAGTCGCTACCAAAGCGAGAGGCCCAAAAACTGGAGAACGTGTCAAAGTTCGCATCGCTACTGCCTCGCGAAAAGGAATATTACGCCCAGCAGGGACACGAAAATGAACCGGAATATGTGGACTGGAAAAATGGTATGCACCCTTGACTTCAAAATGATACGTTCCAAAAACAGCCTCTCACTCGGCAATAGCCATAGGACTCCTCGATGCTATGCTGGTTTACAGCCCCAAAGATCGACTGAGTGCTACCGATGCACTTCAGCACCCCTATCTTGCACCGTACCATGACCCCTCCGACGAGCCGGAGGCGGAGGAGAAATTTGACTGGTCGTTTAATGACGCCGACTTACCCGTGGACACCTGGAAGATTATGATGTGGGTTTCGTGCTACATATCGATAAAGATCCTAGAGCTAACCCCGCATTTTTAGGTATTCGGAAATCCTGGACTTCCACAACATCGACCAAGGTGGTGACATCAATCCAGCCCTTGTCGAGGGAGCCGGGCTCAATCAGCAAGGATTCCAATAAAGCTCTTATAAATCGCGTGGATGCGGCGCCGGTAGCAGTACAAGCACGATCTTGGGCTTATTTCCCTTTTCCTTATATCTCTAGCATGTAGACTGGGCGTGAGAGCTATGATATGGTTTATATGTTTTATCTACGACCGATTACATTTACGTCATGCGCAATGTGTTTTTCTTAACGTCCGATCCACTTTTGTCCTCCTGAATGACTTTATCTTTTTGTTTTGTTGTATACAGCCACGGCCACTATTGTTGCTGGGTTTGAAAGATGGCGGTTTTGAGAGCTTCGAACATCAAAGCTCCCCTGCACGTGCGTCTGCTTGCCAGATTTTCATACAAGGCAGATATATATAAATGTACTTATTTTTGCTCAAAAACACCATCATTCTCCATACTCATACGTACTCAGGGGTCGGGAGCGGGGTCTTCTCATCGGCGACAATCCATCCAACCCCGTCACCGCCCACTAAAAGGAACTGATCTCCAACCGCTCTCTCCTTGTCTTTTTTTTCGAGCTTTGCATTGATTGTCCTTATTTATCTTACTCGAGCGGCCGTCTATTCAGTCCTTCGTTTGATTTTCGGGAGGGACGCTCCCCCGGTCACCACCAGAGTCCGCCCTGCCTTCTGTTTCGCTCGACACGACGCCATGTCGCACGCCCGGGTCCACGAGGACCCTATTGTCTTGGTCATTGATTTCCACCATGCTAGGTGAGTGCCTATGAAGAGTGAAGGATGGCGCCCGCATGGTTACCAGCAATTTGGTCGAGATTGAGCTTGCTGTTTCTCCCCGCATTTTAAACGTCGAGCTCCGTTTGCTTATGCAATCTCGACCAAACGTCGGAATACGCTTGGGAATCCGACGTACTGATTCAGAAAAGTACTGACGCCATTATCGTATAGGGGCCCAGAGATTGAACTATGCATTGGACCAGAAGGGACGGACCCCGCGGCGGAGAATGACTGGTCACTATTGCCTTTCATGGCGCTTTCAGACGGAGCGCATATGTACGATTCGGGACTCCTCTGTGACTCGGATACCTTCATTGACTTGGACTCGTGCTGTTAGGTCGACCGAGGAATTTTCATACTTTACCCTTCGCCGCAAAGGAACCGACACCGAACCTCCGACGTCACTTTTCGGTATTGCTTGTTCGAGGCAGATCGACTCGAAAGCTCTCATCCAGAAGTCACCCGATGTTACAAGGTCTACAGTACAGAAGGCGGTCGTGGTTGTAACGGAGAATCCGAAGAGCCTTGGGCAGCTTCGGGAGAAATTATCCGTTGTCACATCGGCATGGTTTGCGCAGCGGTACGTCAGTCAGCCATGATCATCTTGCTTCGGACTTGAGTGGAGGCTTGGAGATGGAAAGGATCACAAGAAGGGGAGGGAGACATGTGTCTAGGGGTCCTGGCTGATGTTTAGAGATTGAAATTAGGGACTTTTCCGATCTTGATATCTTGAAGGTAGGGATTTCTGATCAGTTGTGGATCATTATCTCCGCTAACGCGCTCTCCTCAGAAATTCCGCGAAGGGTTGGTCATAAGTTTGGCGAAAGAGGAAGGGTTCAAAGACCAAACACTCGGTAAGACTACATTGCGCTCAACAAGCGCGGTTAGCATGCTGACAAGTGCTAGGTCTTTCCCTACGAGAGATGATCCACGATTACAAGTACCAGACTCTTGTTTTATTCAAAGCCTTACTTTTGCAACCGAAGGTAGACCATTCCTTTGTTTTTATGCTCTCGTTCCATACTGATGCTTGCGATGGGTAGATGCTTTTCTTCGGCTCAAGATGCGAACGTCTATGCATGATTCAGTTCTCCCTGGTGTCTCTCATCCCGGGACTCATGAATCACCTTCAAGATTGCGCGGACCCGTCTTTTGACACTTACGCGCAGACGGTTGAGAAGCCGACCTCTCTCAGGACAAGTGATAGGAGCTCATGTATGATGCTGTCCATATCTCGCCGTTCGTGAACCTGATACTGATTATTGGCAGTGCTGGCATATATGGGCCTCCCGTTACAGATTTTTGGAAAGGTATGCATGCATGTAAATGACTTAGGTAGTATAGATATTGACTTTCTTTAGGGAAGCATGTTTGGACCATACACACCTCTGCAGCAGCTGGATCTGCTGGCAGACGATGGAACGAAATCATATGTTGTTGGATCTACGAATTCTTTGCTACTGCAGCAGAAAGACCGTTACAGCGACCTTTTAATAAACGTAAGCCAACTCCCTTGTATAGGAAATCTGCTCTAATCGGGACTACCTCAGCTCGACGAAGATACGATTAATATTACATCACCTTCTTTACGAAATGCATTGACCCTTTCCACGGCAGACCGACGGTGGATTGATGCCATTACCCAGATCGTGAATGATACATGGGACGAAGCACATCCCAACCAGCCCAAGACTCATGGTTACATGGGCTCGGAAGAGTTTATTAGGCTCCAATTTGAGGAGTACCTCCTTGCGTTGCTGTCAAGTATGAAATATCATGAAGAGCTCAACTCTTACCTCACTGGTGATACGGCCCGCCGTAACCGAGCCCAACTGGACTCTTACAATATCGAGGGCGATCCAGCACTAGAGTTCAACCAAGAGTTCCTAACCCAGTGGAGAAACACCTCCAACTATGCTTTATTCCAGCGCCTTACCTCTGACGCACTGTTATTCTCCGTCGCCGAACCTCGACACCCATCAGCTGGTGGCCTCACGATCGATGACGTTCAAAGACGAATCTCTCAACAAGTTGCAGACCTCCACCTCGATGAGAAAGTGCGCGAAGGCCGTGAAGCACTCAACCGGCATATCTCGACTGGGCAAAAGAAAGTGTCTGCCGCTTTTAACAGTTTCTGGGCAGACATTGAAGCTATGCGCGAAGCGCAGCGCAAACGGAACGAAGACAAGGCAACAAGTCAGTCACCGCGGCCGTCTCTAGATAGGTCCTCCACCCTTCCTACCTCGCCCGCAGAATCCACATCGGCCGCTGCCTCCGCCTCCTCTTGGTTCCCGAACCGGAAAGTCGCCGTGCCCGCCGTGGACATGACGCAGGCCCAGGCCTCCGTCAGCGCCGTCGGCCAGAAGGCCGGTGCCTACTTCAGCTCCTGGGGCACCTGGGCCTCCGAGAAGAGGAAAGAGTGGCAGGAGAAAAAGTCCACTTCGACTTCTCCTACGCCTAGTATCACCGCGACGTCCCCATCCTCTCCGACTCTGACGAGCACTGCAGAGCCCACTGATGCCACGAACACAAACAGTGATCGAGACAGGCGGCAGTCTTTCCAGTCTCTCCGCAGCGAAGCATCCTCTACCCTCTCACGCAGCGGGAGCCGAAGGAAGCGCTTGAGTAACCTGCTGTTCAAGCGCGAAAGCTTAGACCTCAGTGTCAACACCAGCAATCGTGATGGCGATGACAACGAGATCGTTTATCCGAAGTCACCTCTGTCAAGAGAAGAATCCATCCTGGGCGATGATAGTCCGGAACTGCCAGCCAAGCAAACCGGAGGCGAACAGCACAGGATTGACAATGCCTCCAAGGTGGAAGCAGACAGAATTCCTGAACGTAAAGATGCTGATGCTTTCGACACTGCACTTGACGATAATGCACAGTCGCGACAGCTACAACCAACAACAGCCGCTGCCGAACCCGCGGCAACCAAACTGGCAATCCCCAGCCCTGGAACTGTCGCCGAGTCCGACCTCGAGAAACCACCCGCGCAGCCTTCAACGCTTACGAACGAAAACCAGCCACCATCATAAGTGCACAGAATTATAATGGCATTGGCAATTCTAATTTTCGACATAATTGTATAAATCCACCGCATTTACCCCCTTATCCCGCAATTTGTTGTTGATCCACATCAAACTGAAGCGAGCCCGCCGATGGCGAGTACATTTCTAATACGTTCGCGCCTCGCGAAGGTAATCCGCATATTCATGAATTTACACATATCTGTTCTTTTGATACCAAATTTATTTGATATTTTTTTTTAGCTAATCTTCAGGAAACTAGTATAGCTAACCTTGGAATACGATAATGACAAACAAACCCGCTCGCAGCCATGATGAAATCTAGAAAGCTAGATTGGAATACAAACCAAAGTGATACCAGATGGCCAAGCCTGCGCATACTTCATCAATCAACCTACGACCCGTTGAGTCTAACAGCATCACGGCATAGGTAACTCATTCTCTTTGTCTAGATAGAAAAAGGACAGGTTGAAGTGACAAACACCGTGCAAGGTAGATAGAGCGGTTGGTCATAAACAGATGAAGATGGGGTAAACAAGCGACTGGCTGACGTGATGGGATCCATGATGTTCTGAAAAAAAAAACGCCTGAAGTGAAAACAAAAAACAGAGATGGAAACAGGGATGATAAGGGGGTAGATCCAGTACGTGAAAAGAAATCATGCAATGTAAGCGATTTCATCGCCGTCCAGACGCTCGATGTAATCCTTCTCCATCAAGGCTTCGATGTTCTTCTTGATGTCGGGGACTTGGGGAGGGAAGCGGGATTTGACCTGGTGGATGACCTCTTGCACGAGCTGTACGTGCTTCATCTTCTTCCGGGACTTCATGATTCTGACAATGGCAGACTGTACAAAGGTTAGTGGGGATCGTGCAAATTGGGAGGGATATTAAAAGAAAGACATACCTGAAGCAGAAGCTTACGATCTTCCTCGATTGTCTTGTGCGTGTCGTCCGTCTCAACCTTCTGCTCGGACTTGATCTGAATGTTAAGGTTGACCTTGATCTTCTTGTTCTTGAAATTGTAGTTCAAGGAGAAAGTCGAGCCTGGCTTGGGCTTAGTTCCTTCAGGGCTGATTGTAAGAACTTTAGCCTTCAGTAAGATGCTCAGGTTTGGATCGAGAATTTCGGGGCTAAGGCTAGTGGCCTTTTGAAGATCGGAGTACGTCAAAGTGTCGCTCTCATTGAACAGGAGGAGAATGCCCATTTGATAGGTAGACACCTGGAAAGTGTAGGGAACCTTCGTGCTCTTGATGTAATTGGCCTTGATTTCGCCCTTGCACAGCTGCCAGAGCCAGGTCAGCTTTCGACCACTGTGCTTGCCGTAGTAAAACTGCTCGAATTTCTCAGAAGTTTTTACAATCTCGGGCGGCGCAAGAAAAGAAGTCGAAGGAGCACTAAGAGGCCAGAAACCGGTTCCGAGGATCTGGAAGTGTGAGTCAACAATCTTCTTTCGCTCCTCCTCGTCCAACAATGTCGTCGGTAGCCAGGCTTCGTAGTTTTTGTTGAGATCCTTTGAAATCTGGATATCCTGGAACATTCGCTGTAGCTTGTTGGTGTACTCGAAACCACAGGCCTCCTTGAGCTTGCTGATCATGCTGGTCTCGGCGTCATCGGATACCGAGCTCACATGGACCAGACGCTTAGCCAGCATCTTGGAGTAGAATTTCTGGAAGACATCCTTGTCCTCAATGTACTTGAAGGCGGTCATTATCTGGACCAACATCTCCTCCAGCTCTGACTCTTCTGCAGCCTTTGATCCTTTCTTCAGCAGAGAATCCGTGTATTTGGCCAGTAACTCAGGTGTCTTCGTAGACCCAGACTTGCAGATCTTGTTACGGTTGACAAATTCACGGCAAGCGTTGTCGAGGGAGCGGACAAACTCGGACTCGCCATTGAAAGCCTCCTTGACGAGACTGTGGTACCTGGTGTGAACCGACAGCAATGCATCGACATACATCTTGGGCTCGAAAGAGTCGCCTTCAGCAGCTACCTTCTCAACGGCAGACAAACCAGCTTTTCTCACATGTGCCTCGAACTTTGTGCGGAGAGGGTCCAGCCCTTCTTTGATTCGTGACAAAAGCCGATACATCCGGGCGAGATCATCTTGACGCTCATTGTCAAGCAGCGGTTGGAACTCATCACGGAGAAGCTCCGAATGGGCGGTGACGAGTACATCCAAGCAGGTGTTAGTAAGGTCCTTTGAAATATCGTTGTTCAGATAGAGTCCAACACGAGCCTTCTCTTCTTCGAGACGGATTTCTGCTTTTTTCATATACTCAACAACGCTATTGTCAGCCACGAACTGGCGCGACTCATCCTCATAGTAGACTCTAGTAGCGTCAAGGAATGGTCGCTGGAAGTAATAGCGGTAGATTTCAAGGGTAGATTTTGTAGGGTCCGTTTCGTCGAGCCCAAGAGAGACAAATGAGTCGACAATGCTCTTGATTTGCGACTGCTCAATAGTCTCCCCGTTTCGTTGCTTCTCGACGAGCTTGAGGACGGCACCCATGACCTTCTCGTGCACCTTGAGGAAGAAATCCTCCTTCCACTTTACCAGATGCTGGGTGTAGACATCATAGACGTTCTTTTTCCCCTCATCAATCTCTCGCTTCACCCAGTGGCGGTTCAGGTATCTGAACAGGTGGTTGATGTACTTGGCGGCTGTTGTATACCGTTGCCATTCACGAATGTAGAACGAGAGTAGAGCTTCCTCGGTATGACCTGTCGATTCGTTGTAAACCCACTCAAGGTGGCGCGACAAGTATTCTCCAAGTTTCTTATAGAGTTCCTCTCCGAGCAAGTGTGCTGGATTACCGGTCAGCTGATTCTGCGTTGTTTTGTGAGGTGCATCGGGAGCCGAAGGAGATTTAGACGAACCACCGCGCTGTGATTGCAAAGCATGACCGCTAACCGCTTTGTGTGAGGTGCAAAAGTTGTGGACCGCCCTATCTCAATGTTAGCCAAGAACGACGAGTAATACCATGTAGTTTGAAAGGTGGACGTACGTGTAGAGAGCCATGTACTATAAGCAGATTAAGAGTTAGCAATCCATATCACTCAAAGCAGAGAACAGAGATCTGTCACATACGTTCTTCATGTCCACCCCCTCTTCCAGTTTGACCATAACATTGTTGATGCCATTCTCCAGGAACATCCACCTGCCAACGGTTAGCCGACTCTTCAAGATTAATGCCATACGACCACAATTCCGCATAGCAAAACCAAAAACCCAGGGATACTTACGTTTCATTCAAGTCATCCTTGTGAGGGGCCTGCGGCATTAGAGGCGCCATGTTGTTTCGCGGAAAGATAGCCCGCCGGAATGGAAACACAAGTGGGAGCTAGTACAAGTGTCAGCGCCAGAGCTGCAGTAGGTGTCAGATACAAAGAACAAGAGCGGATGAGCTTACCGAAGCGACCGATAGCTTGAGAAGGTAAACGGCGCGGATCTCGAGTATCCCGTGTGTCTCGCTTTCAGAACGTTGGGCGGCTGCAAGGCAGTTGAGAAAACGACGCGCTGGGGGAAGAGCGAAACGATGACAAGAAAAGTGGTTTTGGGTGCTTCCGATGGGCCAGCTCCGAAGGTGGGAGACGAAAGCGAGGTGCGGTGGAGAGAAACCGGTGGGAAAGATGCTGAAGATATAGCAGATGCGACAAAGGCGTGGCGTTGGATCTTGGGGTGACGATGAGTGACTGGAGATTGAATGATGTGGGGGCCTACCGATCATATAGGCAGGCGGTCAAGCACACTTCTTTCACTTCGACATTCACTTTCTTTGTTGCAGCCCACCTGACGAGTTAATTTCTTTGAAGCAGCTATGTTAAACAGGCCCTTTACTTTGTTAGCATCTCTACACAAACAGACCCTCTTTTGTTGTTGACTGAAAGGTCTTTAAAGGTCTTTAAACCCCGAGGATCCAGGCTCCAGTGCTCATGATGTATCAAAACACAGATTCTGTTGCCTGACCTCAGTGACAAAAGAGCATAAAAGGTACTCATGATAAAGAGTACTTAAAGAGTAGATGCCTTGCTTGAAGCTGCGCAGGCGGACGAGGGCCATAGATCCTCTGCCTGCTCAAAGAGCAGAAGACTGCTAAAGCAACATGATCTGCTCCTGACATTTGACTGGAACATTTTATAGTAAGTAGATACTGTTTTTGTTTGCTTAGCGCCGAGCTGAATCTGGGCCGTTCTGGCACAAGCCAAAGCTCCGAAGGGGATGAGGCTCTTGCAGAGGAGTACTGCGGAGTACGGAAGAAGAGTTGGGTGAGAAAGCCCTATGACGTAACAAAGCCCATTCGAGTATAAAGCCAGCTCGAGCCTAAAGCATAAAGCCAGTTCGAATAAAGCCAGTGGTTCCAATCTAAAACGCATCAACCGAACATAAATTCCAAGGTCTTTATTCTCCTACACAATGATCAAGCCACCCTCGGAGATCCAGATTACCTCCCGCCAAATTCGTCAATGGGAGCGGATCCCTAACACCTCCATCCAATCCAAGCCTCTCATGGTCTACCACCAAGCGTTCGATGCTTCGTCCGATGAACTATCAAAGCACTTAGAAAAGATCGGTGAAGTCTCGCCGAGCTGGACATATTCTATGTATACCCAGACGCATTTTCATTCTACGAGCCATGAAGTCTTGGGTGTCGTCTCCGGTTCGGCGAAACTGTGCTTCGGCGGCGAGGGTAACCCAGACCGATTTGAACCCGAGGTCTCCAAGGGGGATTTGATAATAGTCCCCGCTGGTGTAGGTCACCGGCTTCTCTCCGAGACCGATAAAGCGCAAGGGCCATTCCAGATGGTCGGTGCTTATCCGCAGGGCAAGTCTTGGGATATGTGTTACGGCCGATCGGGAGAGGAAGATAGCTGTCGCAACATTGAAAGCTTAGACTGGTTCCAATCGGATCCGCTATACGGAAAGGAAGGGCCTGCAATGCAAGCCTGAACTGCTGTTAACGCATGCTTGTGTTTGATGCAATTCAGTCATATACAGGGCCATGTTAACGTCCATAATTCCAACGCCGTAGGGTATTTTGAAAAAGTATCCCTGGAACAATAGTTGCCACTCAAATCACTCATGTGGTTGTATCCAAAAGTCGAAAAAGCCGTTCGTCAGCCAAATAAACAATGGTGGAAGCTGCGTGGCGGTATAAGAGAAAAGAATATCAAAAGAAAAAGCAAGATAGGTATCAAAAACATGGTACCAGCCACATATACTGGATATTGTAAAAGAAAGAAATAAAATGGGTAAGAAGCATGCACAGAAATAACCATGCGCTGATCACGAGAGCAGGCAAGGCCTTCCGAGTGTGACCTGTCTACTTTGTTGACACACGCTCGACAAGTCTAACCATATGAAGCGTGATTAGCATGTCAGGAACGAATATTTAAAAGACTGCCGCCACTTACCTGAGGACACTGATCGAAAATGTGACAAGCCAAGCTATGAGTGCAATCAGTAGAACAGACGCCAGAGCAATCTGGCGCCTGCAAATATTGTCGTTTTTGGGCACCAATTGTTGGTTGATCTCTGCGTAAGTGCATGCGCCCTCCGCACTTGATAGGGACTCGAAAGCCAGACTCAAGTTGGCCGAGTCGAAGACAATAAAGAAAATATCTAAAAGAATGAGTCGTGCTTTAGCGGATGGGGAGCGCAGCCCCAATGGCTTCGCTGTATATTCATCCCAGGTGATGTAAACGAGGTAAATCAAAGCAACAGCGTCAACGATAATTGCCATCAAGGCCGAGGGCCCCTGAGGGCGAGGAAAGTCATTCGAAAGCCGCTGAATGGAACTTCCAAGCGCCAAAGCCGTTAGAGAAAAAGCCCACACCGTCAACCGAACGACCAGCGGTACAATCGGGCTTTGCAGAAGGGTGTTGTGGAAGCGCTTGAACCATATTTGGCGACGCCGCTTCTTCTTGAGCGGATCTTCGGTGTTTTCGTCGGTCTCAAGCTGGCCTCGCCATGGTAGCGCGTAGTTGCCGATGTTTTCGTGCATCCATTCTGGCGTCACACGTTGCTCCTCCAAGCCTGGTTCTCGAGGATAGGCTATAGTCTTGGAGAAACTTTTCCAGCGCGATTCACGCTGCGCGGCCTCTTCTTCCGCATTCTCCCCTTGGAATGGACGCGATTGCGAGGTCGAATATGGCGAGTGATTATGTTGCGCGACAACGGCATCGCCCGGCTGCGAGGGCAGCAGTCTAGAGGTGGCGGTGGCTTCGATATCCTCCTCAGCTGAATACTCAAAAGAACGAATCCAGGCTAGAGAGACAAATCAAGTCAGCAATAGAGTTCTCATGCATCATGTCATAAGGAATCAGTTACCCGGCAATGTCCGCAATGTGCGACCCCATCCTTGACTGGGTCCAGCCTTCTCCGCCACCTCGTCCCCTAATTCTTGCGGTAATGCCGATGAATGATCGGTTGATGCAGCGTGCGTGTACTCCATTGGCGGGTTATCGCTGTTCTGTCCGCTGGGCAAATGCTTCGAGGGTGTTGAAGACCATTCTGGGACTGACGGTTTCTCCGTCAACGGCTCGTTTGAATGTAGACTGGAGTCGGGAGGCTGGACTCGAACTTCGCGCACATCCTGGGCCATGGCCCTGGAGCTCAACGTCCGTTCCAAGCGAGGTGAGGCTGAGCTGTGAGGAGTTGCCGCAGTGGAACTGGCTGCATCGCCTCCTATCCTCCTGGCTAAGGGGTCCGGAGGCGTGGCTGGCAGCTGAGCTCACCTCGCTGCGATGCTTGCGCCAATCTAGTCCGGGTAGCGATGGCGGAAAACGAGGAAGAATAGAATAGGTAGAAACGAAAGCGGAGGCAAAACGAACGAAGTGGATTGTCAGTAAATATTAATAGAAGACCCTGAAAAGGATGTATCGTAAGACTGGAAATTGCAAGATTTGGTTCGCCTCGGAGATTATCCGGCTGCCCTTGTGTGGCTGGTGGCTCGGATTCCATGACGTACTCTCAGTTCGTTCTCTACAGCATTTAATCATCATAGTATCATCTTCTCTCCCCCCAGTCGCGATCCAGGAACACGGCAAAGGTATGATACGGTTCGAGTCTTGCCTTTATCACTCATTCTCCCTCGTCCATCGATAGTTACGCTCCCTTGGGTCGCCCCCAGCCCCCGTTTCAGCGACACCAATTCCCGCCTTCAAGACTGGGAGATTGCGCCATGGCCATGCGATTGTTTGTTGTTCCAATCTCCACTCGACGAGCTTTAATCTATGCCCGACTCTTGCGCAAGGATGTTTCGAAGGAGCGCTCTATCCTAGACCGAGTCACGGACAAGGCTGCGGAGACGTGGGCGAAATGGGAGGAGGTTGATAAAGGCTGGAAAAAATGGGTGGTATCATGGGGCAATCGAGTCCAACAACGCATACCGTATGAAGAATGGGGCCTCAAAAGTATTCCCTCGCTCAGCTTTCAGAAGCGAATTGATGAATCACATGGGACGAAGCAGGTGGAAGTTTTGTTCCCCGGCAATGCGATCAAGGAGGAGAAGCTTATCCCCATGCTACACAAGCTCTCAAAGGAGCGGCAAGAATTACATCGACGGAGGATGTGGTGGAGCTTGATCGCATCGCCCTTTACAGCACCAGTCGCACTGATACCAATGTATGTTTGCATCTCCAAATGTGCCGATGCTCTAAGGTGCTAATCGCCAACACGTGCAGCATACCTAATATCCCTTTCTTCTACCTCGTGTACAGAGGCTGGTCACATTGGCGAGGTTGGCATTCCCCACTCTTTCTGACAGGAAATTAATACTCATCGCCGGTAGCTCTGAACGGGTCCAAACATCTGCAGTATCTTGTCGAGAACGATTTGTTAAAGCCAATCTCATACCCGGGGCTCGTGGAACTATACGCGAAGCGCGTCTCGCGAACGATAGATGAGGCGGACCGCGAAGACCCAGTGGAAGAAATGGCGGAGAACGTCGAAAAGAGTGAAGACAAGATACTGCTTCGCACGAAGGACGCAAAGAAACTTGCAACGATTCTTGACGCACCTGGGCTTGCGCTGGAAGCCGAGCGAGCCATTACTCAAGTGTCCGAGCAGCTCAAGCAGCCGGATCCCACTCAACAAGGGAACAATAGTTCGAAGCCATCAGAAAAGAAGCAACAATGACGATCGCAAATGTAGAAGGCGGGAATGGTTTTGTGGCAATGTATAGATAGTCTGTGTGCGATGGCAATATAGAATTGTAGAATAGCCGGATGATACTTACAAAATCATCACTCAGTACTAGTCACTATCATGAAATCTGCATTTAGAATGCTGGCTGGGTATAGTGAAGGACGGATCTATCTTAATCCGAATGCCCCGTTGGAGCCACATGAATTGCGGGATGCCCGAATCTAAAGGAGCTCACTATCAACACGGGGGTCATCTCCGCCGCCGCTTTCACTTGCCTGTCCTCTCCCACAGCACCCGCCCTGCTTCCCGAAGACAATCGTTGCCTGCTTTCCACCATGGCGAATAAAAAGATAGAGCAATGGGAGGTTGAGCGATATTGGGAGATCTTCTCGTCCCTAGCCGGCGGCCAGCCCCGTCTGAACAACTCCCAGGCCGCCTCAGTGCTCAGGAACAGCCGACTTCGCGACGATCAGCTGGAGAAGGTCTGGGATCTGGCTGACCTCGATGGAGACGGAGAGCTGGACTTCGAGGAATTTTGCGTTGCTATGCGATTAGTCTTCGATCTGGTCAACGGGGTATGTCATCATCCCTCCGAGTGCGCCAAGAGGATCGTGTGTCTCCTACCATAGTCGAAACTGACACTACTTCAAGGAATTACCACAAGTTCCCGACACACTTCCCGATTGGCTCGTTCCTGAATCCAAATCACACCTCGTTCATGCCACTCGTGCCCTAAGCGTGGGCCAGGAGCAGTTCGAGCGCATAGAGGATGAAGACAGCACGCCTGGGTTGAAAGACGGTTTCGACTGGTACATGAACCCGGCCGATAAGGCCAAGTACGAGGACATATACTCCGCGAACAAGAACCAGCGGGGTGAAATCGCCTGTACGTTCAACCATTCCTATGCTCGGCGTTCCGGCGCGCGCTAACCAGCAATCCGCTTTCCAGTCAACTCGCTAGAGCCACTCTATGAGTCCCTCGACGTACCAGACACCGACATTCGATCGGCCTGGAACCTGGTGAACCCATCCGCGGCACCCGAGATTAACAAAGACGCAACACTCGCCTTCCTCCACATCCTCAACTACCGCCACGAAGGCTTCCGTATCCCCCGCACAATCCCCGCTTCGCTCCGCGCCTCCTTCGAGAACAACAAGATCGACTACCAACTAGACAGGGCGCGGCCGGCGCAGAAATGGGGTGCCAACGGTGACACCGAGACGTCGACAGGGCGCAAGGCTAAGTTCGGCGATACCTACCTGAGCCGACTCGGTGTCGCCGGGAAGACGTCCTATACCCCGAAGGGGACAGACTTTAGCGACACTATCCAGGACGAGGAATGGGAGAAGGTGCGCCTGCGACGCGAACTTGCGGAATTAGACGCCAAGCTGCAGTCTGCGAATAAGGCTTCTGAAGGGCGAAGGAGTGGCCACCGGAACGATGGGCGGCCGAACTGGGTTCTCGCCAAGAAGGAAGCCCTCCAGCTCCTGGAGTATAAGGAGCGGGAGCTGCGTGAGTTGCGCGAGGGAACAGGGCGTGCCAAGGCCGGTGGGGATGTTGAGCGCCTCCGCGAGGATGTCCGAACAGTCGGCGAACAGGTCGAAGGGCTGAAGAATCATCTCGTCCAGCGACAGGCTATCCTTGCCGACTTGCGAAGAGAGATTGAAGACGAGCGAGCGTCTCGGTAGTCTTATAACCACTTTTTGCATCTTTACTTGTACCTACTCCGGCGGTCTAATCATGTATGCCCTGTCTGTGTATAGCCACTTGGCGAGGAGTTTCAGGCGTTCAATCGATCTTGTTTCCTGCCTGCTTTTCATTGTTCAATATTTCTGGATTAGACTTGCTAGACCCCGCGGTCTATCTCGTGTATAGTATAATACATACGCTACATAGTAAGGCTCCTGAAGTATAACAAACCCGAACACCGCTGCCCTAAACACGCCAGAAGTCAATCCCACAACGCCATCAGCAACGAACCACAAAAGCCCCACGCCCTTACTCGATACACCACATACTCCGTAAACAGCAGCTTCACTTCCGCTCCAGCTTAGCCATAAGCCCATCCCCATCCCTCTTCGTCTCCACAGCCTTAAACGCCTTCCCACCACCCTCAAGGCCCTTCTCAGCCCTAACATACGCCTCCTCACTCCGATCCGTAAGAATCCTCAGATCCTCGTCCGAAAGAATCGACGCCGGATCCGCACTCGCCTCAAACCGCTCGAACTCGTCCTCCCCAAGCGCCCTCCGCAGCTCGTCCACGTCATCCCGCGACACCGTCGACTCGCTAAGCAGGGACTTGAACTTGCCCTTCTGGATAACGAGGCGTTCCAGACGGCGCTTAGAATCCGCTTTCTCGAGGAGCGTCTGTTCGACTGTCCCCTTTGTTGCGAGGCGGTAGACGATCACGGGTCGAGTCTGGCCGATGCGGTGGGCGCGGTCTTGCGCTTGCAGGTCTTGCTGCGGGTTCCAGTCTGAGTCGAAGAGGATGACTGTGTCTGCGGCCACGAGGTTAATGCCTTGGCCTCCGGCGCGGGTACTCAGGAGGAAGATTTTGTAGTTCTTGTCTGAATTGAAGGCTTTGATCTGGTCGCGGCGGTCTGCTTGGCTGATTGCGCCGTCGATGCGGCAGCAGTTCCAGGAGCGGAGCTGTGTGGCCCACTCTTGCAGGATGTCGAGCTGGGTCTTGAACTGTGAGAAGATGAGGATTTTATGACCCTTCTTTAGGAGCGAGGGGATCAAGCGGTCGAGTAGGAGCATTTTGCCGGAGGCTGTGACGAGGGTTTCGTCGATGGCAGAGGGATCTTCGGTCCAGGGCCAGTAGAAGTTGTGCGGGGAGTTGCAGGCAAGTCGGGCTTGCATTACGGGGTTCTGCATCTTCTTTTGGGCGATCTCGCGCTTGGCAAGCTTGATGGTGTTTGCTCTCTCGATTTCTTCTTGTTCGGACTCGTCGATGCTCTCTTCGATGTCCAGGTCTTCCTCGAGGCCTTGCTCTAGCTTTCGGAGCTTGGAGTCGAACTCACGGTCACTGATGTCCTTGTAGGATCGCGGTGCCCGGCGTCTCCGCGTAGAGCTAGCCCTGCTCCCAGGAGTTGAATCGCGGCTAGAGCGTAGGCTCTTGTTTGGCGTTGAGGCAACGCTGCTGCTTGCACTGCGCTTCAGGCTTCCTGAGCGCAGTGTCTCGTTCTTCGCCAATAGCCGCTCCGTTGCTTTCTCCTCAAGATATTGACGGCCTGTTCCATTGAGAATCTCTCGGTAAAGTTCCTTCTGCTCCGTTGTCAACGGCGCGTACAGAATATACTCTCGCTTCTTTGGGAGAGCGGTTTCAACATCAGTCTTAACGCGCCGGAGCAGGAACGGCTTCAGGATCGAGTGCATTGTCGAGACCAAACTCCTCTTCCGACGCTCGATCCCATCAGTCTGGCCATTGCTATCCAGCACAGAGGAGAAGTCGAACCAATTCTGGAAACTGTTGAGATCATTGAAGATCTCAGGAAGTAAGAAATGCAGGAGTGACCATAGCTCAGTGATGTTGTTCTGCAGAGGGGTACCGGTGATGAGCAGCCTATTGGCCGAGTTGTAGGACAGCAGTTCCTTGATCAGTCGACAATTCATGTTCTTCAAGCGGTGACCTTCATCCTGTACGACATACGATTAGCAAGCCAGGATCTCGCATGAGATTAGAGTTTCCAAGATGTACCACAATGATATACCGCCACTGATATTGGGCGAGAAACTTCCGATCATTCATGCAAATCTCGTACGACGTACAGATGACTGGAAAGTCTGCGCTCTTTTGGTCTCGAAGATTCATGAACTTCTTCCTGAGCTGCGCACGTTCGTCTCTCGAGCCGTGGTACAGCACCGTCTTGATACCAGGAGTCCACCGTGCGAACTCATCAACCCAATTGCTCACCGTGCTCAGCGGGGCTGAGATCAGAAACGGCCCAGACACATTGTGCTCCTTGAAGAAGGCGATAAGGGATATAGCCTGCACAGTCTTCCCGAGACCCATCTCGTCGGCTAGGATACCGCATAAGCCATTCATCCACAAAGACTTGAGCCACTCGAGGCCCTCGAGCTGATACTTCCTCATCTTACCCCCGGTAACAGGTGCAGGTTGCTGGGTGGCAACAAGCTCCTGCTCACCGAGAACAGTGGGTTTCGCTTCGAATTCGTCTGCGGCATGCTCGAGTGCTTCCTGGACGGTGGTGTTCTTGGCTTCGTCCACATTCACATCCGCTTTCTTGAAGTAGTTGGAGATAGCATTGCCCTTGGCGGGTGCGGCCTTTTTCCCTCTCCCTCGCTTCGACTTGATCGGTTCTTCTTTCATCTCAATATCCTCTGCAGCCTCTGTGGTTGCTGCCTGTCGCGCACTCGCTCGGGTCCCTCGCTTAGTTGGTTGTGCAGCTACCTTCTTGGGTTCGTCCGCCTCGCCACCTCGTTCCTTTTGCTCCTGCTCCTGCTCCTGCTTCTTGGCCGCTGCCAATCTCGCCTCCTCCTGCTGTTTCTTCATCTTCTCGGCCATAATCGCAACAAAGACCTGCAGAGCTTAACCATTAGCAACCCGCAGTCCGGAGATAAAGTCCGCATGTAGGATTACGAACCTCGCTCGTATTGAGCAAATGCATGAGCGCCTTCGCCTTGACATCCATATCCTCCTCATTATCCACAGACGCATCCTGTGCACCGTTTCCATTCTCAATTGCCATCTTCACGTCCCCGTCAATATCCGCCGAGGACGGCTGCGTGGTGTTCAGTCGCATTGTGTAGCCGCCGTGCGAAAAGGTATGGGTGGCGAGGGTGTCCGGATTGGAAAGATCAATAACTTCGTGGCTATATCGCAGTATTATAAATCAATGGTGAAAAATTCTCCTTCATATCCACTCGATGCGCAGGAAAGATGACTCCGGAATGCTCGTGTCGCCACTCCGATGTAGATGGGGCGCGGAGGAACAAAGAAATTGAGTTTAAGAAATGAGAAATATAGGTTGGATCTTAATAGCTAAGAAGGATAAGAACAGACCAAAAGAGAATAGTGTATGTATGGTCCTAAGAAAGACCAGGCAGCGGCCAAGGGTCGAAGGCTGTCAATGTCCCTTCACCTGGAGAATGATCGGGGAAGACGCGATTTTCGCGTCAAGCGCACGGACCACTTTTAGATTAGTTGCATCAGCGACTCGGGAGGAGCCACCCCAGCATCTACAACATCCCAGACTCAATCTCAAATCGTTATGGCCTGATCGATGTATTATTCTCTGGTCCTGAATAAGGGGCGAGCCAAATATGGTCTTGTATTCGAGCTGATTCTTGGGAGTCTGCTTGCATTGATTGCTCATAGTAGATACAGACATGACGGATTCCCTTTGCAACAAGCTGCATGGTAATGATACAAACATTATGGCACAGAGCAGTAACTACAAAGAAGTTTCGCGATCTAGCCCAATTTCAGGTGTGAGAATCATCATCTTCATCACTTTCGTCATCTGAGCTGACCCCCGTAGACCAGTGAGGCCAATCTGTTTCTCCATCGCTCGCGTCCCAGTCGCCCAAGAATTGAATTTTGGACTCAACCTGACAAGCATTCAGCATCTGCCGTGCACCTGATATTTGCTCCAACCGATGATCATGCAGTTGCGCGCCGTGGACCTCATACAGGTATGTCGAAGGCTTAAGCGTGCGGCATAGTAAGGCCTGTGACTGTACAAAGCGGCCTTCGTGAGAAAAATTGCCGTAAGCAATGACCAATAGGTTAGAGAGGCCGGTTGGCCCAAACGCCCAATCTGCGAACTCTATCAGGCATGATAGACATGTGCCTCGGTTGCACCCCTCAGATTTACAGACACTGGCCGTACCTGGCTGATCTTCAGTAAGCGCGTATTTGCGCTTCCGCTTTCGAAGCTCATTGACGACCCATTTCTTAGCCGACCTATCACCAGTGTCTCGAAAATGGATGAGTCTAATGTTTTTACCCGCGGAGCTGGATCCCAGTATTTGCCTCTGAGAAACCCTGTCAGAAAAGAATCAAGTAGCGGATGCGGAGAGCAAGAAAGGCAGAGAGTGGCTCATACCAGGAGACAAGGACTTTGAAAAAGCCCAATGCACTGCAGGGGAACCCGGCGAAAAGCGTCACCAAGGACTTCGCTGGGTGGCCCAAGCACGTCACGATCTGGCCAATCCAGACTGTCTCCTCTTCTCACATGGAAAACCAAGCGTTTGATAGATGCTCTATGCCGATCTAGCATACCCGGGATCCATGCGTGCGGTGTCATTATCATAATGAAAAGCTCCTCGAGACCTTTGAAAGAATTTAGGAAAACGGCAATTGGCTCGAGCGAGTCATATATAACGTCGGAACTGAGAGTTAACTCAAATGATCGCAGCTTCAGTCCCAGCTGCAGGTCTGACAGGCTCGAAAGGAATTCTAAGGAATGTTTGCAACGGATCAACTTCAGTGATTGTAGTTGCTCTATGGCAACAGCGGACATCATCTTCTCGCAGGGCTTAAGAGACACCTCGGACAACGACAAATTCCGAAGTGCGGCAAATCTCGACAGGGATATTCTGGCCGAGGTCAAACACTCCGTGGCATGTGTGGTTCCTAATACCTGGTTGGCGTCTTCTTGCTTTTCCGTAAAGGTGTCTGGCTCAAGGCTCAGGAGCTTGCAAGCATTGACCGGGCGATACCACCCGATCCCCTCCAGGTCAAAAGTTTCAAGATGTGCACAATTTGTTGCCAGCATTTTCCGAAGAACAATGAGAACGTCAGACTCTGCGTCTGGGTAACCTTTCCAAGATATTGCACGAAGTTCCCTGAGCTGGAGAAGCCCGCCGAGTTCGGTCTCTGGGTCATAGCACGTGCCGTCGGTTATCATTGAGAGCTTTCGGATACCGCTGTGCTTTGACGCGAGCCATCCGTCGGTTTTGATAATTGGATGGGGAATGCAGAGGCCTAAGTGCCAGCTGGGATTGTCAGTTCCAGAATCGACGAAGTGGGGGGCCAACGTACGAGAAGCTTCGCAACGAGTGCTCACGAAGGTGGAAAAGTGTAGTCTCAAAGCTCTGGGTCAACTCCTCCATCAGGCCATAGTGATGCATTTGATTGTTCATCCAGTGCCTGCGGGTGCGCGGATGCGCAATGTAGAGTCCGGAATAGCACCTTTTCCCACGTCTGGCATCGACCGGAGCCACAAGTTCTATATGCTTTACGAACTCCAGGCAATTGATGATAGACCTCGAGCCGTCGTCCTTGAAGCATGTTGCCACTGAGCGTAGCGTAAATTGACCGGCCGTAAGCTCGTCCATCCTAATGATAAGTGTCTCGTAAAGCAACGGTAGCAAGGCTTGATATAGGTATTTGCTGACACGGCAGACACGGGAAAGATGAGCGGTGCAATCCACCTGATAACAATGAGAAGAATCAAAGGTCAGAGAATTGGGCAGGCACTAACCTCGCGTATAATCATGTATAGAATCTCCAGCGGCAGGTGGTGCAACATCGTCGTGGGAATGCACCGAAACAAGTAACATTCCAAACAATCATCGAACTGTCGGCGAGTGGTGTTGGTGTTGAAGGAGAGTTGTTGTCGGAGGAGAGTCAGGAAGCTCCCCATAGGAGTCGAGTTGCACTTGCCTCATTTCCCCGGTGCGCATTCTCTTGCCAACCTCATCCTTTCTTGGTTGACAATCTACAATTGCTTCGTGCTATTTCGTGGACTGGGTTTGCAGCAAAGAGAATACGATGCCAAGCGACTCGACCAGATAAAGCAGAGAGTGCTTGATAGTTGATATAGCACGTTCTCGCTGGAGCATAACATTATAACGAAACGATTGACTGGCATTCGCTGGGCCTTGCAACCGTCCAATCCTCTTGTGGTCTGGGAAGTATATGTTTTCTCATTTGTCAATTAATGTCCCTGTGCTGCAGTGCCTAGATACCGAGCGCATTTGTTGAACTCCGAAAGGCGCAGCGTTATATATTAAAGGGTCAATAGCGAGTTGTCATTGGTAGGGTCACTGCAACCGTGTACAGACTCTCAGATCTGTGACCTCATCCAAACCAGTAAGGTAAGCCAAAGATATGCAAGCTGTAAGGGAAATCTAGACCCTCGAGATGGTAAAGTCTAGGCCTTCCGGTAACCCAGGCCTGACGGTGGACAAGATTACTATCTCCAGGACTTCTGGTCCAACGCAGTTCCTTTCAGAAATGAATGTCACTATGAGAAGCAGACACCCCAGGAGAATTTAGTTCCTGATTCCGTGAGACGGAACCGTAGGTCTCGAAGAACTTCATCAGGCATATCCATGGATGCAACATGTTGCTTAATCTCCAGCTCTAATGAGAAATCGAGCATTGTCTCGAGGAAATGAACATAATAGAACGTATCCATAGAGCTAGAAAGCTCATCGGCCCGGATGCTAGAGCTTCACTCGTTTATTTCATGATGGGCGAGCCGCAATATAAATCAGCGAATCTAATTTCGTTGAAGACTGCAGATGCTCCTGAGACGTGCAGAGCCCGGACAGCAATTAAATACGGCTTTGCCTCGCATACAAGCATAAGAGCTTATAAGCCACGCGCAAAGTGGGCTGCGGACTCGACACACCGGAGACAAGAGAGTGAGACAGCAAAGTTTGGACGGTGGATGTTGAAGCCATAGACCAGTTTGGTGCCTGAGGCTGCCAGTGGGTATACACAAATTGTGGCATGCGTAACACCGCATCTTCGGTATACAGTAGTTTCATGAACCGCCTGTTGGCCATCCCTAATATATTCTCCGTGCTACATAAATAAGCAGAAATGCACCAAGGCTGTTCCTTGTAGCGACAGTTAAAGGTCTCTATGCAGGCCAGCGGGCGAGGGGCTTGATCCCGTCCGCCGACTTTATCTGAAACAATTCTCTGTTTCAATCCTCGCCGACTCTCGCGCTTCATCTTCTTGAATCAGATTAATCCTCCCCCCTCCCTCCAATCCTCGCGTTCTCTTTCTTGCCGGGGTCGTCTTGAGATCGTTCCCAATTCTCCATCCGCGACACCACCCCTGTTCCGATCGACAGCTGTTTAACGGTATGGTTCCAGCCCAGGCGTTCGGCCCCCTCAGTCCTTTGCTGGCCCCCCTGTTCTTCCAATTGTTCTCGGGTCCCCCATACCTTCCTCTTTCTTTCTCCTTGTCTTCATCCCGCCATTCCCCCCTCATCATGCCGATACTTGATCGACTACCACTAATCTTAGTCTCTCTTTAGCTTCGAGGCCCCCAAACCGCCTTTCCTCTGTTCCCGTGCGAATTGCGTCCCTTCCAAGCGCGGGCCCCGTGTCCTTTTTTACCTCGCATAGCCCCCTCCCGGGCGCCTGTCCTACGCCCTCGTTCGATAATAATCGTCATTTCAGGGGCTCGCCTCTTGTGCTCCAATCGCAAACTCACTGTCTTTTGTCGAATGTGTGGCTGGACCCCGAACCCCTCGCTTCAACCATCGATGAATACGGAGTAATAATAGCCTTGGCTTGACCGATCACTTTGCGCTCTGAATCCGTGCCGACAGGTTTATCTGGCTATACTGGAGTGATATTGTCGCTGTCTTTATATAATTACTGAGCGCTGTTGGAGGTGGAACACTTCATGGAGTCCCCCACATCGTACCCTCCGGAGTCTCCTATGGAGCAGGAGGATATCCCATTTCCTTGCAAAGGCTGTGGAGAGGTATGCATGAAGTGTCCGGTAAAATGTCAAGGAGCGGGAACGCAGATGCTGACTTACCTAGATCCTAGAAGAAGGCAAAGCTTTTGAACTTGGTAGGTACTACTTCTACATTGCTTATCCGTTCGACTTACTGACGGCGCTCGCTCCTAGCCGGCAACCGATGGCACATCGACTGTTTTCGCTGCAGCTCGTGCACCACCCTCCTCGATTCGGATGCGCACCTTTTGCTTCTCGGAGACGGGTCGTTGATCTGCAGCAATTGTACCTACAGCTGCAGCTCTTGCGGGAATAAGATCGAGGATTTGGCCATCTTGACCGGCGAACAAGCTTTCTGCGCCCAATGTTTTCGATGCAGGAACTGCAAAAGGAAGATCGAGAATTTGCGCTATGCCCGGACGTCGCAGGGAATCTTCTGCATGGATTGTCACGAGTCTTTGATGCAGCGGCGGAGAAAGAAAAACAGAGGGGTTGCGTCTAAGAAGCATGCAAGCCCCGGCATAAAATTAGACAAGTCGCTCCCTTCGCTTCCTCCTGAAGAGGCCGAACAGATGATGCAAGCCGCAGATGACCTTTCTGTGGACGGGTATATTGATTCGGGCGAGGTGAACCCTCGAACGACAGTGCCTGCGCTGGACGCGGGAAGATCGTCTATTGATAATCAAGGTAAGTATTAAGGTGGTTTGTGGCGGATGATGACAGAATGGTGAACTAATATGTTCCGGACGTGACAGATAATTTGATCCTACCTTCGAGCACGTATCGCAGCAACCGGCATTCTGTCGTACCTTCGGTCGTACCTACCGAATCTGATGCAGATGGTGGAGAATTCCTGATTCCACTCGCATTCGACCCTTCAGAAGAGCAAAGACCCCCTCGCGAGCACTCTGCCAGGTCTCCAGACCGCGTTCCGATGGAGGATTCGTCTCCTCATATCGCCTATCAGGAGAAAGGTCGTGACCGCCCTGAACCCGAGTCCCATCGCTGGCGTCAAGATGATTCTCTGAACAAAGCGGCAAGGTCCAACTCTGCCCGAAGTTCTAGGTCGGACATACCTGTGGGCCACAAAGGGAGCAGCTCCTATTCCACGTATGACAGCGTCAGGTCGTCGACGACTATTGGAAGAGACAGTTTGACTCTTGACTCGAGATCTACAGCTGGGGAGAGTGCAACTACATTGCCTACCCGTCCCTCTTACGAGCTTCGTCGTCTACACGAGAATGGAGGATCCATGGACTCGGCAACATCAGTTGCGCATCCCAAGCGGGGAGACTCGCTGGAAAGCAGGCACCATAAGCTTCCTCGAAAAGAGGTTGTGCAATCCCCTGGAGCTAATTCAATTAGTCAAAGTGACCAGTGGAGTGAACGGTCCGCGGACACTCTGAACAAGAACAATGCCCATAGTGTAGAGTCCCCGCGGCTTCCGCGTAGCGACTCATTCGAACCGCCAAAGTCTCGCGTGCGTCCAAACTCAGTGAGCACCCCGCAACAAGCTGACACATTCCGCCCTGTGGACTATGGGGGATCTCCTTCCCCTCTGCGCTACAGCGGCACGGGTGAGCTTTCTCTGGACGAGGATATGGCGCGAATCTTGGGATCAGACGAGCAGCCCTCGCAATCAAGCGAATCTTTCCTTCGCAGGATGTCCAATTCTGTACGTCATGGCCGCAGCTATAGCGATAAAGGCTCACGATTATCCAAGGATGCGAAGTGGCCCAAATCGCCTGTCAATGGGTCTGCTAATGCCGCGACCAGCTCCCCGGAGCAAGGAGGAACCGACGAATTGACATGGCTTCGGAGCGAGCTGCGCAAAGAACGCCAACGGGTCATCCAGCGGGACCAAAAGATCGCTGAAATGGAGTCTGTCCTCAAGGCGACTGCTGATGTGAAGCAGGTCAACACCGAGCTTAATGAGAAACGGTCGACCATGGTAGTGTTGGATGCTCAAAAGGAGATTGTCATGCGGGAGCTCACTGTTTTGACTGAGCATCTAGAGTCTGAAAAACGCGGTGGCAGTAGCGGTCCTTTGGATCTCAGTAAACTTACCAATAAGGTTTTGCGGGACTTTGTTGAGTCTATCCAGAGCCTGAAAGATTCTTTCACACCCCAAATTGAAGAATTGGTGCAGAAGCGCAATGAGGCTGCTGAAGAGCTTGCAAAGATCAACAGTATGAAGGACAAGAGCTTCCAGGAATTCGAGCAGCTTTCCTCCAAGAACGCCCAGCTGGCTGAATTGAACAACCAACTCGTCCACCAAATTCAAGAGCTATACAAAGCAAACAACTCCGACGGCCGCAGTGCCAACGGGCTCGGAATTTACTCGCACGGAAAGGAAAAGTCGCTCTCCTCGATCGATGCACTGAAGGCTGCGGGTGAACTACCGCCATCGGTCTCGACACCTAACATGTCGGAAGAAGCCGAGCCAGCCACCGTTGTCCCTGGTCCACAGGTTGTCAGCATCCGTAAAGGACAGCCTCGCAAGTTCAACTGGAAGAAGGGAGGCCAAAATGTCGCCAAGGGAGTCACCAAAGGTCTTAAGGGAGCGTTCATGTCAAGTGAAAGCACTAGCACCACGGATGGCGCACCCGGCCTGCCACGCTCTCAAACCCAAGACCCCAGTCGCCAGGGCTTTGGCTTTTTCGGTAACCAGCGCAGCAAACAAACGGGCACTAGAATGCCGCAGACCGATAGTGTTCCAGCTCTGGCCGAAGCCTCCCCAACAGGTGAGTTCCCTTTTCAGTAGTTGGCAGGTGTCCAGTACTTATTCTTCTTAGGACTTTTCGGAACCGATTTGGAGCAGCGCATGGAGCATGAGAAGAGTATTATTCCGGGTATTATCACCCGCTGTATACAAGAGGTTGAGTTACGAGGTATGTTCCCCGGTCAAAATTCGCCGAGTAGGCCGGCTAATCTTGTTGCTCCAGGCATGGACATGGAAGGAATTTACCGCAAGTCTGGTGCTAGCTCCGCTATCCAGACAATTCGAGAAGGTTTTGAGCGGTCTCCGCAGGATTATGACATCTCGGACCCGGATTTAGATATCCACGCCGTGACCTCGGCGCTCAAGCAATACTTCCGCAAGCTACCCATGCCGCTCATCACATACGACGTATACGAAAAGATTATTGAAACAGGGGAGATCAGTTCTCATTCCGGCCGAGTTGAAGCCCTGCAGAAGAGTCTCGGAGAGCTACCGCGAGTACACCAGGATGTACTGGAGTTCCTCGTGTTTCACTTGAAGCGTGTCGTCGAGCGGGAGAAGGAGAACCTGATGACAAGTCAGAACATTGCTGTTGTCTTCGCGCCAACAATTATGAGGCCTCAAAGTCTGGCGCGAGAAATGACGGACGTCCAAAAGAAGAACGAGGTGGTTAAATTCCTGGTGGATCACTGCCAGGAAGTGTTTATGGGCATGCAAAATAACAACTAATCGTCGGCCATATCGGCCGTTCCAGCTACATCGATTCAGCGTCATATTATCTGCCATTATATTTCACGTTTTGTTTTCAGCCCATCTGGCCCCTACAATCACCCCAGCTCCATCAACCGACAGCCTGTATATATTCGGGGCGGCCACCTACACCTGTTTTGCCCCATTTTCTTTTCTACTTTACACTACAATGTCTATCCTCCCTGAACACCCTCGAACTCCTGATGATCAGCGCCTCTCTCGATACCCTTCATGTATCTTTTCCATGCTTGCGTGCTATTTCGGCGATTCCCCTCTCTTATCCCGCAGGCCCGAAGCTAGTTCCTACCTACCTATCAGCGGTGCGGTGTTGTATGTGTGTTGTCAAAACTTCAACTTTCTTTACGCTCAGAAGACTTCCTGTTATGTTAACGTGAATGGTTTACTGACTCTTAGCTATACATACTCTTACCCCTGTTCTTGGTCGATGCGGATGTCTGAACACCTTTATTAGTTATATTGCGGTTGACCCTTTCCGCTTGTTTTTCTTTCCTTTTCTTTTTGGTCGGTATCCTAGGTAGTTGTTTGAGTTCCAGGTGGCTCTAGCCTATACGGAAGGGCTTCCGTGTTGGTGGCGTCGCGAGGCGTTGCATGGCGTTAGAGCAGGGATTACTGAATTCATCGATAGGTGGCTTAGCGGTGGCCTTGAACGTGCTTTGCTCTTCCAATTAGTCCTAAGCAAGCGTAGAGGCGGACAGCGAGATACACCAAATTAGACATGTGGTCAAGGTTCTATGCTGTGCCATCATACAATGAGACCGTCCATAACACTAGGAACAATAGCGCCAGTCAAATATATGCAATGAAGTTTGAATGGACTAGAAAGTCTCATCCTCAAGCCTCTCCATCCTCCGAATAACGCTCGGACTCTGATCATCCTGCAAATCCTCCGTGGTATCATTGATGCCGGCTGTGTAAAGCAGCTGCTCCACGATTCGCTGCGAGGCTTCCTTGGCTGTTTCATATGCCCGTTAGCACTCCTGCCACCTCAAGAAAGCAGTAAGGGGTTGAGAGGGCGGTGAATTGACTTACCCGGCGTCTTCATAAGCCGGCTCTGCGGGATATGGAACTGCATTGTCTTGGGTGGACTGGGACCTAGCTCGTCGTCGTCATCATCGTAGGTAAACTGCTCGTCGTCGTCGCTGTCCCATTCGCTGCGCTTGCCGAAGCCACCCTTCGCCGGCGTGAGGACGCTAGTCCCGGGCTTGGGTGGCGCGCGGGAGCGGTTGGCGCTGGGGCGCCCGCGGCGCCCTGTACCCGGTGTTTGGGGTTTGAGTGGGGAGGAGAAGAGCTCCGAGTTGAGCTGTGGGGCTTCGGGCTCGGGGCTGGACATGGGGGAGTCCTCGAAGGCGTATTTCTTGGAGGATGAGGCGGCGTTTGGAGTCACGGTGAAGCGGGAGCGGGAGGGGTCGTAGCCTTTTCCGAGGGGCGTGGCTTGCACGCGGTATGTTTTGTCGGCGAAGTGGTGCATTACGGGGCCTTTGTGGCTGCCTGGTGTGAACCTTTCGTGGGAGACGGGTGGGACGAAGGGGGATGAGGAGAGGATGTCGTCCGCGTAGGATTGGTTGTAGGTGTTGCGCGAGGTTTGCTTCCCAGGTGTTGTCGGGAGATACGAGTCTTCTTGGTAGTGATCGTCATCGTCTTCCTCGGCGAGCCCGTGCTCGTAGGGGGAGGGGTGCGCGATGGAGGAGGTCACGGTTGTGTCGTTGTGGGGGATTCCGTGCATCGCGACGCGCGGGGTACTGTGGGATGAGATGCTTAGACCCGTGAGTTCAAGATCGTCGGGTTTGTGGTCGTGGTCAATGCGTTCGGTGGACGGGGTTTGGTAGGATTCGGATTCGGTCAAGTGGCTGTGCGAGATGCTGGCCGACTCGTCCTCCGGGAGAGTCTCGTCGACGGTTGTTTCATCTTGGTTGGGTTGTTCGCCGTTTGCATTGAGGTGGACGTTGGCGCTGGCCTCGAAGAACTTTTTCCAGAACTGGAGGGATGAGATGAGCTTGATATGAGAATTTTAGGGAAATGGTACTGACTTTCGCGCCCTCCCAGACGTCACGGGAGGCTTCTTTATATTCGGTCACGACGGGAAGAATACTCGTTGTAATGATGCGGTGGGCACGGCTGAAGTTGTGGTCGATTTCTAGAAAGAGTCGTCGTCAGTAACCTGGAAGAGAAACGTCCGCGGCTTGTTTGTTTACCTTGCAGAGTCAGGGTGATGGACTGCTCGAGCTTTTCCAATTCCTCGGTGAGAGTCAAGGGACGCTGAGCGATAGATGAAGGGCGTGACATGGCGGTAGAAAGTAGCTGAATAGAAAAACCGGTTGTTCGTGAGCTGAGGGCTGGCGAAGAAGTAATTGCGGTCCGTTGCGGTGGAGCGGTGATGAGGTTGTTATGAGGGGAAACGCGGGATGCTGAAAGGAGACGCAAAGTAGGGCACAAGATAAGGGCCCGATAAGATCACGTGAAGTTTCAGCGGGGAAAGGCGCCGGCGGTTTGAGCTGACTCCGACTGTAAGGTTGCCTTCGCCACGGACCATCTCAGATTCGCACCAAAGGATTCAGAGACGCAGTGACAATTGAGATGCCGACTCCAGTCGCAAAGGGTATGCTGCTCTTCTCTTTCGATGCCTTCTGTCCTTCTTATCCGAGCTACTCCGAGCTCTATACTTGCCTCTACTGGGGCGGTGTGCTTATCGGGGATGATCATATGAGCTCGAGCTCCTGGAATGGAGACCCCTTAAGAAAAACTGCTTTTCTGCATTCCTGGATCATTACCCTATTCCGAAAAGCATATTTTGATTTGGGTTACGAATACAGCCACGTCTGTTTGTACTGACAGCTCCAGGTATCATCATTGGCGTCGCGGCCCTCGTTGCCGCCGGCATCGCGGTCTATGAATCTCCCCAGTTCCGACGATGGGTGAACAATTCGCGACGGAAGCTGGCAATGACACTACACAGCTTGGGCGATGACATTCATCCCGGAGATGGTGACTCGCGACATCGCCATGACATATCCATGATGGAAGAGATAGGTCCGGCCGCCGACGAGCGCAGACGGATAGCCCGGGAAGAGATCCAGCGGCGACGAAGTGTACTGGAAGAGCGTCGGAGGAAGAGATCGAACGATTCGCTCGGAACGTTTGATACACTTGTAGACGATAATGGCCATCTTTTGGACCTCCAGGATCAAGGTAACTCGGTGGCGAACTCGACGGGCGTGGATCTTGGCGCCTCACAGCCAACTTATCGAGGCAACCAGCCAGACACTCCGGCCGCAGAATCTACAGTGCTGCATGAGGCTGGGCCGGCACCTGAGCAAGAAAAGCTGCAACTTTCCATTCCAACTCCACGGAGCCGTGCCTCGTCCGTTGCCGGTGCTGACTTTACTCCTGTTTCCGAAGTATCAGAGTTCATGGCCTCGGCTGTGTCTCGACAATCAAGCCATGCCGAGCGACCACGATCATCTGCATCTAGCCATACAGAGGGTGCCTTCTCCGAAGTGATCTACGCCCACCCCGACTCTGTGGCCAGTGGACATGTCGAGGATGCTCGGTCTTCGTTTTCAGACTTGGAAGGCCTGCGGTTCACCCAGAGCCGTCCAGCGACGCCACCGACACCCTCTACAGCTGACAACTTCAGTCATATCGCAGTGGATGCTTCGTCAGATGATGGGATACTTAGCGAATTCGAGGGCTCGGTAGGCAGAGTGATAACTCCAGCGAGCTGGTCAGAAGTTGGAAGCGATGTTAGCAGCGATGAGTACCGCCATCGCGGCTTCTGAGCATGCATCTCACAATTTGACATGTAATATGGCTTTTGGACTGGAAAGGCGCTAGGATGGAAAGGAGTCTCAAGGTGCTTCGCGGGTTACTGGCGTCCAGGGTATTGACATTGGTTTGAGATTAGCATAACTATACCTAGAAGAGTAACTAGGATACAAATTTGGAACAAATGCTATCTTGCTTCATATCCAAGACGTGATTCAGTGTCTGGGCTTCTAGAGCCACTTCATCATGTGGGTCCTACGGTAGAATCTAGCCCTAACTACAGGTACAATGCTGGGCGCGAAACATAAGGATCAAGTCTTCTGCTTCCACGTTGCGATAACCCCCTCCAGTAGGTGATTGAAAGTGTTACATCCAGGTCCCCGTCGGGATCAACCAGCGAGCGAGCCTGATACACGCCCAACTCCTCGATTCTGATCGTAGTGCTCAAGGTCACGCTGGGTAGCTGTTGCCGCAACCGCGGTTAACATACTTAATGCAAGAGGCCTCGCTACCCTGTCTCTGCCAATGCCATAAACAGCCACTCGACCATGTGCGTTGCTACAGTCAGCGGTGCCGACTGCACGACACCTGTTAGAGCCTGCGGGTCGGGGGCTTCGCTGCCTTTAACAAGCCGGGCTTGGGTTTATCAATAGTAGAGTGTCAGTATGGAACAGGGTAGATTGGTCACAAACGGTGGCAACGGCATATGGAACAGGCAATGGTGCAGGAACGATACTCTGGGTGTTTCCTGAAGATCCGATTGTAGCTGGCGCAGACGATCAGCCGAGGTGTCGTGCAGGGAGTGATCATACTCCACACTGACTGTGACAGACAGCAATGATAATGCCAGCTGGGCCCGTTCATTTTCAACCAATGCCTGTCTTAGAACATAGTTGGCGCGCAGTTGAACAGAACAAAGCCAGGCGTCATCCGGGGTTAGCACAAACTCCGCAGCGTTACCTGTTGCAGCCTTAGGTCTGCGGATTTAGCGAAGGCTGAGTCCGAGACGTCGTGCTTAAAGCAGACCAGCCAGTACTCTTTCTGTTCATCATCATGGCTACCACCAAGCTCACCTGGCTAATCACCGGCTGCTCCTCCGGCTTCGGCCTCTCCCTGACCCGCGCCGCCCAAGCGAACGGCCACAAGGTCATTGCGACCTCACGCAACCCATCGAGGACCCCCGAGCTGGTTGCGGAAGTCGAGTCCAAGGGAGGCAAATGGATCAAGCTTGATGTGGACAGCCGCGAGAGCGGCGATGTCATCACCGAGCTGGAACGAGGCGGCGACCACATCGATGTCCTGGTTAACAACGCCGGCTATTCCATCTACGCCCCTGTTGAGACTGTGCAGGAGGAGGAGGTGAGGACCCAGATGGAGACCATGTTCTTTGGCCCGTTGCGTCTTATCCGCGCTGTTTTGCCGCATATGCGTCAGCGAAGGTCCGGGGTTATTGTTAATATGAGTAGCGGGGCCTCGCTGGATGGTATTCCTACCATGGGGGTGTATGCGGGCGCGAAGGCTGGCTTGGACGGTATGTATAGCTTGTAAGAGCTCTTGGGATAAAACTAGCTGACAGTGAGGATATTAGCCCTTACCAGGATCCTTGCGAAAGAGGTCGCCCCGTTCAATATCCGCACCCTGACCGTTGTTCTTGGAACCTTCAACACCAACATGCCCAATTCGGTAGTTCTAGGCAAGTCTCCCTTGCCGGAAGACTATCAAGGAACCTTTACCGAGCAGGTTCAGGGGCTGCTGGTCAGCGGGAAAATCAAGCCTAATGGCGACAAGGACAAGGCGATGCAGGCCGTGTACCAGGTTGTTGCTGGGGAGGGAGTTGGCGAAGGACATCAGACTGAGAAGCTTCTCCCTCTAGGAAGTGATATGACCCCGAGGCTTAAAGGGGCTCAAGACTACCTCGGCCATGCGTTGGAGGTGTTCGGTTCTGTGACCAACAGGGTTGATGTTGCTAAGTAAGACAGTGGATAGAGTAAGCACATGTGGGATCTGCATCATGGTAGCAAAGAGAGAGTCAGTTAGTTGCAGCTGAGTGACCTACCTAGATATGTTAGTGATCGCACTCTCTTTGTTTAAGGCAAGCCTCCTCTATTTAATGCACGCAGATCCTGTTTGTACCTCCCCATGTCATAATCAGCCTTCGTCTTCGAGTCGAGAGATAAAGATGACAAGTCCACTTACCGTGTGGCTGACTCGTACGTCCATAGCGAATCTGCCAAAAGGAATCAGAACCAGACCACTGCAGGCTAACCTGGAACCAACCCTTACAGCTCCCGGCCCAAACCCCTGGAAGGTAAGCTCCAGTCGAACGTCACCACACGCCTGGGGTCAACATTGACTTGGTTAGGTGGTGACCGTCCTGAATGAGAATACGACGAGACAGTATTCCCCTGTGTAAAGTAATCCATGGACATAGCTCTACCTTGTCCTCTGATTGAGGTGGCCAGGTCTGGTTCTCCCAGTCTAGCTACAAATTGTTTCCTCGTCACCCCGACTTCACGGTATATGTAGTATTTCCCATCTACTACTAGAACGAGGGTGGTAATGACAAGACAGTGGTCCTCTGGTCGTTAGACGCAGCCCGCAAAGCCAACAGCCCGACGTACGAAGCCCGTTCATCAAAAGACATGATTCCATTCCTTCCAATCCAACATCCTGTGCTTGATCTGCGGCCATTGAGCCGTCGTTCGATCCTGACAGTCCCATGTCCCATGTCCCATGTCCCATTTCGCACAATCCCCGGCTTACCCCGGCCTAAATCAGAGCTCCCTCAGAATTCTGGCAGCCCGGGTTGGTTTCAATCGGATCTCCCTCAGAACCACTGCAGCCCTGGTCGGTTCCTGGTAGCTATTCACGGATAGAATAGAATGTCAGCAATAATAGGACAGAGGATCGGCACCGTGCTGGAGTGCGGTAGTTCGCGGTACGGTAGGTAAAGAGGAAGTGGACATACGCAGCAGATCTGGGTTCCGGGGATTTCATCACGTCGGCAGAAAGTTGTCCTGGCCATGCGTTAGCTTTGCGGGGCACAAGCTAACCTTGTAGGGTACCAGGCTAGGTCAGGGTGGAGTGTATGTGACTCACCCCTCAGGACACTCATTCACGCGAGCGCTCTTTTGAGCAGTATCATAGTTAGTGGTCGGGCTGGAAACAACGGGGACAGTGGCGGTGGGTTCGGAGCAGGGTAGGGTAAGTTAGGGCTAGGGATGCGTACGTAGCAAACGCCCTAAATAGTAGTTAGTTGGAAGAGAACTGCTAGATCTAAGAACTGCATGGTGGAAGCTTGAGCGGTTCTTACGGGTTGCTGTCTCGCGCGGAAGCCGGGGCCTGCGACGGACGGAGCAGCGTAGGTGGTGGCTGCGGCGGCCAGGGCGATGAGTATGGTGAGGACACGCATGGTGGAGAGGCTCTGTAAGGTAGAATAAGGTTGTTGGATCTGGTTCTGGTTCTGCTTGTAGGTAGGGCTATGCGTTGCAGGAGAGTTGGTGGGATGAAGAAGGAAGATGGCCGGGATTCAGGCCCATCTTTATACCTTCCACTGGAGGTGCAAGGTCTGCTCGGAGTTCACTTGCACCGGTGATGGAAAAGGGACACCTTTGGGTCAGCACATTGGAATGTGTGATTGTACGACGTCCGATACCATGCTGACCCGAACCCACCTGCGCAGACATGATGCAAACCGCTTCCAAAGCCTTCATGCGCCCTCAACTCGGGGAGGGCGTCCACAGCATCAACCCCGACAAATCAGATGGATTCCGGTACTCCGCATCGCAGTGCCGTGCGCAGAGACCTTGTCCGGGTGCTCAAGTTGGTCACGGCAACCATCGTACGGAGTAATGATAGACGCGCGAGGAAAAAAGAAAGCAAGACGCAAGGGCGGACTGGAAAAGGGCAGATGCTTACCCCGAGATGTCAGGTGCCACTGCAAATGCTCCAACTCGATGATGGACGAAGGGAGTGGAGGGAGTGGAGGGTTTGCAGTAGAATTAGGGCACAGTGACATCGCCTCTTACGGCTCAGCAGTGAGACGAGGATGCCATCATTAAAACATCGCTTTCACAATTCAACTACCCTATACAGAACAAGTACTCCAGAACCAGTTGTCAAGCTCAAGCAAGATACCCCATCCCCCTCCAAGCCAGCACATACTTCCTCGCCAGCTCAGCCCCGACCGGCCCAACCCCAGCCATCGTGCCCGAATGCTCAACCGCCTTCTTCGTATCAAGCACCAGGCCCCCACAACTCATGCGCTCGAAATGGTCATCCAGGAAATCCACCAGCCTGGCCGCCGGATTCTCCGTCTCAGTCGGCAGCGGACTCCGTCTCACCCTCGAAATCCAGCTCTTGAATGGCATGATATCACGCTCGGGGATACCAAGCGCTTCCGCAAGAACGGTGTTCATGGAAGTCCACTCCTGCCCAACGGGATTGTCGATATGGTACACGGGATGCGCATCGTCGCCCCGCGAACCAAGATGCAGCAGATCAACAACACCCCCAGCACAATAGTCAACCGGAATCCACTGCATCTGCCCACGCAGAGCCGGCCACGCCCGAAGACTCTGCGCCGACTTGACCAGGAACGCAAAGTGCTCGACGGGGTTCCAGAACCCACTCACTGACGATCCAGATATCTGACCAGGTCGCACTGCCATCGCCCTGAAGAGCTTCGGGTGCTTGTGCAGCGTCTCATCAATCATTCGCTCGCAGATCCATTTCGCCTCGCCGTACCCGCTCGGCAGCGTTGCGGAGAGAGGAACCCGCTCCTCGGGGACAACAGACTTCCCGCAGAACCCTACAACGCCGATCGAGGAGATGAACTGGAACCCAACCCTGCTTGGCTTGCTGAACGGACGAGAGGCAATCTCCCGTGCAAGATCAAGCAGGTTGCGCATGACCTGCAGCTGGGTCTCGAACGCGGAGACCGGGCGCGTCCCGCTCATCGGCCAGGCGTTGTGGATAATGTCCGTTGCGTGCTCGAGGAGCCAACTGTACTCGAGAGGCGGAAGGCCCAGCTGGGGCTTTGACGTGTCTGTTTCGAGGATGCGCAGTTTGGCGCGTGCGGCTGGGGACAGACTGATTCCGCGCGTGGTTAGGGCTTCGTGCTGGCGTTTTTCTGGGCTGCTGCTGCTGCTGCGGCGGTTTAGGCACACGACTGTTGCGACGGAGGGGGTTTCGGTTAGCTTTTGCACGATGTGTGAGCCTAGGCTTCCGGTTGCGCCGGTGACGATGACCACTGCGTCGAGGGATTTCCCGGTGCGCGGGGTGGTCGCTTGCTGGGTTTGGTTGTCGAGGATGCGGAGCTTTGGTGTCTCCCAGCCGGTTGTGTATTTGTGCACCAGACTTTCAGCATTTGCAGTTCGGGTCTCGATATTCTCAGGGTTCAATTCTGGGATGGGAGTCTCCACGGGCTCGGGCTTCGGTAGCCGAGGGCCCTGGGATCCGGAAGCAAGCGCGATAATGACCTTCTGGAACGAGTTCTCCGGCAGGTTTCCGTCCGTCCAGTCGACATGCCCATAGCCCGCCTTGTGTAGTTCTGCCTCCCAGTGTTCGGCGGGCACGACGGCGTGGTGGCGTCCGTCGTCGAATAGCCACCATCCTTCGAGAAGACCGAAGACAAGGTCTACGAAGGGGACGACCTCGGTCATCTCCAGCATCATGAGGAACCCGTCTGGCCGGAGGGCCTGGTGGATATTGGACAGCGAGACACCCAGATTGTGCGTGGCGTGGATGGCGTTACTGGCAAGCACAAGATGCTGGCTTCTCAGTTCATCCGCCGGCGCTTTCTCGATATCGTGCACGGCAAACCGCATGAAGGGGTATAGCTTGCTGAAGCGGCGACGGGCATTGGCAACCATGCTGGGCGAGATATCGGTGAATGTATACTCGATCGGCAGGGACTCAGCGAGCGTCGCCAGGAAAGGCGCCATGACGAGCGTTGTCCCTCCTGTGCCGGCGCCCATTTCAAGAACCTTGAGTGTTTCGCCGGTATGGCCAATCCGCTCCGCTAGGATCTTCGTGACTTCGCGCATCTGCTCGTAGCTCATGCAGTTGAATGTGTGCTCGCAGTACATTGCGGCCGTGAGTTCCCTGCCCTCGGGACTCCCGAAGAGCACGCGGATTCCGTCCGTTGTGCCGCTGAGCACGCCCGCGAGTTGGCGGCCTGCGTAGTACGCCAGTCTGTTGGGGACTGCGAAGCCGGGGTCTGACGAGAGCACTTCTTGTAGGACGGTCGTGCTGTCCTTCCGTGGGGCTCCGATGTGCGTGCGTGTGATCTGTCCGCTGGCGGGGTCGATGTTGATTAGTCGGGCATCGCGCTCGAGGAACTCGTAGACCCATTGCATGAGGCGGGTGTGCTGGGGGAGGAAGGGGACGCGCTCGAGGACTTGTCCTGGGGAAGCTGTGCGGAGGGGCGAGCCCAGCTCGTCCATGGCCTCGACCACAAGCGCAGCGCAGAGACGGTTACTTCCGGACAGCATGACGCCCTCGGTCTTGTCGACGCCGTATTCTTTCATCAGGGAGTCGGTGTTGAGCTTGACCTGGCCGAAGGAGGCCAAGATGTCGGCGGGAGTTAGGGCTAGCCGGGACTCGACGGGGGGTGCGACGGCAGACAATCCAGCAGCCTTGTGGATTGCGACAGCCTTGAGAGGGAGGACCTCTTCTTCAGGGGTGGGCGTCAGGATGCCCGTGTCGGAGCTCTCCGCGCTATCTTCGTCGCTCTCACTCAGCTCCTCGCTGGACGAGTCGTCGCTTTCTTCCTCACCTTCCTCCGCAGCGCCCTGGTTAGGCCCGAACAGGGCATTCGACACGCACCGCACGAACTTGCGCAGGGTCGTCGCCTCCATCTGCTCGTTCTGGTCGAGAGGACACTTGAACGCCGACTCCACCTCCTTGCCCAGTTCCATGCCCATCAGCGAGTCGATACCGAAGTCGGCCATGTCGGCATCCAGCTCCAGCTCGCCGGCGTCGATGCCCGAAACAGTCGCCACGAGATCGCGCACCTCGTCGGTGATGTCGCGCCAGCCAGAGGGCTTGCTGGACTTGGGCTTGCTGGGTTTGGCTTTTTTGGCCGGCTTCTTCTCTTTCTTCGGCGCCTTGCTCTTCACCTCGACGGGCTTAGGGCCGGTTTTTGTCTCTGTCTCCGTAGCAGACTTGACAGCTTGCGCCGGCGCCTGCACCTTCGTCCTGAGAACCGACTCGTCCTTTGTCATGCGCGCAAGCATCATACTCATCGACGCCCTCGCAACCCGCATATACTGCACCCCCAGCATAATCTCCACCAGCTGTCCCGTCGCAGCCTCAAACACAAACAGATCCGTCATGATACTTTTCTCGCCCTGCCAGCTATGCCGCGCATAAACATGCCACACATCGACGTCCGCCCGATCCACCACCCTCGGCGAGCGCATACTCACCTCGCACCCCGTCGCAATAAACATATCGCTCCCCGGCAGATCCGTCATAAGGTTCACCCACACCCCGCCGACTTGACTGAAACTATCGCTAAGGGGCACATCAAGCCAGGTATCGCCCCGGCTGGAGCGAGGCAGCTGCACGCGCCCCGCGCACTCGGTGCCCTTTCCGACGACGAATTTCAAGCCCCGGTATACCTCGCCGTAGTCGACTATCGGGCTGAAGGCGCGGTAGACGTTGCGGCCCTGCAGGACTTCGACGCCGTCGTCGGCATCGGAGAGGTTGAGGCGCAGGAGGTCGGTGCATTGTTTGTGGGAGACGAGGCGCTCGAAGTTGGCGAATTCGCGGGTGTGGGCTGGGTCGCTGGGTGAACGGAGTTCGACGGTTGCTTCGGCGTGGACTTCGCTCCCGCTGCTTTTATGACTTGCAGAGTCGACGCTGGTGATCTTCATGGCCCAGGCTGTGCGCTTTTTGTTGCTGGCCGTCAAGTCGAGGTACACTGTTCGGCTGGGGTCCTTGCAGATGGGGCTGTGGTTGACCATGTCCTTTACGACTGGGGAGAGCCCTCGCCAAGTTGGGTCCAGGCTGAAGAGGGCTTCGATGACGATGTCGCACTCTAACGTCCCTGGGCAGATGGGGGCTGTCTGGGCGATGACGTGGGTGAGCACGTAGCGGTTGTACTTGTCCGAGGCCGTGTTGATGCGGAAGCGGGCTTGTTTGGTGTCGTCTTGGTAGCCCACGAAGTCCCAGAGGGGCATTGTCCGGGGGTCTTGCGCGGTGTCTTGGTGCGGCGCAGAGAGGGTTCCGCCTGTAGCGACCATCTTCGCGGCTTCTTCCTTGACTTTCTCGAGCGGGGACTTCATGGGGAGCCAGTGGCGGGATGAGGTGTCGAATTGGTATGGGGGGAGAAGGAGATGCGCGTATTCGGGGGTCTGAACGGAGTGGTGTGGCCAGAAGGCTACGCGGAGACCCTGCTTCCAGAGGGCCGTGGTGGTGTCGGCGAGAGAGTCGAAGCCCGTGTCGTTGGTGATGTTGACGGCCTGGAAGGAGTGTCCGTCTGAGGAGTTCTGGCCCTGCGAGATAGCCCGGCCGGCCATGACGGTGATTGTTGAGCTGGATCCAGCCTCGAGGAAGATTGCTTGCGGGTGTTTCTTTGCCAGACGCTGGACGGCGTGGTTGAAGAAGACGGGTTGGCGCATGTGCTGAGCCACAAAGGAGGCGTCTGTTTCTTTGGCAAGGGGGACCTCCGTGGCTCGCTCAACGTGAATGACAGGCTTGTTGAAGGCCAGTGTCTTTCCGATCGTCTCTAGATCGTCGGTGATCTTGTCGACAAGCGACGAGTGGAAGGCGTTGGTGACATTGAGGCGCTTGCCCTTGATGGAGCTGAACTTGGGAGTCGAAATGGTCTGCTGCACTTGGTCAACAGCAGGAGTCGAGCCGGCAATCGTGAAGCTGCGAGGGCCGTTGTAGCAGGCAATACTGGCTGAGCCATCGGAGCCGGCCTGGTTCGCCTCAGACAGCAACTGGCGAACGAGGGCTTCGTCACCCTCAACGGCCATCATGGCCCCGGAGTCAGCGCCCCAGCTGTCCCGGACGAGCTTCGCACGCGCTGCCACCAGACGAACGGTATCATCCAGACTCAATGTCCCGGCAACGCACAGCGCGGTGATCTCGCCAAAGCTGTGTCCGACCACGGCCTGGATCTTCCCATCTAGTCCGCAGTCAATCCAGGCCCGAGCGCAGGCATACTGCATCGCAAAGAGCATCGTCTGCAGCTTGACCGTGTCCTGGACAGCCTCACGCGAGAAGATATCAGGAGCAGCATAGATACTCTGCAGGCCCTGCGCCTTGACCACGTTATCGACCGCATCCAGGTTCTTTCGGAGGACAGCAACACTGTCAAAAAGGCCTCGATTCAACCCAACAAACCGGGAGATCTGACCCCCAAAGCAGAGAATCACCGGCCGTTCAGCTTTGACCGGTGCAATGCCCACACTCGCCGCGGCGTCCTTGCTGCTCGGGGCCGCGGCCACAGCCTGCTCGAGTTTCTCGTGCAGTTCGGACAGCGACCGCGCGTTGAAGACGAAGCCTTGCGGGAGACTGCGGTTAGATTGGCGGTTGAGGTTGAACGAGACGTCGGCGAGCGAGGGCTCTTCCTTGCACGAGCGTAGCCAGGGCCCCAGCTTCGCGCAGTAAGCGGCGATGGCTCGCGTGTCCAGGCCAGGCAGCCAGAAGGGGTAGCGTGCGCCTGCTACAATGGCCTTAAGGGGCTGAGGCTTGTCTGGCTGCATGACGATCATGCTGGCGTTCGATCCGCAGGCGCCGTAGTTGTTGAGCAAGGCCGTCTTCTTCTCCCCGTCCCAGCTGCGTAGCTTCGTGACCACCTCGATGTTGTCGTCTGCTTTGACTGGGATCTTCTTGTTCATCGTCTTGAAGCTCGCCTGTGGCGGAATGAAACCGTCCCTCATCATCATGATGATCTTGACAAGCGCAATAGCACCCGACGCGCCTTCAGTATGTCCGATATGCCCCTTGACAGACCCAATAGGCAGCTTCTTCGTCCTGCCTGGCCCACCCAGCGCAGCAAGGATACTCTCATACTCCGCCGGATCCCCAACCGGCGTGCCCGTCCCATGCGCCTCCACCAGAGAGACATCATTCGCAGTAACCCTCGCCTGCCGCATGACATCCTTGAAAAGATGCGACAACGACGGCGAATTCGGCACAAACAGCGGCGTGCAGTTCTCATTCTGATACACCGCGCTCGCCGCAATCGTCGCAATAACCTGGTTCCCATCTCGAACCGCATCAGAAAGACGCTTGAGATACACAAACGCCGCCCCCTCCGCCCGACAGTACCCATCCGCCCCGTCATCAAACGGCTTGCACTGCCCCGTGGGAGACACAAAACTGCCCGCCGCAAGGTTCTGGAACCAGTTCATGTTGGTGACCGTGTTCGAACCCCCCGCCAGCGCAGCCGTACACTCGCCACTCAGCAGATTCCGACACGCCGTGTGGATCGCAACCGCCGAGGACGAACACGCCGTGTCAAAGGTCATACACGGACCCGTCCACCCGAAATGGTGGCTTACACGCCCCGTAATGAAACTCTTCAGCGCGCCCGTCGCCGTAAACGCATTCGGGTCGTAGCACGAGATGTTATGCTCGTAGTCCACGCCGCACGAACCCAGGTACACGCCCACGTGCATCTTGTCGCGCCCGTCCGGCGTATACCCGGCATGGCTTTCGCTGAAGTACCCGGACTGCTCGACGGCCTGGTACGCCGCCTGCAGGACAATCCGGCTTTGCGGATCCATGGCCGCGGCCTCGCGCGGCGAGCGCTTGAAGAACTTGTGGTCGAAGGCGTCGCCGTCGGAGAAGAAACACCCGTAGAACTGGCGTTTGGGGTCTGCGTCGGCGTTCTCGCGGAAGAGCATGTCGTGCATCAGGCGGTCGCGCGTGATGGGGATGTGTTGGGATTCGCCGGTTTTGAGCATCTCAACAAACTCGGAGAGGTCGTTGGCGCCGGCGGTTTTGATGGACATGCCGACTATGGCGATGGGTTCGGATTGGCGGGAGACCGGCATGATGGGTTCGATCTGGGTGGGTTGGACTGGGATGGGATGCTGTTGGGGTGAGGGTGAGGGCGATGGCTGGACCCAGAACGACGGCTTCTTGGGATCCTTGGGCAAGTCCTCGTAGAAGACCTGTTTCCCACCGAGACTGCGCATCAGCGTCGGAGGCACACACCGTTCCAGCCCGAAGGTGACCACATACGGATCCTCGTGGGCATCTGCCACAGCAGAGAAGGTATCAAACCACTGACACTGCTGCACGAGGATCGAGCGCACCACCATCTCGGTCATACTGCCCTCGCCAGACACAGCCCGTCCAGTCCCCGTATTATCATACGTCGTCAACGCCAGCCCCTTCACATCCGCATACTGCAGCCCCGCCATCGACGCACACAGCTCAACCAGCGCATCCGTATGCCCCCGGCGATCCGCATTCGGGCTATGGATCTGCCCCTTAATCCCAACCTCCGCCACCGTGATCCCCGCGGCCTTGAGCCGCTTCATGAGCAGCGGCGCGATCGTCTCCGATGCCGTCACGGTCGCTCGGGTCTGGTCGTACCGCACGGCGACATACGCGTCGCTCGCCAGCTCAGATGTGATCCGGTTCATGTCGTCCTCCTGCTTCTGCCCGCGCCAGGCGACCGCGTACGAGGCTGAACTTCCTTTGCCAGAAGCCTTATCCCAGACTTCTTGTGCGTCGATCAGGGCTCCGATGAGCATGGCTAGGCGGACTGCGACGGCCCCGTATTCTTCGAAGGAGGCTTGGGTGCTGGCGCTGGCGACGGAGAGGGCGGCGAGGAGGCCCGCGCAGAAACCTAGAATGACTGTTTGTTTACCGCCGTTCTTTGCTTGCTGGACGAGTTCGGCCTGGAGGTCTGCAGGTGTAACCGTTGCATCGTCTCTAATCATCTCGAGATGCCGCCAGTACTGCGTGAGTTGAATGAGCACGACCAGCGGGCCAACGAGTATACTCGGGAGATTCTCGTCATCTGGAACAGAGAGTCCGGCCTGCTCGATCCCATGTCGAAGCCACGAGTCCAGCGCCGAAAGGCACCCCGGCCCGTCGATGTCGCGGGCTACGTCGGGCATCTTGGCGGCCAGTGCGTCCCAGTATGTTGGCAGGTCGGCGATCGTGCTGAGGATCCAGTCGCGCTGTGGGGAGGTCGAGAGCGGTTCCACCAGCTTGTCCATGGACGCTTTGGTGAATGTGCCGACGTGCGGGCCGAAGAGGAAGATCGTTGAGGCTGAGGCATCGTGGCCCGGGGTGCTTGACCGCGTCATTGTGAGTAAGTGTTGATACAAGAACAAGAAGAAGAAGAGTGTCGTCAACTGTTGAAGTAATTGGGACACCGATGAGATGCAGAATATGGTATAGTAGGGACTCGATGCTAATGATGAAGCAGAACGCACGGCAAAGATAGGCCTATACTTCTACCTCACTCTGCAGTATGCTGACTTGACCACGAGCAGCACTGATACAGCCCACAGCCTCTGATAGGCGCGGACCTCGGGGCATTGCGGCCGTTCTAGAATCCTTCTTGCTGCGGTTGTAAGCCCTAAGTCGGGTGGCTTTGCGTGCGGAGTTTCCGGACTCCAGGACTCCAGCTCCAGGATACGAACTGGCCTCGCCGCTTGCTAGTCCGGAAGTCCGCTGGGCTGAGATCCTTTCAGCTCGGGCTTTGCTAATGGAACTCCAAGCGAATGTTTGATGTTTGTCATGGGTGGACTTAGGGCTGTCTTTGGCCGAGTCAGTAGCTCTAAGTATGTGCAGCGTGTCAGTGTTAGTATAGCTGTTTTGTGCTAGGAACAGGGTAGATTCTACTTGGAATTATCGAGCTTAATCTTGGAAGTGTAGAATAGCGGGTTCACATTCATGTTCCTCACTAAGCGCTAGTTTACTTGTCCTGAGTTGGCTCTCTTGCGACCCGGAGATATATCCGTTCACTCCAGGAGCTTTCAGGGGCATTGACACAGATCCATGGATGCAATGTAGACAGCTTGATCAAACTGGGAAAGATATACCCGAGCTCATTCAAACAAGACGAACACTCCTCATGCTAAAACCAAGCACAACAACACACAGTTCATCTACATCTAAACACCAACTACCCTCTCCAACTCCCCCCTCGCCCGCCGCACCATCCCCTCAACATCAAACTCCCAAATCACCCGACTCCTCCTCTCCCACTCATCCCGACACTTCTCCCCATCCCCCCCAATCCCCTCAAACCGCCACTCATACAAGTCCCCCATCTCCCTCGAGCTCTGCACAAGCCACTGACTCCGCCCAATCCTCACCTCGCTATACGTCCCCAGCGCAGCCCGAATCCCCCTCCTCCTCTCCTCCCCACCAAGCCCTTGAACCTCTCTCAGCAACTCCACAAGCACCAGCGCATCCTCAACACCCATGCACGCCCCGGCCCCATGGAACGGGCTCGACGCGTGCGCGGCGTCCCCGGCCAGCGCCACCCGGCCTAACGCGTAGTACGGCAGCGGGTGCTCCGCCTGGTCGAAGATGGCGTACTTGCTTACCTGGTCGGGGAAGAGGCCCGCGAGCTCTTTGATATGCGGGCCCCAGTTTTCGATGGCGGACAGGATCTCGGCTTTGGAGCTGGGGACTGTCATTGTGTGCCCGTGGCTCCAGGCGTGCTTGTCGTGCGTGAAGAGGAAGACGTTGTAGATTTGGGCGTTGTTGACCTGTACCAGTTAGTATCATGCCTAGGTTAGAGGAGGAGGAGAAGTTAGGGCTAGGCATGGTATGGTAGGTTACCGGGAACGAAACGATATGCGCATCCGGCCCGCAGTGCGCGATCTGCACGTGCGCCTTCTCGTGTCCCAGGGCCTCGATCGCCTTGTCCATGGGCACCAGAGCCCGGTAGACGGCTTTGCGCGAGTACGTGGCGTTTGCGGCGGGGTGGTCAGCGCCCAGGAGGATCTTCCGCGCTGTCGAGTGCACGCCGTCGCATGCGATCACTACACCATCAGCACCATCCACACTGACAACACAGAGTTGCACCATATGGAGCAGGGGACAAACCAAGATCCGCCTCCTCGACCCCCCCATCCTCAAACCTCAGCACCACCTTCTCCGTCTCCCCCTCATCATCAAACCCAACAACCCTCTTCCCAAACCTCACCACACCCTCCGGCAAAAGCCCCGCAAGCCGCGCATGAAACACACCCCGCAAACAAGCCCAGTACGCCATATTCCTCTCCTCAATCTCAAACAGCACGCTTTTCTCCGCATCCTGCGCCTCCTCTTTACTCGCCGGGTGGAACCCATCCCAGTACCGCACTTTATCGTGCGGGCTGCGCTGTGCGACCTGCGACAGGGAGTCCAGGATTGCAGGGTCCAGGCGCGACATGCATTCTCGCGCGATGCCCGTGAAGGCGAATGCGGCGCCGATGTCGGGGAAGGTGGTGGCGCGCTCGTAGATTGTGATGTTGGTGATGTTGCGGTGCAGCAGGCCCAGCGCTGTCATTAGGCCGATTATCCCGCCGCCTATTATGGCGATGGAGAGGGGTGGGGGTGGGGGTGAGGGTTCTGGGTTGGTGGCCATGTTGTTGTTTGGGAGCGTGGGAGGGATTGAATTAGGTATGATAATAAGCCGTGGGTTGGATATAGGTTGTATGAGTAGGAGTGGTATGGTAGGGAAGTTAGGGCTAGGGAACGAGTCTGGTGCGGCTCTGGCGAGTGGCGGCTGGGGTGCTATTATCAAGGCACTCAATATACCAAGCATGCTATGGTCCAGATAAGCATCCATGGATAGCTAGGTGAGCATTGAACAGCCTCAGCCCTGCTTATCCGGAGTTTGCATCTCCGAGAGATGGCGCCGGACTGGGCGGAGTAGGACATAAGAAGGCATGGCGATGCTTACTGCGTGGGGCTTAAAAGCTTTCCGGCTGATCGAGACTGCACTGAGACTGACTAGCACACGTCCATCATTGTTCGAACCCTGGAATACCTGGAATACTGCCTACCTACCACCACTCCATCCACCTCCAAACGCCACGCCCTTCGGCTAAATCCCAACCTTCCTTACGGTCCGGGACCACCCAATCACACCAGCGAGAACCATCAATCTGACACGCATCGTCAATCTACGATATTAAATTCTCCGATCGAATCAATAACAATAATGCCGGCGCTAGACCTCGACCTCCCCCCACCCAGCGAGGCCGACGCAGATCTCCACCTCCCACGCATCCTCTGCCTGCACGGCGGCGGCACCAACGCCCGCATCTTCTCAGCGCAGTGCCGCGGCCTGCGACGACTCCTGGGCCCATCATACCGACTCGTCTTCGCCGACGCGCCGTTCCTCTCTTCGCCCGGCCCAGACGTCACATCCGTCTATGGCGAGTGGGGGCCCTTCAGAAGCTGGGTTCCTGTGCCGACGGGCGTGAGTCTGGCTTCTTGGGCTGCGGCGGGGGTTGAGGTTCAGGTTGATGCGCGGGCTATTGATGGGTGTGTTGCGGCTGCGATGGAGAGGGATGAGAAGGCTGGGGCGAGGGGGGAGTGGGTTGGGCTGCTGGGGTTTAGCCAGGGCGCGAGGGTTGCGGCGAGTTTGTTGTATAGGCAGCAGCAGCAAAGGGCACTGGGTGGTTGGAGTCGCAAGCGAGGTGCAGGTGCAGAGGCCGCGAGCACGAACTACCGCTTCGCCATCCTGTTCGCTGGGCGCGGACCGCTATTAGACCTGGGCTTTGACTCTGGCACAACCTCTGCATCGAGTTCCGCACCCGCATCCGCATACGCGTCTGCGTCTGCGTCTGCGTCCGAGTCCGAGTCCGGATCCGACCCCGACTCTGCGGCTGAAGACGACGACGAAAACGAAGTGGATAGCGATAATCTCCTTCGTATCCCCACCATCCACATCCACGGCCTCCGCGACCCAGGCCTCCCCATGCACCGCGACCTAGTGCGGTGCTGTGCGGACTCGAGCGTACGGGTCGTGGAGTGGGACGGGGCGCACCGCATGCCCATCACCACCAAAGACGTTGGGGCGGTTGTAGCGGCGCTGCGGGACTTGGCGATGGCTCGGAAATACGAAAGCTTGAGGTGAAGAAGAGGAGCGAAGCGAAGCCGGGTGTTGCGAAGGAGCAGGATTCGGGTGCAGATGGCGCCATGCAGCCCGAGAGCTGCAGAGCTGCAGAGCTGCAGAGGCATGCAGAGCTCAGGATCAGGATCGCTTTCTTCAGGGGCGGAGTTCGGGGGACTCGCCGGCCAGCTCAGCCCTAAGTCGGCGGTCGGAGGGGGACTCCGTCGGATTTCGGAGTCCGGTCGGAGATGGGGGTAGGGGAGGTAGGGTAGGGTTTCACAGGAGGAGTTAGAAGGTTTTCTTAAAATGTCTAAGCAAAGAGCTATCTGCTATATATTTTATTCTATCCGCTAGTCAGCAAGCTTGCATCGATACTACCTCAGCCGCACTTGTTACCTGGGTAGTCTGACCGCAATGGCTGCACCAGACCACATGGACTCAGTGCAGAAGCACGATGCCTCCAGCGACGACGCAGAGACTGAGACCAAGATCCAGTATCCGTCCGGATGGAGGGTCACGATGATCCTGACCTCGGTGACCCTGGCCTACTTCCTCTTCTTCCTGGACCTTGCCGTCCTATCCACCGCCACGCCCGCCATCACCTCGCAGTTCGACTCGCTGGTCGATGTTGGCTGGTATGTCCCTTCAAGTTATTACCTATATTGACGCCTACTGATGCCATTAACCGCAGGTACGGAGGCGCCTACCAGCTCGGCAGCGCGGCGTTCCAGCCCCTGACCGGCAAAATCTACAGCCAGTTCTCCATCAAGGTATCCTGGGGCATCTTCACTACTACTCTGGCTAGATCCTAACGCAGGCAGTGGACATTCCTCGTCTTCTTCGTCATCTTCGAAGTCGGCTCCGTCCTCTGCGCCGCGGCTCACAACTCCCCCATGTTCATCGTCGGCCGCGTCATCGCGGGCGTAGGCTCGGCGGGGATGTCGAATGGCGCCGTCACAACCATCTCCGCTGTCCTGCCGACCCAGAAACAGGCGCTCTTCATGGGCCTGAATATGGGCATGGGCCAGCTGGGTCTCGCGACGGGCCCGATCATCGGAGGCGCGTTCACGACGGATGTTTCGTGGCGCTGGTGTACGTCCCTCTCCGGGGCCCCTTCCCTAAAGACTCCAGCGGTATATATTTATGGACTGTGTGGGATTGACTGAGCTGTCAGGCTTCTACATCAACCTCCCCCTCGGCGCCATCGTCGGCGGCTTCCTCCTCTTCAGCACAATCCCCGAGCCCAAGCCCAAGTCGCCTCCGCTGCAAATCCTCGGGTCCGCAATCCACTCCCTCGATCTCCCCGGCTTCATGCTCGTGTGCCCCGCCGTGGTAATGTTCCTGCTAGGCCTGCAATTCGGAGGAAACCAGCACCCGTGGGATAGCTCGGTCGTGATCGGCCTGCTGATCGGCGGCGCCGCCACATTCGCCGTGTTCATCGTGTACCAGTGGTGGCGCGGCGACGAGGCGATGGTCCCCTTCGCGCTGCTGAAGCATAAAGTCGTCTGGTCGGCGGCGATGACGATGTTCTTTTCCCTGTCCAGTGTGCTCGTCGCGGACTTTTACATCGCCATCTATTTCCAGGCCATTCGCGATGACTCGCCGCTGATGAGTGGCGTGCATATGTTGCCGATTACGCTGGGACTGGTGCTTTTTACCGTTGTTTCGGGGGCGTTGAGTATGCTTCTCCTTTTCTTTCTTTCTTTGGTAGTTGATATGCTGGCTAATCAGCGTCATAGTCTCCATGCTGGGCTACTACCTCCCCTTCCTGCTCGCCGGCGGCGCAATCTCGGCCGTGGGCTACGGGCTCCTCTCGACGCTGAGCACGAGCACCTCCGTCGCGAAATGGGTCGGATACCAGGTCCTGTACGGCGTTGCGAGCGGGTGCACGACGGCTGCGGTACGCCCTCCTCCCATCTCATCTCATCTCATCTCCCTCCCTTCCCCATTGCCCGGGAAGCTAACAAGTGCACGGGCAGCCCTACATCGCAATCCAAAACCTCGTGCCCGCGCCGCAAATCCCGCAGGCCATGGCGATCATCATCTTCTGGCAGAACATCGGCGCCGCGATCTCGCTGATCGCCGCAAACGCCATCTTCTCGAATGTGCTCCGCGACGAGCTGGCGAAACGCGCGGGCCAGATCGGTGTGTCTGCCGACGCGATTGTCGCCGCTGGCGTGCGCAGTATCCGCGAGCTTGTCGCGGGGAGGGAACTCGTCGCTGTGCTGGAGGCGTATGCGGAGGCGATTGATAATGTCATGTACCTGGGGATCGCGGTGAGTGTGTGTGTGATTGTGTTTAGTCCGGGGCTGGGGTGGAAGGATATAAGGCAGACGAAGGAGTTGCAGGCGCTTACTAGTGAGGGCGATGGGGAGGGGGGGAAGAGGGAGAAGGAAACGGTGCCGGTTGCGTTTGGTTAGGGCACCTGTATGCAGGCGGTTGTCGGCAGGTGGGATCTAGAATTCTCGAGCTGGCTCCGGTTCGATACGCTTCATTTCGGTTTGACAAGTCTCTTCGTGCATTCCTCTCCATGTTTTTATGTGCTTGGTTTGTTTGGAGAGAAAATTGTTTGATGGCGCTGTGTTGGCTATAGCTTTATAATATGGTAATCAATTCGACTCCCAATAACTCGTGGCTCACAAGCTAGCGGACATACATCCATACAACTACGTAGAGCAGGAACACAAGCCTGTATCGTCACTTTACTCCAAGCAGGTTGAATGGAGGCAGGACTGGAACTCACTTAGTTCGTTGACAGCCTCCAAGAAAAATAAATATATTGGCATCGTCCAGAGTAGTTTCGGTTTCCTCCTGTTCGTTCTATATCAATCAATTGAGCTTAAGAGGCATCATAGAAAGAGCCGCAAGGCTAAAGGAATCCGGGTTTAGGGAATAAGTCTAGAAGAATATGATCAGTCTTGACAATACGTTTGAACAAATCCATTGCGCGAGTGATATTAGGGCACCTAGGGCTATCTTGGGTATACAGCAAACTAACATCAACATCAACATCACATCAACCCCCTCACCTCCCCAAAACAAAAACAACAAACTACAACGTAACAACAAGCTTCTTCCCCGAAACCCCCTTCCGCTGAACATCCAACGCCTCCTGAATCTTCTCCAGCCCCTTGCCCACAACAAGCGGCGGCGGCGCGGGCACAAACTGCCCTCTCGCCAGCGCCTCCGGCAAAAAGTCCATGTAGATATGGCTAACCACACTATCCGGATCAACAAGCCCATCAACGAGAATGAACTTGGCCGTGACGCCCGTCCGGCGCTGCCGAATACTCGACTTCACCATCCCCCCAATCATCCCAATGAAGAACGTCCCCTTGCCAACGAAGGTAGTCAGCTTCTCAGACGGGATATGCTGGCCCGCGACGGCGATGAATCTGCGCGTTAGAGCCGGGTCGTGTTTCTTCAGGACGAGCGTGCATGCCTCCACGGCCCCCGCGCCAATCGTATACGCGCCGACAAGCTCCTTGCCCTTCACGGCAGCCAGAAGATCCCGAGAGAGCGATTTGCTCCTGTAGTCGAAGACCCCGCTTGCGCCGAGGCTCTTGACGTAGTCGAAGTTCTTGGGCGACGAGGTGGACAGGACCTCGTAGCCTGCTGCGGCGGCGAGCTGGACGGCGTTGCTGCCGACGCTGCTTGCGCCGCCGGTGATGATCACGACGCGCGGCTTGCCGGATTTGCCGAGCGGAATCTCGGGTCCAGCCCCCTTCTCTGAAACTCTCGGCATGTCAAGCGCCAGATACTCCTTGTGGAAGAGCCCGAACGCTGCAGTCCCCAGCCCCAGCCCCAGCACGCACGCCTGCTCGTCGCTCACGCCCGCCGGGATCGGCGTCACCATGTGCACCCGCATCACCGTGTACAGCTGGAACCCGCCCTCGGCCGGATCGTTGACTTCCTTCGCGATGGCCGTCGAGCTCCCGCAGACGCGGTCGCCCACGGCGAACCGCGTCACGTCTGCTCCGACCTCGACCACTTCGCCGGCGACGTCGGTGCCCAGGATGAAGGGGTACTTGAGGTACCCGGCCAATGCGGGGCCGATGAACTGCAGGACCCAGTCGAAGGGGTTGATTGCGACTGCGGTGTTCTTGACCACGACTTGGCCCGGGCCTGGGGGGGTGTAGGGGGCGGACGAGACTTTGAACGGGATGGCTTTTTTGGCGGGGATCCAGGCGGCGCGGTTTTGGGGTTTGGATGCGCCGTTGCCGTTGGTGGCGTGGCCGTTGGTTTCTGTTTCTGCGATTGGGGGTGCTTGCGTTGCCATTGTGATGGCTGGATTGAGCGTTGGGTGAGATGTGGTTCACTTGACTGGACTCAGACGCAGCTCCAGGAAGTAAGCAGAAGAGCGCTGCAGCGGGTATTAAAGAGCGTGCTAACGGCAGAGTCCAGAGTCGAGGCACTGTCCGGAGTAAACCCTCTAGGGACGCTGGTAACGGCCAGGTAGGGCTACGGACTCGGAGTCTTAGGACAGGATTTCAGCCCGAAGTCCGACTGAGGCTTACCTACCTCCAGTGTGATTGTGATTGTTTTATTGTTTGGAGTACCTCAGCTCGATCCTTCAGACTTATCTCGACAGCCTCCGCCAATCGAACGCTGCTCCCGCCGCCGCGTGCAGATTACCCTCTCTGCAGGATCGGGGGTCCTCCACGCCTGCCTCGGAGCGCGTTCTCACTGGATGCGGCGCCAGTACCCCTGTCGAGGCGAGACTAGGCTGTGGGCGTGGCCTGTAAACGCTAACCAGAGTCGGCGAGTGTATCTCTTGAGCAACGGCTTGGTTGTCTCGGCCATGCTTGATCCGATGGGTCTGGGGCTTTGTACTCTGCAGATGGATCTTATCTACTCCACTGATCTGGACAAGGCTCGGAGAAATAATCAAAGGGTCGGAGACAGGGGATTACACGGACGAACGTTCGCTTCTGCACAGCAAGTGGCCATTGCTAATGATAGCATCAGCTGCTATGCGCTGCAGCCTGCCGAATGCAGCATCTCGTACGCCTAATCAAGCTCATGCGAGTCTCGCCCCCAACGCTCTGCAGGTAAGACGGATCCTGGAGGCTCATGCTAGTGCTCCTCTCTTGACGAGGGCCTGGCGCCGAACACGAGCCTGGCTCTTCGAGACTGGCTGCTGAAGCCACTGATTACCCTCCTCAGGGTATATTACGAGAATAAATCCTTCGCCTTCAGCCAGCCATAAGAGATAAGAATACCTGCCTCGCCGTTATCTTGACTGTCAGCATAGACCACCTTGTCATTCAACATCACAAACCTATAAATCAAGCCATGGCGTGCACCACCCGTCGCGGACGACAACAACCGGGCTTCGCATGCGAGGAGTGTCGCCGTCGCAAGGCCCGCTGTGACCGCGTCCGTCCGAAATGCGGATTCTGCACGGAGAACGAGTTGCAATGCGTCTTCGTCGACAAGAGACAGCAGAGGGGCCCGGTCAAGGGGCAGATCAACTCGATGCAGTCGCAGCTGGGTAGGTGGTGCCTCTTCTCCTGCAGTTGCATTTCCAATCGAACCGTAGATTACACAGCATCTGCACGGCCCTGCATTGTATTCCGATCTGCAGGGTCTGCCGGAGTTCATGCTGCTTCCTTGTTTCTGCACATGGTCGATCCAGACTAACCTGGATGCCTGATGTCTAGCAACGCTTCGGTGGCAGCTGGATCGGTATCTGAGGCAACGGCCAGACCATCCCATAGCCATGACCGTCGAGTCGGATGAGCCGCCGACGGATATCCAGACGATGCTGGACGACTTTGATGTGCAGGTTGCGGCGTTGAATCAGGATGGCGCAATGGCTACTACCACGGCTCTTATGCCGGCAACCACCACAACCTCAAATGACGCTCCTGCTGGTCTGTCATGGCCGGACGCCACTTGGTTGGACTGCCAGTGGCAGGAAATCAGCACCAGCTTGATCCCACCAGACCTAACGGCTGTCTCCACGACCACTGCGTTGACCGACCCGCTGAGCCTGGATATTCTCAATGAAAGCCCTCCCCCTCCTACCACAGCCGACTCGAGTTCTTCGAGAGTGAAGATGACCGATCTCATCCGGGCGGAACTGTATGCAGCTTCCCCATCACCCAAGGGTTCCCTATCACTAACAGCGTCAGGGACCAACTCTACTTTGACCGCGTCCACGCCTTCTGTCCCATCATCCACCGTCGACGATACTTTACTCTCGTCGCACAAACCAGTACCCCCGCGCAGGTCTGCCTGCAGTCTGCGATGCGGACTCTCGCAGCAGCCATGTCTTCTCATTACCAGCTCGGCGAGCAGCTCTACTCGGAGACCAGAGTCTTGCTAGAAACACACAGCCAGACGCCGGCTACCCCTCGAGATAAGATCCCCCTCGAGCACATCCAGGCCTGGCTGCTGCTGAGCCACTACGAATTACTCCGAATGGGGGTCCATCAGGCCATGCTTACGGCCGGTCGGGCCTTCCGTCTTGTGCAGATGGCACGATTGTCCGAGCTCGACGCCAGTGCTGATCTGCAGCTCTCCCCGGTTTCTCCGTCGCCTTCTTTGTCACTATCGCTGTCGTCTGGTGTGGAATCTTCCGAGAGCTTTGTCGATGCCGAAGAAGGGCGACGGACGTTTTGGCTTGCGTTTTGCTTTGATCGCCTTCTTTGCTTGCAGAATGAATGGCCTTTGACTTTACAAGAAGAAATGGTATGTCTCCTACCCAGTCTTGCCTTGTTGATATCCATTCTAATGACTTCAGATCTCGACTCGTCTCCCATGCCCCGAACACAACTATCAAAACAACCTCCCCATCCGCACTCCCTTTCTCCCCGAAGCGATGGCCCAGACTGGCCAGAACACCCTCTCCCCCTTCTCCGAATGTATTATTATGGCGACTCTCCACGGCCGGTGCATGACCCACCGCCGCTTCTACGCAAACCCGAACAACACCAATGCCTCTGATTTTGAGTCCGGACCTACAAAACGCGACTTCTGCATCCGCCAGAACTGGCTTTCCAATGCCGTTGACCGACGGGTGCAGACGTTATCGCAGATGCCTTCACCGACCGTGGACAGTGATCCGATGCTCCTGTTTACGCACATGCTGGGTTACCGCGCGACCGTCCATATCAGCAACACAATGCAGCAAGTCTCGTGGCGGACTTCCTCAGTCGACCAGCAGCTCCTAGGCCCTGGGACACCGGTCTCAGTCTCAGCTGTCGCATACCAACAACGCGCCGCGCATGCCGCGGGGGAAATTGTCCGGCTGGCAAAGGCCGTGCCGGCGCTGAGTCCGTTCAAGGCGCACCCTTTTTTACCGGATGCCCTGGCATGCGCGGCTACGTTTCTTTCGATTCATGGCTCGGGGTCTGCCGGCGAGGCAGTGCAGCACGTGCTGCGCGTACTGGGGGAGTTGCAGGATACGCACAGCCTGGCTAGGGACTACTTGCAGGGGTTGCAGACGCCGGGCGAAGGCAATAGACAGGATACATGGTTTCTCCAATAGACATATTAGCCGAATGCTATCTTAGACCACTTTGTCTCCACGGCTAGATCCGACCTCGGGAGCGTTGACGGGAGCGTTGACGGGACCGTATGATCCGCCACACGTAGAAGGATCGAGGGCTGAAGGATCGAGGGCTGAAGGATCGAGGGCTGAAGGATCCCGTCGGGGCTGAAGGACGAAAGGCCTTACCTCCCTTAGGTAGGGACTGGGTGAAGACCGGACTTCGGGTTGAATTCCGTCGGAGATCGGGGCTCGGCCCTAATTCCGTCAGAGGCCGGCCTTAAGTAATCTCCGGGGTTGTGTCCGCTCAGCTGGGATCCCTGCTCTCTCCCTCTCCCTCTGCAACTCTCCTCTCCAACTCTCCGTCTGCACGAGCTGCCATCGGCATCGAATTCCATCTCCACTTCTGTCAGTTCATCCTTGATCGGCTCATCGTCAATCATAAGATAGTCACGTGGCCACCTGACTGCCCTCAATATCAGATTGCGGTAGACAGGAATAGGATCACCACCAGCCGATAGCAACATGGATAGAACACCTTCCCATCAATCAAGCTCCTACGGTCAGGCCTGTACCCAGTGCTACAAGGCAAAGTGTCGCTGCGTGCGCACTCCCAGCGGCGACAGCTGCGAAAGGTACGATGCCTCTGCCAGCGCAAGATAATCACTAACGCAAACAGATGCCTCCGCCTCAAGAAGCGTTGCGAGCCGTCAGAGTCTATCCGACGGCGCAATGTCGCGCAGAACTCCAATGTCTCTGACAGGCGCATTGCCCGCCTGGAAGACAAGATGGAGAGCTTGCTGTCCGCCATGCAGTCCTTCATCGGGTCGAATGGAACGGGCGTGAATCTGAATGGAGAGTTCGTTCCATCCGTAAATGCTTACCAGAGTGGCAATGCTGCTCTGGTGACGCCCCCCAGCACGACACTGGGGTTCGGCGAGGGACCAGCATTCGCGCCGGAGTCGGTGTCTGCTGTATCGCCGAACTCGAACCCGCAGAACCCGATTTTCCTATCGACGCCTGCATCATCGCCGAACCAGGATGAGAGGCTGGACTTCTTTAGGTCGAAGATGCTGCCGTCTTTCCCGTTTATTGATCTCACGCCCGATATGACGAGCTGGTATCTCCGTCAGAATCGCCCGCTGTTGTACCAGGCTATTTGTACGGTTACTACGTTCTCGACGCAGGAGCGGCTGGCTCAGGTGGAGGAGTTGAAGCAGAAGCTGTTCTCGTCGGCGTTTATGAAAGTCGAGTCGAATATTGACCTGCTCCTTGCGTCGCTTACGTATCTGGCGTGGAGCACGGATCCCTTCCTGGGCAGGGCCGATTTAGTCTCGCGGCTGATGATGCTCGCCATCTCGCTGGTGTATGATCTACGGCTGTTCAAGCCGTCTTCGAAAGACGTGCAGCTCATTATGACTATCACCCAAGGCCGGACAGACGAGAGTCCAGCCCACGATGAAACGCCGTATGGGTTGTTGGAGCGGCAGAGGGCTGTACTCGCGTGTTTTATTCTAAGCTCCAAGTGCGCATTCACTCGCTAGTTCTAAAAGCTACTAACAAGGCCAGTATCTCTTCACACCTCGGCCGTCAAGACGCCCTACGATGGACACCTCAAATGGAAGAAGCGCTTCGGCTGCTTACGATAAGCGAGGCATGCCCTGCAGACAGGCTATTTGTGTGCCAAGTCCGTTTGCAGCTGCTGAAGCAGCGAGCCGACGACGCCCGCCAGCAGGATGACACGCGCACCTCGGCACCTGGCTTGCTGTACCTCAAGACCCTACGCCGTGAGCTACAAGAGCTGCGCGCCTCGTTTCCGATGGACCTGCAGCAGATCGGTAAGCCTTACGACTATAGAAACCACCTCATTGGGCTGACTGTGACCAGATATCCTAAGCACCCACGCCCAATATGTTGAGCTCTATATCAACCAGCTCGCCTTCACCATAAGCAAAGACTCGCCCCTCGCAGCATCCAGCAACGGCCCTAGCGGAAATGCACTCGCCTTCCAACGCCTCGAATGCCTATGGCACTCTGTTGAGAATATCAAATCCTGGCTAGACAGTTTCTACAGCATTCCGTGCTCCAAGCTGTCGGGACAGCCTTTCCACTTCTGGTCGCAGATGATTCTGACCATTACACTCTTGAAATATCTATCCACGCTCAAAGACCCCGACTGGGACTGTCAGGCAGTACGGAATACAGTCCACCTGATCTCAACGATGGACTGCATGCTCCAGCGCCTAGATCTAGCGACCAAGGAGCCCGAGCTGCAGGGGTGCGGCGACCACCTCCTGCTGTTCCTGTCGAAGTTGCTTAGTCGGAGCCGGGTTTGGGGCGAGGCAAGGTGGAATCTAGAGGGGCAGGGCCAACAGATGGACGATGTGCAGACCTCGTGTCAGAGTGCGTCTGTACCGCCAACTACGATTGTCGGCAGTGAGTCGGATGCGGCTGGTCAGGGGCAGGCTCAGATTCAGACTCAGGCGCAGACGTATAGTTACTACGTGCCTGACCTAGACCAGATGGTGTTTATGCAGAGCATGGATCTGGGTGATGATCGGTGGTTTGAGAATGTGCTTGGGATGCCGCCGACGTTTTACTAGTCGTGCAATGAATGTCTTCTTGAGTTTCGTTCTTGTTTATGCTCATCACCGCCGTTTTTGGTAGCGTTTGATATCGGAATGTTCTAGCTTTACTCATTGATCATGGTTTGCCTGTCTCAGCATCTGTCTCATCTCCTGCGGGCTGGAGGATATGGCCCGCGGATTTTCCATTGAAACTGCATCTTCAATTGCGTGGTTGGAAGGAGCCACTGCTGATCAGTCAATGGACAGCTTAACAACAAGTCAGCCTATACCCCATTCGCTGGAAAGGCCCTACCGGCGCAGACACGCACCTGCACTGGACAGCGGCAGTGTGAGTACCAACCCACGATCATCTCGTGGCTTCCCTACAGTCACACTCACCCAGGAGATTAGGCTTAGTTTTCCTAAACAGAGGAAACTGGATACTCCATACAACGGTTCCATGAGAGAGGGTAATATGACCTACCACTCCAAACCACGCGGAGTAACCGTTGTCGTCAGCCTCACCAACGCCCGGTCTGGAGCTGAGCTGTTGACGAACTGCACCTGCAGCAGTCGAACTCCGCCATCCAATCGGACTCATTCTGCAATCCTCAGGTTCCTGCATGGATGCACCGGACTTTGCATGCACGGTCCAGAACTGCAACCTTGGTTGGCTGTGCCGGAGTTCCAACTCCGATAGATTGAGTTACGCTGCAGTCAGCCCTAAGCCTCGCACGCGGCCCCTGCCCAACCACGCCATGTTGACATACGTCCGGAGTATGATGTAGCCAGGCAGGCAGGCGCAATCTCTTATCGCCTATTAAAGCTCATTCGCCTACCTGGCTCCCTTCTAACACCACTCAACCCGTCTGTCTTTATCTGACCAGTTGGGCCCAATCATAATGCGGTTCCTGTATCAAACGCTGGCATTGGCCGCTGCTGCCCGCGCGGCCAGCGTGAGCCTCGAGTCCCTCTTTGGCCCGTACTTGTCTCCCGGGACTGAAATCGCTGAGCTCAACGACACGGACTTTGACGACGTTGTCTCTCCGCGATGGTCTGAGTGGAGGCCCCCTAGCTGGACGGGCGCGATCAAGCCTGCGACCGAGAAGGACCTGCAGGAGATTGTACGTCGATTTCATGGCTTGATGAGGTGTCGTGCTAACCACGTAGGTCCGCATCGCCGTCGCCAACAACGTCAGCTTCATGGCGACCAACGGCGGCCATGGCACGAGTCTGATCTATGGAACCGTCAACGGCCTCGACATCAACCTGGAGAACTTCAACAGCGTGGACATTGACCTCGAGTCCAACACCGTGACTGTCGGTGCTGGCGCGAAGCTCGGCGATATCACCATCCCGCTGTATGAAGCCGGCAAGGCCATTCGTACGCTCTCCTACCCACATCATCAAGGACACTTCTGACAGCAGCCCAGCCCGCGGCAACTCGCCCTGCGTGGGCGTCATCGGCGCAACCATCGGCGGCGGCATCGGGTACGAAACAGGCCTCTTCGGCCTGGGCGTCGACGCCCTCACCTCCGTCCGCCTGGTCACAGCAACCGGCGCCCTCGTAACCGCCAACACAACCCACAACGCCGACCTCCTCTGGGCGATCCGCGGCGCCGGCGCAAACTTCGGCATCATCACCGCCGCAACCTTCACCATGTCCCCGCAGCCCAACAACGGCAACGCCGTCATCGGCTCCTTCGTCTACAACTCCACCGCCTCCCTCGGCGTCTTCGAGTACCTCGCCATCCTCGACGACGTCCTCCCGCCAGAACTAGGCGTGCAGCTATCCGTCTCCTACAACCGCACCACCAACGAGACCCTCCTAACCGTCGACATCAAGCACTTCGCCGGCTGGGACACGTTCGTCGACCACTTCGAGTCCGCACTAGCACTCAACCCCATCAGCGCAAACGTCACAAACGTCACGCTAGTCCAGCTCTACGACGGCCTCGACGGCCCCTGCCAAACAGGCGCGTACATTTCCGGCGGCACAATCGGGCTCGGGCGCACGGACCCAGCCACGCTGCAGGAAGTCTTCGACGACATGACGGCCTTCTACCGCCAGTACCCGGGGTACATCGGCCAGACGCTCTTCCAGCGGTACGCAAACAACAACACGCTCAAGACGCCGGCCCACACGGCCGTGTACCCGTGGCGCGACACGAAGATGTTCTGGCTGCACGAGAACATCTACACGGACCCCGCGCTCGAGAAGCCCACGAACGAGCTGCTCGTGAAGCTGAGGAAGAAGTTGCATGCCACCAGTGGGTTTCCGCAAGACCAGCCGCATATCTATGTCAACTATGCGTTTGGGGATGAGGGGGCTGAGGCGTGGTGGGGGGAGGAGAATCTGCCGCGTCTTTCGTTCCTGAAGAGGAGGTGGGATCCCAAGGGGGTGTTTGGGAGGGGGACGCCGATTCCAAGGTTTTAGGACTTCATGTCTAGGTAGAGGGTCGTGGTGCGAGGGAGGACATTTGACAAGGGAGAGATCAGGACATTGAGGAGGTCGGGTTTGTTTGCCAGTGTACTCGAAAGCTGGGACTGTGCTAGGCGAGGCGAGATGTGCATCGAGGACATGGATGGATACCGTATACAGAGTAGATTCACCCAGCCTCCACCGTAACATAAACATAAACATAAACATGAACGAGCCCGTCCGAGCGGATGCAGGAGACTCCGGCATCCGGGCACCATCTATCTAGTTCAGGGAATGGCAGAGACAAGTCCAGAATCAGAATCAGAATCGGAATCCACAATCTCAGACTTCATACGACTGGAATGCTCCGGTGCTTCCGGTGGCTTGCTGATCCCCCGACCTCCGACTGGCATCTAGGCAGGAATAGAATCAGTGGGTCCAAGTTATATAGGGAGGGCTGTTCTGGATTGACCACTTGATGTGACCGACTACGCCTCCCATTGAGGGGTTTGCCTCAGCTTAATCTATGCAGTCCCAGTCTGAACCCTAGTATACACTCCACATGGGCCTTGGAACTGGCTGAGTAGTGGACAGGGTTTGACAGCTGAAACAAAGACAGCATAGATCTCCGCACATCCAAGGTGGTTTCGCTGCAGCTGGCAGAAGGGCATGTACCCAAGGTGTTTCGTTGCAGCTGACAGAAGGGCATGTTCTCCCAGGATGGATATTAAAGCAGCACAACGCCCCCGTCCAGAGATCTTCTTCCATCAACCAAACCAGCCTCCTCAGCTTCAAATACCAGTACCCACCGATTCCTGCATCCAACGCAATGGCCAACCGCAGCTCCGACCGTCCCAAGGTAGCGCTTGTCACGGGGGCAAATGGCATCAGCGGCCATGCCCCTGGTCGAGCACCTGATCCGGAGACCAGACACCGAGTGGTAGACCAACCGACGCCCTCCTTGCAGATCCGTCCACTGACAGATAGCAATGATGCAGGTCCAAGATTATCGTGACGTCGCGCAGCCCCCTGCAGAGCTACTGGGTCGACCCCCGTGTCGAGTTTATCGCGCTGGACTTTCTGGAGCCCCCGGGAGCCCTCGTGCGGAAGATGCAAGCCATCTGCAGTGAAGTCACCCACGCCTACTTCACTTCGTACATCCATAACGTCGACTTCTTCAAGCTGGCCGAGAAGAACGGTCCGTTGTTCCGGAACTTCCTGGAAGCCATCGATGCAGTGTGCCCTGGCTTGGAGCGGGTTTGTCTCCAGACTGGAGGGAAGGTATGCATATGCACGCAGTACAGGAAGAAGAAGACCATGCCCAGATACCCTATGGTTGCTGACACCTCGCCAGCACTACGGCGTGCAGTTCCAAGAGCCCACTTCCCCCCTGCACGAGGACCTCCCTCGATACCACGGCCCCGGCGCGGAGTCCATCTTCTACTACCAGCAAGAGGACGACCTGTTCGAGATCCAGAAGCGCAGAAACACCTGGCACTACAACATCATCCGCCCCTTTGGGATCGTCGGCTTCACGCCCCAATGTCAGTCTCAGTATCAGTCAGCCCTGTAGCCCTCCAGCCTGTTCAACCCCCCACCCACAACCCAGCTAACCCAAGCACCGTACGGTCCCCTAGACGCCGGAATGAACGAAGCCATCCCAATAGCCCAGTACTTCCTCATCTGCCGCGCGCTCGGCGAAGCCCCACGCTGGCCGGGCCCCCGGGCCACCTACCACGCCCCGCAGGCAGCGTCCTACGCGCCGGGCATCGCCGACCTGACCGTCTTCGCCACAACCACCCCGCACTGCGCAGACGAGGCATTCAACCACGTCAACGGCGACGCCCTGATCGCCAAGTTCCTCTGGCACCACCTGGGCGCGCTCTACAACGTGCCCGTCGCCGACGATCCCGCCGCCGATCCCGCCGCCGATCCCGCCGCCGATCCCGCCGCCGACCCCGTCGCCGACGCCGACGCCGACGACCAGTTCGACCTGGCGGCGTGGGCGCGGGACAAAGAGCCGGTCTGGGAGCGCATCGTGGCGCAGTACGGCGGCTCGCGGGCCTCGTTCCGGGCTGAGGCGTTCGCGGCGATCGCTTGGATGTTTCGGCCGGCGGGGTTCACGACGCCCCTTGTGGGCTCGGTGCGCAAGGCGCGGAAGGCGGGCTGTGCGCGTGTGGACGATTCGTATGACATGTGGACGCAGACGCTGCGGGCTTATGAGAATGCGGGCGTTTTGCCGGATCATCGGCTGTTTCAGCGGAGCTGAGTTTGATATATTTATATTTATATATGGTTGGTGGAGACTCAGGACACGGCAGTTAGGGCTAGGTACATGTTCTTGAGCTTACTAAGCGCGGACAGTGTAACTACTGCTTTAGGTCTGTTCAGGAGGCTGCTAGAATATGAGCATTGGATATACCGGCGATGTTGGCCTATGCCTCGCCTGATGTGCATAGGGGACTGTGGAGTGCCAACAGGAAATAAGGAAATATTCTATGGCGTCTGGTAACTGTTTAGCGAGAAGGTATACGGCATAACCATACAATGTAAAACCACCTCAAGCCCCAAACTCCACATCCAACGCAACCAAACAAAAAAGAAAAAGGTCTAACTGAATCATCCACTACGACCCTCACCACCTCAAGCAGCAACCGCGATCGCCCCGCTCACGCCCTCGAAATGCGCACTCCGCTCCACCACCATCCCCGCCAACGCCGCAAGACTCACGCTCTGCAGGATACTAAATATGCTCACGTCACACGCCGCCTGGAGGACCAGCATATTGCGCAGCTCCACGGCAACCAGCGAGTCGACGCCATACGCGCTCGGCGGTTTAGCCAGATCGATGTCCGCCACAGGGACCATGAAGATATCCGCTAGCTTGGTTGCAATGGCGCCGCCGACATGTTGAGCCGCTGTGTCAGGGGAGTCTGCGGACTTGAGTTTTGACGAGAGCGGTTCAGATTCGCCTTCTGCTGCTGTGGTCGCGGTAGATTTAGTAGACGCAGGCTTGCGGTACCGCAGCGGCATGAACCGCGCGTCGCGGCCCATTTGGCTGTCGCTGCTGGGGTCCCAGTGGCTTCCGGGGCCGGAGTTCAGGCCGAGCAGGAGCTGCGGGCGGCCGAAGGGGTGCAGGATGGATGTCGCCAGGGTTGCGAGGATGGAGTCCTCAGACAGCCGGAGGGACTGTCCGACTTTCCGCAGTCTGTCTGCGACGGTCCGTGATTCCGCGACGTAGCCTACGTCTTTGATCACGCCCATGTCGAGCGATACGGCGGGGAGGCCGTGTGCGGTGCGCCAGCGGGCCAGGGCGTCCTGGTATGTTCCGCCTGCGGCGTAGGAGGCTTGACTTGCCCAGCCGAGGATCGCGGAGAGGGAGGAGAGCATGACGAAGAAGTCGAGGGAGTTGCGGGTTGAGAAGCGCGTGTGAAGGTTGCGTGTTCCGGCGACTTTGGGCTTGATGGCGGCGTTCCAGTCGGCTATGCTCATTTGCTCGAGGATGGAGTCCTGCAGGACCATCGCGCCCTGGATCACGCCGCGGATGGCGGGGAGGCCGAGGGTTGAGGCTGTGGTGAGGGCGCGGTCGAGGTCGTTCTCGTCGGAGACGTCGCAGGATATGGCGGCGACGCGGCAGCCTGCGGCTCGGAGCTGGTTGATGAAGGGGCTGCTGTTTTGTTTGCCTGCGCTTCTGGAGAGCAGGATGAGGTTCTTTGCGCCGTGCTCGACCATCCAGTTTGCTAGGGAGCGGCCGAGGCCTCCGACGCCCCCGACTAGGAGGTACGATGCGTCGGGACGGAGTTTGGGTGTAGCTGGGCGAGGGAGGACCTTGACTTCCTCGTCTGGTGCTGTCGAGAGCACCAACTTTCCCAGGTGCTTTCCTGTCTGCAGGAGACGGAATGCCTTGTCGACCTGGCGCATCGGGTACACAGTCACTGGGTGGACGGGCTTGATGATGCCCTGGCCAGCCAAGCGTGCAAGCTCACTCATGACGCGATGCGCTTCGTTTCCGCGCCGGCGGAGGAGAGTCATCATGTCCAGGGAGGTGAAGGAGACGGCCCGGGTGAAGGTGCCCATCTCAAGCAGGCTGTTCTGCTCGAGATCGCGTTTGCCGATTTCGACGAAGGAGCCAAACGGCGCGAGGACTTCGAAGCTGGCTTGGAGCAGAGACCCGCCGAGGGAGTTGAGGACGCAGTCGACGCCCTGGCCGTTCGTTGCGGCGAGGACAGCGGGTGCGAAGGAGGCATCGCGCGAGTTGAAGATGTGGTCGTCGGGGATGCCGTACTCGTTGATCAGGAGGTCGCGCTTCTCTTGTGAGCCTACGGTTGCGTACACCTCCGCGCCGAGGTAGTCCTTAGCCAGCATCACTGCAGCCTGTCCGACTCCTCCAGCCGCGGCGTGGATGAGGACGGACTGTCCGTGAGACAGTCTTGCGACCTGCACCAAGGCCACATATGCTGTGGTGAAAATCATAGGAATGGACGCTGCGTCTTCGAAACTCATCCCCTCGGGCATGTTTATCACACCATGCCATGTCACCCGTGCACGAGAACTGAACGGCCCCAGCAGCAGCGCCATGACGTGGTCTCCCACCGCGAACCCCTGCGCCGCAGCCTCAGCCCCAACGCGCGTGATGATACCCGCGCACTCGAGACCCATTACACGCTCCTTGAGCTGACCCATGGCAACCATGACATCGCGGAAGTTGAGCCCATACGCGCGGGGTTCAATCTCAACCATCTCATCGGGGATACTGGCATCAAGGGCGTCGGGGTCGTCGCCGAAGGCTAGTGTATCCAGTAGCCCGGGAATCCCGACTTCCAGTTTCAGTGGCCGCTTGGCTTGGAAGAGAGGAGCTTCGGGAATGGACTCGGGAGAAGCCCAGTCGGGGACTTCGGGCTCTAGGAGAGCATTCCAGACGACGTCCTTGTATAGGCGCGGGACGAGGAGGAGGCCGTCGCGCAGGGCGAACTCGCTTTCGATGGGGGCGGGCGTGTCAGCGGCAAGTCGGGAACTGAGGACGTGCACGATGGCAGAAATTTCAGCTTCACTGCTCGTATCTGACGGGTCCAGGTCAAGAGTCAGGAACCGTCGGCCGAGATACTCGGTGCGCAGGACGCGGACGAACCCTGAGGCGAGGGCGCTTTCGGGCTCTGTGCATTCCACTGCGCCGCCGCGGGTCAGCCAGAGAAGGCCTTTGCAGGCGAGGGCCATGGTCTTGATACCCTCTAGGTCGGTGGCGTCGAGGGAGGCTAGAACAGGCGCATCGAGCTCGCCGATGAAGACGGCCAGTTTGGACTTGAAGGTGTCTGCCGTGACAAAGGGTGACCCAAGAGACACAACTTCTGGGAGGGCATTCTCCCCAGCAGCCTGAGCAATAGCCTCTTGTAGTCCCTTCAGCCATTCCCCCTTTGGAGAGGCCTTATCACTCGTCACAATGACCACCTTGCTGGCACCCACCTTAGGGCTAGAGCTCACATCCACCGCCGTACTCATAATATTGCTGATCCCATATAGATCACTCTCCGTACCAACATTCACATCACGCAAGTCAATCTCCACGCCCGTGAACCCAGCGCCCTTAAGCACGCGATCCCACATGCCAATACTCAAACTGGGACTCGAGTGCCGCTCCGGCTCCTCACTCAACCACCACCCAGGCAGCAGACCAAAGATAAACTGCAGATCGATCTGGTCCTGCGTCGTCTCCATAAGCAACAGCGTGCCGTTGGGCTTCATCAACGACCGCACATTGCTCATGGTGCGATGCATGCTCTTCGTCGCGTGCAGAACCTGGCACGCAACGACGACATCATAGCTGCCCAGCTTGAACCCCTGCGCCTCAGGATCCTGCTCGATGTCGAGTTTATTGAATTCAAGGAGATTCCCCCACGTCGCGAACTCGGTGCGCGCGGCTTCGAAGAAGCCAGACGAGATGTCGGTGAAGTGCCAGCTCTCGCAGCGCGGGCCGCCGTCTTCGTCTGTGCCGAGTGTTTTCAGGGCGTGGCGAGTTGCGGCGCCTGTTCCCGCGCCGATTTCGAGGATCCGGGCGCGCGGGTTCTTGTGCAGCACGGCGTTGAGCAGGGACTTGAGCTGCTCGAAGGCGGGCTCGAGTCTGTAGGCGTTCGCGTAGTACTTGTATAGCAGGCGTCCCTCCATCATGACTTCCAGCGGGGCTCGCTCGCCTCGGAGGATGGGGAGGAGCAGCGGGCCAAGCTGGCAGATGAGTTCTCCGTCGACGGTCTGGGAGTCAGCGAGGGCGATGTACTTCTCTCGCACTGACGGGGAGTCATGGATCCAGGTGTCGCTGTCGGAGCTCCAGCGGCATGAGTTGGCCAGGTTGACGGTGTCTTGCATCCACTTGTAGAACTTGACGTGGTGGGACGCGAGATTCGAGATGTCCTCCTTCGTCAGGGCTGACAATGCATCGTGGCTGAAGTAGACGCAGACCCGGCGGAGAACCGTCTGCACCTCGATACTCCTGTCATCGGGGTTTTGGTCGCGGAGGGTATTGAGACGCTTGTCGATTGCGTCTTGGGCGCCTGGAAGGCCAAGCGAGAGGGCAAGGTCCGGGCCCCATTGCACGTTCGAGCAGAGTTCCTTCGTCCAGGGCTCCTTGTCTTCGGCTGGTGCGCTGCGGCCGAGCGATTGGCAGACAAGCCCGGTCATTTCAACCATGGCCTCTGGTCCGTCAACAACGCTGACGTTTGCCTCGTAGCTCTGCGCATCATGGTGCGGCATCTTGACGTTGCAGGTGAATGTATGCCCAGGGGCGCTGCTGATCTTGCTTGACACCCACAGTTTGCGGATCGATCGGGGCACACGGGCGCTGTCGTCGTTGGACGGATCAGAGCTGGGGACTGCAGCATATGAAGAGAGTACGATTGAGTCAAGAGTTGTCGGATGCAAGACGCTCATGCGCCCACTATCCTTCTTGCTCGACACATCGGCGATCTTGATATCGACGACACACTGCGGCTCCTTCGCCCGTCCATCCTGCAGGATACTCAATGTGTTCTGGAACATGGGGCCATGGTTGAGGCCCTTCGCTCGGAGGCTGGCGAACATGTCCTGCGGGTCAATGCGGCGCGTGTAGCCTGATTCATCGAGAGAGCTTCCAGCAGCCATGTGCGACTTTGTCTCGGTGTCAACGGTAATCAGACCCCTCGCGTGCTCCGTCCACTCACTGTCTGCGCTGACAGACCAGATCTCGAACTGCCTCCACCCTCTTGCGCCGATTGTCTTGCTATCCACAGACCGCAGGACCGTCTGGACTTCGACGCCGTCGGCGTTATCTGCAATGACCAGCGCCTGGTGGATCTCGACATCACGCAGCTTGAACCCTGTCACGTTCTCGGTACCGTTTATCGCAGCTTGCATTTTGATGGCCTCGATGGCGAGACACACGAAGCCAGCACCCGGGTAGAGGATGTTCCCCTGGACAACGTGGTCCCGCAGCCAGGGTGCTTCAGAGAGCTTGACGATGTGCCTCCACGCCGCGGCGTCGGGGTTTGTCCCTGGCTCTAGCGCACCAAGAAGGTCGTGCGGCTCCTGGCTGCGCTTGCGGTATGCGGCGTTGCGGCGCGACTCTGACCAGTGCCTGATGCTGTGGTTCCAGGGGTATGAGGGGAGGTCGGTAAGCACCTGGAGCTGGGGAAGACCGGATGGGAAGCTCAGATGCAGCAGGTCGACAGCGTGGCCCTTGGACAGAAAGTTAAGTGCTGCCGTGAGCATGCAGTCGCGCGCGTCTTCTTTGCGGACTAGACATCCCATGTATGGGATGTTGATGTTCTTGCTGTTGAATTCGGGCAGGGCGAGGATCTCCTTGATGGGTCCGCCGAGGGCTGTATGAGGCCCGACTTCGAGGATGACATCGAGGTTGCTGCTGTCCGTCGAGCCAAGCACCATGTCGCTGAAGGATTCAACAAAGCGGACAGGCTGGAGCAGACTGCGGACCCAGTGCTCAGGGTCAGAAAGGACTTTGGCGCTTGTCACCCGGCCACCGGTGACGGGGGACGAGAAGATGATGCTATCCAAGCTGCCCTTCTCAACTGCGTCAGTAAAGCCAGGAATATCCTGGCTCTTACCATTTACCTCAACCTCATCCTTCGCCAAAGCAGCACGGAGGGCCTCGCGATATGGGCCTGCGATCGGCTCCATATGGTGCGAGTGGTATCCTGTCTCAACCTTGAGCTTCCGTGCAAAGACGCCTTCCTCTGTGGCAAGCTTCTCAACTGCGACTATGGCCGACTCATCACCGGCAATGGTAATGCTGCTGGGGCTGTTGATGCACGCAACAACAGCCTTACCGGCGGACTTGCCAATCCGCTCCAGGTACCCCTGCGCTGCATCCTTGCCCACACCAACAGCCACCATCGCGCCTTTGGGCCCATCGGCACTTCTCAGCGTCGGATCGGCGGCCATGGCAGCGCGGTAATATGCGACGGCCATCGCCTGACGCAGTGAGAGAGCACCGACTGTATACGCGGCGGCGATCTCGCCGGACGAGTGGGATGTTACTGCTGACGCGGTGATGCCCCAGCTCTTGAGGAGGCGAACGAGAGCAATCTGCACGGCGACGCAGATGGGAATGCTGAGGCCTGTGTCGTTGACTCTTGTTGTTCCAGCATCTTTGCTCAATTCTTCTGTGAGAGACCAGTCCGCTCCTAGTTCGTTGAGGTACCGCTCTGCCTCATCTAGGGTTGCTCGGAAGACGGGGTAGGGGGTGATCAGCTCGCGGCCCATGGCGTGCCATTGTGCACCTTGGCCGGTGAAGACCATGCCGATGCGGGCTGGGGTGTCCGGGATCCGGACGGGCTTGGATGTTGGCGCTGGGGACTCAAGGGCGTCGATGACGGTGTCGAGAGAGGCTGAGTACTTAACGGGAATTGCGGAAACCCAGGAGAACCTCGTTCGGTGCTGGGTGAGGGTCCAGGCGAGGTTCTGCATGAGGGCGTTGACCTGCTCGGGCGTCATGTCCGGCTCTTTCTCCTTGCGCTGTTGCAGGTATTCCATCGTGTTGGAAACCATCCGCTGGCAAGCCTGTTCATCGCGGCCAGAAAAGAGCAGCACTTTGCTTTCTGTCTTGACCTTGGCCTTGCCATTGACATGTCCGTTTTCTAGCTGCCTCCTCGGTACTCCCTCAACAATAACATGGCTATTCGTCCCTCCATATCCAAAGTTATTGACACTCGCCCGCCACGGCTGGTCAGCAGGCACCGGCCACTCCTCCAGCCTCTCCGCAACCTTCAACTTCCACTCGTCCAGCTTCAACTTCGGATTCGGAGACTCAAAGTTCACGCTCGGCGGGATATACCCCTTCTCCATAGCCAGCACAACCTTGATAAGCCCCGCAAGACCAGAGGCAGCTTCTGTATGTCCGATATTCGTCTTGACACTGCCAATCCGCAGCGGCTGCTCACGGTCCCCAAAGACCGCCGCAATCGAGCGCGCCTCGATCGGATCACCGGTGGGAGTGCCCGTCCCATGCGCCTCGAAGTACTGCGTGTCTGCCGGCGAGAGCCCAGCACGTCGATAACATTCACGGATCAGCGCCTCCTGCGCTTCCTGGCTGGGCGAAGTAATGGTCTCGGTCTTTCCGTCCTGGTTCAGAAAGCTCTCGCGGATCACGCCACGCACTGGATCCCCATCCCGCAACGCATCAGACAGCCTCTTCACGATGATCGTCGCAACGCCTTCGCCTCTTCCGTACCCGTTCGCCCGTGAATCAAACGCGTAGCTCTTCCCGTCGGGGCTCAGCATCCCCAGACTCGAGAACACCTTGAACATATCCGGGCTCAGCATGATGTTGCACCCCGACACAATGGACATGTCTGCTTCGCCGGTCCGTAAGCCAAGGACGGCTTGGTGCAGCGCGACCAGCGCAGTGGAGCAGCCCGTGTCGACGGTCATGCTGGCGCCCTTGAGGTCGAAGAAATGCGATATGCGGTTCGAGGACATGGCGGAGAGGGTTCCGATTGGGAGGAATCGGGGCAGTTTGTCTTCGTCCCGGATTAGGCCTTCGTGGTAGTCGTGTGTGAAGACGCCGGCGTAGACGGAGGTGTTTGTGCCGGCGATGGAGGGGATTGTTAGGCCGGCTTTGCATACTGTTAGCTACCAGGATGGGCGAGGAGGGACGAGGGAGTACCATTTTCGAGAGCCTCGTATACAGACTCCAGCTGGAAGCGGAATTGCGGGTCGAGCGTCTGTCCCGACTGTTAGGATCCGGCATTCTTTTTATTGGAGAGCAAAGCGTACAGCAGCAGTCTCAGCGGAGTAGTTGAAGAATGCCGCGTCGAACAAGCCGACATCTTGCTCTAGGAAGTGAGCCCCCTTGACATGTGTCTATTCGCCCATCAGTACCGTGACATACCGGTCTACCCAAGTAGAAGGCGACATGGAGGGGTGTGAGCGTACCGTCCCCAACTTCTCACTATCAGGATGGTAAACGGCCTTATGGTTGAACCTGCTCTCAGGAATCTCCGACCACGCGTTCCGTCCTTCTGCGAGCATCTCCCATAGCTTCTCGGGACTGTCTGCGGAGCCGGCGAATTTGCAGGACAGGCCGATGATGGCGATGGGCTCGCTGGCGGGCTCTTGTGAATGGGATGTGCTACCCATGGTGGTTTGTCTGTGATGGAAAAGAGAGCGTTGGGTATAGACTGGGGTGGGTGGAATCTGGGCCAGTTGATGGGATGATGATTCCTGTCTGAGTAAACTGTAAAGAGCTTAGAATGGGTTCAGGTGTGAACAGGACCAAGCATTATAGTTGACTTGCTTGCTTCCTACTAAGCATAGCTTGGGCTTACCCTGCGTCTTCATGGCCCAGCCTATACGATTAGACTCCTCCGGCTCCAGCTCCGGAGAATAAGCCGTATGGACCAGGACTACTGCGGCAGCCAATGTGCATTTCCTGACTCCAGAAATGTCCGGCCATGTACGGTTCGATAGGGATGGCCACATCGATCACTGTCGAGCGGAGTGAGAGTCCGTCTTACTCCTACCCTAATCCGAGCAAAGTCCTGGAACTCCGCCAACTCCGCGGCTCCGGTCCACGCCAACATCAGCATTGGGGTCTTGATGAGATTTAAATTGGAGTACCGGTAGTTGAATTTAGGTAACATCTGTTTTTGGCTTCCGTCCTACAGTTAGAGACCCCGATTGCGACGGCATTGCCATCAACACACAGTAATCATTAGAGCAGACTGAATAACTAACATGAGGGCAAATTGCGCTTCCTTTCTCTCCTTCGAATAACCCTCCTTCTCATGTCTTATCACACCTGGCTCAGCGAAGGGGTCCGGTGATGGTATCAGCAGCCCTGGCTGAAGCAGCCTGTAGAGGAACCCGGATGGGGAGAGGCCTGGGCGTGGGCAGTCGAGGAGGATCTCTCGCAATAGGCTCACTCAGAAGAAAGCACGAGAAAAAGTTCAGTAGCGCATCGTCCTTTTTCTCAAAGCTATAGAGTTTGGACTGGCGTATGACAATATCCAACCCGTCCATGCAAGCATAGTAAAGACGTCCATGCTGAGGACCGACCAGAGAAGCCATCAGAACCTAGTGTTGTGGATTAGCGCAGTGCATAAAGAGATCCGGGGTGTGTAAGAGCATACAGGAAACCTCCGCTCATCAGGGAAAAGCACTTCCGTGTCTTTTAGGTCCAGGCCGGGACATTCCTTGGGGTTCGGATCCTGATAGCCGTCATCGAAGGCATCATCTTCGTCCTCCTCATTCTCATCCCAGACCCGAGGCTGACTCGCTCGGTTTCTCATGATCGTTATGATGGCGACGAGCTCGCCCAGGGCGATCGACCCGTCATGCCCGTTGCATGACTGGTGGGCGAGAAGAACAGCGTGCGGCATCTGGACCCCCTCAGGCTCCTTAACGTACTCGCAGATATAGGTCATCCAGTGATTCTCATACGACTGTCCGTCATGGTGGAAGCCCCTAGTGGCTGGATAAAGCGGATGAGGTGGACTAAGCAGAATAGTTAGGTATATTTACAAGAGATGAAGCTTCACAGTTAGGAAAGTGCGCAAACTTACTAGACAGACCATAATCCGCAGAGCTGCCTCAATGTAGCGACATTTGGGGGCAGGCGACGGGGGAAATTGCCCAAAGCCCACCGTTCCAAATAAGTCGCCGTGAATAAGGCGCAGTGCCATGGAGACCGTTTCGTGTGATTGATATTTAAGTTTTCTTGATTGGGATGTGCCACCGGGAGCGCAAACTCACGGTACTTTTGGATCTCGTCTCCGTAGAAGCCATCCGGATCGATGGGATGCTCAGCCATGAAGGAAAGACGACGAGGTTTGAACAGGAAGGGAGGGTCAAAATCCCGGCAGTGACTGGGTACATGGAGACCAACGTCGTCACCTAGATTGATCTTCTCCACGTCGGACGCTTCAAAATCAGCGGGGACAAGCCGAATCCTGTTCGCTTTGAGGAACGCAGCCGGGACAACATTGTCAGAATCCAGACGGCGATCCAACTTGGGCGGCACGACTTGCTTCCACAGCTTCTCGAGACGCTGGCGGATTTCGGTGATGGGAGCCATTGAGTTGAGGAGAGTTGAGGAGAGTGAGAGTTGGAAGTTGGGGAGAGTGAGAGTTGGAAGTGGAGGAGAGTGAGAGTTGGGAAGTGGAGGAGAGTTGGTGGGAGGTGGAAAGAAAGTTTCCTTGTGTTATGTCCCGGCTTGGCCACCGTAGGACCAACCATAGTATCAACAGAGCAAGTATCAACAGAGCAAGTAGCAACAGAGCAAGTAGCAACAGAGCAAGTAGTAACAGAGCAACCGCACAGTTACAAGGCATGACCAAGGCATTAGTTCAGTCCAGCAGCTGCAGGGGTCAAGGCCTAACCTCCTTTGTAACTATTCTTTCTTAACCAGGACCCTACTCTCTATTCACAACGGATTCCTCCACATTCTGTCCCTCCTACGCCCTCCTACGCCCTCCTACGCCCTCCCCATCGCCCTCTCAACAACCTCCAACGCCGCCAGCACCATCTCATCACACCCCCTCCTCCCCACAATCTGCAAAGACACCGGCGCATCCCTATACCTCTCCGGGCTGTACATCTCATACACAACCCGATCCTCTTCGTTCACAGGCTCATACCCCTCCACCTTGCCGTCCTTCACAGGGTCAACGCTCGTAACGGGGAACACAACGCCCGGGTAATCGAGCAGGTTCCACTGCGCCGTGTACCCCCAGTACCGCGACTGGTCGTGCGGCGTTGCGGCGCCAAAGGACGGCGGGCAGAGAATCACGTCGACTTCCTGATTCCCATCAGAGGCGGTTCTGTTCCAGGCGTTGGCGTAGAAGGCGCGGTAGGCGTCTCGTTCGGCGCAGAGCTAGTCCCGTCCACTTGTTAGCTGCCTCCTCCTTCCTTCTATGGTACAATGCTAAAGCCGGATGGATGGCCGTACCTTCCACAACTCATGCATATCCCTCTTCCGCACGCTCTTCTGCTCAGAGATAATGAACTCCGTCAGCGGGAGGACCGGCTCCCCGCTCTCCTCCAGTAACCCCAGCACCTCCTCGCCCCCATCAGGCCAGTACAGCGCCGCCGTGATCTCCCACGCCTTCTTATGGTCTAGGCCAGTACAATCCCATTCCACAACATCCATGCCGGCCTTCTTGCACGCCTCAGAGACTTCCTTCAACGCCCGGATCATAGGCGGATGCGGGCGCACGACGCCGTCCCACCACTGCACCGCGATCTTGAGCGGTCTGTCAGTGGGCAATGTATACGGTGTCCAGGGCTTATTCGTGAGGCCCGGATCAATCCGCCAGGGCTTGGAGCTCAGCGCGACCTGCATGAGCAGCGAGAGGGAGTCGCGCTCTGTCGCCATAGGGCCACATGTTGCCAGGATAGTCTCCTTACCGGCGCAGTGGCTGCGGGAGCCGGCAAGGGAGATGCGCTGCGTTGTTGGCCTGCATACATCACTGGGTCAGCAGACTTTCCAATAAGGAATACGTGAAATGGGCTAGGTGGAAACGAGGGCGTACTTGAGCCCATAGATACCGCAGTGCGCCGCCGGACACCGGATACTCCCTCCTATATCGCCTCCAATCCCCTAAAATAAACCGTCAGCCTCGACGTCGTCCACATCCACTGCCTCACAGCCTCAGGAGAATACGGGTACAAACCAACACACTCCCCCTCATCCCAATCAGCGCCGCCTCACCCCCACTACTCCCACCGGGCGTAAGAAGCCGATTATACGGGTTCACCGTGCGCCCGTAGACATTACTATTCGTCTCGAGGTGCATGATCGTCTGCGGCTGCGTCGTGCGCGCAAAGAACACACAGCCTTCGTCCCAGAGCGTGTCATAGAGCACATTCGAGCCGTGCGGCTTGTCGATCCACGAGACGTAGGATGCATTGGAGAGCACATTTTCGCCGACCATGCCGTGGTGTTCTTTTGTGGAGATGGGCAGGCCGAATAAGGCGCCCTTTGGCTCGGGGAGGGAGTCGAGGTGCTTTGCGCGGGATATGGCGGAGGTCCAGAGGAGGGAGGTGAGGCAGTTTGTCTGTCATCGTTCGCTCTTAGTTTCGAGGGTTGGGTTGGTGGGAGTGGGAGACGTACAGCGACCTGTGCAACGGCAGCCCGTCGCAAAAACGCCCTAGTCACCTCTTCCACCGAAATCCTCCTCTCACGGAGAACAGCAAGCAGTTCAGACACGGGTTTCTCGGTGATCTCAATCTCGCGCTCTGTCAGGACCTCCCGAGGCAGATTCCGCGAATTCAACGGGAGCTCGGCCTCGATTGGGAGGCCTTTAAGTGGTGGCTCGACCTTCGCGAGGGACGCATCGCGCGCTTCTTGCGCTTTGAGGGCTTTGTCTTGCCAGGCTTCGATTGCCATCTTTGTTTATCTCTAGTGGTGTGTGTCTAACAGAACTGACGGGGAGGGAGATGTCGTGGGGTTATGTAGCTGTCAGTTGGAGACGCAGATAGCCCTATCTACAGTTCTACACCTCTATCATACCAGACTTGGAGTAGGCAGGCTGATAAGCGTGGGGACGACGAACGGCACCAATTAGCTCGGTAGAGCATATCAGGCCTCTGCATCCTTACTCCAATGCACTCTCGCGGACTTGACGCCAGGCGGTGCTGCGCTGGGAGGGGTAGACTATGGTATGGTATGTATGTACCCCTGCAAGCATGGGCACGAACAGGACGCTTAGCCTGCAGCTCCGATGGAGTAAACTAAGAGCCGATCGGTCGGGTGTGCGCATGGTTATCAGATCGAAGTAGTTCCCTTGAGACATCGGAGATTATTTTGCCTGTTGGACAGATTGTGGGGAAGACTCTGGTGGAGGATCCTCATCGCACAGTGGTAAACTAGGGCTTCGGGAGGTTAGCTTGCCCACCGAGGTATGCTACCTATCTACCTAGCTACGTGAGGGACCTTGTTCCTAGAGTCGGGCTGTCGATTGCAGTTTTTACAGTTAAGATACCAAGAAAATCGGAATATAAAATGCAGGGAACAAGCGATCTTTTCTCTAAGCTCCCATAGGGACTAATAATACCTCACAACCTAACCTAAACAACACCTTCATACGCCTAGCCAGCCGAGCCATTCGAGCGGAACAGAACGAACATCTGAACCTCGCAGCTGCTCTATGAACATGAACGCGATCGCGATCCCGTAGCGTGGCCTCGTTCCGGCGAGATACACCACGAGAGATAAATCAAACATAAATCGCATCGCAGACAGGCCGAAAATTAAGCCACGCCTGCCAGTCTCGGAAGCATCCTTTCTATGTACTGAACTGACATTGAACCCGGTTTATTTTTAGTTGGTGGGGGTGAGCTTGACGGGGGGAACACCGATGCCGTTGGTGTTGCGGTAGAAGAAGACGCCGGCGTTCTCGCCCTTGGTGCCCTCGGAAGGCTCGACCCAGTGGCAGGCACGAGCGCTAGTCCAGAGCGCCTTGAGGAAACCGAGAGGACCGGTGTGAGCCTCAGTGCGGTAGTGGGAGCCCATGACCTTCTTGATGGCCTCGCTGGCCTCGTCGGCATGGTAGAAGGGGATCGTGCTGACGTAGTGGTGGAGGACGTGAGTCTCGATGATGCCGTGGAGGATGTGGCGGCCGATGAAGCCGAATTCACGATCAATGGTGGCAGCAGCGCCGCGGGCAAAGGTCCAGGACTCGGGCTGGTAGTGAGGAAGACTAGGGTCGGTGTGCTGGAGGTAGGTAATGGCAACGAGCCAGTGGTTCACCCAGAAATAGGGGATACCGTACCAGACGAGCAGGTTCATCCAGCCATACTTGGAGCCGAGCAGATACAGAACAGTACCGGTAATGGCAAGACCAATGTCACTGAGGACAATGAGCTTAGCGTCCTTGGCCTCGTACAGAGGGCTGCTGGGGTTAAAGTGGTTGACACCGGTGAAGTAGCCGTTCTTCTTGCCCTTGCCGCGGCCCTCGGGCTGGCGCTCGTGGTTGTTGTGGCCGGTGACGTTGGTGAAGAGGTACATGGGCCAGCCGAACAGCTGCTGGAGGATGGAGTGGGTGGCCGTAGCAATGGGGGTCTCCTCCATCACCTCGTTCAGGTCGTAGATGGTCTTCTTGATGCGGGAAGCGTACACCTCACGGGTCTTGGGAACGAACACCATGTCGCGGGCCAGGTTACCGGTGGCCTTGTGGTGCTTGCCGTGGGAGATCTTCCAGGAGAAGTAGGGGACCAACAAAGCGGAGTGGCAGATCCAGCCAACAGTGTCGTTCAGCACCTTGGAGGGAGAGAAAGCCTGGTGACCACACTCGTGGGCAAGAACCCAGACACCGGTACCGAACAGACCCTGGACGAAAGTGTAAAAAGCCCACAGCACAACACGCGCAGGATACGAGGGGACGGTCTCGGGGGTCACGTAGTTGTGGAAGACGTAGAAAACCGAGGCAAGAACTGCAACATCCCGGAAGACATACGACAAACTGCGGATGGCGGACCGGTTGTAGCAGTGAGCGGGAATGGCATCACGGATATCCTTGATGGTGTAGTCGGGGATCTTGAACTCGTTTCCGTAGGTATCGAGCATTTTGCCCAGGTCCTCCTTCTCAGCGTCCGAAGCCATTGACGAGAGCGAAGTCGAGGAGGGAGATTGACGGGGGGAGTCCAGCGGGGAGACGGAGACGGAGCTGGGGACCGAAGAGTCGGTGGTCGGGTTGCGGTGCAGCGCAACGCGCTTGGGGATGGCAGTGGACGACATGACGGCGACTTAGAGCTGGCAACGCCTGCGAGCCTGTTAGAGCTGACCGAGAAAAAGCAGAAGAGAATAACCAGCTGATGAAGGTGGGCAGGAGAAAAGCTCCGAAGATCACGCAGAGCTAGAGAGCTTGTTACTCACCAATGGACCAAAGAGCTCAAGTTACACGACTGGGAGACCTGAGATGGAGGGGGACAAGATCTTCAGATCGTCCTCAGCCCTTGACGAGACAAAGGAGGGTGTGGTGGTGGTGAGGGAGTGAGAGGATGGCCGGAGAACAAAAGGAGTTGTACACAAACGGCGAACTTAAGGAAGAAGAGACTGGGCGGGGGGAAGCTGCGAAAACCAGCGGGCAAATCACAGCCCTCGAAAAAATCGACACTCCTGGCACAATCGCAGGGCGACTGAGGCGACTCGGGAGAAAAAATGCAAAGCTGTGGAATCAACAAAGCCGGCCAGAAGGCGATCTCAAGCCTGTATTTTCATTACCGGCCGGTAACTAAAATTACTGTAAGGCAGGTGATTGGCTGCGCAGTGCTGTTCCTTGTTCTGCCTTACCCGGCTTTGCAAACACCAGTACGGAGTATACTCGGTCTTCAGGTCTGCTTTGTACGCTCGTTTGTATACAGTGCAGTAGTTTGCAAGTGAATGCATCAATGGATAAGGTTCCGCGCACTGTAACCCTAGACTTGCACTGCAGAGAAGACATGTCTATTATGCTGTCAGTGCTGAATTGAAGAAACCAGGACCCCTGGCTATTTGACTTTATCCTCCGCCACTTAGATTTGCTCCTCCCCGAACGCGAGTTCCTCCGATCCCCGTGCTCTCATGACTGGCAAGGAAGACTGGCAGGGATCCCTGGCAACAATCCATGAATTGTTTTTCTGTCCTTTGTATACTTACCATACTTACAATCCGACTCTTCTTCACAATCAGTGATACTTGATAGTCTTACTACAACCGCTAAATCGACTATTGAATACCTTAATCAAAACCCGGGGGTGGACTCAGTCGCCCATACACCGCCTGGCACAGCCAATCAAAAACATGGCACAACCCCACCTGAAGAAAATTGGCTTCTCAACAGTCTTGGCGTTCTATCTTATCGCAACCTTATCAGGCAACTCCGAGGCTTCATGTGTATCAGCCAGCCAGCCCTGCGGCCCTCGCCACATTCTGAACCGAACTGCTGCAATATTGCAGTGTGAATGCGAACATGCTCTAGCAAAGTTGTAACTTGTTGTCCTCGCAGTTTGAAAAAACCTGGCAAAGTGGAATTTCATCTGCATGACGGCTTTCCTTCGATCTCTCCGTTCAGCCAGCCATGGTGTTTGCCGATCAGATCTGCTACTCAGGTGCTGCAGTTTGTCTGCATTCGTCGCCGTACAGAGTAGTAGATAGGCGAGGCCTTGACGTGTCCTGCATGTGATTGATGTGATGAGGCAGAGGGATCCTCCTCCTGTTCTTCTGACCGTCTTTACTCCGTAGCTCTCTATCTTGCGTATAAGCTGGATCCTTCCAACGGTGCTTGTCATTGCTCGTGCTCTGTCATCAGAATCAGCCCAGGCATGAACAAAGTGGATGGCGTGACTCTGAAAGGGCAATCCCGAGCATCTCGAAGATCAGTTTTTGTTGGGGCGCGGCTGATTTCTGTTGAGGGTTCAAGGTTGGGTCTGTGGGGCGCTAGCGGCATTTAACCTACCGGAAAATTACCGGGCTGTAATTTATGTTTTTGCAACCAGACTTGCAGTTGTTGAACGATATATTGAGATAGGTAGTCTAGTAGGTAGTCTAGTAGTCGTTACTTTACACTATGCTGGATGAACTCGTCTCTCAGAATCAATCAGCCATGACCCATGTCCTCCCCCGGACAGACTCACCGTCGTGCCCCGCAGATCAGGTAATACGAGCACCGTCTCGCCGTGATTGCGGTAGTCGACCTCGCTGCCGATCGGCCTTCGCTGCACCGGGGCAGAACCCGCCACTGCGGGTGCACTGGTCGACGGCGACTGCAGCGGTGGCGGCACAAAGCTCCTGATCTCCAGTCCCGGGAGCAACAGATGGCCCGCTTTCTGCGGCAGCAACATCACTGCGAAGGTTTTCGTTTCGCCCTCGCTCGCAGTGAAGTTGCCCCTTCGCCGCCCACCAACCATCCAGTGTTCTGGGTTGGCGTGCAGCTCGTACGAGAACTCTAGTGGGCCGTCTGCGTTCTCGCGCTGATCGGGCGAACACCAGCGGCGGGTATGCGAGAGATGCAGCTCGGCGGTGATGGTTTGGCCTACGGCAGCGTGGGGTGCTTGCGCGGGGAGGTTTGTCAGACGCAGTTCTGCGGTATGCACTACTTGGATCTCGGGGATGTCAACAGGGATGATTATGTGGCGCCGGCGGATGGACGGCTGCGGCGGCAGGGTGAGGATCAGATGATTCTAAAGGTAAATTAGTATGACTTCAATATACAATAGGGAGAACTCCTTACATCATGCCACTGCTTCAGCCAAGCCCGTAGGCCGTCCATTGGCTCCTTCAGCGCGCTCAGCAATCCTTCCCAACGGACTGCTGCGTACGGCATGGCTTCGACCTCGCGCACAAGCCCGATGACCTCCATCTCCGGGTTTGACAGCTGGGTTCGGAAGGCATCGACAATGTGTGGCGTGAGCAGGGTCGTATACTGCGCGAATTCACTGTTGGAAATGCTCTCCTTGAATGTCTTCTCCACCTTGTCGAAGCACTCGTCGTCCACACAGGTGAAATCGACAGTAAGTCGTAAAGATCGTCTCGACCCAGGAGAAGCAGCGGTGTCTTTTCGCGGTTGGATCTTGTAGAGCAATGAGGCGGGTTGTTTGGGAAATACCCTCATGGCCACGCTCTCGCCGACGTTCGACTGAACCTGGTAGACATCCGAACTGGGAATGCTGCATTTTGACAGCCACAGCGGAATCATCGTGGCCGGGCTGATCGTGAACCGCGAGAACAGGATTTCTTTTTTGAAGACATCCTGCACATTGACACTGATTGGCAGAGCGGAAACAAAGTTGTGTGCGGACGAGTAGGCGAACAGTCCTTGTTCTGTTTCGTAGGTGACCTCAGCCCTTGCAGAGAGCGTTGCGGGGTGCTCCTCCACCGTGTATGGAATCCGAAAACGAACAACCGAGTGTCGTCCTAACTCGCTGAACTCGATATTCCCAGACTCACTGTTCGCTTTGATCTCGATGTTGCCTTCCACTACTTCTGCCTCTGCGACCCGTAGTCGAAGACCCGCGGTTGCGGGCCGTACTCGGAGAACTCCGCTCTTGATATCATTCCATCCACTATTAACCTCCAATTCGAGCGTGCGCATAGCCTCCAGGTTCACGAGATGAGGCGCCTCGATCCTTGCTTGAAGTCCTTCTGGAGGTGGGTAGCACAGGATATATGGTCGGTTGTCTGTTTCTTCGTCAACATCCTCCCTAAATCCCAGTGGTAGGCTTGCATTCGCTCCACCACTCATGGAAAATAGAAGATTTGCTGTCCGTATCTCGACGCGGTCGACATAGTATTTCCCTTGTAGAGTTGTCTATCATGATTAGTCGAATCCAGTGAGATGGGCAAATAACATACCGCTGAATCAACCAAGATCCTAGTCGGTGACGACTTGATAGTTGTCTTATCTGACACCTCTATCCAATGCTCACTGCTTTGAGCACTGGCACTAGCGCTGACGAGCCGAATCTTGATCGAATCGACATCAATGCGCTTCCCTAGCAGGAACCGTAGGTATAACTGTAGCTGAAATCCATCCTTATTCTTGTAATGGAGAATACCAGGCTTGACATTTAGGTCTCCAAAAAAATCTGCCAAGGGAGCAGTGACCTCCTTCTGGAGCTCACCAGCCGCCCGGAAGAGTTCATCCACATACTCAGAGAGCAGTGATTCCTCCGCGAAGATTTGAGACGCATCCAGGGTCTTTTGTCGGGTCGATAATCGGGACTGCGTATATGCAGCATATTTCGCCAAAAGCCGGCAAACCATCCGGACATACTCTTCATTCCGACCTAGCTCCTTCAGACACCTCGCGTACATCTCTAGCATAACACCTTCTAGAATAGTCCAGTGCTTGTTGCCATAGAATGGCGCAATCTGGTGGAAGTACGAAGCAGCCGCACCGTAGTCGCTCTGTCGGAAGCGTAGGACGGCCATGTCAGCCAATGCCGTGTGCGTCGAGTTTGTGCGGTTGGCCGCGATGTGGTGACGGTACATTTGATCTGTAAGCTCCTCATAGTGGGTACGGAACGCCTTTCTAGACCTTAGAGCCGCCTTTAACTGTGTCAGGTCGATGCCACTCAATGTGTTCAAATGCTGAGGCTCTTTCGCTGGCTCTGAGCTCTCGCCATCCAAAGACACTTCGGCCATATCCCCAGATTCAGGTCTCTCATCGAAAAGAAGGCCGAGGTCAGTCCAGCTCTCCTTCCATCCACATCTCCCAGCAATCTCTTCTAGAAGTTTTCGTGCCATCAAAAGCAGCTCACCCCTTTCCGACGCTAGCTGCTCCGAACCCGTCTTGGGTGTGAGTTTCGGGCCTTCGTATCCGGGTTGCTCATGGACAGATGAAAGAGAAGTTGGCGGTACCATTTCTGTCTTCACTGCACGAGACTGGCGGTTGTTGGGCATAACTAGTGAACTCTTGCGTTGCGGGAGATCCTGCTTCTCCTGGGATGCAACCACGGCGTGTAAAGCCGACTCGGGCAGTGTGAGCGCCGGTGTAAATGTCTGGCGCAGAATTTGCGACGCGGCGGCATATGCCCAAGACGAAACTAGATTGTTTATGATTTCTGGCTTTGCAGCATGTTCGACCCCCTCAAGGCCGCCTTCCAGATCAGTCCGGAGTGTTCTTGCAGCAAGGCCGATAAACTCAGTCGCTCGCTCGCAGGCTTCAGCCAAGAGCATCAAGTCTTCGGGCTTCTTCTTTCCTGTCCCTGACTTCTGATTAGAATCTATGTCCTCACCAACAACTGACGGCGCCCTTGATGCCCTAAGGAGGAGGGACAACTGCCGAGAGAAGATGTAAGTGCGAAAATCAAAGATGGAGATATTGCTGGAAAGAATCTCCTCTCGATAAGGTTTCCTGTTCGGGTCAATCGGGAAGTCCGCCGGCTCAATCTCAGGTATCGAAGCCATCTCTTCATCGTTGGCGTCAGTATCGTTAGCATTGGCTCGCGCATCCCAGGCAGCTTTCAAGGCAGCCTTTGCCCTTTCCCGCCAGTCCTTGCTGTGTGTTAGGAGGGCACCGCCATGCTGTTCACCAGAGCCCTGGAGTTGTTCCTGAATTGCCGCGTCAAGTCCAGCAGCCAGCTCATCGTACCCAACTAGCGCATCCTCAAAAAGCCCGACATTCTCGAAACCCCGAGCAAGGCCCTCCTTCAGGATGAAAAAAGTGCAAAAATTCCAACCGGGCAAGCTGCGCTGGGAGTCCTTCTCCTTGATATCCTCTTCATACTGTGCAACGCGAAGATCAAACGATGCCAAAATCCCATTCTTGACCTTCTCCACAAAGTCCTCGATCTGATCAGCCAGCTCCGGAGACTTCTGCGTACTCTCTGGCTTAGGAAGACGCAGCTGCGCCACCCGATCAACAGCGGATTTTGACGTCCCGTTGAAGTCGGCCTTGACTTTCTCCAGCACAGTCGTAGTCGTGCGACCCCATTTCGACGTCGCTACCTTCTCCGTCCCGTCTCCATCCTGGACAACGTGTAGAATAAGCCACTCGAACGCATCGTGCTTTTCCTGGCTCGTGGCGGCGGTGCTGGACGTCGAAGTCGAAGACGACCCATGGCTCTTAATCCACTCCCGCAGTGCCTTCCTCGCTGTATTCTTGTACGTGTCGTTATCGTCGCATCGGAGGATGTAAATCTTCAGGTACGGCGTCTGGCGCAGACCAGGGATTTGATGGCGGCGATGCGTTACAGAACCCCCAAGCGCAGAGCTCGATGACTTCGGCCTATCGTTTTCGGTGTTCGCTGGCGTGAACCCAATGCGGAGGGACTCGATCGATCGGACGGGGCGGGTGGGAGACTTCCAGTGTAGGTTGCGGAGGGGAAGTTTGTTGGCGATGACCGGCTGAACAGAGGAGAACAGGCCCGAGGGATCAGTATATTCGACTAGAGCAACGAAAGACACGAACGAGTGAGCTAAAGGATGCCGACTGAAATTCGGGGTAGAGGGTAATACCGGTGACACTGCTCGAAGCGGCCTGGGGTAAAGAGTCCATAATTCCCGCGCACTATTCAGGGGGGTGCTGTCGGCGCGCGATGGGCATTCCGGTCGGCAATCCGACGAGGATAGCCTATCCGCGTGAAAGTAGATAGTAGAAGGGCAAAGGAGTGTAAAAGCAGTCGGCGACGAGCCTGATTGTTGTTGTTGTCTCCGTGGTCTCGGTGGATGACCGCCTCCGCAGTCCGCACTCTGGACTCTTGGCACAAGTGCAGCGAATGCACTCAATAATATACAGCCCGTATGAGATATAAACCCAATGCAGCATGGACTCTGTAGTATACGTTGGCTTATGTATAGTTCAGAGATGGTTTCATGAATTGTCTGTACATTGGGCATTCCTGTATCATCTAAACGAGCTACCTATTTTGGAGCCGTCCAGCAGATCTTTAACACGGCAAAGCAAAGTACGAATCAGAAAATATATAGAACGAGTAGTCATATCCCATCATTATGCGCAAGAGTATCCCGACAAAAGAAAAAAACGTCCAGTGTGTCGCCCAGTCACTCAAAACGCCCCAGCTGAAAGTGCATCGATGAAAACATGGTCAAATGAAAAAAAAAAAAAAGTCTAAGCGCCAATATCCAAGACGCGTTGTGTAGCGCGGTTCTTGACGAACTCGTATGCATCAGAAAGGCCCTGTGATATACCAGGGATGTAGCTTCGCGCCCATGCAAAGATCACCAACAATAAGAGAGGAATCTGCAATACCGTTAGTAATAGCGCTATGGATATATTTAGGGTAGTACTCACCCAGAAGAAGTACAGATTCCTGTCACTGGCCAGACCCTTCATACGTCGGGCTTGTTGCTCCCTAAGATGCTTTTGCTGTTCCCGGGAGATGATGTTCCGACCGATGCGAATGTCCTTGATATCCTCCTTCTTTTGCTCAGGGGCAGTGCTCCTGGAGGAGCTGGCTTGAGTTTCAAAGTGTTGATCTAGAGCCGCTTCTGCAGCAGCCTGCAGCATGCTAGTCTTCTTTGCGCGTGTCGCTTCCTCGTCCTCCTCGCCCTCCGTACGCGGGTAGAGCTCGTCGTACGAAGGAAGCTCCGTGGCGCCAGGTGAGGTATTACCGGTGAGCATATCCCACCAGCCTTCTTTGGCCCCGCGCGAGGAAGTGGGTCGATGCGGCACGAGGTTTGTGATGCGACGCATCGCCTGATAGTCAGGCAAAGCAGGCATGGGAGGTAGAGCTGGGAGGTTAGGGAAAGCGTTCGAAACGCTCTGTTGGAATTGATTGATTTGTGCCTGGAGCTGATTCCGCCAGGCAACGAGCGCCGCTGGCGGGGAGAAGGGCCGTGCATCGCCTTCAGGAGCGGCCGGCTCCGGTGTCTGGAGCGGTATGGCGACATCGTGGTGGACACTGGAGCGACGGGAGATGGTGAGAACGAGCTCATCCTCATCATCTTCTGTCTCTTCCGAATCATCGACCGCGTAATCGAAAGAGCCCGATGCTGACGAAGATTCCCAGAGTGAATGAAGGGACGCCGAGCTGCTATGTCTGCGACGCGAAGTCAACGAGCCAACGCTGCGTGAGCGATAGTGGCGCGCTGGTATCAAAGCAGCCTGGTGAGCAGGTAATGTGCTGGCAAGGTCGGCCGGAGTAAATCCTCTGATGCTTCGAGCAGTGGGACTAGAGCCTGCAAGGCGGAGTCTGTGAACGATATGCGCATGGCCATTCAAAGCAGCAAGGTGCATCGCTGTGTTTCCGACGTTATCCTGCACATCGGGATCAGCACCACGAGCGAGAAGTCCAGCAACAAATCGGGTGAGCCCCAGTGAAGAAGCAAAGTGGAGCAATGTCTGGCCGGTGGCACAGCGCATGTTATACCTCGGCGCGCGAGGGTTGTCATCGAGGTCGATAAACTCCAAGTAGGTCAACATCCTCGAGTCCATGTCACCAAGCTTCCCTTGGGACTCTAGTCCAGGAACCTGCCGCTGGTTGCCACTGGAAGAACCTTGGAAGTCTTTTTGAAGGTTGAACGCCCCTTTGTAGTCGCTGCCCATGATCTGTTGAGCAGTGGCGAAAGCATCTGCTTGATTTCCTAATTTGTGACCAAGGATGCCAAGCGCCAGACGGTACATCTGAAGCTCGCGGTCATCCACATAGCGGAAGAATTGTTGTTGTTTGGGAAGCATTGGTTGAGTTTGTTGTTGTAGCTGATTAAAGCTGGGGTGTTCATGTTTGAAGACTACAACCACCTGCCCCGGCTGAAGGGCTGGTGGTGTAAGGCAGTTGAGGCACTTGTCGCCCCAGAATGTAGTCGTGGTCGCCAGAGTGTCACCAAACACAACTTCCATGCCAGGGTAGAAACCGCTACCCAACAGCGTGACCTCTGTTCCTCCAGTAACGGAACCCTCCGCGGGAACCAGTTTATGAATAACTGTAGGCAGCCGATTCCCGGCATTGGTGATCCCGGGCCACATGGTTGTAGCCGGCGTTGGACCCATCGGAAGATTCAGGTTCTGTTCTTGGAAACTGTTTCTGCCAGATGCGCCTGGGGTACCCGGTCGGCTCGGTTGTGCTGAGTTTGGTGCGGACATCAATTGTTGCTGGATGAAGTTGTCCAGGTTCTGCTGCTGGAGAGATGTCAAGAATGGATTGTTGTTGTCGCTTATTGGGGTCAGTGGGCCATTGCTGAAGTGGTTTGACATGGCAGCGGACGTGACAAACGGTCTCTCGCCAGGAGATGCGAACCCACGAGCGGGGAACTGGGGCTCGTTACTAGACGCTCTCGTTGATGACTGGCCGTTCTCGAGTTTGGTCATAGTCAACTCTGACGGAAGCCTGTTAGAGTTGCTATGTTTTCGTCGTTTGCTCGTAGGCCCTTGGAAGTCGTTCGGGGATGTCTGCCGTGACAGGCTACGAGAAGGCTGCGAATTGGATGACGTTCCAGCATTTGCTGAATCCATGAATGGGCTAGGGCTAGGTTGGTACTGCGAGGTGATTCGTTGCTGTAGGCCTTGCAGATCTGTCGCTGAAGGCGATGCAGCCGACTGTTTTGTGGAGGCGGGCGATTTACCGGCGTCGAATGCAGGTCCGGAGGGAAAGACACCAACGCCTGGCAGTTCCGTACCATCTGCGAGAGCTGGAGGCGGGCCAGGAGCAGGAGGCCCTGATGGTGCATGAGTCTTGTGATCGTCTGTGATCATTATGGAGTTGGTGATCGCTTGAGCAATGACATTATCCTTAAAGTCTTTCAGCGTAAAGATAACCCTGTAGGCAGTTGTAAGCTTCCATCTACTATGACTCGAATGACTGTGGGTGTTCTTACTGAAATCCAATCTTCTCATTTTGGTGCCTGCAGTAGCATGCTATTCGCATCGGCAGCTCCACCTGCATGGCACCTGGGATAAGCGCCTGGTTTTCGTGTGAAGTGGCAGTTTTGGACGGTTCAGCCCAATCCTTGATCTCGTGAGTGTTGAAGACAATGACGCGCTTGTCCTCATGCTTTTGAAACAACTCATCCTCCTCTGGTTTCCGTTGCTTCTTTCGGAAAGCCCGCTTTCGTTCTCGTTGTATGCAGCCTGCGCAGATTTTCACCTCTCCACCGTCCAAAGGTTTATCTTCATCGACAGCCTCATCACTAGCCATCGGTGAGGAGCTGGATGAGCGATACACTGGCTCGCCTCGCGCTTTTGCCAATGCTTTTCGTAATTTGTCTTTGTCTTGTAAAGCACTCGTGCAAAAGAGACTCGTGTATAATTCGACAGTGTCAGCGGAGCGCTCTGTGGCTGGCGGCGCAAGAAACTTGGGTTTCGATATCGTATGGCTCGGCAGACGTAGCTTTTTGACTCCGTAAGGTAAGGGGTGCAGTGTCAGTTTAATCGGTATTTGCGTCTCCACACGCGATTTGAGGGAAGTCGGATGGACGGTCAAGACGGGTGGTTGAGTAGGCTCCGGGTTCATGGTCTTCTGCATGGATGGAGGTAGGAATCCGAAACCAAAAGGAAGGCCGTTGGTTGAGAAGTTAAATCCCGAATTTGACTGAGAACCACCGTTCATATTGATACCACCGAAGCTTTCCTCCAGATAAGACGAGGGTGACTTTTCACCCCATGGACTTGAAGGCGGTTTCACTTGAGGGATCCTTGAAGGCTGGAAGGGAGACGGCGTGTCTTTTGTAATGCGAGGAATGAACGGGACCGTTGTTTGGGAAATCCGCTGCGGTGACAATTAGTTCGAGGATTTATAAAGAAGTTGGAAGGATCTATATCTCACCGGCGAAGCAGACTTTCGTTTCACTGAACTAGGCGCACGCGGTAAGCGCGACCTCGAGGAACCCTTCTGGACCTTAAGTTGAGGAATTCCACTCTTCAGAGGGCTAGGGCTACTGGCAGCGCTTTCAAAGTCAAAAGCCGCATCCATGGCTTTGTTGCTCGATTCGAGGTCGGCTTCCGCGGGGTATGGGCCTTCAAGGTTCGGTAACGATGCGTCAAACCCGAACAGAGACTCATCCTTTACGCCGTCGTAATCTGGATTCACCCAATCATCAGATGTGTAGCCGAAAGGCATCACAGTATTCTCACTGTGGACCGCAGAGGTGGAGGATGCAACAGAGGGGTGTCGGAGGTGGTTTCGAGGCGATTCAGAGCTCGAGCTCGGGCTTGAGTCTTCGGGTGATTCGGCGGGGGAATCCGATGTGAAGACTTCAGGATGCCGCAATGGTTCGTCTTGATATGACCGTTTTAGCGACAATTCTGCCGGTGAGAGGCATGGTGGGTTTGATTCTGCGACCGTATGGGAGGATGAGGCATGCGAGAAGAGATCATCAAAGTCCTGTCCAGCATTTTCTGACGATAATTGCAGCCTCGCGGTATCTAAGAAGTCCATATCGGTGTCTTGATAGGGGTTCACCATGTCGTCGTCCACAACAATCGGATCGAGGGACGAAAACGTGGGAGACGACGTTGAGCCCATCGTTGACTTTCGGTAGCACAACAATCCGGAGAAGAAGCAATTAATTCCCTCAGAGTCGTTCTACCAAGTCGTAGCGCACCCTTCTAGCTCTCTTCCACGATCAGAGTCCTATGCACGTCCGGTGGTTGGAGTCCGTCAAGACGATCAGATTGGCCAGGAGACGAACTCCACGGGCGCACTGTGCTGCGAACGACTAACAGTGGCCCTTCCTCGTTACCATGGGATATCAATCGAAGATGAATGATTATTGGCGAAAATAAGGGCGATATAGGAGGAGATCCGTATCGCAAAGGATCTGGGGAAGCGAGGGCGTTTGTTGGGAGAGGGGAGCGTCAGCGGTCGGCGTAACAGTAAGAGCGGAGACCGGAGGCGCGGGTGGAAAAGGAATGAAAAGGCGGCAAAAACAAAAGGACCAAAATTCTTAGGCGCAGAGATTTGCTTGCGCTATTGATTTGTACAGTGTCGGTGGGCTCGAACACGTTTCACTTGCTATACGGAGTGCTAGAGAGGATAACGAAAGTACGGTGTCACGAGCGCCGGATCCGTAAGGCCACCTGGACATCCAGATCAACTCCGACTGATTACGCCGTCGATGGCGGTCCTTTGGTGGTGATGGTGTTACAGTGCCTGCTCCGCGGTGAGCCACGCTAACCATAATCGGTCGCCCAGCCACAGGGCCCGGGGGCAGGTTACCGCATTATGATTGGCTGGATGTCATTCAATATGACAGCCAGCCTTATCAAGGACTTCAAGGGGGCCAGGTCTAGAAAGCACCACTGGCGATGGATTCTGCTGCATAGAAGAGTCTAGATATTGAAGACTCGAGTATCTAGACCGGGGTCACGCCGACTTATCTATAATACCTGCCTAGCACTGCGACCTTATTCAATGCAACCCGCGGAGTATAGGAAAGACCGACGCACACTTGATGAATGAGGAGAGACCAATTACGCACAATCACATTCTTGGCACTGTAGGCGCTGTATCTCCTTGCTATCTTGCATTATCTGTTGATGGTTATCAGTTCTTACGCAATCTCCTCGATCGATGGCGATCTACACCCTTTGGAATGGCCTGCATATAAGGAAGGCCCGCCTGTCGTGATAGTATTCTTTGTAGGAGTACGACTGCTAGCATCGCTAATTAGCCCTGTGGATCTTCCTTATAGGATTCAGGCCAAAGGGCCGCTTTCGGAATATATTTATGCACCTGCTGCTTTAGAATAACTTCAAAGATGACCACCTGTTACTGCAACATGCGTCCATAGTTGTATAAGCACGTTGATTGTCAGAATCTCGAGTATTAGCATACCATAATCTCTGGCGAGTGCTTCTTTATTTCACTTTGTACACCAAGCTTGATCACGCAGCCTACTCTACGCAAAGCTAAAGAAGAAGATAGACATTTCATATTAAAGTATCCCGTTTACGATATACCCATCGGCATGACTTACATAGTCAATCTTCTGTAACGCAGTGAAAAGGGTACCACGTTCGGCGAGATTCAGGTTTCTGTCAACAAGCTTTAGAACCGTATTAACTAGCAATTTTCCACTACTGCCATAACTGCCGCACAGATTTCTGAACCTTAATCCCATATAAAATTCTATAGATCCTTTATTTAATAGGTATATCTTGCCTGTTGCAAAGGGCGGACCTCCAGCTTGCCCCCTTGCATTTTAATCCCCTTTGGAGATATCTGGGGATCCCCCCTCCCTTGCTTAAAGGCGTCTTCTTTCATTCTTTGCCCAGGTGCTCGGGTATAGTGGCTTACTTGGGTTAGAGGGCTTACCTCTGGTCGCAGAATCCTGAGTCTCACCGAGCTATGACCCCCAGTGCCCCGATACTGCGTTATCATCAGATCAGCCAGAGTGCACTTGCTATCCAACAGAACAAAATAGCATATTGTTGATGCTGAGCCAACAAGACCAAGAGCAAGATGACTGAAGGACTAGCAGCATAGTAGGTGCCTGTCGCCATACCGCACCCTTCTTGATTGTTTGTTCACTTCTCATGCAGCTGCCATCAAGTTGAGCCATGTCCTCGATCTTCACGACTGCGTTGCGCCGTTGTTAATATTTAGATTGGTTTCACCCACACCATTAGAACAAATAAGCATTTTCAGTGGAGTCAACACTCTACCTAGGAGCCGAGGAGAACATGGAGAAGTGTCAGGTTTATTGAAGACGATATTCATGAACCAAGTATGAACGAACCCGTCTATCGGCCGAGGGTCTTATGTCGCAAACAATCTCTGATGTTGCCAACAGGGGGAATTCACGAGAGAGGACACTTTAAAGTGCATGAAGTACTTGGGTGACTTGCAATTCACTTTTTGTAGGTGGATTATGAGTCGCAAGAGAGTGAAGAGGCTTTGGGTCCTTCATTCTTAGTCCCTCGGTCATCGCGGGTACACTCCACCTAGTGTCTGAGACATAGCGGTCTCGCCTCTCCGTGAGCGTTTCAGCCTTCTGACATGTTGCTCGCAAACATGGCAAGACAACAGTTCTTCGGGTTTCCAGAAGGCTCGCCACTGCTGGCCAATAAGACGGGCAAGATATCCAGGAACAGTGATAGTCACTGATAGTCGATCCACAGACTGAGAACCTCCGAAAGCAACCCTTTCTCTCCAGTCGTACTAGACATTCTTGATTGCCGTAGATCACAAAGGGCTGACTCGGTTGGAATAAATGTCGTTGTCGAGGGCGCTTCGATAGCCCTAGATTCTTGGGGCCCAGGCATGTACACACCTGGGGCCAAAATTACGACCTCGCTTAGCACGAGTCAGCGCTATATACAGTACCTTGTGAGTCGATGACAAGTCAAAAGGCGAGGTTATCCCTGTTGATGCCGTCATGTGTGATATGTTGTCTGTGCCTGCATCATGGGCAGTTAAGGCCATCCTGTTAGCGGAAGACATCTCCACCGGCGGTTATTGCCTGGACCACATTAGCAGCGGGCTCATCTAATTTATCCGGCGCTGTCACGGAATTGAACGTATCATAGCGGCCCGATATATTGAGGAGTATTTGTTAGCGCTGCATCATTATTCCCAGACGTGGATTCGGGTGGCAATCCTGGCGGATCACTTACTCGGAGATGAAGTCGATAATAGCCCGATCTCATGTCGCGATTTGATGAGGCAAAAACGATGCAGTTGATGGACGGTGGTTGAAGGTTCTGGTGTTTGTGAAACGGCGGCACGTGGCAACTGGCAACCCCTCACCAGGAACAGCCGACGGAAGAATTCTCCCTCAGCTCTCTATCCACAAGACTACAACACCTGTCGCGCATCCGACATCATCTTCGACCACACTGGTCAGCTTCCAAGCCTTTGGAGCGGTGTATGGGCTTGAGTGGAGTTGCCTGTCAAAAATGTCAAGGCAATTGATTGCCTGCTCCACCGCAGTAGGGCCGAGTTTAATGACTGGGATGCTTGGCAGGCACAGGACATGGAGCACTGTTCAAGTTGAAACCCAGGCTGTCAGAAACAAATGCCCCAGGGCTCGGAAAGGGACCTAGACGCCTTCAGCCTTGAAATCGTGAGGACCCCGTCTCCGCAACTGCATCTCCATCGCATACACTAACCCTCGAATAGTCGATTCTCCTGACGGGGTGCCGTGTTCGTCAATCTAACCAGGCGTCGGCGTCTCATGCCCAGGTCTTAGCACTCGACATTTCATCTACTTCAGACTGCGGGTCTCAGCAAGCCTATCGCAATGGTTCCTCGGGGAAAACCTTTAGCTTCGAGGCAATCTAGATGCGGCTGGGTAGCGCCAACAACGAAGCTGAACGAACCTTCATTCGCCGGCGTGGCCGTTTGCCTGGCTTGATCTGAGCTTTCGTACCCGAAGGCCGTTGTGGGCAGATGGGACATTGGTGTATATAAAGGCATTCGACCTCGACGACAGTGACAGTTCTTCTCTTCTTCCTCACCACCAACCTTGCATTCTTTTACACCGGATCAACGATCCATTCATTCTCTTACTTCCCACTTCATTGACTGAAGTCCGGACATTCTTTTTACCCCCTACCCTCATTCAATCCTTCGGAACTTGAAGAACGCTGCGCGTTGAAAAACTCAATCACAACCAACAAAATGTCTGTCGCTAGAACTGCTGGTCTTGCTCTCGCCTCCGCGGCCATGGTCGCTGGTCACGGTTACGTCTCTGGTATCGTCGCCGACGGCACCTACTACGGAGGTTACCTCGTCAACCAGTACCCCTACAGCTCCGACCCCCCTGCCGTTGTTGGATGGACTGAGGATGCTACCGACCTGGGTTTCGTCGATGGCTCCAGCTACACCTCCGGCGACATCATCTGCCACAAGGACGCCACCAACGCCCAGGCCTCTGCTACCGTCGCTGCTGGTGGCACTGTTGAGCTCCAGTGGACTGACTGGCCCGAGTCCCACCACGGTATGTCACAGCCCTAGCCTCTTTCCCCCGTCATTTACTAATGGTTCCAAAGGTCCCGTCATCGACTACATCGCCAACTGCGGCGGTGACTGCACGACTGTCGACAAGACCACCCTCGAGTGGGTCAAGATTGGTGAGAGCGGTCTCATCGACGACTCCAACGTCCCCGGTACCTGGGCCTCCGACAACCTGATCTCCAACAACAACAGCTGGACCGTCACCATCCCCAGCTCCCTCGCCGCCGGTGGCTACGTCCTCCGCCACGAGATCATCGCCCTCCACTCCGCCGGCAGCGAGAACGGCGCCCAGAACTACCCCCAGTGTGTCAACCTCGACGTCACCGGCGGCGGCAGCGCCTCCCCCTCCGGTACCCTCGGTACTGAGCTCTACACCCCCACCGACGCTGGTATCCTCGTCAACATCTACCAGACCCTCGACTCCTACGAGATCCCCGGTCCCGCCCTCTGGGACGGTGCCTCCTCCGGCAGCGGCAACAGCGGCAGCGGTGCCTCCTCCAGCGCCGCCGCCACCTCCACCCCTACCTCTTCCGTAAGCGTCCCAGTCATCCCCACCACCACCCTGGTCGGCTCGTCCACCCCTCTCGTGCCCGCCCCCAGCTCGAGCGTGCCTGCCCAGGTCTCCGCCCCCGCCGACACCCAGGCCCCTCAGCCCACCTTCACCTCCACCTACATTGAGACTGAGACAATCCCTGGTCAGACCGTTACCTCCACCGCGACCGAGTACGCCTCCGAGCCTACTGCCCCCGCCGTCGAGACCCAGGTTGCTCAGCCCTCTGAGACCGAGGCCGCCTCTTCCACCGTCACCGAGACTGCCACCGCCACTGCCACCGCTACCGAGACTGCCTCTGCCACTGCCACCCCCGTTACCGGCTCTGGCTCTGGCTCTACCGAGCTCCCCACCGACAGCTCCAGCCTCTCCGAGTACTTCAACTCCCTGAGCGCGGAGGAGTTCCTCAGCCTTCTGAAGGAGACCCTTAAGTGGTTGGTCACCGACAAGGTCCACGCTCGTTCCCTCCACTAGATACCCTTTCTAGTCGGATGCCGGAAACGAAAATAGACCTCTTGCCTTTGCCTTTTCTTTGCTCTTCTTATTACTTCTCCTTTCACCTCCCTCGGTCCCGTTTGATCGGCGAACTGTTGGATGGCTTCTTTAATTGGATCCGGCATCCTTTTTGTGTACCTATACTATACTACTTGGCATAGCGGATAGGATAGTGGGAATATTTATCCTTCTTTGCTACTTTACTTTATTTCGAGATTTGTTTCCATCGTACTACTGCTCTTGTAAAATAAGGCCGCTGAAGATAAGTGCATACGTTAGGCCCAGACATAGTCTAGTCTATAGGAAGCTTAGCGATAGATGGATATCCCAACGAGGTTTCATGTGTACTTGGAGCCAGCATGCGGTGGCTAGGACCTAATCAGGATATTCATACGCTTCTACTTTTGTACGACAATTATTATCGTTCAGACACTAGCAGGACAGGTTTGTCTATCAACGCTAAGGTGTGACCGCCGTAGACACCAGCGCAAAGAAAAGCAGACTCGCACTTGAGGTTTTCTCGTCAGCAAACTTGGATTGAGTTTTTCTAAAAGCCTTCTTGGGGGTATCTATACATGACTTTGGGTTGGCATAGCGAACGATGGGAGTAACGAAATAATCCCTTTTGATATGACCTTCGCGTTGTCCGTACGTCCATCAACACAAGGGGAATAATGCAGAGCTCATGCCTCCTCAACCTTAACCCAGTCAGGTGAGCCTCTCAGGTCCCCGTTTTTAGTATGCCCATTTCTAGTATGCCCATTTTCAGTGTGCCCATTTTCAGTATCCCCATTTTCAGTATGCTCACTTTCAGTGAGTCGAATGGCATTACCCCAACATGTTTCAAGAGACATGGTCGTCAGATGTTGATGGACCTTGACACTATCCTCCAACAGATGATATCTATTTTGATAAAGAGGCAAGCCGCCCTGCTCAAACCTTTCTTCAAGCCCAAGAAATCGCAGATCTTCCACTACTTGAGGCCGAAGCCAAAAGAAATAAACGTCGAGACCATGAAACGCCATCGTCCAAGTATATTCCAAGTCCTTCCAGCTCTGCGAAATGTCGTCAAGGACCTCCATAGTAGGATTCCAGTCTCGCGATGGGTGCGTGACGCTTGCCAGGAGATGGATGGGGATTCTCACAGGGCGTTCATTTTGGCCGGGTCTTGGGAGATAGTATTGGACCCGGAGGACGAAGCTAGTTGCATTGATACGGCATGGCGTGATAGTAAAACCCTCGGTAGGGGGGAAGTAATACGCAAGTAACGAGGTCGCCAATCCATTGTAGGAAAGATCTCGTTGTCCAGGGGGGTCGCTATTGATGGAATCGAAGAGTTGGCGGAAGACGGCGAGGTCGGCATAGTTATCCTCTGCCATTGTGAAAAACTTTGACCTGTTCCGGGTTAGCAACTGCATTTGCTCGGAGGATTGCGAGTATAGATTGTACCAGCTGGAAGAGAGTTGGAGAAGTCCCAAACTTGTAAATGGTTGCTAGCTATCTTGGTCCAATCTGAGAAAACCAACTAGACCATGGGCGTAGACGCCAATCCTGCAAAGATATACCCGAACGAAAACCACGAGATCTACCCCTAAGATACCAAATAACCATGCAATGGATGGATAAAAGATGCTCGGCCTAATGCAGAACGCTGCGGCTGTGGCCCGGGTGGTTGAAGAAAGACTGCATCAGGAAGTGCAGAGCCAGGCACTCTGTGCCTAGTTGACAGCAAGAAGGAGCGAGGGGACATTGTTGTGAACAATGTCATGGTTCGTCCACGGATTCTGGGCTGCAAGCTTTGGGAAAGTACACTGCCGCTTAAACTCCCGGTTAAATCCGTCTAATGCCAGGATATCTTGAATTGCCCACCAATAGTATCCGGATTGCATGCTGCACGTTTGGGTATATAAGCGTCGAGACCGCTGGTCTGGAAAAGCGCCATGGGCAAAAGTCTGATTCCCCAACTTTCGTGAAATATCATCATGAGATACCTGAAAGCATCCCTCATACTGACGGCGCTCCTCATGTCTTCGTCTTTTGCCCAGAATTCAACTTACGCGAACCCTATCCTCCCTGGCTGGCATTCAGACCCTAGCTGCACCTTTGTGCCGGAAGAGGACAACACATTCTTCTGCACGACTTCGTCTTTTCTCACAGTTCCGGGAATACCCATATATGCAAGCAAAGATCTGGTGAACTGGAAGCTTGCCAGTGATGTCGTAACCAGGGTAGCCCAAATGCCGGAAATTGCGAATAGTACCTCGCAGACACAACAAGATGGCCTCTGGGCGTCGACGATCAGATATCGCAAGGGGAAGTTTTATCTTTTGACCTCATACGTCTCGATGTATCCAGACTTTGGGTTCAAAGGATTACTTTTCACGACCGAGGATATTTACTCAGACAAAGCGTGGAGCGAACCGCTGAGATTCGAAATTGGAGATATTGACCCTGATATTTTCTGGGAAGAGGACGGCACCGCGTATATATCATACGCGGGTGTCTCGCAGACCACACTTGACCTCGAAACTGGAAAGACTGGGCCGTCATACAGGATTTGGAACGGCACAGGTGCTGGCCTGCCAGAGGGGCCTCATATATACAAGAAGGACGGCTGGTACTATCTCTGCATCGGCGAGGGAGGTACAGAGCTTGGTCATCAGCAAGTCATCGCTCGGTCAAAGAATGTGACCGGGCCATTCGAAGGATATAGCGGAAATCCTATTTTGACGAATAAGAACACGACCGAATACTTCCAGACCGTTGGTCATGCAGACCTTTTCCAGGATGGCAACGACAACTGGTGGGGGGTAGCTTTGGCAACACGCTCCGGTCCAGCTTGGAGAGTTTATCCCATGGGTCGAGAGACCGTTCTGTTCCCCGTAACCTGGAAAGAAGGAGAGTGGCCTATCCTTGAGCCTGTGCGGGGACGAATGTCTGGGTGGGAGCTGCCGCAGCCGTCTCGCAGTATTCCAGGCTACGGGCCATATGTCAGTGCTCCAGATCGGATAGACTTTGCTCCTGGAACCTCTATCCCTCGGCACTTTTTGTTCTGGCGTTTCCCCAAGAGTGATTCCTTCACTGTATCTCCTCCCGAGCGCCCATTTTCCTTGCGTTTGACACCATCACGCCATAATATAACCGGTCTCGGTAGCACTGGGGAAAGCGTGGAACAAACAGCTATCACACTGATAACGCGTCGACAAAGCCATACATACTTCATCTACAGTGTAGACGTGTCGTTTGCTCCAACAAAGGAAGGGGAGGAAGTTGGGGTGACAGTTTTCCTAACTCAGTATCAGCATATTGACTTGGGAATAGTTCTCCTCCGAGTTTCTGGAAAGTTGATTCCTCACCTGCGTTTTCAGACGACATTGCTAGATGATCTGAACACACCAGCAACACAGAACGTCACAGTCCCAGAGACCGTTACCAGGGCCCTACCCCGTTTGAAGAATAATCGAGTCAGGTTGCAGATCCAAGCAGTCAACGATACTCACTACATTCTATCTGCTGCGCTGTCCGGGCAAGATAAGTTCGACTTTAGTCAACAAGCGGAGGCTGTGTTGGTCAGCGGGGGCACTGGGAGGTTCACAGGTAAATGTCCGCTTGACGAAATGCTTTGACCCGGCTGACCTCGTAGGCGTTCTTCTCGGAGTGTATGCAACGAGTAATGGGGGTTCGGGCTCAACGCCGTCATACATCAGTAGATGGAGATATGAAGGACATCATCAAAAGATCGAGGAATAGTATCTGTGGAGAACTAGCAGCGCACGCCTGCATGGACGATAGTACACGCATAGATATACGCCAGTCGAAGTTGCATAGCTTGGAAAGAAAGGATAAGAATCTGTTGAACTTCTTTCTCTCTTGCCTTCTCCTTAGCAGGCCACTTTTAATAAGATAGTAGTTCTTATCTTTGTAGGACTTTTTTATTATCGGGATTCAAAAACATCACCGTGTCTCACTCCCTACTCTTATTAGATACCCTTCAGCTGCTGCGTTCCTGGTTAGCCCAAATCTATTCTTGATCGCTCTTTTGGGATACAGTACGCAGGAAGCAAAGCCGGTCTGTTCTGTCATAGATCTATAGATACTAACTCTAAGGACATCGTCAGAGCCGGATGACAAGGTTAAACCAAGATTGTAGAAGACATGTCGACCTCTCATCCCATGCTTGAAGTGTGCTATGAAACTGGCAGGTGCCCAGGTAACCCGACATCTGTTTGCACTTCAGACCACTCCTCTTCCAGAGCTCTCAACACTCTCGCCGTCCCTTGCCCCTTGCTCGTCTCTTGCATAGCTCCTCTTTTCTTTTCTTTATTATAGGATCAACATCTTCATCACGAGAAAAAAATCTTTTTGTCGAGCAAGCTCACTCTTCTAAACTCGCCCAACACACCTCAACGACCATGGCCTCCCAAGCCACCGCTAACACCCCCAACGAGCCTGAAGAGAGAAGCTATTACCGCATCTTGAAAGAAGGAGGCTACCGCAACTTCCAGCATTTCATGCACAGCCACGAGCTCAAGATGCATGACAACGATGACATACAAATGGGAAAGGAAATTCTCCGTCGCTACGAGGAAAACGACAGAGCCCATGCAGACGACCGCGGTCACGCAAGGAACAAATCGCCCGAGAACGACAAGCCCACCGAGACCAACATTAACCCCCACGACTCGGACTCGGACTCAGATCCTCCAAGCGGCGTCCGCCTCGGTTACTGTGCGCCTGGGGACGACGATGACGATAATTCGGACGAGGAAGGATGCCGTCTTGACGCACCCTATAATCACTTCGAATGGGGACTTGACGAGCCGGACTTGGAGGGTTATCCGGCGTTTTCGGACGATGAGGCGGCGTTTGGTCAGGACGGTGATGACGATGAGGTGAACGACGACGATGATGGGGGCAATGGATACGAAGAGGACTGGTGAGCATACCGCGTGCTGCAAGGAGATACAATGGATTGCGACTTGGGTTAGTATTCTGTCGTTGAGGATTTCTTTCCCCATGTCCGCGGATGCTAATGTTTGAGCTAGGGTTAAGTGCATTCTCTGTTTATCTTCACGTCTCCAGGGTAATGGGACTATACTCTGCTTCGGAGGCATACTGGCACGCTATGTACTTGAAGACTTATCTTTGGCTCTCGAGAGACCAAGCATGCATTTCAAGATGGCCTTTAATTGACGTTCTTTTATTGTTCTAGGTAGTGGTTTTCTCTAGCATCCTCGTACTTCCATGACAGTTTTACGAAGCACGCAATCTTAGGCGCTCCTTTAGTGTAGACATAATCGCCGAGCAATAAGCACTCGAATTCCCCTCTTTCTGGCGTACGGTTTGTTGAATCATCCTGCATCATAACACCTAGTCAGAGAAAGTATTCGTATGCGACGCTCCACCTCAGAACGGAAGAGAATGAGTCATTTGGAATGTCGAGGGCAGCGCAAGGCGCGTGAACAAGCAGATTGCATATCAATAATTTATGTATCATGCTTTAACTTGCAACCTTTGAGTCATTCTGAAATATTTGTAGTCTTTCGTAGGCCTGGGCTCATAGAAGCGGGGACATGCGGGCCATTGTTGTTGCGGGGTTGAAAAATCCAGATCTGACATTAGGTAAATGCAGCTTCCTAGCTTCCAAGGTCCCTTTCGTCCTTTTCGCAGAACAGCTCCAGTTTCTACACCTCACTGTTCACCCAGCGCGCTAAGCTGGGTATCCTGGGTTTCAGAGCTATATAGCCTCACGCCAGCATCATGTTCAAGAAGAAGCCCACTGTGAGTGCTACCCCGCATCAACCCCTCCTTACCTGCGTGACAGCAACTCACACCAGCATTAAAGATCAAAAACCTCTCGCCGTTGCGATCCTCAGACCGGCGCAAAATAGCAGACCAGATAATCAGCGACTACAAGATCGCGATCCCCTCGGCCCCCGCCGAATCCAGCGATGATGCCGCCGCCGCGAATCCGAATCCGAATCCCACACAACCAACCCTCACCTCAATCCGCAATGCCCTCCTGCCCGAAAACTGCCTCTCCGCACGCTTCACAACAACCGCCGGCCCCGACCTGCGCGAAGTCCAAGGAACAGTTTACGTAGGTACCCACGGCGACGCCGAAGAACGCGCGCTCTGGTTCAGAATCGACCAGGGCCCCGGCGCAGAGAAACGTCTTTACCCCACCGTCTACACGCTCTGGCATAACCCGAACATTGTACCGCTGCTCCACACGCCGGAGTTTGTTATGGGGAAGCTCCGGGCTGGCGCGGACTTAATGACGCCTGGGCTGGCGAATGAGCCGCCGTTTGATGAGCGCGCGGTTGAGGGGGCGGTTGTTGCGGTGGCGAGTCTGGATCGCGAGACTGTGCCTTTGTTTGTGGGGATTTGCGAGATTGATGTTTCGGCTCTTGGGGAGGTGCAGGGGAGCAAGGGGCATGCTGTGAGGGGGATACAGTGGGAGGGGGATGAGCTTTGGGCTTGGAGTCCGTCGTCTAGGCCTGGTGTTCCTGCTCCGGAGTATTTGGAGGGCTGGGATGAGGTGGAAGGAGAAGAAGAGGTAGAGGCTGGAGTTGAAGAAGGAGTTGAGGGGTTGGATCTGGGAGACAAGGATGGCGAGGATGCTACAGCAGACGCTGGAGAGCTGGCTGACGAATCGGTGGAAGAGCCGGTTGTTGAGAAAGAGCCTACAACGAAAGGTATGTTTGTCAGTCTTTACTGGGGACTGGGCACTAACAGGAACAGAAATCGATGATGCATTCGAGAAAGCCTTCCTATATTCGCTATATAAACTGAAGCAGGACAATCCGTCTACGCCGAACCATGGCCTGTCTCTCCCTATATCGCCATCCGCTCTTATCGCGAACATGATCACCCCATACCTCCCTATATACACGGCACAGCAAGCTCAGTTCTATCAGATCAAGAAGACAAGCTGGAAGAACGTCAAGAAGTTTATCAAGTACCTGGACAAACAGGTTCTGGTCAAGTCCAAAGACCGCAACGGGCAGGAGACGGTTATTTTAGATGTCGACTTTGACGACCACCGTGTGGTTGACTTTACTCCATACCGGCTTGCAAACAAGGGCGCAGTCGAGAGCGCAGGAAAGTCATCGAACGCCGTTGGCAAGAAGGCTGCAGCAACCACCGGCGGCGGTGACCCCTCCGTCGGGCAGACACTCACAGTGCAAACCCTATACCGACCAACAACGAAGCTCACACCAACCATCTTCCCGCCTCTCTCCAGCACACATCCTAGCAACTTCTATAAATACTCCGACGTCTCCAAACGGATAGACGAGTACATCCAGTCTCAAAGCCCCTCAATCGTCGACCCGCAGAACAAACGCATTCTTACTCTCAATCCATTCCTCGCCAACACCATCTTCACCTCATCTTCAGCAGATGACAAAAACACCCTTGCGCGCGGCAAGACAACCCGCGACTTCCTCCTCAAGCGCCTGATCGAAGACTCGACGCTGCTTGCACCCCACTACGCCATCCTCAAGCCAGGACAGACCCTCTCCGACGTCAAGCCCAAGGCTGGAGCAGCGCCTAAGGCTCTTGTCACACTAGAACGCCGCACAGGCTCCAAAACCGTCACCAAGGTCTCAAACCTGGAGATTTTCGGAATAATCCCGACGCTGCTCGCCGAGGAGCTTCAGAAGAAATGCGCTAGCAGCACGAGCGTTTCGCAGGCTACCGGCGCTCCAAAGGGAGTAATGGAGGTCCTAGTCCAGGGCGATCAACGCAAAGTCATTGATACCGCGCTTACACGGCGTGGCTTGAAGAGCCAGTGGATTGAGGTGGTGGATAAGACGAAGAAGAAGAAGAAATAGTCATCCACAGGTATTTTGATAGGGTGTAGATAGCTCTGGATATCAGTAGTTGAATACCCACAGGACAGATCACGGACATAGGGCTAGCTCACACCGTATGTAGTACGGAGTACTAGTAGGGAGATCCATACTCCGTGCGGATAGGATTCTCCCGAAGCTGGAATTCGGATATAAGTTAGGTATGCCGAGTCGGAGCCCGTCCGACCCTACCCCTCATACCAGCCAGCAGTACTGCTAGTAATATCTCTATTCGATCCCCGCATCAGATCAAGTCTCTCCAAGTTACAGTTACAGTAAATCACCACTCACCACCCCGTCCTCATCCCAGCACCTATCCATTCCTCAAAACAACAAAATGACAGTTTACCACATCGGTACCCCTCCTTCTCCTCCGCTCCAACAACCACTAACAACATTCCCAGTCCTCTTCCGCCTCAAACAAGGCGTAACCCCCGCGCAAGTACAGACATGGACGTCCATCGCCGAGAACATGGTCGGCAAAATCCCCGGTCTCATCTCACTCAAGGCCGGCGGCCCGCTGCCGATCTGTGTGCCCCGCGCAAAGGGCTTCGATATGGGGCTCGTTGCTGTGTTGGAGAAGCCCGGCGATTTGGAGGGGTATGCGGTGCACCCGGCGCATATGGAGTGAGTCTTCTGTTACCTTACTGTATATTGGTGGGGAGGGGGCGGATTGGGCTAATGCTAATGCGGGTTTCCGAGCAGGGTGCATAAGATGAGGGAGGAACTTTGTGAGGAGACGCTGGCTTATGATCTTGAGTTTTGAGGCTGGTTGTCTGGGTTAGGGGTGTGTTGAGGGTTGTAGTTTTGACTGACTACGAGTATCTACGAGTATGCTGCTGGTGGGTCTGCTTGAGAATGAGATAGGGTTGAGGTTGTGTGAGAAAACAAGCTGGTATTGGAAACTTTTGCCATCCGGATTAAGACTGAACTCATATAGCAGTTATGCAAGTGGGTAAATGCAACATGATTACTCCTTGGTGTCGACCTTCTTGGCGGGGTGGTCGCCGTTCGCCTCGTCGTCACGGGTGCGCTTTTGACCCGCGTCGGCGGTGCTTTGCACAACAGGCACGCCGCTGTATCTGTTAGCATGTGTTCGCCAGATTTCGTAGGATTGGTGGGTAGACTTACCGAGCGTCCTTCTGGACCTCACGGCGCTCGGGCTGCTCGTCGCGGTTGTTCTTGAAGCCTCGCTTCTGGTCCTCGTCCCGTCGCTCCCTCCAGTCGCGGTTGTTGTCACGACGTCCGCCACGGCCGCCGCGGCCGCCACGTCCTCCACGACCACGGGACCCGCCGCGGCCGCGACCACCGCTAGGCTTGAGGCGTCCGGCCTCGATCTCTCGGACCTTCTCGTCGCAGTACTCCTTCTTGCTCTTGATGTTGAGGTCCTGGTCCTTCCACTTGGGCTTGGGGTCCAGTTCCAGGAAGGCCTTTGCCTTCTCCTCGGAAGCGAACTCGACGAAGACGCTGCCCTTGAACAACTTGTCCTGGGTGCGGCGGAGGCGGATGGCATTGACGGGACCGTAAGGGGCGAAGAAGGCTTCGATGTCAAGCTGTGTGGTGGGGTTCTCGTCTCCGAATCCCTTAGCGTAGATGCTACGGGCCATGGCCTCGTCCTCGAACACCTTGACGACGGTAGGGTCGTGAGTGTCCTTGACAGTCTCGGGAAGGGGAACCTTGCGGCGGACGGCAGTCTCGTTGTCTGTGAGTTCAAGGGTATCGGAAGTCTTGAGGGCCTCGACGATGGCGCTGAAGGGCTGGAATCGGCGCATGCGCTTGAAGGAGTGGAGGAGTTCGAGGGAAACGGCGTTGTTCTTGCTGCCGCCGACCTTGGAGAGGAGGAACTTGTCCATGGGCAGGTTGGAATCTGAAAAGTAGAACTCGACTTGCTTGCGGATCTCAACGGGGTCATCCGTCTCCTCCTGCGAGGAGGGGTCGAACTTGCTTTCGTTGCGACGTTGTCGGTTGAAGCGACCACCACGCTCCTCTGTGCGGTTCTCATTCTCTGACTTCTCCGACTTCTCTCCGAGCTTAGCGGCAGCAGCAACAATGCGGGCCTCCTCCGCTTCCTCAGACTTGTCGGCGGGGGCCTCCTCCTTCTTTTCGGTGCCATTGGCAGGGGCCTCAGCCTCGCCCTTTAGCTCTGCGAGCACATTCTGGACATCCTTCTCAGCCTCTGCGTTAGTCGCCTGAGCAGCAACGGGCTTCTGTTCGTCGGACATTGCGATCTGTTTTTGCGCGACAAAGGAATCTGCGAGTAGACCAGAAAGGAGCGGATAAAGAAAGGGTGCTAAAATGGACGAGTAGATTTCTAGATTTATGACTCAGTCAGTAAGTCTGCGCGCTTGTTCCAGTCAATAGCGATAACCCAATGAAGCGACTGGGATCCCGGAGGGACATCGCGAAACGGCCGACGCGCCGATGAGTCTGCATTGAAGCAGGGCAGCAGGCAGGACCGGGGTATCATCATGCGCCTTACCTCAATCCAATCAATAATTCCTATGACTCCTTCAGAAAGACACACAGAAACCAGAGCACTTTTCAAACGAAATGAGACAGTAGAGAGGATGCGGCGGGGGAAATTTTCTGAGCTGCGGAGCTCAAAAAGTCGAGCCGCAGTATTTGCCTGAGGCATGTCTGAGTCACCTGAGGCAGATAAGAATAAAAGACGCTAAGCCTTTTTTGGTCAGGTACCACCTCCTTCCCTATTCGTCTTCTCTCCCTTCTACACGACCTTGGGTCAAGTCACTCATGATCGAAGAGAGGCACAATAAGCAAAATGATAGTAAGCCATAGGCTCAGTGGCTTGGATATATGATAATGGCTGACACTGTGATTAGTGCTTGTATATCATGCCCGAAACACGGGATTTGAACAGCATGGTTCCTCGCAACCATGCTCTTCGTGGGCTGTCCAGCGCTCCTGCCTTGTGGTGTCCACGCCACTCGTCTGACGATATTCTCTATTATGATTGACCTTTGCTTAAACTGCTGGTCATTATCACCCCGCCAATTCTGCATACATATATCTCAACAGTTTATTTTCTCAGCATCGAATACACCTTGCAGCATTGCTCCGCTCCTCTCTCACGTCAAGCACGCCTATGGCAACATAACGGGACGTGTTCACGTTTTCCTCGTCGGACCCCAGCATCTGCTGCGTGTGCGCCTAAGCCTCTACCGGCCGGGGTCGAGAAACGGCGATGCCTCTATACTTTACAACGGGGTCGCTGAGCCTGCCGGAAGACTCGCCAGAATGGGACTCAATAGCAAAGGCCAACGCGCCGGCACCTATATGGCCTGTTAGAGACGTAAGTCTATGACTGTTCCCATAGTCGTTACCCACGGTTAATCATGGGATCCAGATAATCTTCATCACTACTATCAGTCCCTTCATGCTGGCGGCATTCATAGAATGGATCCTCTTCCTGGCCGCTTTCGTATACTGTCTTGTCAAAGTCTACCAGAAAGCCGATCACTGGAGCATCAAGCTGCTCGCTGTCACGATGATCATCCTCTTCTCAGCCCTGAGGTCGGTTCTTTAGGTGATGTCTTGCCTTGACAATGAGCTAACACTTCTCAAGGGGAATATTCCTACCCGTTATGATCACTACACTTCCGTTTCCTCCGCACATTAAAGAAAAGTTTCCTCCCGTCATGGTTTCGTTTCTACAGTGGTTCGCATTCTGGGCCTTCGCTGGACTTCTCACGCTGCCATGGCTATTCTGCGTTTATCGAATTGTCACCAACTCAATCGGCAAGACTCGGAGAATACAAAAGGTCCTCGACGCCAAAACCGCGCCGAAGGTCGTCATAATTATGCCCGTTTACAAGGAAGAACCAGAAACATTGATCAAGGCAGTCGACTCAGTCGTCGATAGCGATTACCCCGGGCGCTGCATCCATGTATTCCTGTCATACGACGGCAGCTTCATTGATGAGCCATACCTCCGCGTGATAAACCATCTTGGCATACCAATATCACTTCGGAACTATCCCCAGAGTATCGACGTGACCTACAAAGGAGCAAGGATCACCGTGTCCCGCTTCCGACACGGCGGTAAGCGACATTGCCAGAAGCAGTCGTTCAGGCTCATCGACAAAGTGTACGCGGATTATCTCAAGGAGCATGACGACCTCTTTGTACTTTTCATTGACTCTGACTGCATGTTGGACCGGCTTTGCCTCCAGAACTTCATGTACGACATGGAGCTTAAGCCTGGGAGCAAGCGCAACATGCTAGCCATGGCTGGGATCATCACATCAACCACCGAGAAAAACACCCTCATCACCGTACTACAGGACATGGAATACATACATGGCCAATTGTTTGAGCGGTCTGTTGAGTCCGGCTGCGGCGCGGTAACCTGTCTTCCGGGAGCGCTGACGATTCTACGGTTTTCGGCCTTCCGCAAGATGGCCAAATACTACTTTGCAGACAAAGCCGAACAGTGTGAAGACCTGTTCGACTATGGGAAATGCTACCTGGGCGAAGATCGCTGGCTGACTCACCTCTTCATGATTGGGGCAAGAAATCGCTATCAGATTCAAATGTGCACCACTGCATTCTGCAAGACCGAAGCGGTGCAGACATTTAAGAGTCTTTTGAAACAACGCCGGCGATGGTTCCTAGGTTACATAACCAACGAGGTCTGCATGCTAACGGACGTCCGGCTCTGGAGGCGATATCCTCTCCTGTGCTTGGTTCGCCTTCTGCAAAACACCATCCGGACAACTGCGCTTCTTTTCTTTATCCTGCTTATATCGATCATGACAACATCCAGCAGAGTGGACGATCTGCCTGTTGGCTTCGTTGTGATTTCGCTTGCTCTCAACTACACACTCATGTTCTACTTTGGGTTGAAGCTCAAAAGATACAAAGCTTGGCTTTACCCACTGATGTTCATTCTGAACCCCTTCTTCAACTGGCTGTATATGGTCTACGGGATATTCACTGCAGGCCACCGCACATGGGGAGGGCCCAGAACCGACGCTGCCAGAGCTGACGAGTTTACTACCCCTGAACAAGCCGTGAGACAGGCGGAAGCGCAGGGAGACGAATTAAACGTGGAGGTCGAGACGTTTCGAACAGCATTTGAAGGGAAAGGAGTTCCTGTTCATCCGTGGAAAAAGGTCACCGGGCGCTTCTCAATCGAAGACCCTACTCCCATCAAAGGAGGGGTGGTCAATGACACCGAAGCTGGTTTGTCAAAGTACTTGTCGCCTCTTCCGGAAATCCCTCGAATCGGCCTCCATCCACCGTGGTCAACAGAATCTGTACTGTCATCCGTGGACTCCATTGAGATGCCGCATAATGTTGAAAGCCTAGTGAATGAGGAGAAGATGTACCTTAGTCGCAAGGGACAAGAGGCCTCGGGCCCCCGCCGCAGTTCCGAATCCCTCCGCGAGGCTCAAAAAGCAGATGAGTCCCAGTCCCCAAGACCAAGCGGTGATGGCGACAGCACCTTTACGGAATGCAGCCAAGTAGGTTCAGCGTTGTCACGAGAGACAACTATAGCAGCGGGGGAGGTCGCCAATGCAGACGAGCGACCAGGTTTCCAACCGTTGGAGTTACCACGTCTACCGAACGATTCAACTGATCGCCTTACAATAACCAGGAGCGTTTCTAACGCGGAAAGCTCCCAGGCGCAGCGCTTAAGCAAGACCCCGAGTCCGGCAAAGTCACGGAAAAGAGGAACAGTTGCCTGAAGTTTGGTATAACGATGTGGCTTGGACAAAGGAGCATGAGGGAGGGCATATGGAAAGTAGATGTACTTTATCGCATTGGTTCAAACCAATCAACATGATTAGACTGGATGTATATCCTTCGTGTTTTATTAGCCAAGCAGGATCCAACGTCATAATTCTCCTGGTCGCCATGTAGTCATTAATTATCATCACCGTGAGTCCCGTGAGTGGCAGGTCTGATATCGATAAGCGACCAGCCCCTCCGGGGCAGACATTCTGCCGGTGGCAGCAAGGCGGTCAGAGAGGGGTGGTGTCCAGCAAGAGCCAGAAGGTTCGATGGGCATCGGCCAAGGCACTGAGGCTGCACAAAGACAATTTGTCTTAGATTTTTCGCCCAAATATATCTGTCTTTTTGCAAGCTCACATACACTATTAGACATCATATCTGAATTCTCGATTTCGAGTTGACCAGCGCATATACCTGCGAGCCTTAGAAGTGGACCAGGAAAAAAGTCTTGACCGCTTGACGACCCAAAACAACCCACGTTGACGGCCCTAGCCACACCTCCGGATACCTAAGAACGCTCCTCGAGTGGCGCCGCTGCTGCAAATTATTACTATCACGCATCCTCCCCTCTCACCTCTCGCTCTCTTCTCCATCTCCCTCCCGACCCCCCCCTCCCACCATCTATTCTCCCCCGCACATCAGATTCCCGTCACAATGTCTGTCGTCGGTATTGATTTCGGTGCTCAAAGCACGAAGATTGGTGTTGCCCGTAACAAGGGTATTGACATTGTGCGTATCTCCGCCCCGCCGCTCATTTTTACTGAGTTCCCCTCCAAATTCGAAGCTAACATGATGTCAATCGAATAGATCGCCAACGAAGTTTCCAACCGCCAGACACCGTATGTACTTCATTCTATCTTTTTGCTTTCACTCTGAGACTAATTTCCCCTTCCGATTAGTTCCCTTGTCGGATTCAGCGCTAGAAGCAGACACATCGGTGAAGCCGCGAAGACACAAGAGACCTCCAACCTCAAGAACACTGTTGGCAACCTCAAGCGCCTGATCGGTCGCGCATTCAGCGACCCTGAGATTGCGCTCGAGCAGGAATTCAGCGTCGCGCAGCTCTGTGACGTCAATGGCCAGGCCGGTGTCGAGGTTAGCTACCTGGGCAAGAAGGAGAAGTTCTCCGCCATCCAGCTGGTCGCCATGTACCTGACCAAGATTCGCGACATCACCTCGAAAGAACTGAAACTCCCCGTCACGGATGTCACACTGAGTGTTCCCGCTTGGTTCACCGACATCCAGCGCCGCGCTATGCTCGATGCTGGTGAGATTGCTGGCCTCAAGATTCTCCGATTGATCAACGACACCACCGCTACCGCTCTCGGATACGGTATCACCAAGCTTGACCTTCCCGGCCCTGAGGAGAAGCCCAGGAGGGTCATGTTTGTCGACATCGGTTACAGTGACTACACTGCCACCATCGTCGAGTTCCGCAAGGGTGAGCTCAACGTCAAGGCCACTGCCTGCGACCGTCACTTCGGTGGCCGTAACTTCGACAAGGCCCTGACCGAGCACTTTGCGGATGAGTTCAAGGAGAAGTTCAAGATCGACATCCGCAGCAACCCCAAGGCCTGGGCCCGTACTATCGTCGCTGCCGAGAAGCTCAAGAAGATTCTGTCCGCCAACACGGCTGCTCCCATGAGCATCGAGTCTCTTATGGAGGACGTCGATGTTCGCGCGATGGTCAAGCGTGAGGAGCTGGAGGAGATGGTTAAACCTCTTTTGGACCGTGTTACTGTTCCTCTAGAGCAGGCCCTTGCCGAGGCCAAGCTCAAGCCTGAGGACATCGACTTCGTCGAGATGGTTGGTGGCTGCACTCGTGTCCCCGCCATCAAGGATGCTGTCAACAAGTTCTTCGGCAAGAACCTTTCCTTCACCCTTAACCAGGATGAGGCCATTGCCCGTGGATGTGCTTTCAGCTGCGCCATCCTCTCCCCCGTTTTCCGTGTCCGTGACTTCTCCGTTCACGATATTGTCTCCTACCCCATCGAGTTCACCTGGGAGCAGTCTCCCGACATTCCCGATGAGGACACCAGCCTGACGGTGTTCAACAAGGGCAACGTTATGCCCTCAACCAAGATTCTCACTTTCTACCGCAAGCAGCCTTTCGACCTCGAGGCTCGCTACGCCAACCCTGAGGGTCTCCCTGGCAAGGTTAACCCTTGGGTTGGTCGCTTCTCCGTCAAGGGTGTCAAGGCCGATGCCAACGATGACTTCATGATTTGCAAGCTCAAGGCTAGACTGAACCTGCACGGTATCCTCAACCTCGAGTCTGGATACTACGTTGAGGACGTCGAGGTTGAGGAGCCCGTTGAGGATGAGAAGAAGGAGGGTGATGTAAGTCACCAAAACCAGTTCTCGCTTTAGTCTTTATACTAACAAACTGCTAGGCTATGGACACCGATGCCGCCGAGCAGCCCAAGAAGACGCGCAAGGTCAAGAAGCAGGTCCGCAAGGGCGACCTCCCCATCTCCACTGGCACTGCCCAGCTTGAGCAAACTCTCAAGGACACCTGGCAAGAGCGCGAGAACTCCATGTACATGGAGGACAAGCTGATTGCCGAGACTGATGAGAAGAAGAACGAGCTTGAGGGTACTATCTATGAGATGCGTGACAAGATCGACGGTGTCTATGCCGAGTTCGCTAGTGAAGAGGAGAAGGACAAGCTGCGATCTAAGCTAACCGACCTCGAGGTATGCTTTTCCTTGACAAATTATCGTTTATGACAAAGGCTAACTTGACACAGGACTGGCTCTACGAGGATGGCGAGGACGCCACCAAGTCCGTCTACGTTGCCAAGCTTGATGAGATCCGCTTCGTTGCCGGTCCCATCATTCAGCGCCACCGTGAGAAGCTCGAGGCTGAGCGCGAGGCTGTTCAGAAGGCCGCCGAAGAGGAGGCTGCCAAGAAGCGCGCTGAGGAGGAGGCCAAGCGCAAGGCTGAGGAGGAGGCCAAGAAGGCCGCCGAAGAAGCTAAGAAGGCTGAGAACCCAGACGCTGAGATGAAGGATGCTCCCACCGAGGGCGAGGCTGCTCCCGAGAACGCTGAGGCCGACAAGCAGTAAACGGACCGTCGAACATATCGCATCTCGTGAGTCATCGAGACGTTAATCGCCATGAATTCACTCAATTTTGCCGAATTACCCTTTTATACCTTTTTCCACTCCATGAAACGACGGCAGTAGAACGATTTTCATTTTATCTGTTTTGTTGATGAAGCTTTATTTATACGAGATGCTGTGTGGTCGGGTCAAGCCACGGCTTGCTTCGCTGGACAGGCATCGTGATGACGAGATGGAAGGATTAGATCTCAGGCATGTGGATAGACCGTTGGCGAAGAAAAGTTCATGAGTTCGCTAATACTAGAGGATTTAATACCACTTGCATACCCATACTCTTGATGCTTGGGTGGCAGTTCGCCCAGCCCAGGTTTTCAAGTACTTCCAGTGGCACCCGCTTTCTAGGCGAAGCATGATCTACATAGTACAGACAGGCCTTGCACCGCGGCCGCGAGTATTCCGTAAGGAGCTTAACCAAATCTACATAGTATAATGGCTCCTCTCTTTTGCTCTTTTTCTCCAGTGTGCTTGTTTGTTCTATACTCCGCAGGTGGTACTGTTTGTTGCGCCATGTAGGAGCTTGGTGTTCCTTCTAGGATATATATATATTTCCATCGATTCCATTTATTTTCCTGCCATACACGTAACATGCGGCTTACCAGGCCCGTTGTACCATTGTATCACTCAAAGCTGAACCGTATCCCAAACAAACGCCCAGATTTGCCCCTTCCGCGATCCCCGAGCCCTAATCTCGGCTGGAAGACCGCGAGCCTGCGACAGTCTACAGAGATTATTGGTACAACGTCCCAGAGCTGGAATACGAGCCCTGTCACTCATCCGATCCCATCCTTGCAACAAACATACCTGCCAACAAGCACTCTAATTATCGAACAGCATGCAACATTGCCTTTTTCTCGCATCCAGTCTCGCCGCCTCGCGACCGCGTTGGAAGATTTTTCAGTGCGGGTTCCCGAGCACTGGCCAGCGCCGAAGTGACCCGAACACGGTTGCGAAGATGAGGCAAAGCAGACCACCTTTTTTATCATGGGTAAGGCATACAGCCGGCCTAGGAGCGTTTGCCTGAAACATCGAGAAGAACCGCAGCATGCTCGATGAAGGTTATTTTGTGAAAGGTCCCTTCGATTTTTGGCACATTGGTAGATCGAACCCAGCACAAAGCAAATGTCCTCTGGTCCCGTAGCTTAGTCGGTTAAAGCGTCAAGCTTATAACTTTCTCAAGAGGGAGTCTTGGCGATCGCGAGTTCGATCCTCGCCGGGACCAGTCTTTTTTTGCTCTTCACTCTGTCTTCATCCCTTTTTACCCACTCACTCGCCACGAAAATTAGCATATAACCCAGCGCTTAGCCATGCGCAGTCCTGCTCTTACTGAATGAATTCCTGCATGGATGGGTTTCTTTCGAGAACGCGGACTTAAAAGCCTTACACGGGGGTAAAAGTGGGGAACACGGAAGAGGTAGGATGGCACGCGAGCCAGAAAATAATGACGATCAGGATAAAAAGGATGCAAGGTTCTCAAAATCCGGTGGACCCTGATTTGTATACCGTACAGTGTCCTTTCCTCTGCTGGCCACAGACTTCAATATACAACCATAGTCATAATCCTAGCAACGTATGCCAATGTCGCTGTCGCCCATCGGCGGTCATGATACGCGGAAAGTTAATTGCGCAGCCTAGACAGAACAATAATCAATCTAGCTGAAGGTCAGTTCCTGAACCCCTTCTCCCCAGTGGAGCCCTCCAGCTTGGACCAGAGATTGGCAGGAGACCTCGGCTTCCAGCGGTCTTGACGTCCCTTTTCTGCTGGTTGCCCTGTCACTAACCCCTCATGCTCCTCCCCTGTCAATCCTCCGTCTTCTCCTCCTACCTCGACACCGTCCCATCTACTCTCGCTATATCATTCTTATTTTTGTCCTCTCATTCGATCTAGGCCTTCTATCTCTGTCGCCAGCCTTCTTTCAGAGCGACTCGAGTCGGCCTTGCTATCCGAGAGCCTAAATAGCAACAATTTTCTCGCCTCGACCTATCACCAAATTCTATCTTTAGGCTTCATCTTTATCTCTTCGGACTATAAAATTCCACTCTCCTTTACAGCAGAATGCAAATGAGAACGTGACGGTCCTAGACTCACCTATAACCTACGACCCCTTCCGACTCGAGATGAACCCCCGGGGGTTACTGGCATTTGCCAGTACAGCATGGATCGCAACGGCCCTAGCGCTTCCGAATCATTTCTCGGACACCGCATCAAAAGCCAAAATCCACGGCAGCGTCCTCGGTGCTGCCGTCGACCTGAACGACCCGTTATACCTATGGAACACGTACGGTCTGAACACAACGGAGGAGTACAAGTACTTCCAAGAGCCAGGGAATGATGAGATCAACGCCCACTACGACTCGCGGTTCTTCAAAGAGCCAGTACCGAAGGAGCAGCGCTCGCAAGTTCTGACGCACATCATCCACTCGTACTTCGAATTCTTCAACGGCCACAAGTTGGAGACTTGGCTTGCTCATGGGACATTGCTGGGATGGTGGTGGAACGGCAGGGTATGCGCATTTGATCTGTGATAGTTATGTCACTTTCTCACGGTTATAGATTATGCCCTGGGACTGGGATATTGACACCCAAGTCTCCGAAGCCACGCTCTTCCGCCTCGCCAACGAGTTCAACGGCACAGTGGCCGAATTCAATACCACTAACCCCGATGCGCAACATTCCTACCTTCTTGACGTCAATCCTTGGGCGCGGCAACGTGATCGCGGGAAAGGGCTGAATATTATCGACGCTCGGTGGATCGATATGCAGACCGGTCTATACATCGACATCACGGGGCTCAGCCAACTGAACAAGGAGAAGCCAAACGAGTGGGGGTGCAAAAACAACCACAACTACCTGCTGAGTGATATATACCCGCTGCGTGGATCGTTTTTCGAAGGCGTGGCAGCCAAGGTTCCGTACCGCTACGAGGAGGTCCTTATTGACGAGTATAGCCGAAAGGCGCTGACGGAGACGCATTACAACCAGTTAGTACCGAGTCGATGGTAAATGGATAGCAGCTAACTGGTGCAGTCATACTTGGAATGCGACACTCGAAGAATGGATCTCCGACGAGGTGATCGAAGCCGAAAAGGAGAAGGAGAAGGATAAAGAGAAAGAAGCGGATAAGGACGATCGTCAGTACGAGTAGTCGTCTTTGTCTGTTCAGTTCGGTCTATAATCGCATGTGTAACCGTCACGTTTGCGCCGGTGCCGTCTGTATAATATGGGTATGGAGTTCAGGGACAGGAGTTACGGCTGGGTTGCATTGCTGAGGATTTATGGGTCTATTATTCAGCTAGGATATTAATATACTATATTGGTATGCGGGCACTTAAACCCGTAGTCATATACATACTCCGTGCTGTTTACTCTGTATACTCCTTCAGGAGATTATCTCCGTACAATCTCCGGCTGACTAACCCAGCGTGGAAAGCGATCGAAGATCGGCGGATTCATCATCATCGCCTCTGCCTGCCTGCTCTCACCCTCTATAAGACCATCTCGTGCGCCCGTTGCGCTGTCCGTATCTCGACATGTCAGCGCAACTTGCAACTGGCAACATGGCGGACCCAACACAACTAACGCTCTCAATCCACCACCGCGGCGCCACCCACCCCCTCATCCTCCCCGCAGACGCAACGCTCCAAGACCTCGCAACAACCCTCGCCTCAACTTTCCACGTCCCCCTCGAAAACCAGAAGCTCCTGATCGCCCCGAAGCCAGGCATGCAACGCGCCCCCTTCGCCCCAACCCCCCTTTCAGACCTCCTCCCACTCGACAACCCAAAGCTCAAGATAACCCTCCTCGGCACACCCACAAGCGAAATCAACAGCCTAAACACTCAAGGCTTAGAGACCCGCCGACGAGAAGAGAAGCGCGCCGCAGCCCACGCCGAAGCGCGCGCACACTCTCGCACCTCCACCCCAACCCGCTCATCAAGCGGCATCCACACCCTAAGCAGCACAGCCAATGCCAACACCTACACCTTCCACGCCCTAAAACCCCTCCCGTACCTCCCGAACCCCTCGCGAAGCCTGCACTTCCTCACGCGCCTGCGCGACGACCCAGGCATAAAGGCCGCCATGGCAAAGCACCGCTTCTCCGTGCCTCTATTGACGGAAATGGATCCGGCGCAACACACAACCTCCGAGTCGCGAACGCTGGGATTAAACCGGAACAAGGGCGAGGTTATTGAGCTCCGGCTCCGCACGGACGCATACGATGGGTATCGCGATTACCGCACCATCCGGCGCACGCTGTGCCATGAGCTTGCGCACTGTGTGCACAGTGAGCATGATCGGGATTTCTGGGATCTCACGAAGCAGATTGAGGGGGAGGTCGAGAGGGGCGATTATAAGAGTGGGGGGCGCATGGCAGGGGGAGACGAGTTCTATAACCCTGGTGATTGGGAGGTTGAGAGGGAGGGCGGGCATGTTTGTGATGGGGGTGGGGTTGTTGGGAGTTCGCAGGTTCTCGGAGGGGGGAGGGGCGATCGGGTTGGTGGTGGTGCTGGGGGGATGAGGGAGGTTCTGGCTAGAGCGGCGGAGGAGAGGGCGAGACGGGCGAAGGAGGAGAAGAGGGATGGCTCTTCTTGATGTTCGTTGTTAGATCATTGTTGTTTGCATTTATTTTTAGCGCTATACCCATACATACCCATACAGGTTTTTTGGACATGAACAACTTGAGATTGACAACTATACACATATACAATGATGGACAGCAAAAGCATTAAGCCTGCTCATTAACAAACAGCCCAGCCATCCCCTGCCCAGTGCCAATACACATACTCGTAACCAGCACCTTCGCTTTTGTCCTCCGCGCCTCGCTCAGAATAGTAGCAATCTGCCTCGCGCCTGTCGCACCAAGCGGGTGTCCCAACGCAATGGCACCACCCCTAGGGTTCACCTTCGCATGATCCAGCCCCAGTTTCTCGACGCAGTAAACCACCATCGACGCAAACGCCTCATTGATCTCATAGATATCAACATCATCCTTGTCGATGTTAAACTTAGAAAGGAGCTTCGGGATCGCAGCCGTAGGCCCAATGCCCATAACACGGGGCGGGACACCAGCAACCGTCGCACCGACGAATTTCGCCAGAATCGGCTGACCCAGTTCAATCGCCTTGCTGCGTCGCATGAGCAAAACCGCCGCAGCCCCATCCGTAACCTGGCTCGAGTTTCCGCCGGTACTCTTATCGCCGAAGTCCGGGAAGGCCGGACGAATCTTGGACAGGGACTCAACGGTCGTGCCGTAGCGCACGCCGTCATCCTTGGAGAGCGTCACGGACTTTTCCTCGCCGGTCTTGGGGTCCTTGACGCGTGTCGTGATCGGCACGATCTCGTCATCGAACCAGCCCGCCTTCTGCGCGGTCTCCGCCCGTCGAAACGACTCCGCCGCATACACATCCTGCTGTGCCCGACTGATGTTGAAGTCCTTGCCGACATTCTCGCTCGTCTGTCCCATCGGCTGCATGCAGTCCGCAGCCTCCTGGTTCTGCAGGACCTCACTGTTGAACGGCTTATTCAGACGATCTCCACCCGCAGACATGAGTTCCGCGCCGACCGCAACGCCCACATCAATAGCGCCGAGTGAGATCTGGTTCGCGATATCCTGCACGGCCTTGAGGCCCGAGGAGCAGAAGCGGTTCACGGAGGATGCACCAGCCGTGTGCGGGATTCCGGCGGCAAGAGAGGCAGCGCGGACCAGGTAGGCGGCCTTTCCGTCGTTGACGTTGCCGAGGCAGACATCTTCGATTTGGGAGGGGTCGATTTGGGATTTGGCGATTACTTCTTTCAGCAGGGCGTAGACGAGGTAGTCGAGTTCTGTGTCTTTGAAGCCGCCCTTTCGGGATTTTGTGAGCGGAGTGCGGAGGGAGAGGGTTATTACGACGTCGTCGGGATTCTTCTGCGAGCTGAGCAAGAATAGAGATTAGTTCTGTTGTTCTGCTTGCTAGTGTATACGGAGTATGCGTTGGTGGCGACTTACATAGCGGCGACGCCCTTATTCCCGGGGCGGAGGTGGGAAAGGATAGAGTTTAGGCGTTCAGCAGCCATTTTCTGATACCTTCTCGGATGATTGTGTGTTTTAGGTGATGAAAGAAAGGGTGGATAGGGGTTGAAGAGAAGAAAGACAGATAGGATTGAGACAGAGGAGGAGTTGCCTCTTGATGATGGGCCGAAATCTGGGGCCGAGGGGAAGCCGAGGCATCTTTCTAATCGCGACGTTATCCGAGCGGCCAATCGGATAACAATTCGACTGGACCCCACCAGCTGGGAGTTTGTCACCCAGACTGAAGAATAAACTCTACCTGCGGTAGCACTGGAAACGATTCATAGTAATTAATGATACCCTACGGTTGTAGGTGTCTCCGTATGTCGGGTATGTAATCATCAACTGGCGTACATCCTAAACAGTCTCCAAGAAGCAGCAATGTTTATGTACGTGCGTAGCACCAGGCATTAGTATACTGGGGTGCAGACATTATATCGGAAGACAATTCGTATGTAGGTGATGCCGGTCTTATTCTTTCTGAACAGTCTTGATCCCGCCCTTCCAAATTTCAAACTCCACTTCGTTCTCGAATTCGGACTGTCCAGGTACAGACCCGCCCGCCCATGGAGAAAAGACCAGCTTCATGGTACGCTGGATTGCATGTTCAATAAGCCGAGGTGGCGACGGATATGAGGCTTTAGGTGCAGCTTTTGAAGCTGCTGGAGCAGGAGGTGTACTTGGTCGAGTTGACTTCTCCTCAAAACGAGGAGCCGTGTTCATTGCAGGCTCTGTACTAGGCGGTTCGTCTTGTTGTCTTGGAAAGACGCCCCGCGGCTCTGGGGTGTATTTCTCGTCCATAACAGGGTCAAGATTAACTGGCCGGGAATACTTCTTTAGTGCAATTCGGCATGCGATTTGGGTGGCCCAAACGAGTCCTAACGTCGGAGTTTTAAGAACGGGGCGCTGGAGACCACAGTAGGCGCTCTCAACTGAAGACTGAGCAGTGTCTCCCCATCCAGTGAAAAAACGTTGTTGATGTTGTAGGCTTAGGATCTCATTTCGCATCGGATTGCCCACGAGGTATGACCCATCGAAGTGTGGCTGGTCGTCTTGCGTGGACGAAGGCGATGTTGACAAGTTCGATGTGGAGTGGTGAATAGCAAGGCTATGTTGATTCAACTTAACATTCCCTGGCTCGGATGGCCGCATTCGAGACAGAGGCGATGCGGTTGTCTCCCGGTCAGGTCCGGGCTGATAATCTTGTGCTTGGTGCGCGGCGGGAGAAAACCTCGATGTCCGATTCCCGGGTACTTGAGTAAAATGCAAGGGAGCGTCTCCCTCAAACCGATCTGAGACTTGGTTGGCGACGACAATGGCAATGTCTTCGCTAGCTGCCAAGTTACGCAACATCTGACCGAGTTTGGTGAGTTCTCCGGAGCGGCTCGACAGGCCCGATAAGTCGTGGGAAGTATGTTCGGCTCGGTAGTTAGAGGTGATAGAGTCAATAACAACGAGACCGACATTGTACCGCTTGATAGCGACGGGCAGCTGGTAGCTCAGAATGTGGTCCTGGCTCTCCAGGTCCATTGCATTGATAGAAAGGATCCTCTCCAGAGAAGGGGCATCGTCACGCGAAAGAGTTGATAAATACGGATGAGACTCAATAAGCTGAGAAAGCCGATTCGTAGCAAGCGGAGCTTCCGTAGAGACATATATCGCGCTTCGGCCTGCACCTCGAGGTAGTTGAAGCTGCACGGCCAGCAATAGACCTAGCAGAAACTGCGTCTTGCCACTCCCGCTACAGCGCATCAGCCAACTCATCCGTATTTTCCCAGGTCATATATACCTTTCACCAGTCACTTCTGTCATATATCCAGTTGCGATGCCTCCGTTCAACAAGGTATCCAAGGTGGGGTCGAGGGTGCTGATCGTGCACCATTGTGACAGGTTGAGGTTGGTTCGCGGTCCTGCGATCAACGGCAAGTCGGAATCAGGGCTGCTATTGGGCTGTTCCTGCTCGGGACGGGGAGCTTCTTCGAACCCGACATCTTGGTGAAGGGCTTTGATGACTTGGTTGGCCAAACGGCGGACATCTGCGGGAGGAACGTGAGCGCGTCTCGCGATTTCGAGAGTATCCAGCGAGATGAGGTCGACTGTGTTGATTCGGCTTCTTTCAAGAGGCGGTATTATGTGCGAGTACGACTTTATCGAGAAATCAGGGAGGATGGATAGAAGATCCATGGAAGGGAGGCATGGAGAGAAGGTGAAGTTGGAGAAATCGGAGAAGTCGCGGGTATTTTGATGTGGGGAAGAGCAAATGAACAATCGCGTATCGCGTGTCCCCATATCATACCATCCTGGACCTCATAAGCTCAAGATATATTCAATTACAGCGACATCATGCCTAGAGTAGGGAGGAAGATGCGTTGTCCCAGGAATTGACGGTATGGCTTACCCATGGTGAGGGCACCAGAGCTTGGGTGGCCCCCGTCCAAAAATATATATATGAAGCCAAGTACAGCCTTATAGCCCTGGAGTATGCTAATGAATCTTTGAAGCGGAACAACACCATATGATATTCAATAAGACATCACATATCATCGTTCCCCCTTCTTTCATGAGGCTCTAGATCTTAGGTCTAGACAACATCCCGGTTGTGAGACACAGAAGCCTCAATTAGTTCTTCCATCATCGTGACCCCCATCACCACCACCAGGCCGAATCTGCCCATTGCTCTTCTTGACAACACTAAACTTCCCACCCAGACGCTCCTGAATCACTACCTGCTTCGGCCTGATAAAGAGAGGCTCGGTCTTCGCATGATACTCTTCGAGATACGGCCGTGTCATTCCGACCTACACAAGTCCGGATTAAGAAACGAAGCACCAGAGAATATCCATGATCAGGCGTCTTACCTCAGTCACCCACTCCCTTGATGCAGACCTAGTTATAGAAACCTTAACAATGATCCCAGCAGAGATCTACGTGAAGGGACTCACGTACCAATTCTTAAACATCAGAATCTGCCCCTTGTCCTCGATGGACTGGTGGATTTCAAACAAGGTGCAGTTTTCCTCCTCGAGGATCTTCTCGTATACGCTCCAGAGGGCATCAAGGAAGGTGGGGACGTCTTTTGGCTCCAAGTACACAGTGACCTGGAGCGAGACACCGGCGTGGTCGTGGGACATTGGTTCTTCTTGGTATTGAGCAGCGTGACGAAAAGGTAATGGATGATATGTGTGTGAAGAACGAAGCACTTGTCCAGGACTCAGCTGCCCTTATATAGCTTACTTACGGGCACTTTATAAAAGACATCCATGGCGCTACCTAGAGGGTAACTTTCATAGATAGCTTCAGAGTCACACAAGATCAATGGGGATCCGTTCTGTACGCGCAAGCTTAGTTGCACATCCAGACTTATATTGAAGGGATTAGATGCCCATTGGCTCATACTGAATGATTTTGACGGCGGGTCTTTGCCGCTCTTTCACTCACATCTCGTATACGCCCTGTTTCTGGGGACTGTGTGACCTGCACCTTCAACGAAAGACCGCGACTGCCAGCAAGTGGATGGCTATAATCGTGTACAAAACCCAGAGGAGAAGTTCTTAGCTTCTTCGGTTTGTCATATAAGTGATATCAGTTCTAAGAAATGGCTGTGCTGTATGGAGAAAAGCAGCATATAGCTATGCAGAGGCATTGTCTTTGCCAACTGCAAATGTCTTACTATGGGACTCAAGGCAGCCGGTAAGTTTCTCACAGACAATGCCTATGTAGCTATGCGCTTACTACCGTCTACGGCAACAAAATACACCTGGGAATGTTCCAAATGGCTAGCCAGGCTAGGTATGAGAATACTGAATGCCGAGATACTCTCAGGCCTTTGGCTACAAAACTTATATTGCCATCAAACCACGCAATGGTATAGGGAGCCTCAAGCATTTAAACGCCGGACAAGATAATATCTGCCCATCGCGTGGCCTGAGAATGAAAACTAGACCATGACCCTTAGCTACCTGCCGACTCTCAGAAATCATCACGTAGGGTGGTTCTGGTGGTATGTTCCAACTTCTCTAGTTATGAGGAGATGGCGAGGAAGACCTGCGTTAATCCGAAGCTGTGGCACAAAAGGAGTGCGCAACCGACTCAGGGCATAGTACACTGGAAGGCTGTATCACCAACGTAGTTCCAATAGTAGAATCAAGACAAGCCCGATCATAATCTGCTCTCCCGAATACCCGTTGGGTTAACCAGCGCGAACTCCGCCTCGCCCTTGACTACGTCCGCCAAGGTACTCGTCTTGAGAATCTGCTCCCAGAACTGCTGGATAGCACCCCAATACCGCTTCTCGTCTTCAACTATCAAAGCACAATGCGGGCTTTTATGAAATACCACACTTGACACATTATACCCTCGGATCCTTGCGTCGTCGAGATGAGCCTGCACCTCCTCCCATCGAATCGTCTCATCCGCTTTCGAGAAGAGATATAACCGCGGTACACGAGAAGAGATCACCAGGCTATCATTCAACTGCTTCTGCATCTTGCTGATGGGGCTTGTGATGCCTAGAGTCTGGAGCCCGGTTATTACCCCTATTGTGGGGAAGAGCAATGCCTTGCTCATTAAATGGATGGGCAGGGACGCCGGCGGTAGGGAGTAGACGCTGGCTTGGTAGTTGCGCATGAAGGTTGTGTCTCCGGGGCAGCTGTCGAAGACGATTCCCTGTAATGGGAGTCTGCAAATGCCGCTTGGATGCCCGGGATCCTGCATGGAGAGAATCAATTGGATGGCAGTGTTGCTGCCGCCGTGAGAGAATATATGCAGGAGAACTCCGTTAGGGTTTTTCTCGACATCGCCTGCGTCTTGACCTAGAATCTGGCGAATGACTTTCCGTGCCGCCTGCAATCGAGCCCGAATAGCGCTGAACGAGCGAACAGTGATATCAATCATGTCGGTCATGATAAGAAGGATAGCAGACCCGGGGAAGAGCTGACGGTGATAGCCCACGTATTTGCTTATCCGTCGAGGCGTTGCACCGCCCAACCAGGTGCACATAACAACGAGTGCTGGGTTTCCATTGGGAATGGTGCGATTGCCCGTCGTGGACGGGTGATATAACCAGATGTTCTTGCCAGCAGGCTCCAATGGATATAGGGGGTTCATTTTCGGCGTGTCGGACGTATGCGATGCTAGCCGAGGAGAATGGGAGGGACGAAAATGAGAAGGCCAGGTTGCGAAACACTGAAAGGAAAGTGGAAGCCGGAGAAGTCATCCCTTGTTTTTAGTTGAGACATGCATCCTGTGCTCAATCAAGAGCTCCAAAAAAGAAACACCTGTGCGGCTTTAGCAATGCAAGGCCGGTGAGGCGGAATTGAAGACCGGTTGCCAGCGAAGGAGTGACAAATATGACTATTCAAACCACCACACTGTGTTCTCTGACGGACCCGAGAACGCAGCACCCTTTGGTGAGCAGTCTGGCCATGGCCAATCCGGTTCCTAAAGACATCCAAACCGCAGGATTTGAGCGAAGGATAATCGGGCAATCGACGCCTCTTGTATTTGTCAACGCAAAAATCATTACCCCTCATTCCCCATCAAATACCGTATGGAGTGGGGAGATTCCGGGGCAAGTCAGGACCCCAAATTCCCCAATTCCTCTTAGTTATGACAGCCCCTTCTTGAGATGTGAATAAGGTTCCTACTCCGTTGCCAAGATATTAAGGAAGCGGGCATGAATCATGAGGTGCAAATAAAAATTGAGAATTTGCTATGGCGGTATTTCTTGTCCAGCGGGACGGAAAGGTGCAGGTCCAGGCTTTGGAATGCTCGGCAATACTCCGGAGTCTTGGGCTCGGAGATCCTCGATCTGGATCTGAATGCACTCTGAGAAGATCTTGGTTCGTCGTCGAATTCTTGGGAGAACACCGTACCAAGTGGGCGGCCGGTGGCGAAAGGCTCTTGATTCTCTGGGACAGTGGACTGGACCCTGACGACGATCATTGAATCTTGATTTACTGTAAGCAGCCTGAGCGGGGACGATCGCGCGTAGAATTTGTCATGTTGGATTCCATTCTTGTCGGAGAGTTGTTGTCTATGGTACCATATTTGTCAGATCTCAAGGTGCCTTGCTTCTAGAACTCTGACGCTTGCCTGCCATTTGATACTCGGGTTCGCTCAGTTATCAAAGCAACCGAAAGTTTCTGTGAACGAGCACACCGTAACATTATCTCCTTGCAGGCCTCGGCTCTAGATTCCGGCTTGCTTGGCCAGTTGTCGCGTGGGTGTGCCGAGTAAAAAATGAAGAGACAGATGCCTAATTATACACTCCAGACTTCCCCCGCATCAGATAATTGAGCTTAGTATCTGCGGAGTCGATCTGCATTGACTGGAGAGTATCCTCAGGAGCCTTGGTGCAAAGTAATATTCCAACTACGCATGGAACCGCGTGCTCAGTTTCAGGGTGCATGGATGTAGGTATTCCGTACATTCCAGCAAACAGTCTGGACGTAGATATCGGCATGCTGTCAACCACGCAACATGACAATCAAGTCCAGGCTCAAATTCGGTGTGGGAATCGCGGAAAATAGAAAAAGGTGCTGGCGGCACTGGCCGCTGGGGAATGCGCCCGACAATGCAGAAGTAAGATCCTGAGAGACCGTGAGACTCGAGAGCCCGCTACGTAGCACAAAAAGTGGGCATTTTTCTTGCGCCCCTTGCTGTAAGCAGATTGTGTAGTACAAGTGCAACACTAACCTGCCCCGGTGAGATAGCCGAGCCTGCTTGCCTACTCCGTACGGAGGAAGTTTTGGCAAGCGGCCTCATGAAGCGAAAAGTCAAAATTCGTGCGGCAGAAGAGCGGAGTAACAGTGTATGAGAACCGACGAAGGTTACCCCGATTTGCGTGCGAGGCGCTGTGGCATACAATTTGGAGCTTCAAGTTGTCAACGGCCCAAGCGCATGATGAGCAACCTTGCCGCAGCAGCTGTCAGACCCCGAGTCTCGGAGAGACAGTCAGATGAAGAAGACAAGAAGTACAGGAGTGCGCCCAGACTCCGCCTAGGCCCTAAGCTCAAGGCTGGGAAGGTGGCCCGGGCTGATATTCGATGCATCAGCAGCGACGGTTGCCAAGAGAAGCCATTTCTGTGCGAGGTTGTCGAATCATAAGAACGAGTGCAGCTAGTTGCCTGATAGATCATATTCTCCATCACATCACGGCCCGCTTGGAGGGAGTAACGGCGGCTAGAGCATTTGGGGCTAGAGGGTGCAGCCCGTTGGTCTGGACTTTGTGAGGAGTCATGTAACCACCGGAGTTGCACAGCCTGCTGCTTCTACTTCTGACTCAGATTGGGAACCTGGGGAAATTATGCTGGAGCCTGGATACATAGGCAGTGTAATGCACACCTGGGGGTGGGAACCCATATTTTAGGCCAGCTGTGTAACCGGGGTCTGGCCGGCCACTCAAAGGAGACTCAGATCTTCCTGCTTATCTGGCAATGGCATGGATGTGCTGAATGAACAAAGATGAGTCCTCGTCAGAAGGCACGGTGCCACGGATTATGGAGGAGAGACGCCGTCGATGCGCTGTGCATTTACTGTATCGCGGCATCGCCCAGCAGTAATATGAAGCCGCCCATTCGGATTGCTCCCAACATGCAGGGCCCTTGACGCTAAGCATGGGGTTGGCTCGGCTAGAGGACTCTCATCTCTCAAGGAGGGTGCGCGCGCTGCTCGGTCAATTTGTTCGCCATTTCGCGACGACTGTACGGAGGCACGGAAGAAGCAAATCAAAGTCGTGGTGTAATCCAGATGCGGTCGTGTTCCAACCGTTGAGATTTATCATTTCAGTATCGTGTCGGTGGTCAGACTTGAGGTGTGACGACGATTCATGCCGGGTAGATCCGACAATGCGGTTACTGGAATTGGCTTGAGTTGCAACTTGCAGCCTGCAGTCTGCATATTATTCTTGGAAGTCTTGCAGGTGATCAGGTTGCCTTGATATCAGAGGTGACGAGGCTTGGTCTCGCCGTGAGGTTGGGACCTGAGTCCTGACTCGCAGCCAGGAACACCCACCTGGTCAATAATTGAAGGACTCCGAGCCCTGGAATCTGTAACAACCGTCGACCGGACTGGCGAGAACTGGAGGGATGAGAATTAATTTAATTTCATTTTCCAGTCCAAGATGACTCCAAGATGACCGACTGGGAGCTATCCACGAGGCCCACCCTGGCCGGTCCGCTCCGAACAGAGTGGACCATTCCTGAAGCAGGAGGCTATGCTGGGCTAGACCAAAGTGTCCAATCATGACTGCTGGTTGAATCCAGGCCACTTCGCGTATTTGATCGACGCCCTGGGGCCGGGGCCCAGACTTGCCCTTGTCATTAGAGATGATTGGTGAACTCTTGGTCTGACTCCTGTTGCCCGTGCCCCTGGCTTGTCTCGTCTTTGACTGGCGATTTAATCTCGCAAGCATGCAACGAGGAGCTTTTCTGTTTGGATGAAAATTATCCGCTCCCTGAGGGAGAAGCGCCTTTGCTGTATTCCGTAGGCGCCCAAGAAACCCCGGAAATTCCGAGAAGCTGGCAAATCCGAGGTGACGGTTTAGCTGTTCTCAGCAGGGTCAAGACTGGGCGCAAAGAACAAACTCCGTAGCTCTCCCATCCCATTGTTCTATTGCTGAGCTTTTGGCCTGGTAGACTAGCAGTGTTGACGAAGTACTCCGTAATCCTTCAATTTCAGCTTCTCCCGACGTTCTGGAGCAGGAGCTATCCTGAAACTGACACCGCTTCGTTCTTATTTCCTGCCAGGTTCCCCCAGCCTCACTTGTGCTTTGTAGGCTTGTAGCCTTAACCTGTGGAGCAACTGGAGTTGATACCTGCCACTATCTTCGGGAGAAGCTACGGAATGGGCAAACCAAGGCTCCAAGCTAAAGGCACGCACTGACCACTTCTGAGGGAACCAGACTCTGGGAATGCTCTCGATCCGCCGCGTCGGGTCCGAAATCGAATACATTTCGGCAGCGAACAACGAAATTGTGCTGTGCAGTGCTTGCGTGGATCAAACATGATCTCTCTCCTTGCCAAAGCAACCTCGGAACTCCTGCCTCTAAGCGACCTCAGCCACGCCATTTCCAGCCAGGAATGGAGGCCAGACCAAGAAATTGCCCAGCCTTGACTGATGAGCAAGACCATCGATTAGGGTTTCCTTCCGTGTCGCCGGCCCTTGATGAATCGGCCGGAGGATGCACCTATCGCAAGACTCGAGGCCGTCGTGGAAATCGACTGGTAGAGCGAGCCAAAGCCACGCTAGTCTTCCTCAAGCATAGCGCGCTCGGACCCCGCTTAGTCAACCGGCGATGGCCGTCAACTATTCTTTGTCGGGTCTAGCTTGGAAGCTTGCTCTGGCGTCATGCCAACCGCTCGTGTCATGAGCGGAAACACGGACCTTGCCAAGCCTCTAATAGAGCCCTAGACGGAGTCTTTTAATTTAGATTCTCTGCTGAATCGGGATTATTTCAATTTTCCTGCTTTTTTTTACTCCGAGCCCGAAGACCCAAATTCCCAGCGACGAAGCCACGGGCCCACGACTGCGGCCCATCGAACTCTACCGCAGCCCGCAACCCAATCATCAGGCGCCGGTCCCCACCCCTCTTCTCCCCTATCTGCACCCACCGCGCTGGTCGGGAGCCCACCACTGTTCAGGAATCAGGATTCCTTGTTGTGATTCTTCACGACTTTGCCTGGGAACTTGGAAGACAACAAAGAACGCGGAAATTAGCTGGTAGCAGCACGAATAAGAGCTCTCAATTAGAAAAGAGCTATCTAGCTATTTACTGTAATAATAATTTAGGATTCGTCGCAGCCAGAGTTTTTGACAGCTGACGTGAATGAATTTGTTCTAACTTCTGGGGATCTTCGTCTCGGTCAGGTCGATCCATCCCCGGCCGAAGTACTTAATGTTCGTTAGTTCAACTTATCTAGCGCCCACCGGTGTCGTTGCGATAGCGTAGGTGGTCGTCTTCCTTACACGGCTGACTTTGCCGTTTTCTGTCCCTCTTTTATCGCTGCCTCCCCTCTCTCCATCTCTCCATCTTGCAGCTTTCACTTTTTCGCGTGATCGCTTGTCCGTCAAACCTCCTCCCTATTCCCTTCCATCCCCGAAAGGGACAAGCCGTGGGCTGTTCATCCCATCCAGCCCATCTTGTCTCTTACTCGTCTCCTCTCCCTCTTTACTTTCTCGTGCCCTCCTCCCCTTCGAATCGGACTCTCGTTGTACGCAGTATTGTCGCACGATATACCTCGTTGGGTTTCTCAGCCATACTCACATCTGGCTGTTGTCGCTCTGTTGTTCGTGTCGGCTGCCACACCAAGCTGTCGGAACAGTAGATCGAGTAGTACAGGTCAATCATCAGTGTACGTTGCGTCCCTCAATCGCGACTGTGGTTATAGTTACCCTTCTAATACAAATTGCAATCAGATTTCTAGAGTATATCGCATTATCCTGTCGAAATGGCTACGCTTCCTGGACCACCGCCGCCGCTCAGCATCTCGCTCAGCGAGTCTGGCAATACCAACTCTGTCAGCCGAATTACTCGCGAAGGAAAGAGGATCACGTACAAGATGAGCATAATGCAGCAGCCAAAGCGTGCGAGAGCTTGCGGTCAAGGTTCAAAGTGTATGAAAAGAGCACTGGAAGGTGTGATTAGAATGCTGATCGAGTTGGATAGCGCACACCGATCGCCGCCCTGTTGATCCTCCGCCAGTCATCGAACTGAACATCTTCGAGTCGGACCCCCATGACGACAGCCATAAAACCGATATCACATTCGTCTATCACGCAAATTTCTTCCTCTTCGCGACCTTAGAGCCCGAACGCCCGATGGCACAAGGCAGAATGTCCGCAAATCAAGTCAACAGCCAAGGCTCTCCAGTCCTGACGGGTGTGCCGGTCGCTGGTGTGGCATACCTGGACAAACCGAACCGAGCCGGATACTTCATCTTTCCTGATCTTTCCGTGCGGAATGAAGGTTCTTATCGCTTCAGCTTCCACCTGTTCGAGCAGATCAAAGACCCAAAAGACGCAACCGACGGAACACACCCTATGCCCGCGCCAGTTCCTGGGAAACTAGGGCCCCCACAGCAGTTCTTGGAGTTCCGGCTGGAGGTCGTGTCTAACCCCTTCATCGTTTACAGCGCCAAGAAGTTCCCTGGGTTGACCACGAGTACGCCCATCAGCCGCATGATTGCGGAGCAAGGTTGCCGTGTCCGCATTCGGCGTGATGTTCGGATGAGACGACGGGGGGATAAGCGGACGGAGGAATACGACTTCGACAACGACCGGGCTTACAACGGTCGCCCCGGCGATCAATATGCTGCGCCGGACGCTTACGCGAATGCTCCTGAACGTCCTCGGTCCACGAGTATCAGCACAGTCGACCTGTACTCCTACTCCTCTCGCCGTCCGTCAGCAGTGGAGTATGGCCACCCCGTTCCTCAGCCTTACCAGCGCCCCATGGCTTCTACTCCTGTTCAGTCTTCTACACCGATTCCTCCCCCGATCACGGTGCCCGGCCCAGTCGCACTCCCTCCTTCGACACCTTCACCCGCTTCCGCTCATGCACCCGCTCCGCCCACCGCTCATATTGCTGCACCCCCGCTACATACCCCGTCATATCAATCGCATTTGTCATTTGGTGCTACGCAGACACAGTACTCGGCACCACAGCTTTCTCACGCCCCACAGGCGACTGCGCCCACGTACCCCTACTCTCCTCGTTCTTCGATATCTCATGGCCGGAACCCATCAATAAGCCACGACTACGAGCCTTCTTCGATGAGCTATCCGCATCCGCCCTCACGAGCTCCAATGGAGCGCACAAATTATCCACAGCCACCGCAACCGACGAACCTGCCACCCCTACGCATCATGCAACCTAGCGAGGGACACTACCCACATGAACTTCCCAGGACTACTCGGGCCCAAACGCCCTCGAATATGGTCACGTCTCTTCCTCCGATTACTACCTTTTCTGACTTCTCTTCAACAACGCCTCAACCGTCAAGCAGCATTGGCTCTAGCCCGGCGAATGAGAATGGCCCTGTCAAGGGCCTCTGGGATACCAACCCGATGCTGTCGAAACGGACATATGAGGAGTCATTCGGCCATGACGACCGACCACTGTACAACGGAATGCGGCCTGACAGTGAAGCTTATCCTGGAGTGCAGCGGAGACATTCCTACGAAAGGGCTTCACTCATTGATGGCCCCGATCAGATGGCTTACAAGCGCGCTAATGGACGAATGGTCTCGAAACCTGTCACCATGCATTGAACACTCAACCGGCGTTTAGTTATTATACCCCTTGGTGGGCTTCTGGAATAGGGAACGGCGTACAGGCGAAATGCTCGTTATTTTGATTTCAATTTCTTGCGGCCTAAAATGGTCACCTTGGTTTATATTCCCACGACTACAGATCCGATTTCCATATCTTCATTCTTCTCTTTGAAAGCTGTATATGATTCTTCCTTTACCTTCTTCGATTTGTAATTTGCCATTTTTTGATATAGCCAAGTTGATGTTATCCATTCCATCGGCATGGCTGGTCCTCCGGGCATTCTCACTACATGGAATCTTCCTACAAATCGGATCACTATCTGAGTTGAACTGTCTTACGATTGTAAGGACTGGATATATGTGCGCAATACAAGCAAGTCCACAAGACAGTTTAGTAGTTTTCATCATTGAGCCCAACTATACTTGTGATTTTGATTAGGATCTCCTAGGAATGAGCCATAGAATGCCTGTGCATAGAAGCATTCAAGCGGTCAACAACCTGCATTCCAACGAAGACAATCTGGAATGAATAATACAGTATATCTTGAGTGCTTAAAACTCCGAGCAGATAACAACAGAGATTTCATCTGACGTTGACCTGTGCGTCTTTTATTTCCCGTCTCTGCCGTCTCTGTACTTCTGGCTGTTGCTTGGCGACAACACCACCAAAACAACAAACATAACAAAACCCCTCCCCCACGCCCCGTCTCCAGTGCGGAGGTAGTTTCTCCCATTTCCACCACTTTTATTCCTGGTCGCACTATAAGATTGAGAATAGAAGAGAGAAAAAAGCAAGGAGCACGCATCCCATCGGTGCGGACTGCGGAGGTGAGTTTCACCCATCGCCGGGAAACGACCCTGTCCTACTCCCTTGCGCGACTTTGAGACACATGGACTGACAGTCAAACAATTCAGATGTCTTCTGCTTCGGCATCCCGAGCTGCCAACCGAAGCGCCGACATCGAAAACAACGACGCAGACCACCAGCTCCAGCGCTCCCTCGAGTCAACTTGCCGTTCGCCGGATCCCCGCATCGCCAGCTATTCCTCTCGCTCCAGAAACCAAGAATGGAACTCCAGTCGCATCAGCGTTGAGTCGGACTACTCATCTGAGGTATCAGGTCAGTTCGATGACGCGGAGGAACCGGAATCTTTGCACCCAGAGCACAAGGGCGTATCGGCGGGTGGGAAAGCGACTTCAAATAACTCTCCTTCTTCGCATTCGGTTAAGCGACAGCGGTCCAATGACTGGCCACGGCAGTCGGTGGAGAGGGAGACAGAGTCAACGGGACGGAGGGAACAACAGCAGCAGCAGCAGCAGCTTGCCTCTGGGGCCCCCAGGCGGTGGTTCGGTCACTACAGTAGGCATGCCTCGCCGGGAGCACGATCGCGATCACCGAGACATATGCGTCCTGGTCGTCGGTCCCGCTTTGTTGAGGGCCACATGAACGATACCGTGAGCGAGAAACCGCCTAGTATCTTCTTTCCAGACGAAGCGCGCAACGAAACGACGACTCGCGGGCTGACGAATCGAGGGTCTGGAATCTTCCGCTTTGGCAAGACCATTGCGTCCGCCTTCAACCCGTTTGGTGGCTGGAGCGTGTCTGAGATCTGGAAGGGCTCTCAAACCCAGGAAGGCAACCAGCCGGAGGAGGGCGCGGATGATCGGCTCCAGCAAGCGCAACTGGCATATGAAGAGCTAAAGCGGGCTGGGTACCAGGGTACTCAGAAGGGAAGTTATATCCAGAGCCTTGGAACCGGGGCGGGTGCCAGCCTCCCTGACCAGACATGGAAGTCTATCCAGGCGAAGATGGAGTACGGCAGTGCCAGCGGCAGTGGCGTCGCTCATCACTCGCGCCAAAGCTCCGGACAGAGTGAGAGTGTCCGTATTTCTATGAGCGGGAACTCGCTGCGTCCGACGATCCCGTTCCCTGATCTACGAAAGGCAAAGTCGTCGTTGGCGATTCCTTCCATAAAGAAACAAGACGGCATGTCGTCCTTACTGCAGCATATAGATAACCGTGGCCAGGAAGTTCGGCACCAGAAGTCCCGGAAGGACATGCAGCGGCAGGCGAAGCTCCTGAAGCGAGTCAGTAATCTCGAAGATAAGCTTGAACGGGCAAAGCGAGAGCTACGAGAACTTGCGGGGAAGGAAGATACATTGCCACGGGGTAGTCTCAACCAGGAGAGACCGTATCAGCGGAAATTCGTTCCAGGTGCTTTGCCCTCTTTACCCTCGGAAAGGCTACTGCACGAGTCCGAAACTACCACGCTACCAGAGACAAACACACTTCAAGTTCCCGAGACTGAGGATCAGGCTCAGATCCGCATAAGCAAGACACCACTCAAGTCTCCCAAGTCATGGCGGAAACCGTCCGAAAGATCCAGTTCTGCACACAGCCCGTCCCGCAAACGCAAGTCCCCGGACCCTGAATCCAGGAAGAAACAGGACCAATCTGATTCGCACGGACAGCCTCCGCCCATCCCACAGATCTATTCGCAACAGCCGCAGAAAGGGAAAGAAACCCAGATTCCAGGCCAACCAGAGACAGAGCCAGACTCAGCACTAGCGGAATCCGACATCAACCAAACACCCTTGCGCAAGCCGAAACTTCCCAAGAACGCTCGCAGTGATAGCCCTGGCTCTGTTGAACGAAAACAGAAACAGAAACGTAGCCCTGCGCCGGAGAACACTACCAGTGCATCACCGGCCGGAGATAGAGTTTCACCATCGGTGTCAACAAGCCGACCGCTCCGATCTACCTCTCGCAATCGTTCCGCAACTCCAGTGCTACGCATGAAACGCGGGAGGGGAGATCTACGCTCCACCGCGTCGCCTGGCCATGGACATGGTCGTGGTCGTAGCCCCGGCCCTAGCTTTGAGGACAACAAGGAGAACCAACATTACCAACACTACGAAGAAGGCGAGGATCATACTTCTGATGGTAGCCCTAGGAAAGTAGAGCAACAGCAGCCGCAGCCCCATGACGTTGAAGTTACTCAGCAGGATGAACCCGCAACTCCGAATTCCAACTCAACTCCCAGCAGGAGAAAAGCGCGGTACGAGTACATCCCACCCGTGCCTCCGCTCCCCAAGGATCTTGCTGCGACAGCGGCAAAGGTCGATCGCCGTTTGGCTAGGGAGATGGGCAAGAGGAGAGAACAGATGGAGAGGGACGGGACTGTGACTGCAACCATTAGGAAGGCTTCTGGCGGCTTTCAGTGGCCGGAGGAGTTCTTTTGACTATCTACGGAACGGAGTACTTTGGTTGATACTTGATTTCCATTTAACCCGGACAAAGTTGGGTGGTATTTATTTGCATGAAACAACGATGGATACTTGACAATATGTCAATCACGAATGTACATGAATGTTATGAACTGGGAATTGAATATACGTTGCTCATTCTTCAAAGCATCCCCGATTGATTATCTCAAGAAACCCTAGAAGATAGCCGTTGCATTCGGATGCGAGCTCACACCACCTGCATAAACGAATTAGCCTTACCTCCAACCACAGTAAGAGAAAAGAAGGAGAGAGAAGAAGGAAAACCCCACCAACAACATTCGCCGGCGCACTCGTCAAAAAGAACGTCCACCTATTCTGCCTCCTGCAAACCTCACTAACCCCCTCCAAATCCCACATCTCCCCAAGCGGCATCCCCCAAAGCGCAAGTATATTCTGATGCATGAACCCGATCTTCCCTCTTCCCCCCTCTGTAGCCGTCACAGGCCAGCACTCAAACGTCGGACTATCCCCCGCCACAGCCGCAAAGTAGCAATCGTGCAGCCAGTCCAGGATTGACTCTTCCTGCTTGAGCCCGGCCCACGCGATGTCGGTGCCCGTGCGTGCTGCTGCGGCGGCGCGCTGAGAGGGGCTTAATTCGGTGTACCGCTGCACGAAGCCCGAACGGACGAGCAGAATGTCGCCGGGTCTTATGCCCCCTCCCGCTGAATAGGGTCGGATGTCGATGCCCTGGTGTGCGGCGCAGGACGTGAGGTCAGAATATGAGATGGCGTGCGAGGTGTACGGGTCGTAGTCCTTGTTGTGGGATTCCGCGTAGGCCTTGTAGTCGAGGAGGACTGCGCGCCCGGCGATGCAGTGCTTTGCCCAGTGGTGGATGCTGCAGCGGGTTGTGGGGTTGGCGCCTTCGATGTCGGTGGATGTTGCCTTTGCCTTGTCAAATGCTCTGGGATAGTAGTGGATTGGGGGGGAAGGAAACGAACCCCGTTGTAGAAGTACTTCGAGCCGAGGTGTGCGAACTAGGGCTAGTTGTCAGTATGGTTCTGTATCTCCTGTTCTATTGGAGGAAAGGAGAACATACATGCCGGAAGCCATCCCACTGCGTTCCGCTTTGCGTGTTCAGCGTGTAGAGATCATCGTAGCCGACGCCGCTGCCCAGCGGCTTGATCTTGTGCTCGAAGACCTCGCGGCCGAATGCGGGGGCCTTGGGGACGTTGAGGGGGAGACTGTCCGCGTCATCTCAGTTACCACCACACATAATGACCCATGGAAGGTTGATAAGCAAGAGAAGAAGGATGAGTGCCATGGGCGCAGTTATGCATACTCCAGCCGAACCATCTCCCCCGTCTTGATCTCCCCAGCGGCGGCCTTGACCCTCGCCGGCGTGAGGAGATTCAATCGGCCAATCTAGATATGATACAAGCATCAGTCGTATCCTATGTCGATCTTATTATGGACTCGATCGTTCAAGCCAGGAGACAAACGGTAGGTGCCTACCTGGTCATCCTTGCCCCAGACCCAAGCCGCATCATCCGGGGCACCGGGGATCCGTGGGAGCTCTTTACGAGATGGAAACCGCGTAGCATCGGGGTTCCAGGGGAGGTCATTGGGCTCTTGCACCGTCTGGCCGCCTGTGAGGGCGTCGGCGACTTTGCTGAGGCGCTCAGTCGGGCTCATGACGCGTTTGCTGTGTTAGGTATCTTGGGAGATCCGTTGAGTCTCAGTGAGTCTCGGTGGAGTCCGTAAGAGGATCCCAGAGAAGCTGGGGAAGCTGGGGAAGGACATATGATCCATGATTTCAAGCTGGTCGCTTGACATTGACAGCCGGCTACAGAGCAGCTGGGCCGAGGAAGCGTGGGGAGAGAATGCGGAGAGGCGAGGAGAAGCTTGAAAGAAAGTGAGGGGTTGCGTATTGTCAGCCTACCTATGCAAGGTGCGTAATCAGGATTGCACAGCAGTCTATGTTGAGCTGGTACAGAGAAAGCATTGCAAAGTTGTAGAGAACGACAATTGGTCGCCCCGTTTTATGCATTTTTTTTTCTCGAGGCTGTTTTCGCCCACTAAGTATGTATGATACAAGAGCACCGTCGCTGTTAGACCAGCCGTGCATAACAACAAAGAAAGAACTGGCAGCCATTATCCGAACGTCTGAGTAATATGCAACGGAGGCCCACGACCATAATCCATGCAATGAAGACAAACGCCGTGTAAAGACACCATGCGAAACCAAAGCCAGCCAGCAACGCATAGCTGATTAAGCCACCCATTGTAAACTCATGCGAACCCATGTCAAGTCTGCGAGTCTGGACGAGCGTGTATTCAGGCCAACCTGAACTCTTTGAGTAATGCACCACCCGACGCCGGAAATATCAGGAAACGTAGACTCTAGGAAGGTATTCGTTACTTCCGAGTCGGAAAGAGAGAAGATCGTAGATAAAAGATCATGTCCACCGCTAAATACGCCATCAAACAGTTTCCAAGCTAACGGTATAACAAAAAGCGACTCATTAGTTTGCGGTAGGGACACCGGTCGACTGGGACATGTTGCGACCTCCGCGGCCGCGGGACCCGTAGCCACGGCCGTAACCACCTCGGCCTCGACCATAGCCCCGGCCTCTGCCACGGCCCCGGTAGCTGCTGCGGTACCCGTCAACACTGCCCTGGCCGAACGTCTCGATGTTTCGCTTCTCTTCCTCGCCACGCCATTCCCGGCCACCAGGACGGACATTGGAACCTTCCTCTCGGTCGCGAGCCTCGCTGGAGATGTTGTCGAAAAATGACGTCGTCCTGTTGTAGACGTTGGCGCCCTGAGTGGTCGAAGGGGCCTCGGCAGCGGTATCTATTTGCGCAGGGGATTCAACCTCTTCGAGAGGAGAGCCAGAGGCAATGGCCTCCTTCACGAGATCCTGTTTGTTGAATTTGGCGTTCGCAGTCTCAAAGTCATAGTCTGTTTGAGGTACCTCGACCTTCTTGTTTGACTGCGCTTGGAATTGACCTCGGTGGCCGCCGCGACCACGGGAATGCTGACCACTACGAGGCGCACGGTTGCCGTCGTAAGGTTTCATCTCGGCCATCTGTCGTGTAATACCCTCCACCGCGGCATCACCGTGCTGAGGCTTCTTTTGTCCGTTGGGCTGGGGGAGCTTGGCCATAGCAGCCGCGACAGCAGCGGTAGCCGCACGAGTTGCCTCCGAGATCGCGGCCTGGGCGGTATTTTGTGTTACGTTGTTAACAGTGGCAGGAGCCAGAGGAGCCTGGGCAGCCGCAGAGGCACTGGGTTTGGCTGGGGTGATAGGAATGACTGGCGGTGCGCGTCCACCCCTGGGACCAGTTGGTGGGATTCTCTCAGCTGGAGCAGTAGTCGTCGCCTTGACCGCTTCTGCAACGGACGGTTTGGATTCAACAGGCGGGGTTGGTGCGCTCCCAGCCGGCACAGCAGGGGCAGGGCTAGTTTCCTGCGCAGCTGGCCTACTCAAAGGGCGGTCACCAACGGGAAGCTCGGAAGTTGTTTTGGGCGCAGTAGGAGCGGCACGCTGAGAAGGCGGCGTGTGATGCGGACCAGGAGGTCCAATTGGCACTTGAGGGGGGAACTGCCCTGGCGCGGGGGGAAAGCCTTGGCCGGGGGGAGGATACCAGCCTGGAGGCGCCCCATATGGCATAGCCGGATATCCGGGGCCGGGTGGGAACGGGGGGTATCGTGGACCGTACGGATTGTAATAGCCTTGGGGGAATTGAGGCTGCTGAGGGTAGCCGGGAGGTGGAGGACGAGGACCCTGCGGTGGTTGTTGAAGCGGCTGCTGCGGAGGTTGCTGCGGCTGGGAAGGGAGACCTTGAGGTCCTGGGCCGGAGCTAGGGCCGGAGCCGGGACCGGGACCGGGGCGAGGCACGCTCTATTGGGCAAGTCAGTAAGTAAACGATCTCTCCGCTTGTTGTAGCCAAAGGCAATGTGCCAAACGTATGGTCTGAATCAGAAGGAAGGCAACGGAAATATCCACATGGTTTTGCGCTCTCAGAACAGGTCTGTGAAGTTTACATCCGAAATGTTTCATCATATGATCATATGTCGATCGAGGGAGTTTGAGGGGCAATGCTTCGAGCTTTAACTCACTCCTAGGATGGCTGGATCATCGGGCATCTGAGGAGGCTCAGGCTGGGCGTTCTCCTTCTTATCCTCGGCAATGCTGATGTCCTTTACGTCACTTCCTCGGAAGACAATGTATTCGTAGACGCTGCTGGATGGGGGGAGTTCTTCGGCAGGATTGCCTCGCCGTCCTTCGGTTCCAAATGACACAACATTCTGCAGGGCGATCGTGGAAGCCTCGGGGTTGATCTCATGTAACGTGCCGACATAGCTTGAATAGGTTAGACAACAAACGCTCGAGGGCATAAAGCGACAAAGGAGGATCAAAGGGGATAGGATGAGGTGCATACCGAATATCGCTCTTGGAGATCAGGTTGAACCGTTGACTGCCAGGTGTTAACTCCAGCCTAGCCGCATGCCCTAGCTCAGGCCACTGACCCTATTAAATGGTTCATGTCCATCTTGACGTGGAAGTTTGCGCGGTGGACGCGCTGAGGAATATGGGAGGTGGAGGGGGTGAATGTGGAGTGAGGGGAAGAATATAGGCAGAGAAACGTAGGATGGGGAAGGGAAGGGGACTAAGAGACGGAGAGGTCGAAGAGAGAGGAAGAAGCTGGAAGCAGAGTTTGTGGCGGGAAAAGGGCTCCTCTACGGTCGCCCACACGAGCGCTCTGAGCAGTTCAGACTGCCATCCAGACTGTGAGTCTTTCAAGGCATTTTCATTGTTTACATTATTTAGTGGGCTCACATCTTCTTCATGATAAATCTCACTTTTGATTGACCCTGTTAATTAATCTATATCCGTCATGGCTGTTTCCTCCCATCGGGACGACTTCTTTCAAACTACGTGCGCACCCCGGTTCTCTCCCCGCATCTCCTCAGCACTGACCGGTTTAGCAACGCTCTTGACGAACAGAAACGAAAAGATGCCAAGTCAAGCAACACAAATGGCTCTCCTATCCGATTGCAAAGCAAGATCCTCGCCGTCCAACCGGATCCTTTCGACCTTGGCGCTGTATATGTAGCCCAGAGCGGCGGCACGGTCAGAAAGATAGTCCTCGCAGTACGTATACTTCTTGTCCGGATGTTGACCAAAGCGCGATGCTAATTTACTTGTGGCATATAGACAGGAGAAACGGTATCTATCTTCAAGGGACCGACTGCCCCTGTTACAAGTCTCTGTTTTAGCCCAAACGGCAAGATTCTGTTTGCGGGGAGCTGGGATAAAACCGTCTGGAGCTGGGATGTAACTTCAACGCAACGAAAACTACGGTACGAAGGACATAATGACTTTGTGAGGGCGGTCGTGACCACAAGGATCAAGGGCCGGGACCTCCTTGTTTCAGGCGGTGCCGATGCGCAAATACTCGTATTCGACATCGCGAGCGGAGAACCGTTGCAGTTACTCAAGGGTCACGCGAAAGGAATCCAGGACCTATCAATCGACCCGCTTACGTTGGATAATGATTCCGGCGACCAAGTCCTTTTCAGCGCAGGCAGTGACAGGGAAATCCGCCAGTTTGATTTGTCCAAAGGCAGTCAGGATTTGACTGGCATGGAAGCTCTTTTGGCTCATGAGACTAATGTCTACAAGCTCTATTTCGATCAAGATGGTGACCTTTGGACAGCTTCAGCGGATAAGACGACGAAATGCCTCGTTAGAGAGGACGGGTGGAAGGCAAACCTCACACTCACTCACCCCGACTATGTCAAGGACGTAGTAGTCGACGAGCGAGGAGGGTGGGTTATAACCGCGTGTCGGGATGAAGAGATCCGTGTATGGAATCGATCGGTGCGTTTTCTGTTCCTTCTTCATCCATTTGCCCTGGCTGATGCAATAACATAGACTGGGCAACTGTACCACACATTTACCGGCCACTTCGAGGAGGTAACAGGCTTAGTCCTGCTGGGGACGACATTGGTCAGCGTTGGCATTGATGCTACCGTCCGACAGTGGTCTCTTAAGCCTGATGATCTGCGGAATGCAGTAGCTGAGGCAAAAAATCCTCCAACTGACGAACACTCGGCCAACCCCGAACCTATGCTCACAGAGGAAGAGGAGCGCGAACTAGCAGAGCTACTGGAAGAAGATTAGGAAAAAGGGCGCAGTCATGAAGTACCAAAGGAGCTAGGTGTAGTAGTAACCCCACAGTTTGTAGATGTGCCACGTGACCCGGCTGCAATGATGACGTAAAGATTCGATTGCGCCGGCGATCATCCCGAGGGAGCCTGAGCCAACGCGAGCGTTTCAAGCCACTCAAGGACACTCTAGCTCTTTGAGCCTCTATCGCCGCTTGTATCTCGCATAATCCCCGAGTACTGCTCGAGGGGCTATTTTTGCATCACGTTCCCGACTAGTTCCTATTTGTTGCCGTCTTGTCCCTATCGGCTTCCCCGCGTGCCGTACTCTTGGGACCTGAACGTTAGTGCGGGCAGACGGCTTCTCTGTCTGTCAGCCCCTCCTCCCTGGTCTCGTTGGTTTGCACTTGGACGCAAGCCTGGAATTCAACGGAGTAAAGGACTATTCAGCATGCAGGCTCAACGCAACCAAACTCATGATACTGCTACCGGGGCGGGGCTTGTGAACCGGTTGGAAGCCAGTAAATCCCCGTATGTAAGTGTTCCCAAAATCGTGTTCCTCCGCAGATAACTCCTTTCGTCTAGGTCTGACTATAGTTTCTAGGTGAGAGCACACAGGCATAACCCGGTGGCTTGGCAGCTATGGGATGCCGAAAGCATGGAGCTCGCTCGTCGGCACAACCGGCTAATCTTCCTGAGCATCGGCTACTCGGCCTGTCACTGTACGTCCGCAGTACTAACACCACCACTACGTGAGACAGCTGTTAATTTCTCCTAGGGTGTCATGTTATGGAGAAAGAGTCATTCATGTCGCAAGAGGTTGCCTCGATTCTCAATGAATCCTTCATTCCAATCAAGGTTGACCGAGAAGAGCGACCTGATGTTGATGACATATACATGAACTATGTGCAAGCAACCACAGGGTCCGGAGGTTGGCCGTTGAATGTTTTCCTGACACCCGACCTGGAGCCCGTGTTTGGCGGCACGTACTGGCCTGGCCCGAACACGGCATCGTTGTATGGCCCTGACACTGTTAGCTTCATCGAGATCTTGGAAAAGCTGCGCGATGTATGGCAAACTCAGCGACAGCGCTGTCTGGACAGTGCAAAAGAGATTACCAAGCAATTGAGGGAGTTTGCGGAAGAAGGCACCCACACTTACCAGGGTGACCAATCCGATGAAGACCTAGATGTCGAACTTCTAGAGGAAGCCTATCAGCATTTTGCATCTCGCTACGATGTGAACAATGGAGGATTTTCGAGAGCGCCGAAGTTTCCCACGCCATCCAATTTGAGTTTCCTGCTCCGCCTAGGGATTTACCCGAGCGCAGTGACTGATATTGTTGGGCAAGAAGAATGTGAAAATGCTACGGCCATGGCGGTCAGTACACTTGTCAGTATGGCTCGCGGGGGCATACGGGATCACATCGGCCATGGATTTGCGCGCTATAGTGTGACAGCCGACTGGGGGCTTCCTCACTTTGAGAAGATGTTATATGATCAGGCCCAGCTCTTGGATGTTTACGCCGATGCATTCAAAATAACCCACAATCCCGAGCTTCTCGGTGCGGTGTACGATTTGATCACGTATCTCACATCTGCGCCAGTTCAGTCAACGACCGGTGCTTTCCATTCGTCCGAGGATGCAGACAGTCTACCGACCCCTAACGATACAGAAAAGCGAGAAGGTGCTTTCTACGTCTGGACCCTGAAGGAGCTGACTCAGGTCTTGGGACCACGGGACGCTGGAGTCTGCGCTCGCCACTGGGGTGTGCTTCCCGATGGAAACATCGCACCAGAAAATGATCCTCATGACGAGTTCATGGACCAAAATGTCCTCTCAATCAAGGTTACCCCAAGCAAGCTAGCCAAGGACTTCGGTCTGGGTGAGGACGAAGTCGTGCGAATCATCAAGTCGGGCAGGCAAAGGTTGCGCGAATATAGGGATAAGAACCGCGTGCGGCCAGATCTCGACGACAAAATAATTGTAGCGTGGAACGGACTGGCGATTGGTGCTCTGGCCAAGTGCGGTGTGCTCTTTGAAGATATCGATAGCGCAAAGTCAGCCCAATGTCGGGAGGCTGCAGCCAAGGCCATCAACTTCATCAAGGAGACCCTATTTGACAAGGAGACGGGTCAGCTCTGGAGAATTTATCGTGACGGTAGCAAGGGAACGACTTTAGGATTCGCGGAAGACTATGCTTTTCTGAGTAGCGGTCTGCTGGACATGTATGAGGCCACATTTGACGACACCTACTTGCAGTTCGCGGAACAGCTACAACGTACTCTACCCCGCTAACCCTAATGAGGTGTTCAGCTCACTGACTGTCTTAAACAGGCTATCTTAATGACAACTTTCTCGCATATGTAGGGTCGACCCCTGCAGGCTACTACACCACCCCATCAACATCAGTCCCGGGTAACCCCGCTACTCTGCTCCGGTTAAAGACCGGCACCGAGTCGGCCGTGCCATCAGTCAACGGGGTTATTGCACGAAACCTTTTGCGCCTTTCCAGTCTTCTTGAAGAGGAAAGCTACCGCGTTCTCGCTCGCCAAACCTGCCAGTCCTTCGCGGTAGAAATCCTCCAACATCCCTTCCTCTTCGTCGGCCTATTGGACGCAATTGTGGGATTGGAAACAGGAACACGAAACGTAACAGGCATATTCGCTACAGTGTCTCCGACGGGCTCAAGCTCTTCAAGCGAAAGACATTCACCAGCGCCCGACCGGGACGCCCTGGTCAAGAAGATTCGTGCAGAGGCGGGTCTAACCCTATCATCGTCCTCAAACACCGTTGCGTCTCTGGTGGAGGTCTATCATTCGCCTCTTGGGGTATCCAGTGGAGAGCACTCGCTCTGGCTACGACGGCGGAATGCATTATTCAAGGATCTGAAGGCTGGAAATAAGAACTATTTGCTTGTTTGTGAAGAGGGGCGCTGTCGGACCGTCGATCTGTGATGCTCGAGCGCATATTAGAAATTGAATATATCTTGGGCAGTGATAAACAGTACTGACCTAACATACTGACATTTACTAGATATGTGTCTTGAGAGCGAGTCCCATTTGCTTTGCTCTTAGAACCTTTAGTTGAGTAGAGTGACCTGAGGACAGCCCAGAGTTTCTGACCTGACCCAAAGTATAACCATAGATCGAGTAATCTACTTCCCCAAGATTCTTCAGATATGTCTGCAATCTATACCGAACTATATGTTCATTGAATTCACCTCTGCCCATCCATGGATCGTGACCATGTGTTGAATGGATAAGACAGACAGGTTGTATATCTGTCGCCATAAGTAAATTAAGCATTTTCCTTACTTCTTTGGACTTTGAGAGTGTAGACCAACTCATCATGCCCGTTACTTTCTATTGGCGGGAACTTAGACCATCATAGCAACGGCTCCCATAAATCACTGCCAAATTTCATAATCTGGACGATATGGCTTGGTACGGCTCTGCTCTCTTCCTGGTGACCGCGAGCTTCCAGGCAGCAAGTACGCATATACCCCCTTTGAAAAGTTCACCTCTTCGTCGGGTTCTAACCAACTACAGGGGCCAAAGCGTATTCCCCCCTCTCTCTCAGAACAGTCTTTCTAGCGGCTATATTCTTCGAGATCGGAAGTCTAGTCTGCGCCGTGGCCCCTTCATCGGTGGCTCTGATTGCCGGCCGTGCAGTGGCAGGCCTGGGAGCTGCCGGTACCAATACGGGCTCCTTCAAGCTGGCTGCTTTCTGTGCTCCGCCAAAGAAGAGGCCATTATTCACGGGACTAGATTGGCTTCTCATACGGTAGTATCTAGGTCTATTGGGGACTTCCGCTAAACAAGATACAGGAATTGCCTCGGTCGTGGGCCTATTCCCCGGCGGCATCTTCACAGACCAAGTAACATGGCGCTGGTGTTTCTATGTTGGCCTCCCCGTCGGCGGCTTTTCAGCGCTCTTCATGTGGCGAGGCGGAAAGGATACAGGTAGTCTTACTGCTTGAGGGAGATATCCCTTGCCACCGGCCTTGGGACAAGATACAAGTAAACCTGCTTTTGAGTGTGCTGAGCACTGCCGATAGCATTGGGTATTCATGACAATGCTTGGATGGAGTTCACGTTGCTCTGAAAGGACAAGACTCCAATCGGCGCGTGGGCAGACCGGCAGAAAATAGAGGAGAAGGAATGGAGTGTCGTTCATAGCAGCATGGACAGCGACTGCAAGTGATGGGCAGTATTCGGGACTGCCGGTAAAGGCGAAGTTGACTATCCACCTGCGCAGTTCTCAGCAAACTCTGTAGGCAAGACTCCAGATAGATCGTCAAGGTGACGTTGAGGGTTCGAGACTCGGACGAGAGCGTAGCCGCAGGATGACAGGACATGGACAGCTCATCTGCCACGGCCATTTATCAGGCCTGCATCGAGGTTAACGCCTTCTCTAGAGGGTATATCAGTTAGGATCATTCTGAGGAATGCCTAGCTCAGTATCGTCGGGCTCTCGCTGCCATCAATTGCCGAGTAGAGTATGACTGTCTGTGTTGACTGTTGAGTGGCAAATAGAGGCGTCGCTCGTGCCTTGGTAGAAGCGCTGGGTACCTGATGGACCAACTATCATGTACCATGAACCGGATACCAGGACATCCTCGCCCACGGTAGAACGCGAAGAGCTTTTCTTTCGAACCCAGGAAGAACAGTCCCTGTCAGGTTAGCCACGAAGCATGACTAAGAGCATGCGAACGATCTCTTGTAATGGTTCGAATGGATGCTTTGGCGTTCTCTTGATGGAGAGGACTCTCGGTCTCGACCGTAAAGATTTGAAGGATACCTCGTTCATCCACTGGATGTGACTAAGAGAACACCGTCAGAATACTTGGAACCGACGCTCTGGCATGTTCATGACTGGAGATTGGAGATGATGTTCGGTCTCGCCCACGGTAGGCTGCGCAAAGCTTTTCTTCAAATCCACGAAGAACAATCGGGCTGTTGATCCGCTGCTCGTGAGAGCTCAGAGCACGCGATCACTTCCAGAGTTCCAGCTTCCAAGGAACGAAATGATTTACCGTTTTCTCGAACGGGTAGGTTTGGATGTAGGTATGGTAGGTAAGGCTATTTGTTTGGAGCCCTGCCCATGGTTTGGATCTATATCCATGGTGGAATGTCATGTCCACGTCAATCTGATATGGTTCGGATAATGCTCGGACTGCCGCAGTAGTATTGGTGAATAACTATAGGAGGGCAAGCCGGGTCTGCCGAGGTTTTCGTCTATCTAGGCGAACATATGGCCGTATTGAATGGAATAAGGTTATGATGGAGATGTTAGAGTTTCCCTGCGTATGCAGTAGACTAGGTACCACTGCACGGCACAGGTACTCTGTACAAGAGCCTATGCCAGCCGCGTAGGCGTACGGAAATTAATCCACACGTGCAGTGCCGCCATTTGCTCGAGATTGCATACTTCGTGTCCCCGGAGATTATTGTTCCGGACCTTTGCTGTGACAAGTCAGAACAGATGGTGAGATGGACACGTTGATGTATCTAAAGGGTAAGGTCTCTGGGTCCAACACAGTCCCACGAAGCCTAGGACTGTTCAGCAGTTCCAGGCTCCAGAATATGCGGTCTAGATAGTCCTCTGGCTGGGGCTCATGAAAAGTTTGAAATGAGATGTCTCCAGGCCCCAGCAGTAGTTGGAGACTCCGAGTCCAGTCCTATCCGAATTGCCGGGGCTGAGGGGCAGATTATTGCTGACCGTTAACCGTTTCCTGCCCGGCCTGGATCCAGACTCTAGTCTCTAGTCGGCCGCCGAGGACGAGACGATGTCCATTACGAATACCGCCTGTGGTAGTTGATGAATCAAGCTTCATGAGCCTGCTGAAACAAAGTGTCTTAATGTGAGATCGACGATGAGATCAGATGCGGTGTAGATAAGCGAGGGTGAGACAATCTGGGCTGTGACAGCTAACGGACGGACGAGTATAGCAGAGGGCGCCAAGGATGTCACTGGCTGTTGGGCCAGAGATCCCAGGCAGGAAATGAGGATAAAGAAAGCGTCCAGACTCGACGATCATGGACGGTTCTGGAGCCAGGCGTTGCGTAGGCGCCGACGGAGAGAGCCATGGGTTATAACGACTTCGCCCCTGAAGGGACGAGATGGAGCCAATGGGTGGGCGCCGCGGTGGACACTTGAAACACTAAAGCGGCTGCCGAGTGCCAAGTTTTGGCGGTTAATCATGGCTCTCCCCTGAAATTCTCCTGTGGGACTGGCCGGTCCAAGTGGGCTCTGTAACCACTTTCCTCTTGTGTTTTGACTCGCGAGGATGCTTTGTATTCTAAGTACTAAGTAAAGAAATAACGCCTCGGAGAATAAAGATGTATTGAAAAGAAAGAAAAGCAAACAATGTCTTCCAGCTTCCGAGCACAGAACCGCGGGCAGGCCCAAAGCAAAAGCAACGCAATTGCGAGCCGCGTGGCTGTGATTGGTGCCAACGGCTGTTCCTGAAACACGAGGCGTACCTGCATCTCGCTCACGCCCGTTTTATATTTGACAATGCCGCGAGATCTGGACGGCTTTCAGTCCAGTAATGCAGCCTGGGTAAGCGCTGTTACAATTGGGTCCAGTCATGGTGGGCGATGGCTGACCAGGCTGGGGCATTGTTTCCCAGACTTCAGGAATGCTTGGGCGCGAGGATCTTCAGCATGTTAAAATCGCTCAGTAAAAGGAGAGCATGCATTCCATGGGTCCATCTCTCGTGGCTCCTGCAGCAAAAAGGATATGCAATGGAATAAAAAAACAAAGCAGCGCCCTCTGGCTTGCTTCAAAAAGTCTTGAGTCTTGACCCGTCTCGTGTTTGACAGAGTATAAGATTTGTCTCGGCCGCCGGTCATCAAAGTCCTGAGGATGAATTAATTTGCGTTTGATTATCCCCAGCTAGTCTCTAGATCTCAAGCGCCCCACTGCCCGCCGTCCGCCGTCCGCCGTCTCGCCGTCTCCTTTCCCAAGCTTCACGCCTTCTTAACCTCTTCTTCCTTCCTTCCTCTTCGCCTTCTTGCCCTCTCTCGCTCTCCTCCCATCTCCTATCCCAAGCTTCGCTCTCTCTCCGTCTCGGTGCACTTTTTCCACTCCTTAAAAAGTGCTCGAGGCTGTCATTCCTTTACCACCACAAACAACACACGGCTGGATTTCGTACCCCCCAACAACATCGCCATCTGCAGTTGATCTGCACTTCCCAACGACGTCGTTACACTTGATTCATCCGTTCTCGTTAGGGTGAATTCCAAGGTCGCTGTTCAGCCATTATCAATCAAGTTAGTCGCTCGGATTACTTCCTGGAGAAGTCTTCGATCGACCAGACAGTTGACCTGTACAAGCCTACGCGTGAATCCTCCGCAAGTGCAAAGAACAACCGCTCGTCATGAAGTACTCGATGATCCTGGGCGCTGCCCTGTGCGCCCTTGGTGCTATGGCCGAGGTTGAGCCCGCCTACGTGACCGAATGGACTACTACCACCGTGACCGATTGGACTATAGTCACCGTCACCGAGACTGTCACCGTGCCTGCTACTCCAACCGTCGAGTCCACGGCCACCGTTGAGCCCGCCCCTACCTCGATTTCGACCTCGGTCCCCGCTGCCACTTCCTCTGCTGCCCCTGAGACTCAGGTCAAGGTCCAGAATACCGCTCCTGCAGCCGCCGTTGAGACCCAAGCTGCTGTTGAGAAGGTGCCTGTTGAGACCTCGACCTCAACAAGCACCGTCGAGTCTACCAGCACCGTGGTTGCCGAGCAGCCTGAAGCCACTTCTTGGTCCACTTCCTGGTCCACCGCTTGGTCCACCACCCAGGCTCCCACTACCACTGAGACTGCCGTCGAGTCTACCGCTACCGCGTCGTCTACCGAGACTGCTGCCAACTCCTACCAGTCCAACGTCCTCTACAGCCACAACGTTCACCGTGCCAACCACTCCTCCCCCGATGTTGCCTGGTCTTCCACCCTCGAGGCGAGTGCCCAGGTTCTCGCCGCTCGTTGCGTCTACGAGCACGACACGTATGCATATCCAAGACCCCGTTCTGTTTAACCCTAGCTAATATTTCTTAGGAGCATTAACGGCGGCGGCTACGGTCAGAACATCGGTTACGGTACCTCGTCTGATGAGGTTGCTGTCATGATCTCCAACCTGATGTACAACGATGAAATGGGCTACTACGAGAACCTCTACGGAGAGGCCACTCCTGATATGACCTTGTTCGAAAAATGGGGCCACTTCTCTCAGATCGTCTGGAAGGGAACTACCGAGGTCGGATGCGCTACTGTCAGCTGTCCCAGCCTGGGCAATGTCGATTCCGCCACGGCCGTCCCCTTCACTGTCTGCAACTACAGCCCTGCTGGTAAGTCTCGATCCCGAGTTGCTTATATCTTCTAGTTTGACCTAACATGTACTGTTTAGGAAACTATGACGGTGAATACGCCGACAACGTTCTGAAGCCTCTCGGCCACGCCATGTGGTCTGCGTCATAGGCAAAGAGCTCTCTGCCCTCCACCGACTGGGTAGTTCCAGCACTCGCTACACGACAGTGATAATGGCGTGATAGCGCCTAGTTCTGGTATCAGTTGGTAGCATTTGAGCTGGCTTGATTTTCGTCTGTAGCTGGGCGCTAGCTGCATACCTGTCGGACGTGAGCACTGACTCGATACATGACAAAATCTGAAATTCAAATATTCTCTTGTGGACAGTGGTTTTGAAGTTTCCTTCCTTCGTGGCTGTGGCTTCTCGCTCGAAACCACATTGCTATTGTGCGTTGTGTTCGCTCTCGTGCTCGCGGGACCTGACACACGCCATTTTATATTCTCTTCTATTGTGAATATTTTATCATCTTCGAGCTTGTCATCTGACAGGAATCCGAACAATTTTGTCTTCTGCACGTTTGCTGCTTTTCCCTTGCTTTTATGTGCATGGCGCCCTGGATAGCGTGTTTTTAAACCAAAAGACATGATGAACGTTCGAACGACAAATTTTGTACCAGGTAGTAGATCTGTCTTTGTAGATACTGTAAATTAAACTAAGCAGACTTCCTAGGCATGTACAATAAGAGTGCACTTGCTAAGTCTAGAAGTCCTGCAAACGACGTATGTGATGTCATCTCCAATCCCCACAATGCACGTGAGCCTGATGATCTCCCCGCATCCAAAAGAATTCCAGATGCCTCGAGGCTCCCTTCGCCCGAGACAAGCTTCGTTCTATTGGGGGTCCGTGGTCCAGTGTGGTACGAAGATCCTGCATGTGGCACATCACTGCTGGTTTGCCATCTGAACAAGCGACATCGTTGACTTGAACTACAAGTGAAGCCTCGGGAGCCAATCAACTTCAAGCTAACCCTCAGGTGCCGCCAATTGTGCTGATCACGTCTGCCTTACTGACTTGCCCAGGTGGTGATATCCATATCAGCAGCATCAATTTGCAGAGTGCATGAAACAAGCCTTTAGCGGCCCTTCTCCGCGCATGATAGAACTCACCGCGTGACATATTGCCACCACCACCGCTCAACCACTTTCTTGTCCACCTCTTCGTGTCAAGGCAAATAGAATCTTCAATCCGCATCTGATCTCTTAAGCACCTCCACAGCTCGACCTTGGAAATTGGATCTCTCTGCATCTCCTTCATACCGAGCAAACTCCGAACACACCTGGCTCGCTTGGCACTCGGCTTTTCCTACAGTATATAGCTCGCTGGGCACTGCATCCGTTCCCCCGACAGAACCCCGGCTGCTTGTGCCAACGTACACGGTCCACCGCGATTGAAGGATCTCGGTTGTCAATAGGCGCTGTTCCTATCAGTTGTCTCTGGTAAGCGTCCCTTCCTCCGTCCAAGGCGCTATCTCGCCCGTTGTTCCGAGGCTATCCCCACTCTCCCCCGACCTTGCCTCCCCAGAATGCGGAACCATATCATGGCACCTATATCCTCACTCCAGATCCTTGATAAACAGACCTCTTCCCTGGTATATTCCTCTTAGCACAGACGTCTCCTCTCTACCTTCTTACTTTACCTCTCACTACGGAGGCCAACATCATCTATATCCCGTGATTTGATGCGGTCATGAGATATTGAAATCCATGCCCTGTTATTATCTCCAAGACTGCCACTATTTCTACCGAAGCGCTTTACGTTTCCTCTCCATACCCACCTTCCTCGCCTGCCGCTACGCTTGATTCATCCGCAATCTACTCGGTACCCTCAGCTGACAAGATGACTTACTCTACGACAGCAGTCCGTCACTTCACTGCACCTAAGCCACTGGGAATGGCAATGGAGTCCCCCCGCTCACACCCGGCTCCTGAGCCTAAGATCAAACCTACATCTGTGGATGGAGGATTGACGGACCAGGTTACCAACAAGAAGGGTGGAATCACATTTTCGCAACAAGACTCTCTGCCAAGGTTACCAATTCCAGATCTTGAGAGTACATGCAAGAAGTACATCGACGCTCTCGCACCACTACAAACACAAAAGGAGCAAGAAGAAACAAGGGCTGCTGTACGGGATTTCCTCAAGGGAGAGGGGCCCGGTCTTCAAGAGAAGTTGCAGAAGTACGCCTCGTCGCAAACTAGTTACATTGAGCAATTCTGTATGTCAATTGCGAAACCCCACCACGATGCTAAAGCTAACAGCCTCTTTTCAGGGTACGACTCTTATCTTAACTACGACAGTCCTGTTGTTCTCAACCTCAACCCATTTTTCTTGCTGGAAGACGATCCAACTCCCGCGAGAAACAACCAGCTCACCCGAGCGGCATCCCTGGTCGTTTCAGCCCTCTCGTTCGTGCGCGCGGTCAGACGTGAGGAGTTGCCCCCAGATACCGTCCGAGGAACCCCGCTGTGCATGTATCAATACTCTCGACTGTTTGGTACTGCGCGTGTTCCCACAGACAATGGATGCGTTATCAGCCAGGAGCCCAACGCGAAGCATATTGTCGTTATGTGCCGCGGCCAGTTCTACTGGTTCGATGTGCTTGATGCGAACCATGATCAGATTATGACCGAACGGGATATCGCAATGAATCTCGAGGTAATTCTCGCCGATGCGGAACAGACCCCGATCCAGGAGGCAGCAAAGGGAGCCCTCGGAGTTCTCAGCACAGAAAACCGCAAGGTGTGGTCGGGACTTAGGGATATCCTCACCAAGGATGAGCATTCAATCAATGCCGAGGGGCTGAACATCGTCGACACTGCACTGTTTGTTCTATGCCTGGACGATACCGAGCCTCATAGCACGTCCGAGCTCTGCGCCAATATGCTCTGTGGTACAAATGTGGTGGAAAAGGGCGTGCAAGTGGGTACCTGCACGAACCGGTGGTACGATAAGCTTCAGATCATCGTCTGTAAGAACGGTAGTGCTGGTATCAACTTTGAGCACACTGGTGTGGATGGACATACGGTTCTTCGATTCGCCAGTGACGTCTACACGGACACGATTCTTCGGTTTGCGCGAACCATCAACGGTCAGGCCCCCAGCTTGTGGACAACCACCAGCCCTGACCCTTCCAAGCGTCACCCTCGAAGCTTCGGCGACGTCAGCCCAACGCCTCGGAAGTTAGAATGGGATATGCTTCCTGAGCTCAGCATCGCTATCCGGTTTGCCGAGTCGCACCTGGCAGATCTCCTTCAGCAGCATGAATTCCAGGTTCTAGACTTTAACGGATTCGGAAAGAACTTTATCACATCAATGGGATTTTCACCGGACGCTTTCGTCCAGATGGCGTTCCAGGCGGCTTACTACGGGCTTTACGGGCAGGTGGTGAACACGTATGAACCAGCCATGACCAAGGCCTTCCTGCATGGACGAACAGAAGCGATCCGATCCGTCACCAACGAGGCTCTCGAGTTTGTGAGGACATTCTGGGCTGAAAACCCAGCTGAAGACAAGGTCGATGCTCTACGAAAGGCTACCGAAAAACACACGGCGATCACAAAGGAATGCTCCAAGGGTCAAGGACAGGATCGTCACCTTTACGCTCTTTACACCTTGTGGCAGCGATCCTTCGAAGAAGCTCCCATTTCTCGGAATAACAGCGTCGACGAAGCGTCTAACGGCTACACGAGTCCCTTGGAGAACGAGTCTATTGCAGGATCCCCCAGGTCCGCCTCCATCTCCCTCTCCGAGGTCGACGGTATGTCATCCGTCAGCAGCTACGGCCGAGCCATGCGCACCTTACCTCCCACGCCCGCCATCTTCGCCGATCCCGGCTGGGACAAGATCAACACCACAATCCTCTCCTCATCCAACTGCGGCAATCCTTGCCTGCGACACTTCGGATTCGGCCCGACCTCCGCAGACGGTTTCGGTATCGGCTACATCATCAAGGACGAATCGATCTCGATTTGTGCTTCATCCAAGCACCGTCAGACCGCACGTCTCATGCAAACCCTCGAGTCGTACCTGCACGAGATCCGCAAGTTGCTTCGCGCAACTGTCCACAAGCCATCCAGTCCCCGGACCAGCCGCGCTCGCGAGATGGAAATGATCGCGGAGCGGGTCCAGCGCGATCAACGCCGGGGTCGCATCGTCCGCACCGACACGGGCCACCTGCGGGCCGGAACCGAGACGCCCACGACGGATAGCGGGGAGATAGACGACGATGGCATGGGCGGCTACGGCTTCTTCGATGCAGGGATGCTCCTGCATGCCCTCAAGGGGCTGAGCGTTGATCGCGAGCGGGGCGGCGACAAGACTCCTCGCCGACGCTTCGTCGGCAAGAAGCTACGGTTGAATGAGTACTGATCAACTATATTTTCTTGGATATTTACCTTTTTGCATATACCTCGAATTATGATTTGAGCCCTGTCTTGTGAATTTAGCCGAATATCAATCTTGCATATTTCTTGGATCTGATTCTAGCGTCGTCGCATATGATGCACAGTAGACTAGCTCTAGAACCTCTATAAAACGCACAAGACTAAGACACCAAGCGCCGAATTCGCAGGGAACAGTTAGTTAGCTAGTTAGCTCCAATGCGACACATCAAGCCTTCCCTACCGCCGAAACAAACCTACTGCAGACCAAGCTAGCTACCCGACATGCATGGCCATGCACAAGGTCCATTGAGGAAACGGGGCGTCGGCGCAGGATCGAGTCTTGGTGTGTCCGTGCTGCAGCGCTGCTGCACACGCTACATGTACTCCAGAACCAGTCCCCAGTTAAAACGAGATTCATGGCTTGATAGGCCAGGCGCAGCAGCGACTCTTCTGATACGCATATGCAGTGCGATGCTGGGAACAGCTCAGAGTCACCGCCAGTGCCCCGTCCACCGAAGATCAAGGTTCAAAGCAAGACAGACTGACTGGATAGCAGCGCAGTCTCGAGGAAATGCCTTTACCCGACGGCTGGACCAGAGCCCATGATAGACGCTTTCTTTAGCTGTTTCCAGAAGCACTTTGCCGCTGACCCGGGTAACCAGGTGGTCCAATGAGATCGGGCCATGAGATCATACCATGAACATCTGTACCGTATGAGTTAGAGGATAGGAGGGATCCTTGTCTAGCGTTGTTTTTGGGGTTTTATCAATCAATCGTATCATTTCTCATGCAAGACACAGGTCCCGGGGCCGCCTGTATCCGAACGATCGCTGTCCGGTCAGGTACACCGCCCGGCAGAAAAGAGTGATGGCGTAATTTCTCGACTGGTCATGTGATGGTGTGACTAACTGAGGCTGAGGTTGATTCTGTCCTTGGTCAGCGCTCTAAGCGATAATCATTCTGGGTAATTGTCTGGCAATTGTGAGCTGGTCAGGGCTCTTGCTGAATTTACTTTGTATATACTCCTACCTTCAACCATTCTCTCCATCTTCAAAGCTGACCTGACACCGACACCGGGCAGAATTACAGCGAGGTACGTAAGGATACACTAGCGGTCTGGACTATTCCGAACCCAGCCTAGCCTGGTGCCTTAGCGCCCAGGCATGCAGCGCCCATCATTCCACTCTTGCCCGTTCCAGCGCTCGCTCGCGCAAATCAGGCCAGACGCTGGTTCCACATCTCGAGACCTTCCGACGTGATTCTGTCCCCCTGCTTTCTTCCACTCACTAACAACTACTATCCTGCCTCAGCCCGTCAGACCTCTGCACTTATTGCCGAACTAGCGTCGATATCCCTCTCCTGACGCAACGACCGCAAACCTCGTGCCATAATCCGCATTCGCAGGACTGAGCGAAAGCGCTGACGTCCGTTTAATGCTGGCGAGACCGAGGCCGTTCAATACTCGCTAATTAACTGAACTGCCTTAGCCTAGCTCGACCCCGGTCCCTTATCTCGTATCCGCCCTGCGCTGCGGCTTCGTTCGTCTTTTCTCCAACCCCCTTCCTGCATCAATGAGCGACTGCCTACCTGTTCTAGCTATTGTTTGCCTCAGGGGAGTTTGAATTCTTCGGCGTCATTATATCTGTATCTACCTGTTCTTTTTCCCACCACGACCGCTTTATCTTTTTCGAGCGAGCTCAACGGAGTCCGGCAATAAAAACACTGCGCCTACAGCCTCCCGGATAGCGAACGAATCGAAAAAGAAAGTACACATCTGCCGCCCTCTTTTCTCGACTTCCCTGACCGCTGGGATTGAATACCTGCCGTCGATCAGCGGTCGCATATATCGACGACGGCATCTGCTTGATCTCCTGAACGACTTTCATTTGTGATTTCGATACACTGCATGGCGATGGCTGCGACGGTTGATCGCCCTCTTTTCGAGCCGATTGCAGGCGGGCCTGCGACTGATGCGGCTTCGATCACGCCCCCTCACAGCGTCAACGGCAAGAAGGATGGCCCGGATGGCGCGCCCTCTGAACTCTCCGACCTGGAACTCGATTCGAAGCCTGCGAGCGCCCAGGAAGCTATACCGGAGGAAGAGGAAGAGGAGATTGAGCCGGATCATTATTATGGAGGCGGCAAGATACCCGTTTTCAAGCCCGTAAGTCGCTTTGCCGCGGAGAGCATAATTTGGGCTGTTGGCTGACGGGGCTTGTTTCAGACCATGGACCAGTTTCGCGATTTCCAGTCCTTCATCAAGCGAGTTGATAAGTATGGGATGCGCTCAGGAATCGTCAAAGTTATCCCGCCTAAAGAATGGTAAACCTTTCCGGGTCTCGGAAACGCTGAAACTAGCTGACGCACATCTCTTTTCCAGGAGAGATGCCCTTCCGCCCCTCGACGAAGCAGTCAAGAAGATCCGTGTGAAGAACCCAATCATGCAGGAGTTCCACGGCTCCCACGGAACATACACTCAGGCCAACATCGAGAAACAAAGATCATACAACTTGCCACAGTGGAAAGGGCTCTGCGAAGATGGTAGTCATCAGCCGCCGGCTCGACGGGGAGAAAGGAGAAGAAAGCTAGAGCGCGCTACCCGTGCAGCGCCGGCTCCCAAGCCTCAGACAGCCCGGGCTGATACTCCGAAGCGGGGGCCTGGACGTCCTCCCAAGCGATCGAACCAGGCCAAAGTGAAAGAGGAGCCTGTCAAAATCAAAGAAGAGCCTACCGCGGATGAGGGTATGGACAAGATCAAACCCGAAGGTCCGCCAACGCCGGTTTCTCCAGAATCCAACCCCGTTGAGACAAAATCAGAAGCGCTCAGCGATGGCGAGTCTCTGCCGAAACCGAGAGGACGACAGCCCAAGTCGGTCACTGCGCGAAGAAAGCAAAACAAGGGTGACACGATCGACCACGTCGATGAAGAGGCGTACAAAAACTTCGATTACCGCATTCATGACAACGAGGACTATACCCACGAGCGATGCGAAGAGCTCGAAACCGCCTACTGGAAGTCTCTCATGTTCAACAACCCCATGTATGGTGCAGACATGCCGGGTTCCCTCTTTGATGACAATACGACATGTTGGAACGTCGCCAAGTTGCCGAATCTTCTCGATGTCATCGGACAAAAAGTTCCTGGTGTCAACACTGCATATCTGTATCTCGGTATGTGGAAGGCGACATTCGCGTGGCACCTGGAGGATGTGGATCTGTACAGTATCAACTACATCCATTTTGGTGCTCCCAAACAGTGGTATAGTATATCTCAAGAAGATGCGCCCCGTTTTGAACAGGCAATGAAAAGTAAGTTGGTCATAGATATCCCCGTTAGCGCAGACAGCAATTCTAACCGTAACTCCAGGCATCTGGCCTAGTGATGCAAAGACCTGTGACCAGTTCCTCCGTCACAAGACTTACCTCGTCTCACCCAGTCTTCTCAAGTCCCAGTACGGCATCACTGTGAACAGAATGGTGCATTATGAGGGTGAGTTTGTGATCACATACCCTTATGGATATCATTCCGGATACAACCTTGGGTACAACTGTGCCGAGTCCGTCAACTTTGCAACCGAAAAGTGGCTCGACTATGGTCGGGTCGCTAAGAAATGCAACTGCGAGTCCGACAGCGTCTGGATTGACGTAGACGACATTGAGCGTAAATTGCGCGGCGAATCAACTCCCGAATACTATGGCGAATACGACAGTGACCTGGACGGATATGAGGGTGCTTCTGACCTCCTGACCCCTCCGCGTAGTGTGCCAGAAAAAACGTCCAACCGTGGCCGCAAGCGCAAGCATGATGGTGATATGACCAAGGCCAAGCGCATGAGGGCGGATATGAGTATCGAGCGAAGATTACCTTGTCTTTTGTGCCCCAACGATCTCGACTATGAAGATCTGTTGCCGACCGAGGATGGAAAGTCTCACGCTCATAGAAGGTGTGCTCTGTACACCGAAGAAACCAGCATTTTGCGCGATGAATCTGGCAAAGAGGTTGTTTGTGATATCGACAAGATTCCGAAGGCTCGGATGGGACTCAAGTGCCTCTTCTGCCGCGAGGTGCGCGGGGCTTGCTTCCAATGCAACTTTGGCAAGTGCACGCGGTCTTATCACGCCACCTGCGCACTCCTAGCCGGAGTACAGGTGGAAGAGGGCTCGATCACCGTTGTTGCAGACGATGGAAACCAGTACTCTATCCCCAGCGTTGATTTGAAGTGCAAATACCACCGACAGAAGAAACCGACATGGATGGTCACCAGCGAGTCTCCCGACAATGATCGTAAGTTGATGGAGACCGCACGGCGACTTGCTGTTGGCGACCTGTTGCAGTTCCAGGTTGACAAGGAGATTACTGGAGCGGTCGTCCTTGAGAACCGGCCTGCGGAACGCACTTTGCAGGTCAAGGTGCTCCCGCGAGGGTAAGTCAAAAACTCCCCCGCCCTCCCTCCGATGATGTCCGATCTATAGTGGGGTGATCTGTTTGCCTTTTTCCTCTTTCGGACACGTGAAAGCTGACTGCTGCATGGCTCAGGGACGTTATCGAGTTACCATATCGTTGGATGCTCGTCGTACGAAGGAGCAACTTTGCTCCCGTGGCGGCTGGCATCAAGCCACTTCCCGCGCATCTCGCTCGGAAGCCCGAAACTCGGAGGGAATTGAATTCTGCGCTGCCGGTGGCAGGAAATCCGTTTGGCGACGGGCGATCTCCGTATCAGTGGGCCGAGTTTGAGACGGTGGACAGCACTAACCGTCCTGCAGCCCCACCAGCGGTGCAGGTCAACCTGGACAAGATGGAACAGATCTGGTATTATTTGGGCCAGTCATCGACCGAGTGTAGGGCTCAATATACACACAACCCTAGCGTGTCCGTCCACAACCCGCGGTCGAATTTCCTAGACAGCGTCAAGTCCCTTGGCGCCGTGATGGCCCGACTCCCCTCCTACCCCCACCACCGTCTGCCTTCCTATGTTTTGACTGCCCCTCCTCCTCACCTCCTTTCTTCTGCCGCCGCAACCACCACCGCCTCCGCTGTCGCTGCTGCTGCTGCTGCCTCCCGCCCTTTGCTGCCGCCGCGCCCTCCTTTTGCTGCTCCTCCTCGCTCTTCCCCCGCCGCTCCGACTTCTGCTGCTGTTGCTGCTTCTGCGATGCCGTCAGCCTATCGCTCTCTACCAAATCAATCTGCCCGCCATGCCCCGTACCCGCATTTCACCAAAGCTCATCTCCAATCTCAGCAGCAGCACAGTCATCAGCAGCAGCAGCAGAACACGAACGGCTCTCTCCCGACCGCTAGCAGCCACCTCCCCGCCAATAATTTTGCCAATGTCCGTGAGCTCATCGCTCGCCGTCGCCTGGCCCAGATCACCGACCATGCCAACGTCTTTGCTGGGTACACCATCGTCGCTCCAGAATTGGTCGTAGAGACTCTTCTGGGGCCTATGGGCTCTGTACCGCCGTCAAATGGCCTCGAAAAATTGGAGCTTGCCATGGCTCAACAGCGTGTCCAGCCTCGTGCGCCCGACGGAACACTCTTGCCGATGCAACCCTTGAACATGCGCTCAGAAGAAGTCACCCGGTTATTACAGATGCTGCGATTCTCACTTATCAGCCACCGCGACCGGTTAGATGTGCTTCAGAAGAAAGAATCGGAAACCGTGAAACAAGAGGCGACAAACAAGATCAATGGGGCCGCCCCCAAACTACCTCGGAAGTACGCATATCTCGAGCTGCAACGTGAGCAGGCTCCCACTGTGTATCAATCTCCATACGATATGCCGTCGGGGTTCACCGAGTACGCCCGCACGACGTTTGGTCTCACCCGTCACGAGCCAGAGCTCCCTAAGCCTTCGCTAGCAAACGACTACTTTGCCAGTCTTTCCCCTGAGAACCAGGAAAAGATCCTCAAGACATGTGGCAGTTTCGTCCAAAGAGCCATAGAACGGTCGGCCCCTCATAGCCGCCAAAGTTCCTCCTCGAATTTCCGACTCTCGTCAGCGTTGGCCCAACGGACTGAGAACCCAACCATCGACATTACAACTGTTGAAGACATGCCTTTGTCAGGCCTTGACTTTCCGTTGCGGGCGGATTCGCCGTGCTCCAATTTTAGCCGGTCGCAGCTCCGATTCCACTCACCAAACGACTTCACCCACCACGGAACCGAAGTTCACCATGACCACCACGATCTATTCGGTGACCAACAAGCCAATACCCGGTTCTGGCAACATGGCCCGTGGGCCGCCGGTGATGGAAATACGCCCAACGAAGAGAATCGACCGTTCTTTGGTCCTCACCACGAACGGCTGAAGCATGACTATGCATCGTCCGATATTTCCCTTGGTCGTGGCGGGCCCGGCTCGCTGCACTCTGTTGACATGGCTGGTTTCGGCCTGGACAACCCCGACGATCTTGGTGGCGCTCTTAGCCCTTGATCCGCTTTGACTTGACTGTGACTGCTTATAGACATGCCGCTGTAACTGCATCATCATGTAACGATTTATAAGGATTGACGACTGCATGACGGGCGTTTGTATTTTTGCTGTGTCCTTCGTTTTTTTGCAGGGATTCCTCGTCCTCACTCTCGAGTCATGACGACTTATGGCCAGAGTTGACGCTAGCTGGCCAGTTGTGGTCCAGCTCGGGGACTTGCTTTACCTGCCGTGTTCATGCTGCTATGTTCCCTTTGCTTTCCATAAAACCGAACCTCGAGAATGGGCAGCACCGGACGGAAAGCCGGGCTGATGGCAGCCACGCTCTTGTGGCTTTCCACCCGACAAACTACACCGCACGACAACCCGGCGCTTCTATACACCTGTCCGCCGAAGTGTCTGCCTCTGCACGTACTCATTTGGAGATTATGGGTCCTACTGTCGGCCTTTTCGGTTTATACCTTCGATATCGACCTCTTTCTCGCCTTCCCTCACCGTCCCCAAAACAAAGAACAACCCAAAGCAAAAGCAGAGATGATGAAAGACAAAATCTTGCGTTTCTCTGTTCTAGAGGAAGATAAATGCTTGTCTCCTGTGCCATACATTTTCCCATTTGATACCCCCCGAATTCCCACGCCCCTACGCCTACCTACTTGGCTGTTCCCCCTTCTACACTCCTGTCGCCCTCCCCCATGTCTCACTTTGGCTTACCCACCAAGCTCGCTCCCTCCCCTCCCCTTCTCTTCAATCTTGGCGCTCATCTCCGTCCATGAAGGAACCGGCATGTTGCAGCAGGCTCGCTGGGGACGTGAACGATTGACAGATGTGGCAGCCGTCACTTGCTAGTGACAATTCGCCGTGATGCATGTTGGAAACGATAACTATGAATGAATAAATGAATATATACTTGAATCCACGTAAAACACCGAGTCCTGCCATAATATATTGTGGGTGAAGTCCGATTAATGTTGAGAAAGCGCCATGGTTCGGGATCGGGAAGGCTGCGGCCCACCTATCTCCAAGTCGTCATATCTCCGAGGCTGCAAGTCTGAGCAGGTGCAGCGGGCCATGTGCTTATCAGGGATCCAAGATTTACTTAGCAGATGAAGATATTAATACAACGCGATAATATATCATCGCATGACCCAGCGACCACTCCGTTTTATCTTTCTATCTTCCTTCGTTATCTGAACCAGCAATTCGTGACCAATGCCGAAACGCGCCCGAGACCGGATACGACGTCGCAAGCTTTCCTTCCCTTTTCCTTTTCCTTGATAATCAGGAGGCTCGCCTGCTTCGGAATGGAATGACGCTCCTGCATCATGATTCATAGTAACTCGTCTGACTTCCCCTCTTCAGCTCCAGCTTAAACTACGGTTCCCATCCCGCCTCCGCATTCCGCACTTCGTATTCTCCAGCTCATTATTCCCCGCTGTCTTCAATTGCTTTACCTTCTTCTGGACTCCTGGAGAGCTGAGGACCGTTTCTTTACTTCTGATTCATGCTGTGAGACTATTTGATTTCAAAGAATCAGCCGTGCCCGCCATGCGCCAATCGTCCGTCGACGCCAGCGCCGACGAGGCCCTGGCCCGTATGGGCTACAAGAGCGAACTCCCCCGCAATCTCAGTATGCTGAGTATCCTCGGACTGTATTTCGCCCTCCCCTCAATCTTCTACTCCCCTTCAAAGCACCAGTACAATGAGCTAATGCTATGGCGAGAATAGTTCGTTTGCAATAATGGCCGCCCCGTTCGGCCTCAGCACAACGCTTTACATCACACTCACAGATGGCCAGTCCGTCTCCATAATCTGGGGTTGGGTCTTCGTAACCCTCATCTCCATAGCTATCGCATCATCCCTCGCCGAAATCTGCGCTGTTTATCCAACCGCAGGTGGCGTCTACTACTGGAGTGCAATGCTACCGACGAAGGAGTGGGCGCCGATGATGAGTTTCATAGACGGGTGGTTGACGCTTGTGGGGAACTGGACTGTGACACTAAGTATCACGTTCAGTGGGGGCCAGTTGATACTCAGTGCGATTTCGCTTTGGAATGAGGATTTCGTGGCCACCGCTTGGCAGACCATTATCATGTTCTGGGCCGTCATTGGGGTTTGTGCGCTTGTCAATATCTTTGCATCGAGGTGGCTGGACCTCATTAACAAGGTTTGTATCTTTTGGACAGGTGGGAGTGTGATTGTTATTCTTGTTGTGTTGTTGAGCATGGCCGATGATAGGAGAAATGGGAAGTTTGTGTTTGGGCATTTCGATGCGAGTGAGAGTGGTTGGTCGGTTCTAGCCAATACCCTGAGTGTAAACAAAACGGTTGCTAATCGAGTCTAGGCCGTCCGGGTGGGCGTTCTTCGTTGGATTGCAGCAGGCTGCTTATACACTCACTGGGTATGGAATGGTGGCAGCCATGTGTGAAGAAGTACAGAACCCGCATCGTGAGGTCCCGAAGGCGATTGTCCTGTCTGTCATCGCGGCGGGTGTTACCGGTCTGATATATCTGATTCCAATCCTGTTCGTGCTGCCGGATATCAAAACGCTGCTCGATGTCGCGAGTGGACAGCCGATTGGGTTGGTATTCAAGACCGCCACCGGGTCGGCGGGAGGTGGATTTGGCCTGCTCTTCCTTATCCTAGGTATCCTGATGTTTGCGGGTATCGGCTCCTTGACAGCTGCCAGCCGATGCACATATGCTTTTGCGCGGGACGGCGCCATCCCGGGCTTTCGGCTCTGGAGAAGAGTCAACAAAAGATTGGATGTCCCCGTGTGGGCAATCATCCTCTCTACGACAGTGATCTGCCTCCTTGGCCTGATTTACTTCGGCTCAAGCGCGGCCTTCAATGCATTCACAGGCGTGGCAACGATCTGTCTATCTGCCTCATACGCTCTGCCGGTTTTCATCTCCGTGCTTCGCGGTCGTCAAGCTGTCAAACATTCTTCCTTTTCGCTCGGCCGGTTTGGATACGCCATCAACATTGTAACCATCTTGTGGATTTGTCTAGCCGTCGTGATTTGTTGTATGCCTGTTTCGCTGCCTGTTGATGCGAGCTCGATGAACTATGCTAGCGTTGTGTTTGCAGGTTTCGCGGCTATTAGTGTAACCTGGTACTTCGCTTATGCGCGAAAGCACTTCACGGGCCCACCGATTCCGACGGAGCAGTTCCAGGATACACCTGGAGTTGTGCCGGAGAAGCCTGTTGTTGACCCAGAGCCGGCGGGTTCGGGTTCGAGATTGGGAACCGTTGAGAAGGAATAGCGAGACTTATGATTGACTGACGGAATATATACTGTTTTAACGAAAGACTGATTGTGCTGTAGAGTATCTAGTCAAGTGATGTGTCCGTGAATCTCGGGAGTATAAAGTAGAAGTGTTGAAGTGGACTCGGACGAGGGCAATCACAGGGGGATGGAGAAGGGCAGCAGCGTCTCCGAGAACCGCGGTCCAACTGGTCGACCGACCAACTCCCCCGGACAATCAACAACACTGCGGCAGTCAATCAGTCATCACAACTCCCATAACGCTTCTCACAGTTGAACTGGAGTTTGAATCCTGTCCTTGCCACCGTTTCATATCCAGACTGGACAAATCGATTTCTTATCTCTGACGATAGACGCGTGGATCGCTTCCCCTCTCTGTCTCCGCCGAACCACGCAACGCAATCCGGGGAAGCTCACTGAGGTCCGATCAGCTTGACGGATCTTATATAGCCAATTTACGGTGAACATTTAACCTTATCACTCGATATTCCTGTATCGGGCTTTTTGTCGCCTCTAAATCTCCATGACGGAGTCCCGCCTATATCGATGCGCAATTCCGCTCTGATGAAGCACGAGCTCAATCCCGACTCTTCTTAATTCGCAATGTCGGACTCTGTGGGTGCGTCAAGCTCTTGAATTATGTTGTCTGGAATAATCTGGTCCGAGATGTAACTAACGTGCCTAATAGATCGAGTCTTCGTCCATGCCCTCCACACCGTCAAGCGTATTCCCCGTACCGGCACCGCGAGGCCGCCCGCTACGGAACGGCTCAAACTCTATGGACTCTACAAACAGAGCATGGGTAAGAGTTGGATTGGCATATATCGTGCACTAGACGTTGAGAAGTAATAGCTAACGTGGATTCAGAGGGGGACGTCGAAGGGGTAATGGACCGGCCGGTGGGAAATACGGCGGATGTTTATATGGAATGCGAGAAGTGGTATGTCCATCTTGCACCTTAAAGCTGATGGCTGCTTGTTGACTCGCTGCAGGGACGCCTGGTTTTCTCAACGGGGTCTTTCCCGCACCGAGGCCAAACGACGATATATCACGACACTTGTCGAAACGATGCACACCTACGCTTCGCAGACGGCGGAGGCGCGCGAGCTCGTCGCCGAACTTGAGTTTGTCTGGGATCAGGTTAAGTCGAATATATCTTCGTCGTCCACTTCGAGCCCTGTACAGTCTACCGGGTTTCCTCCGATTCCGCAACCGCAATCGCCGTATGGGAGTATAAGCGCGCAACTGGCGCAGAATCCAGAGTATCAGTATACGGAATCCGCCTCCCGAGGAGATTCCAGACTTCGTGTATTAAGTCCCGTTAGTCAGCCCGATGACGTCTACCAACGGCGTGCGGCGCGGATGAACTACGATCGCGAACGAGGGCTGGACCAAGCAGTTGACGATGAAGGCAACAACCTAGAGGAGGATGAAGACGAGGAAGAATACGCTGAGGCTCAGGCCAATCTTTACGAAAGTGATGAGGAAGTGGAAGCTGAATTGGACGGCCTCATCGATGAAGACGACGATAATCAACAACCATACACAGGTCGCATCCTAGATGACCCTCAAAGTCGGAAACGCAATCGCAACCGCAACCCCAACGGTAAAGACCACCATCTAAACCCAACGAACGAATTCCCCCGTCCAGGAGGCATGCTAATGCAACAGAATAAAGACGACATTGACAGCCGGCGATGGCGCCGCAGAGTCGAGCAGGCCTTGACTAAAATGACCGCCGAGATCGCCGCTGCCCGCGAGCAAATGGAAGCACGTGCCTTAGCAGCCCGTCGGAGGTCAGGCGTCTGGGCCTGGCTTCGATGGCTGGTCTGGGTAACCCTTCGACAGATTATCTGGGACTTGGCTATCCTGGGAATGTTATTGATCTGGATGCGGTTACGTCGGGACCGGCGGCTCGAGGAGCAGCTCAAAGCTGGATGGTCAGTCGTGAAGGCGCGTTTGATAGGGCTGAGGGCCTTGAGGGGTGTAAGGAAAGTATATATATCTCCTTGAGTCTTTTCGTATCTTTTCATTTTTCCCGACTTGGTTTCGCTTCTCTGTCCGTGAGTCTCATTCTATGCACCGTACTCTCTTCCGTTCTGGTATATATTAAGTGGCTAGAGGGCTCCCTTCCTCTTTATTTACTTGGGGTTTCTGTTTCAGGTTTTTTTGGGCTTCTCAAGTCATTCCATACGTCTGCATGTCATTTCCTGGCACATCTTCCGTCTATCAAAGTTTGCTCACTCTCTCATATTCATTCTCACGTGTCAATGGTGTTGGGTAGAGGTATACTCCTGTATTCTAGCATAGATACGGATACCCGGTCTGACTTAGGGCACTGCACTGCACTGCAGTGTTCACATGCCAGCTTGCATGGACTCTCAAACATAAAAATAACGACATTCCTGATGCTAATATGTACACAAATACATCCCGATCAAATCCAGACCATGGCGACACTGATAACGAAACTAAAGACACAGGAGACAGAGACCCGCAAGAACCATTGGCACTGCATTCATTTTCTCTAGTAAACGTATGACAAAACGTTTGATTTGTAGTTGTTGGCTGATTAATATTGCGGGCCGGGGAAGGAAGCGTACAGCTGCTTGGGTCGGAGATGCACCGGGGTCTGGTTCTCGGGGGCGCCGGGGATGGTCTTCTTGAGGCCCTGTTGCAGATAGTTAGATTTTGGTTCCGGGTAATCACAGCGGAAACCCATAGCCAAGATAGTAGCATATGGCCGGGGCCACGCACCAGCTTGTCGAAAACACACTTGTTCAAATCCATCTCCTGCTTGCGGCACTCCCACAGTCGGTGGTTGTTGTTCTCGAGGCATTCCCAGTGAGTGTTGAACTGTTGCAGGCAGTGGGTGTTGATGTCCTTAATACTGTACGGAAGCTCGTCAGCGCCCTATTCATTCTACCCGCCAGTCCAGCCTCTTCCCCTCCCTTTGTCATAACGTAAAGATGACAGCGACCGAACATACACACTAGCCGCGCAGCGGGTGACCTTCCGTCCCTCCTTCAAGCACTCAAGCTCTCCTGCTTTTGACTCGTCCTTGCACTTCATGTAGTCATCGTTGAACGCCTTGCATCGGTCTCCAATGAAGTAGGCGGCACTGGTCAGCGGCGCAGAAGTCGCTCCGATCTCGGCTACCTTGGGAATGCCATTGGGCATAGGCGTGGGGTCGTAGAGGTTTTGTTGGTTGAACCTGTAATGCCGTTGTTAGACAGATGCACTGCGCGGTCGGAGGGAATAGCGTCTCCCCGGGATTGAGGAAGGATTGAAGAGCGTGAGGACGTACTGGGGCTCCCTGCGCGACATGGTGGGCGGTGATTGAGGCGATGCGCGCGTTCAATTGACTGTATAATGGATAGTGCGGGCTGGGGAGCTTCCAATATGGCGGGTTGACCTCAGTTACCGGACGGAGCGGGAATTGGACAGTCGGTTTTTGCTGTGTGCTGATTGGTTGCTGCTCGTTGCTGTCGGGCTTGAGGTCACGGGACAGCCTGCAGCCTGAGGTGTCGATGTGGTAGCTACTGGCAGAAAGCTTCACGTGACATCTGCCAAAACACAACAGCTGCCGATGGGAATCAATATCGAGTCTGGCGGTCGAAGCTAGGAATTTGCCTACTTTGCGAGCTGCTGCGATTGAATTCTTGTCCTCAGCTGGAGCGGCGCTTAGGTATCGCGGTTGGAAATAGAAAGACCAGGAAAAGTTACGCGCTCTGCTTTGTTCATAATTTTTTTGAGCAGCTCCAAACTCGACCTCTTTTACCGCAGCGCAGCGCATACCTACGCTATCGATATACCTATATATCTGCCGATCCATCAAACGTTGTCCTAGCGCGTCCATTACAAAGCCTCGAAATGTCGCTCTTCGGAGGCCAACAGCCCGGTCAATCGCTCAGCCTGTTTTCGAACACGGCCAAAGCGAGCCCCTTCGGCACCACTCCAAATACAGGGACACAACAGAGTGCTTTTGGAACATCAACCGCGACACCACAGCCTCAGCAGACCGGTAGTTCGATATTCGGTTCGACCACGCAGCAGAAGCCGTCGCTTTTCGGGCAAACGCAGCAGCAGCCGCAGCAAGCGTCGACTACAGGTGGACTGTTTGGAGGGCCGTTGGGGAGCGGACAAGGGCCGCAGAAGCCGGCGGGGGGTCTATTTGGCGGTACTTTAGGAGGTGGACAACAACAACAAGCACAGCAGCAGCCTCAATCAGGCATTTTTGGAGGCTTGGGCCAGACACAACAACAGCAACCTCAGCAACAGCAGAGTGTCTTTGGCGGCGGCTCTTTGCTCGGGGGTGCTCAGCAACGGGCCCAACAGCAACAACCGCAACTCGGCCAGTCGACGCAACCGCAAGGGTCGAGTCTGTGGTCTCCAGGCCGCGCAGTGACGGGCGTACACCGAACAGTGCCGATGCAGATGGCTATCGTAAAAGAGAAATGGGATCACTTCAACCGCAACTCTCCCTTCCGGACGTATCTGTACAACAGCGTCGGCGAAGGCAATGCACCATTCTACCAACCCGGGCCGCAAGACGACGAAACAAAATGGGAGGACGCCCTAAGGCAACGACCAGGCTCCGACTACGTTCCCGTGCTGGTGCGCGGGTTCTGGGAACTCGGCAAGCGCGCACAGCGCCAAAAGGATTTCTTAACTATGATGCAGGCGCGCCTGCATGAGATCAACAACTGCCTCACTGAGCTGCTCTCGCGTCACGATCTGAAGATCTCCGTCAAGATCGCCGATTCCCGCCGGAAACACCTTGTACTTAGCAAACGGTGCCTGGCGCTTGCTGCCAAGACCCAGGTTCTGCGGAACAGAGGATACGCGATGGATGAGGCTGAGGAGGAGCTAAAGAAGAAGCTTGCGAAGCTGGAAACCTCCGTTTTTGACCCGACGCTTAGCGGTCGTAGCGAGGAAATTTGGGCCCGTATGCTGGCTATCCGAGAGCACTCGACGCGGCTACAGGTGGAGCTGGAACGGGCTGGGTCTACTGCTGCGAAGGGGGAGGATGAGTTGGATGAGGAGACGATGAAGAAAGCTAAGAAGGTACCTTCCACCACCAATTTTTGCTCCATTCTAGCTTGCTAACATCTTCTTGCAGGTATTGGACGATTACCATTCTCAGATTCAACACTTACAGAAGGAATTGGAGTCCGTAAAGAAGGACTTCGAAGAGGCGACAAAGTCAGTCAATTAGATATCGCGCTTACCATCTCTCTTTCTTCTCTTTTACACTCCGCCGCACCAGCTTCGTCTACAGTGCTTTTGGTTTGGTTACGGTTGACGCAAGGTACACTATTCGGAGCATGGAGTTATGTCATTTAACTGTCATGCTATTGGGAAAGTTTCACATATCATATCACTATAAAAGAAAATCAAATACCAATGTACAGTAATTATACATCATTCCTGAACGGCCAGGCTCCAAAATCTCAAGTGCGCCGGAATGCTCAATGCCCTCAACCTTTTGCCATATTATACGTATGGCGGGTACTCCGTACATATGAAGGCGATGAAATTAGAGGAACTTCGTGACAAAGTCGATGGCGAAGGGAGCTTCAATCATCACTGATTAGCTCAATAATCAAGTTGATGGTCTGGATGTAGACGTACAGAGGTACAGGAGGACTCCGCCGGTGATGGCCATGCGGACGGTCTGGTTGGCCTGGGCCTCACCAGCCTGTGATAGGGCAAGTCAGTGTTGTTCCGGAAAGTCATGCAATGCGACGTTGTTCGGGGTCGGGACGTCTGCTGGGATGTACCTTGATGTCTTCCTTAGATTCCTGGGCTGTAGGAAGATCAGTTAGCTTGTTTTGCAGCGAATCAGCGACCAAGGAGCGTACATACGGGGAGCAAACATCTTGAAGTATATTCTGAATTAGAGAACGAAGCTGGAAAGATATAAGGCGCTATAGATGGTGTTGTTGACTCTCCAGAAGATCAGCTCCGAAAGAAAAGTCAGGCCGGACAGATTCTGCCGCGCACCACCGCCCAGCTTCATTCTGTTTCGGGCTCTTTCACTCTCTCCTGCCACTGTTATTTCTCGGCTGTATCGCCTCATTTCAATCTCATTCTGCTTCTTCATCGTGTATTCCTTGGCCCTATTCGACTTCTCTTTTGTTACGTGGACTGAACTTGGAGGCTGGTCCTGATATCATTCGGCCGTTTGACGGTGCCCTTACTCTCACTCTCCCCTTTCATCGCGCATCCACATATCTTGATACAACACATCCATCATGTCTGCAAGCCCTGAGCTGAAAGCCACGGCTACTACGCCTCCCATTGAAACCGAGGTCGAGACCGAGCAGAACGCCGAAGAGACAGTGCAGCCGCCAACCCCAGGCGCAGGCGGCGATGATGCGGATGCGGATGACAACGACGCCAAACCGGCCGTCGACAACGACAACGAGAACGAGAACACAAACGAGAACGATGAACTCGAGAACAACCTCGGCGACTCGGACGATGAGTCGATTCTCTCAGAAGTAGACGAGGCGCAGTTCGAGGACTTCGATCCGGAGAATGTGGATATTGAAGATCGCCCGCAGCTAGATATTGACGAGGAGAACCTGAAGCTTATTGGGCGGCATAAGAGGAAGAGGACGGAAGAGGAGGGCGCGTCGAGAAGGAAGAAAGAAGGCAGGCGGAAGAAGAGCCGACGGTATGCGGAGGAGGATGAAGGTGGGAGTGATCAGGAGGCTGGTGGGAGGCGGAGAAAGTCTAAGAAAGCGGCCATTGAAGAGGATGAGGAGACGCTTGATCCTGCTACCCGTATGTTTGGTGCTGCGAAAGTAGTGGGGTAGGAAGTGCTAATGGTGTATAGGTCGGCGGAGAGCGCTTGATCGCGCTATGGACGAGGCGATGAAGAAGCCTACCAAGAGAAGGGCTAGGAAGCAGGATGGCATTGTATGTTTGCGGTCGAGGTTATTGCTGGCGCTACGGTCGCTAACATACATAGGACTTGGAACAAATGGCAGATGCTGAGATCGAGGATATGCGCAAGCGCATGACACACGCAGCACAGATGGATGCCATCAATCGTCGCGAAGGCAAACCGGCCATGCACAAGCTCAAGATGCTTCCTGAAGTCGTCTCGCTGCTCAACCGCAACCAATACGTCAACAGTTTAGTCGATCCTGAGATCAACCTGCTAGAGGCAGTGAAGTTCTTCCTCGAACCGCTGGACGATGGATCCCTCCCCGCCTACAACATCCAGCGCGATCTGATGACCGCCCTGGGCAAGCTCCCGATTAATAAAGAAACTTTGATCGCCAGTGGCGTTGGCAAGGTAGTGGTGTTCTACACGCGGAGCAAACGTCCAGAGCCGGGTATTAAGCGCATGGCCGAGCGACTGCTAGCTGAGTGGACGCGACCAATTCTCCAGCGCAGCGACGACTACTCCAAGCGAGTGTACCAAGAAGCCGAATTCGATCCTACGTATGTTATCCTCCTGCTGTTTCTGTTCCTTCCACTGTCTTGCGCTTATATTTGCTGACTGCTCATAGTAAAATCACTTCGCGCGTCAAGTCGGTCCAAGATAGCGCTGCTGAAGCGCGCGCACGCGAGCTCCTTCCCCCGCGCCTGGCGAACCGTGCGCGTGCCGAGATCTCACATACCAGCTACACCGTCGTTCCACGACCTACGATGGTGCAAGAGAGCAAGTTCGCGCGACCGCTGGGAGCGAGCGGTGAAGATCGATTCCGGAAGATGCGCGCGCGACAGATTGCTGCGACGAAGGGGCAGGGCTCGCGGCGGTAGTTTGGTTTGCTTATCGGCTCTCGGCTCGAATGCTTGTAGCCTCTTAGCTTTAGTTCTGTATTTGCCATTATTCGTCACGGATCGGGCGCTCGGGCGAGGGAACATTCTGTATCAATTTAAGATCTATAATAAGCAAAAGCGCGAACAATCGACTGAATAATGGATTAGTTATCATTAGTCCTGGCGGCTGGAACAGACGGCAGCGGCGCAGCGGTGTTTGGTCGGTGATCGTACGACTGGGGCAGAGCCCGAGTTTGGCCCGCCGGCACAGATCCCGCAACCCGTTAGACGTCACCGGGCTCTGCTCCCTCCGATAACTTCCTTCTCGCGTCATCTGCACATCAAAATTCTTTCATCCTCCTCTTTATAAGAGTCTCCAATTGTCCAGATCCCGATTCTGTGTCCAGCCCTACAGCTTATATATATCCATCCACCTTTCTGTACATACACCACATTCACCATGAAGCTCCTCACAAAGGAAGAAGAAGATGCCCACTACAGGTAAGCCCGCCACCACACCACCGCAGCTCAGCCCGATTGCGATAAAACTCAAAAATAGCAAGAGGTTAAGATCACAGTACTAATTCGCAACTACAGCCAGGTCCTCAAGGGAGGCTCCATCGGTACAGTCCTCGGTCTCATCGGTGGCTATGCAGGTGTCATGGCCGCATCCCGCCGCTACCACACAATCCGCAACCTCACAATCCCCATGAAAGCTTTCCTTGTCACATCATCCGGAACCTTCGTCGGTATCATTGGTGCCGACCGCTCCTCCCGCGCCTTCGAAGCTTCCCAGAACCAGAGCCGACAATGGTATGAGAACCGCGAGGAGCGCCTCCGCGAAGAGGGACTGCGCGGGTTGAGCTTCTCCGATCGCGCTCTCGCCTGGGCAAGGGAGGAGCGCTACACCATCGTCTTCTCTACGTGGGTGGCGTCAATGATTGGTAGCTTTGCCATTGTCGGGCGCAACCCTTACCTCTCGGGTCCGCAGAAGCTCGTCCAAGCTCGTGTTTATGCGCAGGGCGCCACGCTTGCTGTGCTGATTGCTAGTGCTGCTTTTGAGATCTCCGAGAGGAGGAGGGTTAGGAAAGACCTTGATGCTAAGAAGATCGCCGCCGGCCTGCCGGTGGACGCCGAGGCGCCGAAGGGCGAAGAGGGAGGTGATCTTTGGAAGGATATGGTTGCTGCTGAGGAGCAGCGCCTGAAGAAGCAGCACCGCTCACTATACGAGAAGCACCACACAGACGCCGGATCTGACCCTGAGTCTGGGTCTACCTCGCCGCAGCAGAAGGCTGGTGTTGAGGGGGTGCAGAGTGAGCAGGAGCAGGAGCAGAAGGGTGAGGAGAAGAAGGAAAAGCAAAAGTGATTCCGTTTGGTTGCTTTAATGTTCCAACATAAAGGATAGATGGCTGTTTGTTTGTGTATAGCATGTTTGTTTCTCTCGTGGTTGGGCGGGTTTCTCATACCACGATTTTATATTTGGTTCATATACTCATGTCTGTACTTTTACGCTCTCTCCTCCTAATGATGATTTTTTGGTTGAAGACTGGCGTTTGTCCATGCTTTTCTATTGGAATTATACCTAAAACAAGCCTCATCTGATATATGCAAATGTTCTACCTCATTCATTGGTTATATACACCTTAGTTTCAGATTTGCGACAATCATTGTTGGCTTAGAATAGTATTCATCTTGTTAGAGTATACGAACGGGCTATATAGCCAATAGGTTTTTATAGCCTAGTGGAATATATGCTAACACATCTTACTCATCGCTATATCGCTTATGAATGTATGGACAATCGGTTTACCGTATGCAGGTCATCATCGGAAGACAAACTCCAGCTCTAATATATACATTCCGCTATTTGAGGCGCATCTCCACTTCACAGCATACCCCAGAGGCAAAAGAGCCCTATCAAAGCTTTGCCCTCCCCTCAAACCCAGCCACAAAATCAGCCCTTTTGAGCTCAGGCGTCTCAGCTAACAACCCGCCAATGGCCTTAGAGAACTGCTTAAACGCCGGCGTGGAGGCATGCTCCTTCAGATTTTGAGCGTCGGTGTATCTGCAAATTATTGATTAGCACATACTTCGATCCAGACCGCTCTTGCAGCAAAGCTAGACTGGACATGGCCCATGGGAAAGAAGGACGCTCACTTCTCAACAATGACAAGTTCCTCGGATCCCTGCGGTTGAACGGCAAAGTAGATCTGAGTCTTGGGTTCGTTCTCCTCGACGTATTTTGAGAGAGTCCTAAATGCTTCAGAGACCTTGGAGCTTAGTTAGTGGTACTGCTATTGTGAATGGGGTGATTAGGGGGGTTTATATACCTCATCGAATTTGCCAGGTTTGGGAACCAGTCGGACAACATTGTAGAATTCCTTGGGAGACATGACGGCTGCTCTTATGGCTTAAGTGCAATGAAGGGAAGATTGGGTGGTATAGACTAAGTAATAGAAGTTGTGAACATTGAGTAGGAAGATATAAAAAGCAAATATGTAGTCTAGACTTCGGTTGTCGCGGAAGTGGAGAAGGGAAGATGCCGAGGATGTGGGAGGAGATCAGTAGGAGCAGATCGCCCGACGTGGATATTTGCACTATACAGACTTACAGAGTAAATAGAATGTTTCATTCAAAGTCTCTCTCATATGAGATGTACATTGCAGTCGAACAGAATACAGTAGTCAAAGGGCAGCCATCGACTCGGTCTGGCACTGTGGAGTTGCTCATGAAAGACCCTCTGCTGTCATCACGTCCGACTTACAAGACATATCTTTGGGCTCAAAGCCCGTCCCAATTTACCTAAGGCACTCGGAATATATACTCACTGTACAATGCAGGCACAAGATCATCTATCGATGCCGGGAGTTGTATATAGTAGGCATCACGTGCCTTGGTCAGTGACGTAGCTTTCGCTGAGTGGGGACCTTCTTCAATGTGCTTCCCTGTGACCAACAAGAACATCAAAATATCTGGCCCGGCTTCAGGCCTATCTTGTTTAACATGAAAAAGACCCTGCTACTAGTGTTTATTCATGGATTCAAGGTAAGCAACTCATGCTCGCTTCATGAGATCTGGTGCACAAGCAGGAGACTCGAACTTCTCCGCATATTTGGCTCTAGAGAAATCACATTCTACTGTCTGAGACAGTCCTTGCTAACGAACCTTTCTACGAATTCAGGGCGGCGATGACACGTTCGGTGACTTTCCGAGACACTTACAGGCCCTCCTTAGCAGCAAGCTTCCCTCCATAAGCGTCGCGACTCTTGTCTACCCCAAGTACGAGACCCGGGGAAGCCTGCAAGAATCTGTGAGCGCGCTCCGGGAATGGTATGCCTTAGTGCCTATTGTTAAATCAGCTTATGGAGACGAGCTAACATTCTGCAGGCTGCAAAACCAAGTCATAGACTTGGAAGTCGCCAACGGAACAGCTTCACCTACCGTTGATCCATCCGTGCACGTCTTTCTTGTCGGCCACTCAATGGGTGGCATTGTCGCTGCGGACATGCTCTTGCTCCTAGCTTCTGAACAGCCCATACCGGCGAGGACCTCCCCAAATTCCTCTCAGTACCAATATCATGCAGGCTCGGAGGAGACAGCAGCCGCTGACAGCACGAATATAGCGGATTCTGGCTCATTCATGTTTCCTCATATCCAGGGCGTTTTTGCTTTTGATACGCCATACCTGGGAATCGCACCTGGCGTGGTTTCATACGGTGCCGAAGGACATTATAAGAGCATAACGTCGACATACAACGCATTCTCTGAGGTAGCTGGGCTATTTGGTATCGGCGCAAACAACACTGCTAGCAAAGGGACCCCGGCGCCCCCGAACGATGCCAAAAAGTTACCACCGGTTGCTAATGACGACGCTGCAGCGACACCATCTTGGCAGCGCTGGGGAAGGTATGCTATGTTTGCGGGTGCCGCGGGAGCTGTCGCCGCGGGAGGAGCTGCAGCCATGTACTCCCAGCGACAGCGGTTGACTGATAGCTGGGGCTGGGTTTCGTCGCATCTCTCCTTTGTGGGCTGTTTAGCACGACCGACGGAACTTCAACAACGTCTTTCCCAGTTGTCACAAATGCGCAAGGATCGAGGAATCAGATGCGTGAACTTTTACACCTGCCTAGGGAAGGGTGCCTCATCCCTGGTGGAGAACACCAGCAACGTCAACGAAACAGGCAGCAGTCAAGCAGCATCGTTTAGCTCCCGAATCATCCGCTCGAAGCACCGTACATTTTGCACTCTCCCGGAGAACGAGGAAGGCCAAGGCCAAGACAAGCCGAACCGCATGGGGCCGGGACTGGAGTGGACCAAAGCCGTGAATGATAAAGCTACCGATGAGATCAAGGCCCATACTTGCATGTTCCTACCGAAGCAGAACCCGGCATTTTACGAACTAATAAACCACGCATGCACGGCGATGGTCAGGTCGGTGGATAGGGGTTGGTACAGTACCGCTCGAGGACAAGCTGTTTTCAACGATACACCAACGGAAAACATGCCGCGGCCCGAGCAAGACCGAGCCCACAACCAAGCCGAGAGCGGGACGGACGAGGACGTCGTAATTATTGATTGATCCTGCAAATTCATCCGGCACGTTCCGTCTGAGCGGCAACTGTCAGACTGTCGATCTTGCTTGACAGCGATTCTTCAGGCTGGAATAAGCGTTCTTACCAGCTTACTGGAGCCGTCTGACGAAGCTTATTGGGCGTATTTGCTCTCCGACAACAGCACACCAGGACGAAAGTACTGGAGGCCGCGTACGAAGTACAGAGTAAGGCACAAGTACGAGAGCGACTAATCGTTCCAACCCAAGCTAGCTCGGTTAATATTAGCAGCGAAATTCTCAACCCTGCAGAAGCACGAGGCCCCGTGCGCGACTATCGTTTACCAGCGCCCTCCAACAACAGGATTAGGACCAGCTTCCCGTCCTCTATAGTAGTCGATGTGGTGCTATAAGTCTATACCTCAGCGGAAAAATCAGCCGGTTTTCTCCAGTTCTCCGACCTATCAGGACTCAGGAGTCAGCATTATAGCGAGTTGCAGCATACGGAGACCTAGAATTCGGACGGCAAAGTCCGTCAACAACCATCTGATTCTGCTAACCGGCTATTATTACATAGCCCTCATCTCGGTGCAGATAGATCGTGCCTTGATATGATGATGTCCTTCCCTTTGCGGCAGTAATCGCCGTCGTTTAGGGTTTATTGGACAAGTACCGCTGAAATTATTATTGACGTGACACCGTCAAAGCAACTCAAGCCTTTAGGCCCTTACCCACCCAGTTCGGTCGAAGTGGAACTGCTGGATCCCTGCCACATTCTTTTGTTATGGAGTAGAGAATAGAGATGTGCAAATGTCAACATTTTCTCCATTGTGTCAGTCAGTCTGTAACATGTCCATGTTTTTTGACACCCGGGCAGACAGTCATAAACCCTATAGTAACCTCAAAAATTACCTTGTGAAAGCTAGGCCCTTACAAGCCACCAGTTTCTATCTTATATACGGAAAAATGAGCATTTCACATCCCTATTATGGAGATCCTACTATAATATGAGATTGAGAGGAGACAATGAACGGGAATCTCCAACTGCATACCGCAAGTTGGCCGATTCTGAAGGAGTTGAGATGTGGATACGGAGTATATCGCACTCGTTTCTTCGAAAAATAAGATGCACCATTAGTGAGGTACAAAGATTTACAGTATTCTTCAATCGCCAAATTTCCATGAAGTAGTCCCTATCAGATGCTAATATCAACGTTTCGGCCGTCCCTGTCTTGGCGGTTTCAGGACCATGATTAGCCGATGAAGTGTGCGCCACTAAATCCTGGCTTATGTACAATAGACGAGGGTTCTAAAAAAATGAGAATGGTAAACCAGAAATGGACAAGTATAACGACGGTTCTTTGCGGGGGCAGAAGAATGAAGAACATGGAAAGAAAATCACCCGACGCTGAAATCGCTGTAAAGTACAAATTAGATAATAATCAAAAGCTAGGACAGTCCAAGCCAAAATCATTAATAGATTGGTATATCCCGCTCCGAAATAAGTGCCCATAATCGTAAGAGAATGTAAGATGTCAAGAATATGCATGATGTGTGCGAAGAAATCAGGCCCAAGCGCTAAAAATGCCGATTAATAGCCGTGACCGTTATAGGTCGATGCACGATGATGATACATGCTTCCGGCATACTCCGAATTCGTATCCTGGTAGACCATAGTCCGGCGGTCCTCCTCAGGAAGAAGCTCCTTGACTTCCCAGTTGTTTGGCTTGATTCCGACGGAGAATTCGAGGTCTTCTTTTGTGATATAGTCCCAGAACTAGAAGAACCAATGGTGTTAGATATATGTAAAGTCAAGCGTCGGGACACTAGGGTTGAGGTTACGTACCTTGTATACCATCATGACAGCGAGAAGATTACAGAAAGTAGCGAAGAACAGCCCATCCAGGTAATGCTGAACGTTATCGCAAATGACATCTCCAAAAGCGTACATAATGACTTGTCCCGCGATGAAAACGAGCAAGCCGAATGCGATATGGCCGAGGGGCCAGCGGTCCTCGAGGGTGTTGAGGACGAGTAGAAGCTGCATGACCAGATAGACAGCGATGCAGATTGCATTAATGATATACAAAACGATAAACAAGGCAAGCGTATTTGTCGGACTTAGACCGCCCCAGGACTTGAATGTTAGGATTGAGATTAGAAAGGACACGGCGAACATGACCGTTGACGTTAACCGGAGCAGCCAGACAGAGAGTGCAGTTCCGTCCTCATACAGTTGGAACCCGACGAACCCGTTGACGAGCAGACTTGTACACAGCGCGGAAGCCAAGCCATTCTGGACGGCGACAAACCACGGGAAAGGACCGCTTCGAGGAGGTACTACGCCTGCGTCGATGACCAGCGAAATAACGGTAAGCGCCATGTAAATGTAAAAGAATGTTATGATCTCCTTTCGCCCTATGCGGGAAATAAATGGTTAGTGCTGCTTCCGCCGCAGCGAAGGAATATCAAACGTACCCACAGCGGTGAATTTCGATCTGATATGCAGGATCATAATCACCGTCATCCCTAGCGCAATAATATGCAGAAATGAGGCAGCGCCTTCGAAGATAATCGTGTTGGCCAGCTCAATATTTCGCGCATAGCAGTTCGGTATAATTCCGGTAAAACCTGATATCGCGGACGAGGGACCAACCAAAGAACAAAGCGGCAGTGCTGCCCTCTTGCAGATCTCGTCAAAGTCACCGAAGCCCATATTGGCAGCAGTTGGCGTGTATCTCGCCCTCCTTTGACTCTTTTGCTCAACTTCGGTTGCGTTGTTGGATGCTTTGACTTGGCCTTTGAGGCGGACTGGATAGGGGCTCCGCTCCGATCAGGATTCAGGAACGAGGCTGCAGTGAGCGATTTGGGTACAGGCCGGGCGCAGAATCACACTGCAGCGAGGCGTTTAAGCGAGTGACAGCGGGGAAGCGACGAAGTATTGAGGGAAGGGAAGTTTCAAAGAATGATACAAGTTGCCTCAACGAGGCTGGGGAGGGGTCCAGCGGCTGTTTGAAGTCAGATCACGAGATCCACTAGTGCCGATCGGGGCTGGGCGAGGCTGGTTGGTATCTTACCGCCTTCGGCCTAGCGTATCGACTCAGCCACTAAGCCGGTTTCGGAACCATGTTTACTCCGCCCGCCGGAGTTCTACGGCCGGGATTCTGTGCATTCGATCCTCCGAATAATCCTTCTAGAATCCTTCCGAGAACCTCCAGCCACAAGAATGTCGTTTTTCTTCGGTCCCAGCCTCTTGCGAGCCCACGATAGTCAGCGCTCCTACCGTTTGAGTACAATCTTTACCTCAAGTGAATCGGGTGTCGAAACTGCGTTTGTTTCTGTCAGAGATCCCAACACTTTGCACCTGCAGTCTAGACCATTGCATTCAGTCACAGACACCGTCGACGGAGATTGAGGCTTGGTTAGCTTGCTTGGTATGAGTTAGCACTTAGCATGGCTCATTCCTAGCAGGGCGCAACGTTCCCCTCATTTCCCCGGCCGTTGTATCCGGGTGAACGCTATTCCCATGCTTCATAAGTCACGGTCCGAGGCATAAACAACAAGGTTCACTTACAGAGAACGCGGAGGTCTTTCTCGATGTGGCGCCACGGATTGTGGGCCATGGGCCGCCATAGAACGAGTAGGCAGAGGCCATCTGACGTCTGTAGGGTTTCGGCACTTACCAAAAGATCACGCTATGGCGACTAAGCACAAAAATTGCACCGAAACATGCAGCTATTGGGCACATCTTTGATCCACAACGACAGCACCAAGACTTGCAGTGCAGTCTGTGCTTGACGTGGCTGAAACTCGGGAGTTTGCAAGAACAGCGACAAACTCGAAAACGTTATCTCGTATGAACTAGGCCAAGTAGCTCAAGCTGCTTTGACTGGGCTTGGTGCTTGGCTGAAGCCAGGTAGGGTGTTGTATGTCTTGAGCATGATCCGGCTCTCGCATAGTGGACGGAACACGTAAGTGCAAAAACCCAGCAATAAGAGCCGGAATTAAAATGGCCGCAGCCAATTGGTGTTCTTCCGAAGGATATATTATTGCTGATAACATATCACCCAGGAGTCGCGGAATGGAGCATACCTATACCTAGCTCTAGTCCCTCGTCCCGCAGGAGAAACCCTGGCCTATGCCAAAGTTTATGCTGTGGGGACTGCAGGTTGGTGGTTACAACTGCCGAATCTACCGGCACGTACGAACTTACGAAGTTCCCCATAGATTAACCTTACGAAGCATTACAATCACAGTGGAACTATTCCGCTGGCCCGCTACTATTCCGAGTTCGGCTTTGCGCCCAGCGCAGTTCCGACAGAACATACACCGTACAGCATCAAGTCTCAAAGTCAAGCCAATTGACTATTGATCTCTGCATAAGATCCCAGCTAGCGCCACGTGCCGATAGAGGCTTGGAGTGCGTCAACGCCAACGGCTTTTGAGGGACGGCGTCACGTCGATCACCCATAAATATTCTCAAACCGATCGAGCCGAAACGGATGGACCCATGAAAACAAAACTGAAGCTATCCAAGTGGGCCCCCTGGGTCCCACCCTTCTTTTCACAGCTGCAAGCCTGCAACCTGCAACGAAGCCGCGGTACCGCTCTACTTCGGGGCCGATGGCTCGGAACAGGACATCCATGATGCTGGACTACTGGATGGGCTCTTTGCCTCGCTGTGGTTGGCTCGGGATGAAGTCTCCATCAATCCCTAATATTTAACCCCGGGCTACTTGAGGCAAATAATCGACTCAGAATAATAATAGACACTTCCAAATAATAACACCCAAAAGAAGAAAAAAAGCCAATCAGGTTCCAATTCTGCCTTTTTTTCCAGCTCCCCTGTCGAGTAACCCTGGCAGACTGCACCTGGCTTGTGACGGACCCGGACCCTACTATAATCCTTGATGATGGCAGTTACAAGTTGGACCACTTCTCTTTATGAATCCACCAGCAAGACTCCATGAGTATATATTGTTCTTTGCTTCTGGTACATTTGCGCTTCATTCTTGATTCTCTGACCTCAATCTGGACCGTTTCGTCTCCCATCCGCTGCGCCTAACGTCAATCCTGCTGCAGTTGCATCTACACCTATATCGTACCTCGCATCAAGAAAGTGAACCAATCACTCGACTCCCAATTCACCTCGCTTGTACTGATTTCGGCTGGCCGGTCAGATTGCCAACAACGATGTGCAATCACTACAAAAATTACTACATCTACAGCAGCTGCAACCAACCCAGCTCTCATGTCATTCGCACATCGATCGATGAGCCAAAAGAGGCCCGATGTTCGAGCTCTCCGCACGACCGGTTCATTGTCGTCGTGGGGAAATGTGTACTTTGCAATCGTTGACATCGAGACTGTCTTTCGATGAACCCATTGCCGCAGTGCCAAAGCTGGGCAACCTCAAGCCTCCGGGCTATCGGGAAACCCTATTCCACTTGTATACAACAGCACGCTGATGTCACGGCAATCTTCTTTATCTACTGGAAGCGAGCTGATTTTTGACTGTTACTATCGCTGTGATACCTCTGTTCGTTATAAACTGCTTGATCATCTTCTCTTCGACTGTGTTTTACTACATACGTGCTGTGGCTGGAAGGAACAATTGGAGTGTACTTTTGCCTTAGACGGACGGAGTCCATTTGTCTGGTGTTTGGATTCAGGGTTGGGATTTCTAGCCGGTTGAATCCGACAATAATGACTGACGAGCCTTCTTTGTTTCTTCTCTCTATCCGTCGCAAGCCTGATCTAGACTCTCGCACAGGCAGCATCACATGTGCCAGTGCAGGCCTGCAGCATGTGTCCGGTTTAGTCGAGGAGCTTGGACCTGGTGCTTTCTCTCATTATCTGGCCCTGTTGCCCCCGGGGGCGGGAAGATCAGGCGAAAATCAGGAGATGCTCTAATGCTTGAGCGCCTTGACCTCGTCTATTCTCTGCCAGTCCATTAACAATATCACGGAAGCTCTGCAGATAATCTAAATTGTCGCCAAGGCCCCAACTGTTAGTGTATTGCTCCGAGATGGTGGAGTCTGTGCTCAGCGACCGGCATTGCCATCGTCTGCTCTCCAGCTCCAGCTACTGACTCGACTCAACTCAACTCGGAGACCATCGACAATAACCATCCCGGCTGTCACACGTGTTTTGACCACTTGGAGTTCCTCGTTGGGACAGTCGCCGGGCTTCATTCTCCATCCGTTCCCGGCACTGGCCCATGCATCTTTATCACACACAGCCCGGCGTCTTCATTGCCATCCCCAAGCAAGCCATCTGCGTCTGCGAGGTATATGGAGCCCCGAAATTACGAAATCAGGATAAATGCGGGTGGGATGGCCCGCACGACCCTTTTTCACTGCGCGCACCTAGAAGCCCGGCAGCGCATCTCCCGGAACTGCCTTTCTTGCGTACGCCGGCGCTTCTTGCTTGTTGGCTATTGGATCCATGATTGCATGACCGTTGTCGTTTAATTTGCGGCCGAGTGCTCCAGTACTGACCAACCTGCGAATCACGGCACTTGCACCCTGCTAAGAATCCGGCCAGCTCACAGGAGCTTTAGACTATGCGCCACAGACCAATCCTGTCTCGGCCCGATCGTGAGGCAAGAGTACTTATACTGTCCGCTGGCAGGACGATGCCTTGCCTTGATTCTATACTTGTGAGCACCGAAAGCCTGCGAGCTGCGGGATGGCTGCAGCTGCACCGATTGCTTCTTCTGCGCAGGATATTATTTCCGCGGATAGCGCTGATATTCTCTGCCACATCCTCTGACCTGACGATCATGACATGACCCTTGTTTTGCTTGCTGACGGCACAATTCGTCGCTTGAATCAATCTGGCACACATCCGCTTGTTAGTTGTCGATCATATCATCCTTGCTCATATACCGCGCCCCCGAAACCAGCCAACCAGCCCCTTTCGTCTCCAACGGCTCGCAGGGAACCTTGAAAGCTGATGACGACGCGTTTTTAACATATTCTTTGCTGACCAGTAACCACCCGCAAATTTCGCGAACAGACACGGTGGATCCGTGCTGCGGGAGCGGGAGGCCGTTCCATAAAGATCGCGCCTCACTCCGGAAGAGTGTCGAGTGACTCGATCAGATACCTACGGATCATCGATCCATCCCCATTACAACGTTGTTACACTGCGCTAGGTAAGCCAACGCCTGCGACTCATCTTACGGCGTCTTCTAAGGGAAGCCCGCATCCAACCATTCACGGAGCTCCAGCATTGTCAGTCTCCGATAACTATCCCACAAGGCCACATCAGCCAACCATCGACTAACTGTTGCTGCCTCCGTTGTAAAAGGAGCACAGTCTTGTCGATCACTTGATTACGCAATGGTGAGCTAACTAAGGTTATCAGTTGGAGAACGCACCATTTCTCTAAGTCTACGGAGTAGATACTCTGAACAGAGTAGCAGCATCACCTGGACCGGTCCTGCAGGTACTCTCTCGGAAGTATTCCGGCCCACGAGAATTCAACCAGCAGGTGGGACCGCTGGGTTGAGGTTGGGGTTGTTAGGGTCGTATGGGGACCAAGCTCTTTGAAGCGCACAAACAAATTCACCCCAGAGTCGAGTTACACCGGTTGAGGTATGTATTTTGGACCCTGGTCTACAGATTCACGGCTAAAAGCTTCGAGTTTGACCATTTAGGCTTGCCCGATACTCCAACCACTGTACTGTACTAAACTACTAGTGCCAACGGATACGTACGGCATCTAGAAAATACGGGGTATGTCAGACTCTCAGTTTCTAGGCAGCGGCGTTCAAGCGTTAAAGTACCTAGCTTATAGGTCTGCCCGCCTTAGCCTGCAAACTAACTACTCCGTAGGGTGCTCAAAGCTCCGTGCGCAAGCTAGGCTAGGTAAGGACAACGGGAATTAAAAAATAAGCAACCCGCCAATGAGGAAATTCTCCAGCCTCTTCTCTCTCATTTGATGCGTGGCCCTGACTCGAACTTGGCATTCGGATATGTACACATCTAACTATAGAGTGCGTTTCCGGGTATAAACAGGGATGTTATCGCTCTCCCTACCTGTCTGCGCATTGGCGATCGGCTCGGAGATTCTTCGGCTTTTTACTTTACGCTGACAGGAGTGGCTATTGAAAGGTACGCCTCTATCTATGTATCACATGTTGTAGCTGACTGGATGCGCCGGACCAATTCGGTACCTTATCTTCGCTTCTTGGATGCGAGAAGTGATTGGCGTGAGCCCTGGTCCACTTAGGTATGGTATGCACCATACCCTGGATTTTTCTTTTACTGTATGTTCAGCAAATGAGGCTACCGGCACATCTAAGAAGTTTCAGGCCAGGGTCAACCACAGTTGCAACCCAATTTATGGCGTACATCGTCTGTCTGTACGTGCTCTCCTCGTCTAGTACCTGGGGAGAGACTACGGGTTTACTGGTACGCATAGACTAACACACTGCAGATCTAGATGCTCTACTAGTATCACCTCCTGAATAATACGCGGCGCAGCCCCTCACCGTTCCACGGAGTACTGGTCTGGTGAAAGTCTGACGTATCTTGCTGGTCCATCACATTCTCGCTCCACGTCCTGCAAGCCCTAACTTTGAAGGTTACCCAATTGGATGCGCCTGTAGAGTATCCAAGAACCACTACTGGCGCTGGGCTCATTCACTAGCAGTACCCACATTTCTTGCACGTTGCTGGGTACTACGGAGTAGAAGTCTAGACTACAAAGTGCGTACGTTGAAGATCTGGAGCCCGCAAGGAAAAATCATCACAGTCTCCCTTATTATTATACACCAAATCGGCAGTTCGCCTAACGGACCTCGGGAGGGTGCATCTTGCATCCTGAGTGACATGACTCGCATATCGGGGCGAGTCAGGCAACAAACCTGTATTCTTGCGTGAGGCGTACCGGTAGACAACTGACTCACCCTTCTATGTCAGGCTGCCGAAAGTCGACTCTTTTAGACTGCTGGGGTCTTGGTCGAGACTACGCACATATATACTCCGTACGTATGTCTCTATCCGACTCTGACTCTGTGACTCTTGTCTTTGGGAGGTTGCAGCAAGGTAGTGGGTCGACTGCGTCGGGAATTCAGGAACAGGAACTGCCTAGATCCACATGGCTTCAGGAACGGGACTAGACCCGGGCAGACCCAGTCCAGGTGGGCTCGGCCATGGCTGATTCTGGCTGATGTTTCCGTGTTGGAGACGCTGCAGTCGGGACTTTGGACTTTGGAGCCAACGTTCGGATCGGTGGGCCTGCGGGCCGCGCACGTCGAGGCATCGGACTACTCTGGTGGAGGTGGGACATATAGCAATGCGTATTACGGGATTGGCCAGGGGCGGGATGGATACTGGAAGTCACCTTTATCATTGTGGGTTCGTCCTCTTCAATAGGTACGTACTTCCAGGTTGATATTGACAATGATGAAAACCAGCCAGATTCAACTGGGGGCAGTATTCCTGTCAGTGACATAGTAAAACTGGTTCGTAACCATCAATTCAATTTGAAACCAACACAAAGAGAACTTCGACCTTGTTTACTGATCATAGGAGCTTAGAATGGACCTCACATTGTCGGTGGAAGCTTGGACCCAGCACTCGCAATTGAACACCAGTGGACGAAATGTCATGCAGACACTTGTCAGAACGAACAACGAGCTGACACTATCATGTTCTCAACCACGACTCTAGTACAGGGAGTAGATATACATCCTAAAACAAGCACTTGGAACCAGCGGCGTTGTAGGTCAAGCAATACAGTCCATGGGAAGAGATTGAGAGAACGCCTCAGAAAGAACCATATTGACCTTAAGGGTATGAAAATCAATCAAGCCGAGCCTGGGGCCCTTCTCCACCTCAAGTTTCATCTGTTGGATTGCGGCTGTTCAGAGGTGAAAGGGCGGTTGCCTGTCGAACGATGGCCCGTAGGCCACGCCAAATCACACCAGCTTCGGCTGGGTTATGCATATCCCAGGTCAGCGGCTCAGATATGCGGACATATCCTTTTTCAATGCCCAGGAAGTAGAACACTCTCCCGTCCGTCGCGATGCCATACACGTCGGTGTTTGACTTTTTCAAATTGACCCTGCGCCTGTGAACAACGCCCATGTAGCCAAGACACTGGGGAATAGCCTTTTTAGCGTCCCCACGTTTCTTCATCTCGATGCAGGCCAAGTTGGTGGACATCTGGTCCGTGGTTTCTTCGTACCAGACCGTGTAATCGGCACGGCCACTAAGAGAAGTAATTCGTCCACCAAGCTTTGTAGTCCAGCTTAGGAGTGTTTCGAGCCCAGCATATACGATGCGAATTCTCTTCTCACGGCCATCAAAACATCCATGCTGTCAGGCAAAGGCCGCTGGCCGTGTATACCTTCTTGGTTTGCCGCGTGGAGAGCCTTTCTGTAGAGAATGTCGAACCACGATCTCGACACGGCCTCGTTTTTGGCCAGAACGGGTCCGAATGTTTCGTTGAACTCCTCGTTCTCCTCCCCTATTCTTGTCAGTAAAGCTATATGATGGGACAAAGGTATGTAGACATCGCACTAACATATGGATTTGGGGATGTCATCGCGATAGTCGGTGCGGTATGCACGAAGTGATGCGATAACCAAAGGCATCTCGCTGTGCTTAAGCTCAAAGGCTTCATAGACTTCACCTAGAGTCAGGCCGCTGATTTCGCGGTTCTTAGGCACAAACAGGTCTGTCCTCAACTCCCTCAGGGCAGTCTTTATGCTTTTTCCGAGCTCAGACCTAGTTGTAATCCTTAGCCTAGGGCAACAAACATCGACGGCCGCCATTATTGCCTTTTGACATGTGTCGAATGCCAGATCTCTCAACTCCTTGATTCGTTCAGCGTCCGGCATAGCGGCGGATGGAATATTTGGTTGTGCTAGAGTACGAGATCGATAGAAACGAGGTAAGGGAAATTTGTCAAAACAAGAAAGTGCTAACACAAGCTTGAGCAAGGTATTTCTGACTTTGTTTCCTGTGTTGTGGGCACCTCAGGGTTCTCCCCTAATCTGCTCAATGTCTACCTTGCAAGTCTGACTCCACATATGAGTCCTTACTTGCATTCACAGCTCCTGTTGGGCCTGTTGATTGTAATATCTATCATGACAGTATTTCGCTGGAAATGACATGAAGGAACTCAGACTCAGAAAAGCTCTTCCCAAGGAAAAAAGCTTGATATTGAAAGCAGATTGAGGTGAGCGGGATTTTCTCTTTTTCCTCCCAGCTTGTGTTCCTTACCATCTTCTTCCTGACCAGCTCCTTGCTCCTCTCAATCACACTGTGAGGATGAACCAGTTACAGGATCCTTCCGGGCTTCTGAAACTACCGGTTTATTCTTTGAGAATCATTTTTTCTACTGCAAAGCTGACAAGGACGCCCCCTTTCGCGCGTGTCTAGCTCCTTCGCTCCTCGTCCTCACAATCCTTTACCGGAAGGTCAACCTAAGCGCGCCATTATATTTCAAGGACCTCATTAACCTTCTCGAGAAAGCTCCTGAGCTAGGCGAGCACATTCGAGATGTTACATTGATGGGCTGTGGCGATTCCATTGACAACATTCCAGATCTTTCCCTTCGCCTTCAAGGCCTGAGATGTCTAACGGGGTCTGATGAGGAACGGGAGCTGGAGGACAGTAACCGTGAGAATATTCGTTGCGCAACACTAGAGGCCCTGGCACTTATGGATTGTGGTTTGGAGGTGAAGGTCATGACAAACTGCCTTGCCCGGCTTACTTTTAAGGGCACAACCTGCAAACATCCATGCCGATACAGCAAGTCTAAAGACTGCTTCGCTTGACTGTGTCATTCAAGTGTACAATGATCACCAGGTGGAGTCAGGCCTTGTTCGGAAGAAAGCAAGATAGGTAAGGGTATGCTCAAAAATTCCTTATTCGCACTTTTCTGCACTGATTGTAATATGCTAACCAGTACATTAGGTTCTAAAAGGTTGTATAGCTATACTTTCGGCCTTAAAGAGCCAATAACAATACCCTTTCCCATGTCACCGCGGGCATTCGTTCTCGTCATCTAAGATGACCCGGAAGCAAGTTCCAGCCAGAGATGCAACTTCGATAAACTTCGCTCAGCAAAAGTGTTATCATGGATGACGACGCCCCATGACTCAGAGATAGAAGTATAAACAGCCTGTTATCAATATTTCGAGCTGCTGCCAACTGCGCCGATAAATGAGAACCCCCCAAAAAACTTTGGAGGCAAACACCTGCAAAATGTGGCCTAAATCCTCTCTTGGTGTGTTTTTCATTGAACTGGACAGTCAGCTGAAAGAGCCGGAGCAGATCTGCCTCAGCAATGTCCGATGGGAGACCCTCCTGCAAGCCCTCTCGGTCACCAGGAACAGCGAGGCATGGCTTTCGCCCGAGCAACACGAATGCCCCGATCATGTTAGTAAGTACTTATACTCTCGATAATCATGAGTGAAGCATTCTCCAGCACCCATTATCTAACTCCTGAATTCTCCCAGTGAGTATCGCCCTGGGGCATATCTCGCCTACCCGACTCCCTTCGAGCCTCTGGCTAAAACGAAACCCCGAAACCCCGCAACACAAAGACTGGAAAATCGATGCTATCCTCAAGTGCTGTCTCGTTGATTTCAATCTGGATGCTGAGAGACGAAGCTTCGGGAGCGAGCTGCACCCCATGCCTCTGCGCCTACAGCATTGTCGTCCGCTCGCCTATAAAAGAGGCCCGTCTGTCTACGCTGGGTTTCGGCACAACAAGAAATTAAAATACATCAACTCGGTAATTGACGATGCCATCTACTATGATGATGTCAGCTGGAGTTTTAAGCTCGTGATACGCTATTCATCCGCGGAATGGCTCAAATGGAACTTGAGAGACTGTTTAGTCCAGATGAGTACTGACGCCCCTTCCCTCTCTTCCTGTACTCGTACACTTGCTAATAAACACTCTGATTCAATAGGAGTAATTCAACATGTACGCCAAGGGCGTCACGAGCACGATCTCGACACATTCGGAATGGTCACCAGCGGGGATATTGTTCAATTCCACAAACTCAATGAGGCGTTGGAGGTTCAGTCGTCTCCCGTCCTGCTTCTGACCGAGGAGAAGGATATCCCTATTATATGGTCATACCTTCGATACATTTTTGCAGAAGTCCAAATTGGCGCGTTACCACCAGCCCGACTGGAACTGTCCGACCCCAAGTTCAACGATATCCCGCCAGTCTACGCGATGGAGAAAGAGGTTCTGTCTATATCTGAGAGAAGCAAGGCTCAGGGTATAGACAAGGAGAGGCTGCACAGGCAGTGGAGGATTGTGTCCGAGTCGGCTGATGCGGAGACTGACGCTCCGATCGACAGGCGAGCGCGTACAAACGATAAAGTCGGGTCTGCGAAACAGCTCCGTGACTATGAGACGAACAAAGCGCTACCGACCAAGGCTCATGAGCCTGAGAGCCCTGTTGATTACGATCACCAAGATGAGGTCGGGTCTTCGATACAGCTCCGTGACTATGAGAAGAAAAAAGCTCGACAGGCTAAGGCTTGTAAGCCTGAGACCACTGTCGACTACGATTGCCAAGCTCTTTTCGAGTTGAATAGCGAGTTCGATGAAACTTTGGTTTTTGTTGACAATGAGAGTGAGCTAGATATCTAAGTACTTTGCTATGCCGTCAACTGGAAGTTTATGCATGCCTGCCGGTCGATGTTATGAAAGACGAGCGTTGTTTCCTCTGGAATAATAGTCCACTCCTTCTTTCCCCCTATCATTATACCGGAGAAGGACGCTGGAATGACCCAGCCCTAGTAAGAGCAATATAGTCTTCCCAATGCCCGCGGCAATATTTCTTTAACTATAATATTTACCTTGGGAAGCGTGCACAATTCCCTTGACCTAGCAGGGAGTGATCTAACTAGACCATAACTGGCATGATTTCTATCCGGTATAATGAGATATTTGACCTTTCGGCGTTTGATAATAGGTACTTGCGTGGACTTGATGGTGTTTAGAAACCTTCCTCCTCACCGACGATATTACCAGCGCCCGCGGAGGCCAGCAGACCCTAAAACCTGCCCAGGGCAATGGACTGAAATTGGCCCTGTTAAAGACCTACAATGCAGCGCGCTAGTTAGAACCCTGGCCGGATTGCATATCCGGCATCTGGAGGCTCGAGGGCCGCTGGGCCGTGTTTGGAGTACGATCTTCACCTGGTCTTTTGGACCGGGTGTCTCGGAGAGTGCTAGCAAGCATTTCGCGAGGCTGTTAAGCTGTAGTTTCGCCCATCGCGGACGCCTATACCGTTGGCCCGCCCATGGTGAAACCATCAGAACCGCGACGCGCCGTCTCCATTATCTGGTTGCGAAGGGGGAATTGTAGTCACTCTGGCTTGATGCAAACTGCTGTCTCTGTGAATATCTGGTTGCGAAGAAGGAATTGCGCTTTGTAAAGATCCATCCTCGAGAGGTGCCTGCTCTTTTGGCGCTTTTGTGTGCTCCGTTGTCTTCATTGCAATATGCTCTGTCTGGTTCTTTCCCGGGGGTGTACGGTATGGCCTTGTGATGGCAGTGTAGGAAATTGAGCAACAGAAATGTGGAAGAATGCCTGATGGTTAAGGCTTACAAACAAATTAGCGGCTGCTCCTTCACGTGACCAGAAATGTGCCTAGATGCACCCCTCTGCTCTGCGGTGATCTAGTTGAAAACTCCATCAGATTTGGTGGAAAGGAAGGTCATGATCATGACCATACAGCAACACTACCGAGATAGATAGATATATTGGTTGATATAGGCCAGAGGGTGAGTGGAAAAGAGACGGTTAGCCTGTGTCCGCAACACCATGGACAACACCAACGCCACAAAACCATGCCATACCTGTCGACGCCGTCGAGTAAAATGCGACCAGACCAAACCACACTGTCGAAAATGTGTTTCCAATGGCCTTGAGTGCCTTGGATATGGGAAACTGATTCTTTTCGTGGGAGGTGTTGCCAGTCGGGGCAAGATGATGGGGAAGACGTTCAGCGAAAGATCGTGCAGGTTAGAAGCGGAACCACCAGCTGCTTCCAGGACACAAAGCCAGGCAGACATGACAAACGACCTTGAGCCCCTGGACTGTCGCAGCAAGAGTGGATTGCTCTCATTCAGCCCTCTGGATCCCTGGCTGCAAGGGCTGGACCACTGTACCCGACACTACCTGAGTCACTTCCTCGTCCATGTCAGCAACGATCTAGTTGTCTACAACTATCCGGCTCAAAAACAGAATCCCATTGGACTTCTACTTGGATTTGCCGGTGCTGAACAAAACTCGGCTCTCTTCAATACTGTCGTCTCCATGTCTGCCCACCATCTGTACAATCTTTTGTCGAGGCCAGGGACGCCGAACGCTCAGAAGTATCACGTTGATGCGCTTCGTTTCAAAGGAAGAGCTTTGCAGCTATTAAGCCAGGAGATCAGCAATGTTAGCCCCTCCAAGTACACCACATTGCTGGCTTCCTCGATGCTTCTTTGTGACCTTGCTCATCTGGGATCGGGCGATGATACATGGCGCATCCATCTTGGAGCCGCCACTCGACTGGTTCGGCTCATAACTTCCCGCATGTCAGATTCGTTGGCTGTTGAGGAGATGCAAATGAGCGGTGACGAAAAGTCATTTTGCTCCTGGATTATCTCGCGTATCATTCTGTAAGTGGCCTATGCCAATACCGGGCCTCCTAAACTGACCGACCATGACCCAGCCAGGACATGTTCGGCTCCTCACTCTCCACCACAACAGCAAGCTGGAGTTGCCAGGAGCTATGCGGAATGGATCGTGCACTAAGGCTTGCGGAGGTTGACCACTACTCATCGTGTCCGTCACAGATCTCGCAGCTGATTATAGCTGCATCGTCTTATCATGATGTGCAGAATCTCGCGCCCTCTTGCTGTTCCGAATTTGCAACCGCGCAGTGCATACTCTTGTCTTTACAATGCTTTGACCCGACAAGCTGGGCGTCCGACCTTCAATCCCTGACGCCAGCGGCTGATGACTTTGCAGAGAGATATCACGTCGGGTCAGCCTACAAAGCGGCTGCAGCCCTCTACGTTTCCCAGATCATCTCCGAGTCCCATGGATATGCCTGCGACCACCTCCCAACTCCGGAACAGCGACACGAACTAGTTGATACTATCTTGCAGCACGTGTCGCAGATACCCCGCGACAATCCTTTATTCAAGTCGACCATCTGGCCGATTCTCATTGCTGGTGCAGAAACTACAAATCCACACGATCGCGCAAAGGTCTTGCTACATTGGAAAGAGCTGTCAAGGGTCGTTCCATGGCAGTCTACTGTCAAGGCAGAACAAGCCCTCAAGGAAATATGGACGCGGATCGATGCTGCTTCCTTGACCACAGAATCAGAGTCGGCACCAGCCAGTCGACAGAAATGGCTCGCTGAATTCCAGACCATCGGTGCTTCTATCTATCCAGCCTGAGAGCGATCATCTGAAGTCCTAAGCGACGTCTAGCCGAGGTCCCAAACGTCCAATCTTGCCACTTGCTCTTTGTCTTGCAGTCAGGATGCTATTTTCTCCCAGCAGCGGCTCCAAGCTTCGCCGTCTATGGACATTTCACTGGCCCAAGCTTAGATAATTGAGGGGTAAGCTCTCGACCCCAAGATGGAGACGTTGTTGGAGTAAGTTTGGAGATAGCTGGAGATATGCAACGCCTTTTTCCGCGCTGATAACCATATCTAACGGTACTCCAATATTCCCCTTATAGAATTTAGCTCCCCATCTGCCGGGAATGCGATCAACCTTCTCTACGTGCCCTTTACCCCCGCACAGAACAGACGCAATGCCTCCGCATGTCCCGACTCTCACGCTCTACGGCAACCACTACAACATCGGCCTGCAACATGGCCAGAAAGCCAAGGATCGCATTCAAAACAACATAAAAACCTATACGACGTTCTTCCACGAAACCGCGGGTCTCTCCTGGCCCGAATCAAGATCCCGCTCGGACATCTTTGTCCCAACTTTGCAAAGGCTCTACCCCGCCATCCTCGATGAGATTAGAGGGATTGCAGATGGTTCAGGTCTTGAGTTTGCGGACATACTAGCACTAAATGTCCGGAGTGAGATTGCGCTTACGAACTACGAGAATGCGCCAAAAGATCCGGATGAGGAACGTATGCAGATACCGGAGATCACGGATGGGTGTACGTCCCTAGCGCAGTTGAGCGCGGATAAAGAGAGGCTCGTAGTTGCGCAGAACTGGGACTGGCTGCCTGAGTTGGCGGGCGGGATGGTGGTTTTGGATGTCGCCATTTCCGAGTCTGATTTCAGTTCGGAACGACAGGCCAACGGGAATAATAATGGTCGCGGGAAGAGGTTCTTTACTTTGACCGAGGCCGGCCTCGTTGGGAAGATTGGCCTCAATTCATCTGGGCTTGCCATCTGCCTTAACGCTCTACGCTGCGGCGCCTTCGATGCCAGCAGATTACCGACCCATATCATGACGCGGTATATCCTCGAGCACGCATCGGAGTTCACCGTAGCAGTAGAAATGATCCGCGAGGTTGGAGGTGCTTCAACGGCCAATATGCTGATGGGGGACGTGTCCGGCAGATTCGGCACTGTGGAGGTTACGCCGTTGGGGATTTCGGTCCTTGAGCCTGCCAGCAGGCCCTCTACCTCTGAGGTTGAGTCAGAATCAGGGTTCTATCTAAAGAAGGGGAAAGGGCCACTATTCATCGCACACACGAACCACGTCGTCACGCCACCAACGGGGTTCCCTCGTGGTGCGATCTACGATCGACCAGCGGCTAACTCGTTCGCGAGGTTGGAGCGGATAACTGAGCTGGCGAGGGATGATGCGCAGGAGAGCGTGCGGGTCTGTGCAGAGTCAGTCTATGCGCGCTTGAGGGATCAGAAGGGGGATCCGACGGGGATCTGTCGCGGGTTACCGGCGAATGCGCGGGGCATGGAGAGGATGACGACGCTGGCGAGTGTGGTGGTTGAGATGGATGTCGCTAAAAAGAAGGCGAGAGGGAGCGTTACGGCTGGAAGGCCTTGTGAGGACGGGTTGCAGAAGATTGAGTGGGAGTTTTGATGGCAAGATGAGAAGCACACGGTTGTAGGGCTACTCGATTGTATGATAGTCCTAGGGAAATTGTTGAGGTCCTATGCATCGCCGTACCAGTCAGAACTCATTCCTTGACTTCAGTGAGCCTGGTCTTAGTGAACATGAATACAAACTAGGCGTGGCCAACCTCCCCGGCATGAGTAGCGAGGTACGTCTGTGGCCAGGAGCGCAAAGCACATTCCCGATGAAGGTGGCCAACGCTCTTCCCGCTAATTCCTCCGCCTAACACATATCTTCGCACTGCGACAATCGAGGCTGCTATGGCTAGCGGCAAATAGATATCATATGAAAAAAGGGATGATCTATCTTTTGCACGGTCCGCAGCAGAGTTTGGCCCGTTGAAACTGAGCCTTGCTCGCAACGAAGACGGCGTGATCGAGCCTACCTAATTCAGGTCCCCACGCTATTTAGAAAGAGGAACTAACTATGGACAGTCAGGTACCTACGGAGGAGCTCGGTCTCTTTCAGCGTCACGACTCATGCCACCCTCGATCGAAGAACCCAGAAAAGCACTAAATGATTTCAAGCCCCCAATCCCATTTCTACGACCTCCGAAGACGACAAGCCTTGGCCAACACCTAGACTGTCACTATAGTGAGATAGCTAGGCTCTAGGACGTGGCTTAGAGTTTCCATGTCGGATGAAGCGCGAACGGGACTGCCTTGACACATGCCGGGTGATCAGCCCTTGAGTGTTGCAGTAGTTCCCGCTTCTCGTTTGTTTCCTGACTTTCATTATCTGGCCCAGGATGAAAGAAAACAGCCTTGGCCGAGCTTGTTGCTAGGGTCGGAAAGTGTTCGTTTGTTGGGCGTCAACCCTGGTATGGAGCAGCTGAAGCAAGGCTTGGACAACGATCGCTATTCACCCCTTCCTTCGGTGAGCGCTGATGAGAAGCACCCATGGCACGACATCAGCACTGCTGCTTGTATCAGCCTGACCCAGAATCCAAAGGCCAGCCAGATCACCGACTTAGGGCTTGCGATCTCTTCCGAATCCCGACCTCCATCCCGTCCACTCCAACCACACCAAACAGAACCGACTCTCGGGCCCAGGCTAAGATGATCTGATGATCACATCGCCGATCCGGGCGAAACACGAGCTTCAGTCAAATTCCAAATCCAAATCGACGGCACGGCATCCTTACCCGTCCCAGTGATGTGATGATCATGATCAGCAATCACGGACCCGGCCAGGGCCCACGGGCCGCCCCCCGGCCCCCCAGTGGCGCACGCTAAACCGTTTGACAGGGCGATGCATCAAGTCTTATTGGGTCAACCCGGCTGTCCCTTCGCCCATCGCAGTTTCAGCGGCGGGAACTGTCTGGGTTGGTTGGTACCTTACGGATGATCAGGTTGCAGCGGGTTGTTTTCCTGATCCTGATCTGCTGATGGCTTGGGAGGAATCTGCCAGACCGTCTCTCGCAGGGGGGACCTGTCAGCGTGCGAAACAAAAAGACCCGGGGGCATGGATGATAGATCGAGCTGGGTTTGTTCGTGCTTTTGCTAATTATGGATTGGTCTTTTCGGAATCTCTGATGGGGCGATGCGGGAATGCAGGTTGACGGTTGTTATATCACATCCAGCTCTGCTCTTGCATTCAAATTCTTATATTTCTGCACTCGGAGAATTCTCATATCTCACTTTGCATTGCATGCTCAATTCTCGACTGCTGGCAAATCTTTATGTTACTAGGTGCTTTTCAAGCACGTCGATGCATCGGCCTGCAGCTGTCACTTCGACGTACCTTCTTTCCACGCAACCAACGCAACGAGTCGAGACCGAGATCTCTCCAGCCTCTAGAAACCGCAAGAGAGACACATCCACTTCCCTGCTCGGCAAAGCAGGCCTAGCCCTAGGGCTGACTGGTGAGTCAAAGTCAAATCAACACGCCCATTGCCATACTCAAACCCGACTAAACCATCACAGTAGTGATCCTCGCAGTATCAGTCCTCGTCCTCATAACAATGCGCATCAAATACGGCCAGAGCTTCAAATCGCTCTTCTCGCGCCGCTCAAAGGGGCGGAAAGCGAAAGGCCCCTCGATGATTCGTGATGATACCGATTCCTCAACGTCAGCATCGTCATCCGCATCCACATTTCGGCCCCCGAGATTGCAATCTATACGGCTCAGCAAGGAACTCGAGATCCTGGGTCTCTTAACGGACCCTCGGATCGCCATGGAAGAGACAGCGTCGCCGGCGTCATGGCTCTCGTCTAGTCCCGTCAGCACATTGAACGCCAGGGCTTCGCCATTACCATCGCCATCACCTTCTTACTCACTCTTCCCTACCGTTCAGCGACAACTAGTGCCGGATCCTTACTGGAAAGATTATGAGAACGACGACGACGGGTACGATACCGAGCGAGAGCAAGCTCTGACCTCCAAGGAAAACCAAGCATCCTACCCAGTCTCTCCACTGCTTCCGCCCCCACCATCGCTTTTGCTTCAGCCTCGGAGCCCGTCACGCGAACACTTCCCAGCACCGTCACCAGAAGCAGACCCAGGAACTGGAGCTCCGCTCAGCCCAGCACTGAGTTACCGCACCTTCGCGACCCGCTCGTCGGGGATCTTCCCGTGGGGTACGGAGCCACATGCTGTCGATGTCGAGGAGGATGTGGTGTCAGAGGTTCTGGTACTGCCTTCGCCGCCGCAATTCGCGCATTCATATGGGTATGAACGGCGTGCTGGGAATGGCGTGAATTGAACAGGTGGGATTTCGGTTTGGCGTTCAGATGATCTTTATGACTATACCCATGTTTAATGTATGATTACGAGTTTTCTGCCTTGTGCAGGTGGGCTTGAAGAAGCGCCAACTTGGGTTAGGGCAAGGCAAGGCAAAGCACAGCCAGCCCGGGGCTAGAACCTCGACCGCACGCGAGCTAGATCAAACGCGAACTACCCAATAAGCGGTTTCGTCCTGTTCTTAGCGTAAGATGAGTATTTCATTCGTGTCCTTATGCCGCGCTATATTATAGGCCACTATAGCCTTAGCATCTGGTAGTGCCTTCTTCAACGTCCTTGATTGGAACAACCCGACCAAAGCACATCAAAAACTCCCATCGGAGACACATGGTGCCCCATTAGATCGGCCGATGCGACTCCGTTTCCCGCCAATCGCGATTTGTAATAGATGGAGGTGACCAGGGCTTATCAAGGCATCGGCATATCGGTGGTTCGGGCTCGCGCTTTGGCCGCGATTACTATAACACTATGTACGGAGTAGGGGTATTCCATTCATCATTGAGGTACAAACAGATTCGTATATTAAGGCCTCCTATGTCGCCTTTCTGTAGCCGCAATCCAATGATCCACTGCCTACAACCGCATCTCACATTTACCCACCTCTCCAAGCAACAATACCAGCCTATAATACCAGCTCGATACTATACCTCAAACCGCAATGACAAAAGCGATCCTCGTCGCACTAGCCACCGGCAAACAAGGCAGCAGCACGATAGACAATCTCCTGCAGCAAGCCCCCGACGCCGACATCGAGATCCTAGCCGTAACCCGCTCCACCACCTCGCCCAGCGCGCAGAAACTCGCCAACAAATCTCCCAAGATCAAGCTCGTCCAGGGTAATCTGGATCAGCCAGACCAAATCTTCGAGAATGCAAATAAGGTCACGTCGGCTCCGATTTGGGGTGTCTATGCTGTGCTGGTATGTTACCCTGAGCAGTTATCCTACCTTGAAAGTTGAAGCTAACCAGCCACCTTGTCAGCTCGCTTCCTTCACCGGCCACTCCGACATCGAAGAGAAACAAGGCCATGGCCTAATCGACGCAGCGTTAAAGAATAACGTTAAGCACTTCGTCTACTCCTCCGTCGACCGCGGCGGCGAGGCCTCAATCAACAACCCCACCACCGTCCCGCACTTCATATCAAAGCACAAGAACGAGCACCATTTGATCAACGCCTCCAAGGGCACAGACATGACATGGACGATCCTCCGCCCTGCAGCCTTCCTCGACGGCGGGCTGGTCACCGGCTTTGCCGGAAAGGCATGGGCGACGGTGTGGAAGGTTGCCATGAGAGACGTGCCGCTGCAGGTCATCGCCGTCTCGGACATAGGCTTTTTCGCGGCGCAGGCTTTCCTCAAGCTGGAGGAGTACAGGGGGAAAGCTGTTTCACTGGCGGGTGATCAGCTCTCGTTTGCTGAGATGGCGGGCGTCTTCAAGAGCGTTACGGGGCGGGATGTGCCTACAACATTCGAGTTCATTGCGCATTTTGCCATGTGGATGGTGAAGGATATGGGGACGATGTTTGCGTGGTTCCGGGAGGAGGGGTCCAAGGCTGATATTCAGGCTCTGAAGAAGGTTCATCCCGGTCTGAAGGATTTTAGGGCTTGGTTGGGGGGTGAGAGTGAGTGGAGGAAGGAGGTGTGATGATTATTGACTTGTTAGATTGATATAATGGTAGTGAACGGATGGATCTGAAGTGGATAATATATAATGGTACCTAGTGATGAATAAGAAGTGGTCAAAGCTTGCCCCCACAAACACTCAAACTCTATCAGAATCTGCCCCTCCCAACACAACAAACGCTCTAACCATCCATCAAGGTCCTCACCCATCATATTACCGTCAATCCCTGTAAAACCCCCCGAAATGACAGCCCCCACCTGCGCTCTCCCATCCTGCAACAACCCGGGCAGCAAAAAGTGCTCCGGGTGCAAGAACACCTCTACCCATTACTGCTCAGCCACATGCCAAAAGTCCCACTGGAAGGAGCACAAAAAGACATGCGAGAGCGCCGTCAAGGCAAACTGCTGGGTGATCCGGCCCAATCCCATCTTGCCCGACGCTGACCCCGCCGACGACGCCAGCTACATCGAGCCCCTCCCGCTCACCTCCTACGGCGATTGGGGCGCCGAAATGCTCGAGCTGGAGTCAAAGCTCACGAACTTCAGTCCCGACGAGGCAGGAAAGTTCTACTCGCACCAGGACGGCGTCGATACGTGGTACTACTACGCCTACGGCGGGACGGGCCCAGGACCCGAGAATAAGCTTGCGAGTCGGCTTATTGGGCGCAAGCAGAAGGGCGATGTTGCGATTGTGAGATCGGGACCGGCGGACTCGAATGATTACCCGCATAAGTTCGGGAAGGCGGATCTGGTCGCGACGGCCAAGTTCTACCGCACTAATAGTCCCGCTCAAGTCTTCCAGGAACGGGAGCAGTCGCGGGTGTTTAGGAAGATGGGGCTTGGACCGTCTGCTATGCGTCAGTCAAGTGAAACTGCGGCTATGCAGGCGAAGCTGAGTGAGTTGGGCGAGAAGTATGGGTTCCGGTCGAACTAGATTGGGGGTTATTACTTGGCTATGTGGTTATGGAGTACGGCTTCGGTGTTATGACTCTATTCTCGACGACGGTGGCAGGTTTTGGATTTTGGCGTTGGAGCGGACTTCGTTTTGGTGTTGCAGACATGCAAGGTTCTACAAATTGATGGACTCGTGATTTGTATACTTTGGCTACTGTTTCACCGATTTCCTGGCAGAGGAGGATCATCATATCTACCGATTGTCAACCAAATTTGGATTCGGATGTTGAATTTTGACCGTCTGGGCTATGGTCAAAAACGTGCAATACGCGAATACTCAAACAATGAGGGTCCGTTGTCGAGCATCTCCCGTGTATTCTAGATGAGAATGTCATTGACTTGTTGTTACGTTCATAACAGCCTCTTTCTGGCGACGATAAAATCCCCCATCGAAAGGCCACGAAGCTGCAGAAAAAGCCTGCGGTGGTAGGGTAGCAGCGGTTTCCGCCAGGCCAAGCAACGACCTGACCTTCCCACTTGTAACCCAGGGTAGCTAGCCACGGAGTCGCTGGCCCTGGACCCTTACGTTCATGCACTTGGCCTCGCACAACGAACTCCCACCTGGCACCCCGGCGAGCATATTACTGCCGTATTCAAGAAGCTCTGGGCTAGGAACCACGCAAGGGTCGTTTTAGCAACTCCTCTCATCATGGTGTTGCTCAGAGAGATGATCCTGCTACCTATCGAGCATTCCGCAAAGATCTCTCCATTATTAGGCCTAGCTGTAGTGAGACGGTCCAACTGCAGGGCCTACAGCAGCTGCTGTGACCACTCGCCCATGGCACAAGTCTCTGAGGCCGCCCAGTCGGTGGCGCTAACTTCTACGACGTGAAGGCTCTGTTCGGCTGGGTCATACAGACCCTAGCGGATGGATGAAAGCGTCCTTGAATTAAGGATTGTCAACTTGTTGCAGACGTCTCCACGATAGGGGAATAACTCATCAAGGCTTGAACTTAAGGTGCTGTGACCCAGCAGACAGAGCAATCGCCAGATTGATCAACACCAGGTGCGACGTGAAGATAGACTTCCTGCACCTCTCAATGGCCTCGATGACCCGACAAGTTGAAACACCGGGTGGCTGCATATTGTCCGACAAAATTCCGACGGGTTGTAAGGATTGCATGGGCCATGTGGCACTAGTCAGGGTAAAGCTTTTCAGGAGAGAGTGAATGGCATTCACCCAGGTGGACTGTGGTGGAGAGGAGTGTGTGTCTATTTTGAGCAGATTCAGCCATAACACAACTCTCACACTCTCCCCACCATTTCCCTGCCACCTCTCTTTCTTTTCCCTTCCCATCTTCTTCCTCTCTTTTTCATCTCTTCTTACCCTCGTCTTCCATCTCATCTCCTTCATTACCCTCGATCTTCCATCTTCCCCGCGCATGGGCTCCTCTCAACCCAAGAACTCCTCCGAAATGGCAGACAGCACTTCCAGCCACTCCATCGAGCTTGGTCAACAGGCAAAGGCCCCAACTGTCTCTACCTGCTCGACTAGCCAGGGACGCGAGTATCCTACTGCGCGTGAGCTGAAGACCCTGCCCCGTGTTGCTGGCAAAGTTCACTGGACTGCGTACACCATTGCCTTCGTCGAGCTGTGCGAACGATTCTCCTACCATGGGACTACTGCCGTCTGTAAGGCACCTTTCTATTCGATGTAATGTCAAAGATGGGACGATTCTAACCTCTTAGTCACCAACTTCATTCAGCAGCCTCTTCCTCCTAACTCGACCACCGGCGCTGGGTTTAGTGGCCAGCCCGGTGCTCTAGGCCATGGTCAGCGTGCATCGACTGGTTTGAATACTTGTATGTCCTCTCTTTCGTTCTAAATTCAGAGATTATGATGCCTTGTTATCATCAGCACTAACCCAATCAGTTAATACCTTCTGGTGTTACCTGATGCCAATCTTTGGAGGATGGATCGCAGATGAGTTCTTAGGTCGTCTCAACACCATCCAGTTGTCTATCTTGTTTGCCATGATTGGTCACGTCCTTCTCATTATTTCTGCCCTCCCTCCGGTTATTGCTCACCCAGACGGCGCTCTTACTGTTTTTGCCATCGGTCTCGTCATCTTCGGTGTTGGTGTCGGAGGATTCAAGTGAGTGATCCAAGACTCATTAAAAAAAAATACGCGAGATGATGCTAATCCTTCAGATCCAACATCGCACCATTGATCGCAGAGCAGCACCGGGGTTATCGTCCATACCTCAAGACCGATCCTGTGACCGGCGAACGATACATTGTGGACCCAGCACAGACTGTCAGTCGGGTCTTCATGTACTTCTACTTCATGATCAACGTCGGCGCCTTGATTGGCTCAATCTCCATGGTCTACGCGGAGAAATACATTGGCTTCTGGCTGTCGTTCCTCCTTCCAACCGCCATGTTTGCATTCTGCCCGGTGGTCTTGTTCCTCTGCCGCAACAAGTACGATACTACGCCCGCGACAGGGTCAGTTGTTGCAAAGGCTTTTAGGCTGTGGGCTTTTGCAATGAAACCGCATTGGACTTGGAATCCCATTAGACTGTAAACGCCTCTCTGGTCGGCCCAGGTTGACGGCAGATGTGCTAACGTGAGCAGGTGGAACAACTGCAAAGACGATGACTTTTGGCGAAATGTCAAACCAAGCAATCTCCGTCACCGACCATCTTGGATGACCTTCGACGACCAATGGGTCGACGAAGTCCGTAGGGGCGTCAAAGCATGCAGCGTCTTTGCATGGTTCCCACTATACTGTCCGTCTATCTTGGTCACTACAATTTGAGCCCTTTTATCCCAGACAAACCCCGCTAACATTCTTGTGATACAACTTAGGGCTCGCGTACGGCCAAATGACCGGCAACCTGATCTCACAAGCCGCAACCATGCAACTCCACGGCGTTCCCAACGATATAATAAACAACCTTGACCCCCTCGCCCTGATAATATTCATCCCAATCATGGACCAGATCGTTTACCCGCTTATTCGCAAAACGGGCTTCCGCTTTACCCCCCTCAAACGGATCTACGTCGGCTTTATGGTTGCCTCGGCATCCATGATCGCAGCAACAGTCATCCAGCACATTATCTACGTTCGCAGCCCCTGCCACAACCGCGCCTCTTCCTGCGACAAGCCCGCCAACTTGAGCGTTTGGGTGCAGACAGTCCCATACGTGCTCATCGCACTGTCCGAGATTTTCACCTCAATCTCCGGCTACGAATACGCATACACCAAGGCCCCGAAAAACATGAAGAGTATCGTGCAGAGCTTGTACTTATTCACGAACGCCATTAGCGCCGCGATCCAGCAGGGATTGACGAGTCTAAGCGCGGATCCCCTCCTCAAGTGGAACTACGGCTTCATCGCAGTGCTGGCATTCTTTGGCGGCCACATTTTTTGGCGCCGGCATTGGCGGCTCGATAAGGAGGAGGATTACCTGAATCATTTGGAGCCGTCCAGCTTCTTGGGTAGGAACTCGGGGCAGGGCCGCCGAAATAGGCGACGCGACGTGGATTTGGAGCAGTAAGGCTTGCTGCTGCGCTGCGCTTCCTGACTTTTTTTTTTTTCAACATTTGCCATCTTCTGGACTTGACTGAGCATCTATCTGCTTGAACACTTGACCTGATCTTACTTTGACTTGACTTGACTTGTTCACTAATGTATCGAACGAGGCGGAGTGCTACCTGAACGAAAATTGCTGTGCAGTTACTATCTCGTGGCACATGACTTGGATCCTATGTATCTATGAATCCTGGTTATTCCTTGATCGAATTGAATCTTTGATCTATGTCGCTTCAAGCCTGAAATTCCTGTAGACACTGTACATCCCACATCTTCCGTTCAATGTTAACGAAGTATTGCTTGGTGATTATAATGGAAGGCATCGAATGCTTCGCCCGTCGGTCATCGGTTCTGTCCTGTAAGTGAGAAAGCACAATTCCGCTAATTCTTTCTATCTTCGAGCGAGATTTTGAGAATTTTGAGAAGTCATTTTTCGTTGCCATGTTTTGTCTTGCCCTGCCAAACCGCTAGTCACGTGGCATCAAGCAATCGCTCAGGCGCGAAGCCCCAAAAAATCTAGAAACCAAACAAAAGCATATGCGCCGATGATGCCCATGATAATATACAAAGTGATATCTTCAGTCCAGTCCCAACAAACAATAAACCCACACATCCGAGCCCGCATCCAGTCAATGAGCACGGGCCGTAAGCAATTCGTACACCCTCCGCATCCTCCTCATCCTCCTCACGCTCCAATTTAGATCGAGCTCGTCAAGTCTTTCCTATCATTCCACTCAACCTCCCCTGTGATATCCTTAATCTCCTCCAATTTCTCACCCAGCTTGACAACCGAGAAACGAATCATACGGGGGTCGAGCGATAATTGGCGGCGAATACCGAGCTGCACGGGGGCGGCGGAGTCGAAGCGCATGATGAAGTGGTGGCCCTCTGTGTACCGGGCTTGATGTTTCGTTGTGGTCTTGGGCAGTCGGAAGACTCCCCAGTTTGTGTAGCCGCGGATGACGCCGCCGGAGCGGAGGACGAGCGAGCCGGCGTTGCGGGCGATGCTGTGGGTTGTTAGTTAAGGCGATTCTATCGGGCTTTATGTTGATGCAGGTATGGGAGCGCAGAAGTGATGGATGGGGGGTTCGGCTTCACGGTTGGGGTACGTACTCTCGAACCTCGTTCAGACTGCCCGGGCGGACCTAGGGGGGTCAGTTAGTAGAGCGTTGACAACCTTTGAGGAATCAAATCGATGAAAGGGACAGAACTTACAATAGCAATCAACTCGTACAGCATCGCGACGAACTAAGAAACCAGCAATACCGTAAAGAAAGTGGGGTTGGCGTCGGGTCGGGGAAGGCTGTAGAGACAGAAAAGCTGGAGCCGGAGGTGAAGATTTTCCCGAGTCGATTCCGAACTGACCAGCACATGCATGACGCGCTTATCAGTAGGTCTTGGCGCTTTATCTACTCTCCGCCGACATCATCTCGACTGTTTCCCTCTTTCACCTCACACCCTCCTCTCCTCTCTGCCCAATTTCTTCTATTTTGCTTATTTTCCGCACAGAAAACCTTACAATGTCTGCCGCCGCTCGAGTTATCCGCCCCTTTGCCTCTCGCGCCCTTGCGCAGAAGCTCCCTTTGAGCTCCGTCCGCAGGGTCTCGCCCGCAGCCGGTTTCCCGCGGGGAACAGTCCGCAGCTTTTCGCGGAGCGCTTTCTGTAAGAATCGCACAGAAATGGCCTCTATTGAGGCATTGGGCTTAGTCGCTGTCTCTTCGGCTTTATTATACTAATTATATGTTCTCTGTTCGCAGTGGAAGTGAAGAAGTACACCGAGTCCCACGAATGGATCGAGCTCGCCGATGACGGCAAGACTGGTGAGCTCAACCCAACACCCTACCTCCCTTATACTCCCCGGACCAGCTTTGCAACTCGGTCAAGCTCAAAAGCTAACCATTGACACCACTATAGCCAAAATTGGAATCACAGAATACGCCGCCAAGTCCCTCGGTGACGTTGTCTTCGTCGAGCTCCCCGAGGCAGGCGCTGAAGTCGCTGCCGGCGAACCCGTTGGCGCCGTCGAGTCCGTCAAGTCCGCTTCGGACGTCCTCTCTCCCGTTTCCGGTGTGGTGAAGCAGGGCAACGAGATCCTCAATGACAAGGCCAAGTTCATCAACGAGAGCCCCGAGGGTGATGCCTGGATTGCCGAGATTGAGGTCAAAGATGTTGCTGAGATCGATGGACTGCTTGATGCCGATGCTTACAAGGCCACCATTGACGAGGAGTAAGCCGGTCACGTCCTGGAAGTGGATGGGCTGTCTCGGTGGTATGAATCGAATAAGCTTGGCAATGATTTGAATGGAGAGCGGAGCGAGTCTGCTTTGGTCGACCTTCGACCCTTGTTGTTATGTTGTTTTCCCTAGAAGGGAGGTATATGACGTTTTTGCTTTGCTCGGGAGATGGAGTCTCCGTTAGACTATACGATGCTCAGCCCTCATCGGCGGCGTGCGCTGGAAGGTTCAACATAAAGGCGAATATAATATCTGAACGGCTTAAATGCTCCAGACTGACTATAGCCTCTGGTCCCTTCATGAATGGCTCGTAGTCGAGGAGAATTTGGGGTTGTATATGTACGGCTTTTCGTACAGATCTCATTTACCTTCAGTGTTCCATAACTTCCTCCGCATATTCTCACAGGAACGCTATGGGTGCGCGGATACATGTACCTCCAATATTGAGTGACGAAAGTAAGAAGATATACTTCATAGTTCGTCCTCAGCCCAAACCGTATATATAGGATCAACGCAAGTGGTCCAGGAGATTCAAAACGCCTCTTTACTATTATCGTAAGTCCCCATGGCCAGAGGTGATTTGAAAGGTTTCCAATTGCGAACTGGTATGCCCATCGCAGAAACAAAGTACAAGCAAATGGAATCTTGGGTGCAATGACTGCCTTGAAGCATTGCAGAGCGTTGGTCAAGTGGATCCAGACCACATAGATCATCTTCGGTGGCTCACCGTGGGTATTAGGGCTTCATGGGGCATCAAAGGAATAGGTCTCGAGGGGTAAAGTCGAGTAAGGACTAGAATTCAATCATTGGATGAAGTTGACAGAGCTAAGAGATCTATTCCGCAACATTGTCTATCCTAGATAAACGCTAGACTGACGAATAACAAGTCTAAACAGGAGGAATGGACTCGCGGCAAATAGGACACTGCAAACGAAGCTTCATCCAGCTCTCAAGACAGGCGCTGTGGAAAATATGGCGGCAGGGAGTAACCATATAAGTGCGGCGAGTGAGCAGACTTGTTGCTCCATCCGTAACACTACTGCCGCCGGCGGCTCCTGGTGCTGCGAGAACAGGTACATCGATGTCTTGCATGCAGATAGCACAATCAAAGATCGCCCTCTTTCGGTCCTTGTTGCGAGCTCGGTCGTCGTCTTTTGAGTCCGAAGAGTCTCGACCGTCTGCACGCAGGGCGGATATAGAGAGGACGCCGCCACCGGATTCCGCGTCGGGGCCTGTTTCCGGGTCGTCACGAAGAATTGGGTGGTAGTCGTAGGCAGGAGGGGCCCAGCCTCGGGGAACGAAGAATCGGGGGCCTAGGATGTCCTGGCTTGCCAAGAGCCAAACTTGAATCCATACCCAGCCAGTAAGGGAGAGGGCGATTTTAGTGTCTGGACGAACCCATAGAACGTTTTCGCGTACTGTGAGGAAGTAGAGGAACGGAGCAAGTCTGAGACAACTTTCACCGATGACGAAATCCCATTGTAAGGCTTTTCGGCAGTTGCGCATGACATTGCGGTATATTTGCGGTACCCAGAATGAAAGGTAGATGAACGCCAATACCCTGGCATACCAAGCACCCAGTCGATTGGGCCAGAGGAAGGACCAGACAGACACCAAAAACATCACACAGAGAATGAAGTAGAAGCGTGTGTACATCGCGCCAACATCACTCCGAGTTTCTCGGGCTGTTGGCACCGTAGAACGATTTGGTGTAGCTACCTCCTCTTCTTCCTCCTCGGCAGGGGGATCTTGATCGGGTGTCAAAATGACGATCGGCGTAGCGCCAGTATCTCTGACTCCAGCCGCTGTAGCAGGAAGAGGTAGCCCACTAGGGCGAGTCGAGGATGCTGGCGGACCGGATCGACGCTCCTGCTCTCTTCGTTCCGGTGCTTGAATAGCCCATATCTCTATCATGAACTTCATTGCAATATAGCTGACAGAGAGAAAAGCGAGAAAAGCCAAGGTTGCCATGACCAGGAATGTAAGAGCGGAGTAGAGCTCCAGTAGGATGAAGGCTAGCACAAATGCGTCTCCGTAGGCCATGCAAGCAATTGTATAGAAACTGATCCGACTTCGTGTTGACGGAGTAGAGGCATCCTTTATTTGTCGCATAAGCAGCATAATTTGCCCGATAAACGTTGCGCATATCAAAAACACAACGTGACTGGCGTATCTAGCGTACTCCTCTGTTTTGGGACCTCGTAAATACAGTCCGTCCGTCGGAGGAAAATCAGGGGCTCCTTTCGTCTCGAGAATGTAACCACAGTCAGGTGAATACACCACGCCTGACATGACCATCAAAGGTGGGGAAGGTATTGGCGCGCCCATTGGGAATCTCAGCTCCTGCTCTATTTGATCAATGACCACTTGATCTGCCAAGTAGCCTTCGATAGCCACAGGATGCTGTTGCAAGTAGACAATGTGTTCACATTTGGGAGATGGAAATTCCACCTGCTCCGTCCCAACTAGAGAAGACCAAGGGAAAAGTGTAGGAGGTCGATTCTGCTTTTCCGCAATAGTGTCCGAAAGAGACTTGACAAGGAGCTGATGGGAAATATTGTAGGAGTCCATTGTCATAGTCAAGTGTGGTAGACTAAACACACCACGAAACTTCTCACTCGTCGTCGTCAGGACAATGCCACCCGTCTCAGGGAAATGGACCCCGTACAACGAGATGTACCAGGTGTGGCCCCAGTAATCATCAGTTTCCACGGACAGCGTTGCTCGGATCTCCCGGACATGGCCTTGAGCAGACTCCAGTTCCTCCCCGCCTCCCTCGTGGACATTCAAATAGAACTCTCCGCTGTTGCCAGTGATGTTCTGACCGAACTCGCGGGTGAAATACTCATGCTCGAGAACGATAGCGGTTGTGTTGAGCGGAGGACGGTCTGCATCCAGCTTGCGACGCACCCAGTCTCCTCTCAGAGTTCCTGTTGAGTTGCGATAAACGGGTAGGGCCAGTTGGGAAAGATTCAATGCGCGAGATGCGTTGCCGTCTTCGAGACCGCGCGGAGGTACTAGACCAGAGTCTGAAAACGCCGATCCCAGTTGATAACGAGCTCTCTCCTGAGCGTCTGCTAGGAGTCCCCAGTCATAGCTATCGTTCTTCCGAGCTCCGATAAATGGGAGCCATTTGTCGGCTTGCGGGTCAAAGTCACCATATCGGGACTCGTTCAACAGATGCAGCGCTTGACGTTCCCTTTCAAGCTCCCGCTGGTGCTCGCGGTCTTGGGATATTAACGGCGGATGTGACTGTGAGCTGAGGAGAAAATAGAGGACGACGAGGAAGAAGAACAACGAGCCGCGGTGGTCCATAGTACTAGAGACACCAGCAGCCGGGCGTCCGATGAATCAAGCCACCTTACGTCGCGAAACGAGCTCGCATCGCCAGAGTCAGGCCAAATAATAGCTCATCTATCTTGGACCATGGAGAAAGATCAGGCACGAGAAGAGCCCGAGGCAAAATATGTAAAGATGTTGAAAGAAGACGGAGTCGATGATGCGATGAGTCGGCCTGCATCAGAGTAGCAGTGGGGAGCCTAAATCCTCAGGCCGTTATCGCTCCCCGCGTCCGCGTCTCCTGAGTTGCTCCGACGCTCGCGATCTGTTCCCTGCCATACATCGCGAAAGCTTCATTAGCCGTGTTATCCCCCCAGCGAACTGGACAGGGGCACCGTCGCACCTCTAAACTATATTACCGCCTCTTGCGCTGGCGCAATGGCTTCCAGCATGCCTCTCCCCGTGCCGCCGCGGACTCCCACTCCACCTCCCGATGATCGCAACAGCGCTTTTGTCTTCCCATCGCATCCTCCAGATCGCGATACGTTGTCGCCTTTAGTTGAGTCTTTCCCACTGCGTAATGGCTCTGATACGGAAGATCGCAACCGCCTGAGTCCTACCAGGGGCTCCTTCAACCTCTCTCCGGACACTGCACAACAAAATGGCCAGACGGACAATGCCTCGTCCGGGCCATTCAATTTCCAGACCACGACTATGGCGAAAAGCCCAGTGGTGAAATCTGTAGGATCAGACTCGTCACTTTTATTCTGTGGGCCATGCTAATGTCAATCCTTCAGAACATCGGTCAGCGACGAGGCCACAAGTACAAGCACAGTAGTATCTCGCATCAGATCTTCCTTGAACCTCCTCCGAGAGCCCCATTGGCTTTACCCAACTCGCTACCTATACCGACGCTAAAAGAATGTCGGGCCAGCATGTCCGTGGACCAGAAACGAAGATTCTGGTGGAGCGTGTGCCACATGTTCGTCGCCGCTTATACTCTGTGGAGCGCGCATGGTTCCCTGGCCATGACGGCCCTGTCTCACTTGATCCTGTTCGATTCGCTCGGCGCGTTACTTTGCGTGGCAGTAGATGTTCTGGGTAATTTTGAAGTCTGGAAGAGATCGAGCATTCGACATCCGTTCGGCTTAGAGCGCGCCGAGGTACTGGCTGGCTTTGCGATGTGTGTCCTCCTCCTATTCATGGGATTGGATCTCATTTCCCACAATCTTCAGCACTTCCTCGAGTCTTCACCTGGCCATGAACCTCACCATGAACACGCCCATGAACGAGTCTCCCCGGGGAGTGTGGACTTTACCGCGCTGCTTGCTATCTCGTCCACGCTGATTTCTGCTATTGGACTGAGGAACCATGGTCGGATCGGAAAGGCAATGCGCTTTGGTTACATCGAGTCTTTACCTTCGGTGCTCAGTAACCCGTCTCATTTTCTTACGCTCTCTTGCTCTACGTTGCTTCTGATACTTCCCTTGGTGTCGATCCAGCTTTTCAGATGGCTTGATGTCACACTGTCTAGCACCATAGCGATCTCCATGTGTTTCTTGGGGGTACGACTCGTTAAGACTCTGGGGTCTATGCTGCTTATGTCCTATTCCGGACCGGGTGTTTCCGATGTCGTTCGGGATATCGAAGCCGACCCTTGCGTGTTCGCTGTCGACGATGCAAGGTTCTGGCAGGTGCATTACGGGCTGTGTATGGCAAATTTGAAGCTTCGCGTCTCTGGCTCGGAGGAGAACCTTGCGCGTCTTCGTGACCGAGTCTCTAGTCTTGTCAAGAATCGGCTTGGAGGAGGGTACGGCGGTGGTGGCCAGAAGTGGGAGATTTCTGTACAGTTCGCCATAGAGAAAGCATAATCTGGCTATTTGATGGAGATAGATGCTGATAAAGCAGTCATGGCCAATAGAGGATCTGAAATGGGAAGCAATGAATCGCCTTCACTCGAAGACACTACTCATATAGGCTGAGTCCTGTTGGTACTCATAGGACAATCTCGTCGCTATTGGGGTAGGATTACATGAACTCCATTTTCCGATAGGAGACTTACAAGAGGATAAATACACAGGCGGCATAGTGGTGCACTTAATCTAGGTAACCCACCGATTTAGCCCTATTCTACTCTATCTTCCCAGTCTACCCAATACCATAATAGGCTCTCAAACCGGACCTTCGCCACATCTGGATCTTCAACCATTTGTATTTTGGTACAAGTACAGGTTTCTCCGCTGTCTCTGTAGCCGTAGCTGTAGACCGGACATGAACCCGTGCACTCCATTCCCTGGATACCTCCACGCGGTATCCTCAAGCAGAAAAAAAGGCGAACGACGAATATGATATAAACAAGCGCAGAAATTGTACAGCATCCCCTCACGACGTCGCAGCCAAGGTAGCAGACTCTTCCACCTTGTTCAAACCCTCGTCTCGTCGTCGACGCTTCTCCAGGATAGCTTCCTTTTGCTGTGCGAGGATCTTCAGTTGTCGCTGTTCAATGCCCTGGATCCAGTAGCCGAAGCTGCCGCCGATGCCGGCGAAGAGGGGGTACGCCCAGAGGGACTCTTTGACGAAGAGAGGGCGCATTTCGATGCCGAGTTGCCAGAGTCGGACGGCGATGCCTGCGGGAGGACGGTCAGTAACGTGCCTTGTCTATAGTATGCGGCGAGAGGTTCCGGTTGGAGAGTCCGTGAGGCTACAATGCAAGTCGACTAGTATCTCCGAAGCCATAAACAGTGGTTGCCGTGGGGTTGCAGGTGGACGTACCGAAGCCGCTCCAGAAGAGGACTTTGTGAACCATGATGGCGGGTGGAGGGGTCGCTTCGGACTGCGCAGGATGTGGAAAAAGGGTATTGGGAACTGCCGCTAGACACTAGGCAGACAATTGCAAAGGCGGCTCGGGCAGGGTAGCGTCGCAATGGAGCTCCGTCTGCAGAGAAACAGTCAGTTCGTCGGGATGAGGTTGTGCTCCGGCTTGTGTCGAGTGTCGAATCACGGGTCCGCAGTTCCCAATCCGCTCCGGAACCGCGGTTTCGCCGACTTCCGTCGCGCCTGCGATCCAGGGTCTCGGGCTGCGCAACACTTCAGACGAAATAATGTTGATACTTGGGCCAAGTTGACTTGGGGCAAACTGTCTGATTTTGTCGGCGTCCGGTTATGGATGGGTCTGTGGAGGCTCCCGGGGCGCAAGTGAATGGCGTGAAGCGACCGTCAATCGATGCCCAGCGATTCCAGCAACGGAAGAAGTTCAAGACCGAGGAGTTGCCTTTGACTGCGGCGCAACACGAAGCTATTGAGGATCTCCTTCACAGCTTCAAAAAGAAGGGAGGGTTCGATCATATTCGCAAGAAAATATGGTCGGAATTTCATGATGGTGTATGGAAATTTTCATTTTATTTTTTGTTTCAAGCAGTAACACTGACCTGCGCCAGGAGGGGAAAGCGGAATTTACGAGACTTCTCACCGAACTAGCGGAGTCTGAGATAGAGCGCGAACCTGATTTACTCTCGAGAGAACAAGGCAAGGCCGCGACGCTGATTGAAGGCGCTGTCGACCGCAGTGATATCTACAAGACCGTGGAGAAGACTTTGGATGCGCTGGCCGCAAAACACCTTCCGGCTATTTTTGAGGCAATTCAGGAGGTTCGTCGGCAAGAAGTCGGCGATGAGCAGGCCACTCGCGAGGAAATTGCAGGCAATAGGACGGACGAGGACTACGCTATGATCGTGAAGGCCAAGCGCGACGAGCGTGAGAAGATCTGGCGGGAGGAGGAACGTAAACGCCAGGAAATTGAGGAAGAGGAGGCCCGTCGGAAAGAGGAAGAAGACCGAAAAGAGCGCGAAATCCAACGAAGAAAGGACGACGAAGAACGAGCTAGGAGACGAGAGCGTGACGAACAACGGCGCACGGAGCAGCGGGCCTTGGACGAGCAACGGGAGAAAGAACGCCAAGAGCGGTATGAAGGACGACGGCGTGAAGATCGGGAGAGGTACCGGGACTGGGGATACCGTGACCGAGATCGCAGCCGAACAAGGGACGGAGAAGTGGACAGAGACCGTGATAGGTTCAGGGACCGAGATTTCCGTTACCGTGACCGTAATCGCGACCGCTCCCCTGGTCATCGCTCTGAGCGTGGCCTGTCACCTCAACGCAAAGACTCTCAGACCGAGAAAACCCCGGTATCCAAAGAACCTACACCTCCGCCACACCCGCCAGCTCCAGTGGATGAGAAGGCGTTAGAAGAGGCAGCCTTGCAGCTCTTGCTTAAGGAAGGTGAAGAGCGAGCAGCGAAAGCCCGTCAGAAGCCAGAATTTGATTTCGAAGAAGCCGAAGCGATTGAAAACGGACTTAAGCCACCACCAACCAAACCCAAGGGCGCTTCAGAGTCGAGGTTCTCCGATACTCCTACTAAACCAGGTACCCCGGCCGTTGATGCTGACTATACCCGCAGACGTGGATCGACAGTAGCAGACGATCGAAACCGGAAGCGTGATAGCAGCGGCAGTCGCCCAAGGAGGAGAATATCACGATTCGACGACCGTGATGGTCGATCACGAGAAGCTTCTGTCCGACCTCGGGATCGAGGCTCGGATGACAGACCCCCGCTTCACAATTACCGACAGCCCTATAGAAGCTGGCGACCTGGTCGCAGTCGGAGCCGGTCTCTCACTCGAACACACGACAGAAACCGCGAGCGTGATCAAGATCGAGACCGTGATCGAACAGATGGAGACAGAGATAGGAACAGGGTCCGAGATCGAGAAAGGCGATCGGACCGGGACAGGGACCGTGAGCGAGACGATCGTGTTAGAGATAATGACCGCCGTCGAGACCGCAGCCGGGACCAAAGTCGAGATCGTGATAGGGCTAGGCCTGACAACGATAGGTACCGGCGACGATATAGCCGCTATTCTCGCTCGTCCTCAGCGCGTCCAGGCCACCGGGACCGAGATCGTGACAGGGCACGAGAAAGGGAAGGTGAGCGAGATAAGTCGAGGGACCGAGATCGAGAGAGGGAACGAGACCGCTCTATGAATAGGGATAGGTCAAGAGACAGGGAGAGACATCGAGATCGTGATAGGGAGCGGGAGCGGGAGCGAGAAAATGACCGCGACAAAGAACGCGATCGTACCCGAGATAAAGATGCTCCTTCGGAGCTAGACAGAGAGAGAGACCATGAGCGTGACCGCGCACGGCCTGCCGAAAGGGACAGAGAACGAGACAGAACCGGTGATCGAGACCGGACTCGGGACAGGCCTGCAGAAAAGGACAAAGATCGAGACCAAGACCGCGGTAGAGAGAGGGACAGAGAGAAAGATCGGAAGCCCTCTACCTCACCACATCGTCGGCGCTCCCCAAGTATGCTTGACATCGACCGCTACGTCCCGGTCACCAGCCACCGCAGCCGATCTCCTCGCCGACGCCTTCGATCGCCAGAAAGAACTGAGGAGCGGCCTCGAGGCTTCGTCGACATAGACCGGTATATGCCGGGCGGTGGAGATCGAGAAAGGGGCCGTGAAGGGCAGGTTCAGAACCAGGCCTCGAAGACGCAAAGCTGGAGGCCTGGCGATGCAGATGAGAAGACTGCAAATAGGGAATAGGCAGACGGGCGTATGGATACCTACACGAACCAGTGTTTGCTGCCCCAAAACTTGTACGAGTAGTTTTAGGAACCATGTAAACTATTAACGACAACATAGATAATCAATTAATGGTCATCCTCGATTCCTTTTCTTTAACCTCTTAGCTATACATGTAGAAAGTGACTGCGAGGAAAGAAAGAAATAAAAGCTCGACCGATCGAATCACTAGGTCATTATTTGGACCCCTCAATGGCCTCCTGGTACCCGTCATGCTCGTTGTGACGCTTGTAGAAATACGAGTTAGGGCTTGAGTCGGTGGGCCGTAGATTCGGGGACAGGCGATTGAGGATTGTTTCTTCTAGAAGCTTGATAGAGCGCTCGTTTGAACCTAACTTGTTCCAAACCGAGATCAGATGTGTGTTGAAGCGCACGGAGGTAGATACCCCGAGGACATGGTCATGCTCTGTATCCATATATTAGCCCATCGACCTTCAACAGGACACAGGCTCTAATGCAATGAATACGTACCTTTCTCCAGCGCCGCCTGGAACTCACTCGAGATACACAGGATCGCGATTTCATGAAAGAAAGCCTGGGCCTTCCTCTTCGGCACGCGGAACCTCCAGCAGCCCCCCCTCAGATTCTCGGGGTCCTCCCAGACGGGCTTCACGCCTTTGCGGAAGATATGCACTGTGTCGCGCTGCGGGATCTTGTCCCAGGGGTAGTTGTTATAGACGCGGTAGAAGGTTGCTATGTCTGAGACGTCCTCGTAAAGCATATACAATCTCTCATCGTAGTCTGAGGATGAAGCGGTCTCGGCATCGGAGTGCTTGTCGTACCAGAACGTCCAATGGTATTGTAGGGGAAGCGGGCGTAGTTTACCGAGGATGTTCTGGTGCAGGGTCCGTCTGGTTGCGGGGTTTTTATCTGTGGCTGCGACCTTGCTGGTGTCTTCTGTTGGGGAGGGTCCCTGAACTCGGAGCTCCGGGGGAGTCATCCTTGATGCGGACATGTCTGGCTTTCCTGTAGCGAGCGATGGAGTTTGGAGAGGCTGTGCTCTTGATTGATGGTTATCCCTAAGCAGATCGTCTTCTTATTCTCTAGACTCTCGAAGGCCCTCCGGAACCTCTACCTAGGAGAGGGCGTTAGCTACATTCAAAATTTCCGAAGTATAGATATCCAATGGCCATCTACAAGTCAACAACGGAATACATACCTCTAGCACGATGCAGATCGCAGAATTGTTGCACAGAGAGAAACAAGGACAACGCTAATGCACGCTCAATATATAAAAAGAAGATTGAATGAAAGAATAGGCCGAATGCCTGGAACGAGCACGACAAAGGAGACCGACTCGAGAAGGAGGGGGTGGAATAAAGCCCCAGCCAGCGAACGGGGCTCAGCGTTCCAAGTCGGACGGTGTCAGCTTCATATAGTCATGTCAAACCCCAATTACAAAGTACGGAGTAAGAGGGACAGTTCGCTGCCACCAGATTACTCCAGCTGGTGATCTGATCCTTCATGGCTGCAGCGAAATGAGATGAAGTGGACAGCTTGACCTTCCACTGGGAGCAAGTATGACCGGGATGGATAGCCAATGCCAACCACGGGTCGAATCTCGAACAATCTTTCTCTGAGACAAAGAACCTTGAATTCGCGATTCTTCAGCCAACGCCCGCATACCCAAGCATCCAATTAATCCCGGGACCTGCAGCTAACCCCTCGCGACCGGCGACCCCACTTCCAGTGTTTCGCGAAGCACATCCTTCGCCCGGCTACCGCTGATACGCAAGTTAGAGTCTTCCTCTCGCTTCATTGGCAGCGCAGGAAATGGACAATGTGCCACAGAAGCGCCCGGAGCAGCCTGATGGCAACAATCATGCATCACCATCCCCTGCGATAACTCTGCCCAACCGTCCGCGCACTACCGTCGACAAGCAGGATCTGAATGTGACGAGTAATGGCCGGCGCGAACTTTCGGCTTCCCACGCGGTAAACGCCCGCTCCGCCTCCGCAGCTCACGATCAGGATGAAGACGACGACGATTATACATCCTCCTCTGGCTCGTCTTTGTCCTCTTCTGATGATGAAGAAGACGATGATGCTAAGAGCGAATCTGCCGGCTTAGATGGAGACAACGAGGGGATTACTTCCTTACCGGCGCGCCGAAAACCGAACATCCGTCGCATTGAGCAGGAGCCTGGTCTTCTCGGCAGGTTATCTGCGTTTCTGCCGCAGATGAAGTCTGCCAATGAGGATCTTGAGCGGGAGATAGCTGCTGGGCGGGGGAAGGATATACAGCTTGATGATGGGGATGAGGATGAGGAGAATGACAGCCAGCGCGAGGGTCAGTATATTGAGATGGTATGTTTTGTTCGTTTTTCAAAAGTGCAGGGCTGTTCAATTTCTAACATTGCCTTTATAGAATCTCGGGCTCGGCGTTTTGGAAGAAAAGCGGCCGGGTGATGAAGAGGACAAGGAGGCTCCTGGTTCCCACGGGCCGACCGGTAACACAGATTTGATGGATCGCTTGATGGGCAAGGAGAAGAAAAATTCGTCAGACAAGCCGTCAATCCAGGATCTCGGCGAATAAGGCCTACACTACGGTCTACCACTTTTATGCATATATTGGCGTTCTATAGAGAAGCTCTTGGGCACAAATATGAATGGATGCCGGAGTTGCTGAATGTTTGGTTGGATGCTGGTTCAATTGGGTATCTCGGGCGTTCACAGGTGGATAAGTGTCTACTCGGCTTGGTTTGAAGGGAAATGCTGGTTGTTGGCTTGATATGAACAAAATATCTCCATCAAATGATAAATTCTATATCCGTCGATAACCAGAACTGCGCCGGTACCGTACATAAGACCAAGCCGCATCCAATTGAAACATAAAGAATATAGTACCAACGGTCTAGCCTGTTAGCATGCAGAAGGGGAAAAGAATTGTATGCACTCATTTAAGGATAATTAAAAGATATAACTCGGTCATTTCCGGCGTAACCATCGTCTACGAAATCTCCTTCACTCGGCAAGTCCAGCCTGATTCCTGGCTCAGGAGAGGCAGACTATCTATCTGTTAGTACCAACAAAATGCAGAGACAGAGGGAATATGTACTTACCTAGCACCAAGACACCATCCAAGCTCGTTGCCCTTGATCTTCTTAGCGATCTTGACCTCACGTGACAAAGGCATCTCGTAGCCCGTATGGAGGAGACCCAGCTGGAAGTTCAGGTCCAGACACCACTCCGGTCGGTCACGCAGTTCCTTGAGTGCATCCGGAATGCCTTCAAAGATCTTCCACGCGGATTCTCCTGCGCAGACAGTCTTCGTGAGATCGCGCATTTCCTCTAATGTAAATGCATCAGGCATGCCCAAGGGCTGAGTGCGCTCGTAGAAGTAGGAAAAGATGTAAACGTCCTCTTTGGCGAAAGTTCTCTCAAGAGAGGGCTGGTGAACACCGTTGAAGGAGCAGGGAGCGAGACCGCAAGCAGCTTCCTTGTTGAGAATCTTTTCCGTCAATCCGCGGCACTGAGCGGCTGTCGAAGGAGCTCCCTCTTTTGGACCGACCATCGTCACCGTAACCGCAGGGGCGAGCGGGTGGTTTGCCTGTTCTCCTTCGTACTTCAACTTCACTTCGCGTTCCATTCCGGGTCCAATGCAGGGGTTGGAGATGGGCTCCTTCAGCCAAGAGCGATCGTTCGGGGGCATAGCCGCTAATTTCGCATCGACAATAGCCTTGTGCACGGTTTCACGAGCAGCCATAAGACCATAACCAAGGTGGGAGTGCTGGTAGAGCTCAAAGTGCCGACCGCCAAACTGAAGGTCATACTTGTGGTCACCCTCGGCCAAGTGCTCGGGCATACCGCCTGACGGACTCTTCTCAAACGTGGGCTGGAAAACGATCTGAGTGGACCCTCCACCAAGGTCGAAGACCGCAGCGGTAGGCGTCTCATCCGGGCCACCGATCTTTCCGAGGAGGTAGTTGGTGGTAATCCAAGCATAGACACCTTCGTCTTTGCCGTCCATGATCTCAACGCCACCTTTATCCCGAGAAACGACGGGGAACGGGTAGACTGTCTCCAGGCGAGTTCTCACGGCTTCCAAGATCTTCTCGCTCAGCTCAGGACCAAGCATGCGTAGTCCAGCAGTAGCCTTTACCGCAATCGGTGAACACGACTTGTACTCGTCGGGGACAGTCGACATAGCCACGGCCAGAAGAACATCCAAGCTCTTTGCGGCGCCCTCAGCATCTTCCCTATAAGAGCTGAGTCCGGAGCCGCCCTCTCTCGGCTCGGTCTGCTTAAACTCCTCATGTTCAAGCTCGGGAGTGGGTCCGCAATTGTTGAATTTATAGACGTGAATTCGAGAGCCCTGACTTCCGGCATCAATCATCATTGCGTACTGGATAAGAGGCTTGGAGGAATCATGGGGTTTCGAGCATTTCGTCGTGAGGGGAGAACCGCCGGCAACGGGTTGAGAACCTACAAGCCGCAATTAGCAACAGTTTACACAGCCAGGAACGATGACAACTCACCAGGCCCATAGCTAGATACCGTACTCCTTGACGGGGCGAGCCAGAAAAGCATAAGTAGCAAGGCGCCGACAATGGCACCCGTCTTTATGTAACGGGATCGCTGACTTTGAGTCATGATGGCTGGCCGTTTGTCCGCGTATGCAGTTGGTAGATCTAAGGTAGAATCGGCGGTATCGGTGACCCGCGATATGGAACGTCTGCTGGCTCTAGGGCCTGGTTGTCGACCGTCAACTCCAGTCGACATGCGAGCAAGAAAGGAACGGCGAGAGTTCAGGCACGTCCCAGGGACGGTGTCCTTGAGTCGTGTCCGAGAGGTAAAAGAGAGGAATCTTAGGGATGGAAAGACGCTGGAATCATAGGGGCTGAGACCTCCGAAGAAATGTCAACGAGGGAGTCAACTACTGAGGCAGAGGATGGAAGATAAGAAAGTTGTCTAGTCTACCTTCTCAGGGCAAACCGGCTGGAAAAGGGTCGGATCCGCTGTGGCGTCGAATCTGGACTGTGGCTCGGGCCAAGGTGTTCCAAAGAAACATCCAACCTCAGGCGTTAGCTCTGCCCGCTGCAAGCTGTGCCCCAGACTTGACCTTACGGGGTATCTTTATAGAGTCTTCTCTCCTTGACCTTAACAGGAGTCAATTGGCTATTATTGATCTTTGATTGTTTCAAATTCGTTTTCTTCAACCTATCTTCCCTTCGCCACGATGAAGCACATCCGCGGCCTCGTCTCAACGACACAGGCTCTCCGTCAAACATTCCTCCTACCTCAAGCATCCCCTCGACCTCAATTCCTTCGTTACACTCCCGTGCACCCTCCATCACAAATTCGATTTCGTTCTGCGATCCCCCGCACTAAACAGCAAACCACCGCAGAGGTCAAAGATGAAGATATTCCATCCGACTATGTTCAGATCGTCGGGGAGGATAACAAGCTGAAGGAGCCACAGCGACTCAGCACTCTTCTTCGCAGTATCAACCGGGCTAAGGTCTTCGTGATTCAAGTCCAGGCTGGCACGCTCGAAACTCCAGCCGTTTGCAAGATCATGAACCGCCAGGAAGCTTATGAGCGCGCGCGTGCTCTCGTCAAAGCCGCCAAAGCCGCGAAGAAAACAGTCAAGCAGGTTGAGCTGAATTGGGCCATTGATGCCCATGACCTTTCTCATCGTCTAAAGAAAATCACGGGGTTCTTGGATAAGGGTATACAGGTGGAGATCATCCTAGTAAGGAAAAGACACAAGCGGCCTGCGACAGCGGAAGAGGTCAAGGGTCTGATGGCGAATATATTGGAGGCCATCAAAGATGCCGGTGCTGAACAGATCTCGCCCATGGAAGGGGAGCCTGGCAAGCAGGTAGTCCTTACAGTGAAAAAGAAGGAACAGTGAAGAAGGGCCCGCAGAATTGAAATGGGCAAACATATATAACATGTACATTAGTAACTTGATAGAGATCGTGTATTGTATCCAAGGTCTTTACTGCAGCAGTAGGCCATGTTTCTGTTGTGAATCGAGCTTTGACAGCCATATTGCGCTCTGGGAAAGCTACATAGCGATGGTTCACTGGCTATCATCCTCAATCATTCCGCTAGGAAAGTATACATAGTCTCCTGTCAAAACCAGCAATAGATTGTTTATCCGTAGAAGGAAAAAGGCGGCCTCTGTCTAGCGACGAGTGCAATGTATAGGCGGAGCGGAGGACCGGGAACTCCAGGAACATCCGCAATGCTTCCGCCCTGATTGGCCCATAGATGACTAAGCGCATCTCCTAAAATTTTCGGGCCAGTTGCAAGCTCAACCCATCACCGGGTGTTGTTCTTCAATCCATCGCGTGTCCTTGCTCTCTTTTATTGTTTGTCTTTTTCTTGCGGAGCAGTCATCATGTCGGGCCTTTCCAGAACCGCCAACCTTCTTTTCCGCACTACCAAGACGTCGCTTCTGCGTCCTCGTAGTGTCAACCCTGTTCAGTATGCGCTCTCCAAGGATAGGCAGACCGTCCGCGCGATGGCCACTGCTTTCGAGCGTTCCAAGCCCCATGTTAACATCGGTAAGTCAAACTCATTACTAAACTTGTTGTGCTTTGGCTAATTAGCACGAAAGGTACCATTGGCCACGTTGATCACGGCAAGGTGAGTTCAGGTTCTTCTGCTCCGGAGCTGTTCTCTCCTAACTCTCTCTTTCTTAGACCACTTTGACCGCTGCCATCACCAAGCATCAGGCCTCCAAGGGTCTTGCTCAGTTTCTCGAGTATGGCGCCATTGACAAGGCTCCTGAGGAGCGTAAGCGTGGTATCACCATCTCCACCGCCCACATCGAGTTCGCGACCGATGCTAGGCACTATGCCCACGTCGACTGTCCCGGTCACGCCGATTACATTAAGAACATGATTACTGGTGCCGCCAACATGGACGGTGCTATCGTTGTCGTTGCCGCTTCCGATGGTCAGATGTACGTCAAGTCGAACACACGAGGTGAAATAACGGGATAGCAGCTGACACCACCTGTCCAATAGGCCCCAGACCCGGGAGCACTTGCTACTTGCCCGCCAGGTCGGTGTCCAGAAGATTGTTGTCTTCGTCAACAAGGTCGATGCCGTCGATGACCCTGAAATGTTGGAGCTCGTTGAGCTGGAGATGCGTGAGCTCCTTAGCTCCTACGGCTTCGAGGGCGAGGAGACCCCTATTATCTTCGGTTCCGCCCTGTGCGCTCTCGAGGACCGCCGCCCCGACATTGGTACCGAACGAATTGACGCCCTTATGGAGGCCGTTGACACCTGGATCCCTACTCCCCAGCGTGATCTGGACAAGCCCTTCCTGATGTCCGTCGAGGAAGTCTTCTCTATCCCCGGTCGTGGTACCGTCGCCTCTGGCCGTGTCGAGCGTGGTCTTCTCAAGAAGGACAGCGAAATTGAGATCCACGGTGGTGGTGAGGTTCAGAAGACCAAGGTCACCGATATTGAGACCTTCAAGAAGTCCTGTGACGAGTCCCGTGCGGGTGACAACTCCGGTCTTCTTCTCCGTGGTACCCGCCGTGAGGATGTCAAGCGCGGTATGGTTATTGCCGCTCCTGGCACCATCAAGGCCAACAAGAAGTTCTTGGTCTCCATGTACGTCCTGACCGAGGCCGAGGGTGGTCGCCGCAGCGGCTTCGGCAGCAACTACCGTCCTCAGGCCTACATCCGCACTGCTGGTAAGTTCTTTCCAATTGCTTGACTCTCTCGCACTAGAGACTGTAGCCCTAACCATGATATAGACGAGGCTTGCGACCTTACCTTCCCTGACGGCGACCTCAGCCGCCGCGTCATGCCCGGTGACAACGTTGAGATGGTTCTGAGCCTCAACAACCCTGTCGCCGCTGAGGCTGGTCAGCGCTTCAACATCCGTGAGGGTGGCCGTACCGTCGCTACTGGTCTGATCACCCGCGTCATGGACCAGTAAACGACTGCTTTGTACTAATGAAATATCCGTCTGGGTCTCTCGGTAATCACGACTTGCAGCGCAGGGTACCGTGAACAGATTCAAAACTTTACATTGGGAAAGGGGCCGCTCCGGCGTTCAGAGTTATATTCATATACTTGTACTTTATTCAATATGTAGAATCTTTTATTCGGCTCTCCTCTCCTGTTTCTAGCCATGTTTGAATATGAATTGGATGATTATCAAGTGTCGCGCTACGTTCAGGTTAGAATAATTTGGCAGTTGACGGGAAGGATTTCTCCTACAAGAGCACCATGAGAAGCTCGGAAGAAACAAACGAAAACTATGACACAGAATATGCTTTCCTCGATGACTCTGGCCGGAATAGTATTCCGCAACCTAGTTGCTGTACGCAGCAGGATATATCTCCGTCTTTCTTCTACATCTTTATCTCTCAACCATATCACTGTTTGGAAACACCAGCAAGAAGATCGAAGCCTTCTCATTATGTCTTACTACGATATCTTACCCAGCTTGGGTCTCGTCCTGCCTAGCTGGGTCCTCTCAATTGTTCCGCCACCCTGCGCATTCGACACACCCCTCTCTACAATTATCGCACTCTTTGTTATGGTGGTGCTTGTGTTTCTCTGCGTGCATTTCTGGCAGTGGATTAGTGCAACAGGATAGTAAGCTATAATCTCCACGTCTTCCTAGTTTTGATAAGCTAAGAATAAGCGCTATAGCTACAGCCAAGATGAGGTAGACAACTCATATGAGCTCTATGCTCCGGTCCCAACCCATCAAGATTCTTATCTCCCCCGCTAGTTAAAGTCGCAATCCGACCATGACTGGCAAGCGATAGGCGGGATTGTACGTGCTTCATTGGGGGTGTTAAGATGGAGAAGAAACGAGTTATATCCTAGCACCTGGGATGCGGGATAGTATTCCATTCAGAGTCATCTGGCGTTTGAGTCATTGAGGTACTCAGCCAGTCCTAGGGAAGCATACCCTAGGTATGTCATAGACTCAAGGTTTTTGTTGGATTCTTCCGACCCAATAGCTAATCGAACACTCGCCGATGTACTCTAGGGTGGCTTTTCTAGGTGACAGCGATTATACTCTGTAGAATGTATTATTTTGACTCGCGTCCTAAGCTACAAGCTGTTCCATGCTATCCTCTAAATCGGTAGCTTAGGCAAATGAGCGGAATTTGAGTTGAAAGAGTGTACCTTCTGGCTTGCACCGGACTAAGGCCTATGGTCGAAGAGGGTGATTCTCGAGACCTTGGAGCCGCTGTGCCTTGATTATATGCAGGCTGGAGGGTGTACAGCGCGAACTTAGCTGGGCAGATGAGAAACTTGTGGAATCCGAGTAGAGAGCTCATGGGAGTTTTCCAGCTGAGGCCTGTGGTAATCTGTGAAGGTAATAAACCAAAAATGATGCGCCAGACACGCGACTAAAGTCATGACTAAACCCAAGATACATGGCGACTGAACCATGCCCTAACTTCTACAAGTTCTCTCCAAATGGGGTATAGCTTCAATTCAGCTTGAAGTGAGCTGCCTTAATTTGTGGCCTTATATTCCAGGCTGCGATGACGCTCCAGAACCACCTCCTGCTTCCTGCTTCCTGCCACCTGCACAGTGCGCCTGGACCGGACTCCTGGGGGCTGGGGAATCATATCACCCATCCACTTGCAAGCGACCAACTTGGCCTTCCAATCAGCCGTGGACGCACCACGAGATCCCCCAAATCCTTTTCTGTGTGGCTCCCAGTCTTGTGATTGACACCACCAGTGACCTTCTCTTACTTCATCGCACATAAGCTTCCCGTCTCCTTACATCCGATCTCCCTGCATTATTCTTCCCAACCCTCTCCTTAAACATCACGATTGTTACCGCATACCTGTCGCTTCAACTATACGTTCTCGCTTTCTAGAATACTCTCGATCTTTCAGCCACAGCGTCTGATTTCAGCAACAACGCCTTTGTGACCTTGGGTAGCTTCCCAAAGGCGTTTCTTCACCATGGCAACCAATGGCCATTTTGCCCCCATTGGCAGCGACAGCAGCGACAAGACGACATATGAGCATGGAGTCCAAGTAATAGACGAGAACAAGGAATTTAAGTACGTTTTTTATCCTTTCCGCCATGCGACCCATGTTTGTGTCAATGCGGCTGGAGTGACGTCGGACGGCATTCGCTTTGTGCGGCGCTGGGAGCTAACGGTAGTTGTATAGTACGAACCTATCCAAGTACTTGAGCTTCGAAAATGTCGCGCCGGCCGGTTTTAATTACCATCTCATTTCGGTCTTCGGATCCCAGTCAACTGGAAAGTCAACCCTCCTTAACCACCTCTTCGGCACCCACTTCTCCGTCATGGCCGAAACGGAACGGCGTCAGACTACCAAGGGTATTTGGCTGTCCAAGAACAAGAACGGCGACGGCAAATCGATGGCGGATAACATCCTGGTAATGGATGTGGAGGGTACTGATGGGCGCGAGCGGGGAGAAGACCAGGACTTTGAGCGCAAGAGCGCGCTGTTTGCGCTTGCGACCAGCGAGGTTCTTATTGTCAACATCTGGGAACACCAAGTTGGTCTGTACCAAGGTGCCAATATGGGCTTGCTCAAGACAGTATTTGAGGTCAACCTGCAGTTGTTCTTGAAGGACAAAAAGTACGTCCTTGAGTGATTGTTCTCGCATGCGCGGAGGCTAACCATCCCGCTACAGCACCACCCACCGTTCACTTCTTTTCTTTGTGATCCGTGACTTCGTTGGCACCACGCCGCTCAAGGCTCTGCAGAAGACATTGATGGAAGACATGTCCCGCCTCTGGGACTCGATCTCCAAGCCGTCGGGTTTGGAGCGCTCGACCGTGTTTGACTACTTCGACTTCCAGTTCTACGGACTCCCTCATAAGAGCTACCAGCCGGAGAGATTTGTCGAGGAGACCAAGAAGCTCAGCCTCCGATTCCGCGAAGGACAAAAGGATGCGACGCTAAATGCGCAGAACGGTGAGTTCTCAGAGGGCGGTGTTTTCCTCCCGGAGTACCACCGCCGCATCCCCGCAGATGGATTCTCGGTGTATGCGGAAGGAATTTGGGACCAGATTGTCAACAACAAAGACTTGGACTTGCCGACTCAGCAAGAACTACTTGCCCAGTTCCGTTGTGATGAGATTCTCAGAGAGGTCATGATCGCTTTTGATGAGGCCATCGTTCCTTTTGAAGACAAGCAATCTCAGGCTTCTCGTCTTGGGGAGCCCGAAGTGCTTGGAGGGTTGGGTGCAGCCATGCGATCAGCACGTGCAAAAGCGACGAAGAATTTTGAGACTGAGGCGAGCCGCTACCATAAAGGAGTCTACCAGCGGAAGCGAGCAGAACTTGAGGACAAAGTCGACACCCGTTTAAAGGCCCTCCTTCAGGGCCAACTCAATGCCGCCCACAAGTCCGGCATCAACGAGTTCAGCGAAGCTGTCACTGCTGAGGTGAAAGCAGGACAGAAGAAGGGCACAGGATACGACTTTGCCGAGATTGTCAACGACGAGGTGAAGAAAGCCCTTGAGAAGTATGAAGAAGTCGCCCGTGCAACCGTGGTAGAGGGGACGGCTTGGAGCGATTATAAGCAAGAATTCGCGCTGTACGAGAAGGAGCTTTCAGAAGTCAGCGCCCGGCTGAGGAGGGAGGAGATGAGACGGCTAGCGACTCGCGTAGAGCGATGGGTTCAGTCTCGTTTGGGTGAGTCTGTTGGCTTGGAATTCAACGCGCTTGGATCTGGACGTGCTGGTGGCGGTGCACCTGAATCGGGCGAGAAGCCGACGGAGAAGAAGTTTTGGGACCGTGTATGGAACGTCTTTGTCGAGACAGTTCTTGATGCCGAGAGAAGATTCACGGACCGCGCTAGCAGCTTCGATGCCAGTTTGGAGGAGGTGGATGTTGGACTGTGGAGACTGCGACGGAAATCTTGGGGTGTTTTGCGCTCCAAGATCGAAGAGGAGATGATGGAAGGCAATCTGCTGCTGAAGCTGCGGGAGAACTTTGAAGACAAGTTCCGCTACGATGAAGCCGGCGTTCCAAGGATTTGGCGGCCAACGGACGATATTGAGGGCATCTACACGCGAGCGCGTGAGTCGACATTGACATTGATACCTCTTCTCTCCCGATTCCGACTAGCTGAAACCTCGGCGCCGCCGCCATTAGACCGCTGGGTCGGACATACACCCAGCTCAGCGACTCCCGCGGATGAGGAAGATCTGCCGCCCATTGGTGGCGTGGATGAAGATGAAGGCAAGAGCCTTGAGGAGGAAATGACCATTCTTGGCGATGCGAAACGCCAGGAGCTTACAGTGAGATTCAAGAAGGCCGCGGACGGGGTGTACGTGGAGGCAAAGCGGAGTGCAATTGGAGGCATGACACAGGTTCCCTTGTATTTCTATGGTATCCTCCTTGCTCTCGGCTGGAACGAGATTGTTGCTGGTAAGCTTCCTCGATCAAGCATTGTTTTCCCTGCTGACCCTAAATGCCAGTTCTCCGCAACCCGGCCTACTTCTTCCTGCTCTTCTTATGCGCTGTCGGCGCGTACGTCACTTATCAGCTCAACTTGTGGGGACCGATCATCAAGATGACAGAAGCAGCATCAAACCAAGCGATGATTGAGGGTAAGCGTCGGCTGCGCGAGTTCCTCGAATCTTCAGATACCGGGCGCCAGGCCATTGCCATGTCAAGCTCTGGCTCTTCACGAGAAGAGCACGAGATGTCGCGACTCAACAAGCAGGGAAAGTCTTCGACGGACGAAGACGTGGACGACCTATGAATCATTGATGTGTAACTGCGTAATTAGCATGCCTATATCCGAATATAAATCTGCATTACCGCGTTAGACCTCGTCAGGTGGCATTGGTTTTGTAAATGCACTTCTCCGCTCAGTGGCGGACTTGCTCCGAGCCCCCCGGACCATCTCCCCCACTTCCCTTGGTTTGCTTTATGTAGATGCGGGACAGTGGACTGCTTTCTTGGAAGTTGACGTTGATTTCTATCAACCTGCTGTGCTACACACTGCTCAATACTTCATCAACGCCAGACTACGCCCAACTCACTTTACTGGCCAGCTCAACATGGCTACGTTTGACCTACCCGAGACGTTCGATGATCTCCCCAACAAGCTCCAATACTGGCCTGCGCCCAAAGGCTCGCCCGAAGAGGGCCTGGGTATGCTCCGCATCCTAACGCCGGACATTGTTGCCAACGCGGCACGACAAATCCAAACCGGCGAGCGTGTATGTCTGAACTGGGACATCGAGAACCTGAACCCGCCAGGTGAGGTGTCCTCACTCATTATGTTAGCCAACTAGACTCAACTAACAAACGCACCAGGGTTCAAACGCAAGCCCTTTGAGCACAAGATCAAATGGGTCGCGGAAGGCGTGGCCTTTGACGACGAATACCACTTCAACCCACAGCAGTCATCTCAATGGGACGGCCTCCGTCACCACAACCAGCCCGCACCGACAACCGAAGACCCCAACCGCCGCCTCTTCCACGGAGGCACAACCGCAGAGGAAATCCAGAACCCAAAGAACCCCCGCATTGGAATGGGCTACTGGGCGAAGAAGGGCATCGCAGGACGCGGAGTGCTAATCGATTTCGTCTCGTGGGCCGAAAAGAAGGGCATCGCCATCAACGCCCTAACGCAGCAAGTGGTCTCACTGGACACAGTCCACGAGATCGCACGCGAGTGTAAGATCGAGTTCCAGCGCGGCGACATCTTCTTCCTCCGCGTTGGTCTCCCGCAGACATGGGGCGCCATGACCGACGAGCAGAAGCAGGCGTACAGCCAGCAGGCCATGCCGAAGCATGCGGGGATCGAGCAGAGCGAGCGCGTGCTGCGGTTCTTCTGGGACAACCACTTTGCGGTGGTTGCGTCGGACGCGGTTAGCTTTGAGGTGTTCCCGCCGCTTAAGCCGGAGTTTGACCTGCATCATCATATGCTTGCCGGGTGGGGGGTGCCGATCGGCGAGATGTTTGATCTGGATGGGCTGGCGGAGATGTGTAGGCAGCATGGCCGCTGGACGTTCTTTGTCTCGAGCAGTCCGTTGAATTGTGCGAATGGGGTGTCGAGTCCGCCGAACGCGATGGCTATTTTTTGATTTGTCAGATTCATATACCGATGGGGTATACGAGAAGTCAGCATTTGTTTGTCTTGTATACTTCTGCCTCTGGCCTTAAGCGACTTCACGTGACGGTAGTAGACGAGCCTCGGTCCGCGATCCCCGACATTTTATCGGCTTATTCTATAATCAATAGCTCGACGTCGATCTCAAATTCTATTTACTGTCATTGATACTGTACTTTTATTTCTTACATGTGCTACTGAGCAATACCTAGACTAGTGCACCGGCACAAACTCCGAAGCGCGTCAGCTGCGCTTATCTCACCCTGCGGTACTTAATACAGGTCACATCTCACTCTTTGCTTCTTTTCCTTCCTTCTTCCAGATGTTGGACGAAATGGCCCGGCAATTGAGCCTCGAGAACGCTCGCGCGATTCTCTCAACGCTCGTATCATGGCGAACCCTTGCTCTTCTCCTCGCGATCCTCAATCTCAAAAACCTTCCTTTAGTCTGGCACGTAAGTTACTTCCCCACATTCACGCCGCAAATCCAAATCAGACAGAACATAACAGTGTATTCCCTGTATAGGTCCGCCTAGCCCGGCACTTCCTCCTCAACATCCGCTGGCGCCGCGACGAGCCCTTCTTCCCCAAAGGCAAAGCCCTCACAACATCGACCGGGAAACCCACGCACCCGATCTTCGTCCCCTACGCCATTACAAGCACAACTCCACTCCTGGAAACAGACTACAACCTCCATAAATCCAACAGCACATATTTCTCAGACCTCGACGTCTCCCGCACCGCCCTCGTAACCCGCATCTATAGCCCGGGCGTCGGCATTACAAGCAAAGAGCTCGATGTCGAACTGGCCGAGAAGGCCCGCGCAGAAGGCAAGACCCCTCCGCCACGGAAGAACATGTACATCGCACTCGGCTCAGTGTTTTGCACCTTCAAGCGCGAGATCAAGCCGTACACGAAATACGAAGTCGAGTCCCGCGTTCTGGCCTGGGACCAGAAGTGGATGTATATTCTGAGTTTCTTTGTGAAGCCCGCGGTGAAGAAGGGCGGGAAGAGGACGCTCTATGCCACGGCTGTCAGCAAGTATGTTGTTAAGAAGGGACGACTTACGATCCCGCCGGAGAGAGTGTTAAGGGCGAGTGGGTTTCTGCCAGAGCGGCCGGAGGGCTCTGCGTCTATTGCGGCTCTGTCAGAGTCGGCGGATGCGTCTGGGACGGATACGCCTTCTGGAAATGGGATAACGGCGACGGCGAGCGGTGTGGATGGGAGGCTTGTAAGGGAGGTGTTGAAGCTGCAAGACCATGAGATTCCGGACAGTGGGAAGTTGAACGGCGAGAAGGCGGCAAATGCGTCGTCATGGGATGGCGATGAGTGGACTTGGGAGCGCATTGAGGAGGAGCGATTGCGTGGGATGGCTGTGCTGGAGGGGTTCTGTGATTTGGATACCAGCTTGGCTGGGGAATGGGAGGAGTAAGGTGCTTTCTAAAGTATACTTCGTCTTCTCTCTTCGGCATATACATAGACATAGAGCACTCAGGTGTGTATACATAAACCATAGCGTAATATATAATTCGAGATCAACAAGAGTTTCTGTAGAAAGTGGATCATCCCGTGACATTTAGGATCCGCGTGGACCTGCCCGATCCAGATCGGAGCTTTATCTTGAAGTCTAATCACTCTCCAACTCCCAGGCACTTTCTTAACTATAGGTACAACCGCACAAATCTTCCAAGAACTCAAGGGAGCCTCTGATCACGGCCTGTCTCTTTTCATCACGGATGGGACTATTAAGATAACCCTGTTTCAGCGCTACTAAACTAGTTTGTTCTCAACCTACATCTCCTTATTCACTACCACGGTACAGACCTCAAAGTACATAAGGTACGAACCCACCAACTGTGATCTTTCACGTCTCACTGACACTGAATAGAAATTTATTTGACGAAGAAGCATCGGGAAAATGCCAATTGAAGTGCAACCATTAACAACGGCCGACATCCCAGGCGCAATTGAAGTGATCCAGCAGGCTTTTGCGGATGACCCATATTTCCAGTGGGTGTTCGATAATGAGAAGGTACGGTAGCATATAATTCTGCCAATTTGGATGTGTTAAGGAAAAAGGGGTGGGAAAAGGCTAATTGAAGAATAGTTCAACAAAGTCCGCAACTATGGCTCCCTGGAAGCGCGGTGTCTCTGGGGTATCGGGAACGCCATCTTCCACGTTGCCGTAGACACAGATACAGACCCTGCTACAAAAGAAAGCAAAAAGATCTTGGGCGTCTCATGCTGGCTTGCGCCTCACCCACCCTCAGAGCCAGAATCCTGGTATACCTGGTCCCAGAACTGGGTCTTGTGGTTCCGGCAGGGTCTCAACAACCTCTGGCACGGCGGGCGCGGCGGGCTGAATATCCGCCGGTATTATATCTGGAAGGAGAGGCAGGCAGAAGCACAGAAGTCTATTTGGGATGATGAGCGGGGATACTATTTCTGTAATATCGTTGCCGTACAGCCGGATGCGCAGGGGAGGGGTGTCGGGAGAAAGCTCTTTGAGGAGGTAACAAATCTCGCGGATAAAGAGGGGATGAGGTGTTATCTTGAGAGTTCGAGGAAAGAGCCGAACGTCGGGATATATGAGCGGCTAGGGTTTGAGATGAGGCGGGAGATGGAATGTCGGGATGGGGAGGGGGAGGGTGAGGCTTGTATGGTGAGTTCATTTCCCCCTGGTATCAGCCCAGTGGTCTCTGACTGGATTTTCCAGCTTTATTGTATGGTTCGTGAGCCGAAGAGCTCTTCATAATTGGACTTTGTATACCATGTCAAGTCCTGTCAACAGGACTAAACTTCAGCACCAGCTTGCGCCCCATCGGCAAACAGATAAAATCTGTAAGGTCCTGCTCAATACCCTCATCGTCAACAATTGTCGTGGTAAAGTTGGTATAGACAGCCGCCATGACAAGTTTAATTTCTGTATCATTATCAGCACGCAACAGACTCATTATTAGCCGAGACGAAAAACAAGATCAATACCTTGCAACGCAAAATTACTTCCTAAGCACATCCTTCCACCACTTCCAAATGGCCACCACAGCCGCCGCATGTCATGCTTCTTTCCAGGTTCGGGGTTAATCCACCGCTGCGGTAACCACTCCGCTGGCCGCGGATACACCTCCTCGATTCGGTGAAGAGTATATGCAGAGGAGCTGACCGTGATACCGCCTGGGATACCGTTGTACCCGTCTATTGCCGTTCCGCCCGGCGTATCAGGGGTCACGCGGGGTAGTGGTGATGGCAAGGGGGCATGGAGCCGGAGTGTTTCACGGATGATGGCGTCCAGGAGGGGCAGGGCGTCGATGGATGACGGGTGGGGGAGACTATCTTTCTCCATTGGATGTTTCAGCGAAGGTCGAAGAGTCTGTAGCTCAGCACGCAGCTCCTCTTGCAGCTCTGGTCGCTGCGAAAGCTCCCACACGATATAAGTGAACGTAATCCCCGAGGTTTCGTGGCCGGCTATAAGGTGGTCGAGGAGCTCAGATGCGATAGAGAGGTCGATGGATCGCGAGTCTGGGGACTTCTCAAGGCTCTGGCGAAGTGCGTTATATACAACAGGCTCAGTTGAGACGTCTGCCGAGTCAAGCTTGGTGATCCCCGTCTTCGTCTTCTGGCACAAGTCAAGACACCACTGCTCAACAAACCCATCGGCGCGCTCATCCCCACTCAGATGTTTGAAGCGCTCATACTCCTCCAGCCACTTCTGCCATCCCGGCAAATCAAACAGGAATCTCGTCCCATTCTGCACTCCAAACAGATAGGTCGAGATGAAGTCCATCCCAACAGCCTGGAATAGTGGGAGGACATTAACATTCTCGCCCCTTTCCACATACCCCTGTAAGATAGGCAGTAGTCTTCGCGTCAAGATCACACCGGAGAGATCCCGTAGATCCGGCGATTCCTGCAGGTACGACTTGGAGTAAACGCGGCTTAGCATCCTCTTCTGCTTCGCGTGCTCTTTATTTCCCAGCATACCGACCAGATTTTCAGTGTGAAAATTAATAAATAAGTCGCTGTACAGCCGGTGTTTCTCAAATGCACCCGTGTAGATGACCCGCAGGCCATGGAGCGAGTTCACGCTCAACTCATCCGGCGACAATCGAACGACGGGGCCATGTTTTGCATGTAGGCATTGGACTGTGCGTGTTTCTTCTCCTGCCTTTCGAACCGACGAGATCCAATTGTGCGAGAGGGGCGATGTGTAGTGGGCATTGGGGATCTTGAGCTTGGATAGTGGGGAGAGAAAGAGGGGGCGGAGGAGGAATCTGTAGAGCGGGAGGAGGATTGTTAGGGATAGCGCGGAGAGCTGGAGGGCTGCGTGGACGGGCATTCTTGTTTTCCTGATCAATGATGGTTCAGTTTCAATCCATGGATGGAATGGTGGAGTGGGGGAGTGGTTGGACTCGGCCATGAAGGGATGCAACCTTAATCCCAGCAAACAACGTGATCTCATGCATGGGAATTACCGTATACCAGGTAGGTATCAACGGGCCCTTGACGCTTTCATCGACCCAGTTTCAGAAGCAGGCAGGCTGTTTCCGGATTCAGTAGACATGCAACCTCATGGCAGTCGATGTAGCATCCCGCATTCCAGTCCACTTCGTTCTCGATATATAGAGATCGTAGACCTCAAGACCAGCCCAATTCCCGTGTAATCGCGCAACGACCCGACCCATTCGGATCACCAAGAGATTGAATTCAACATGTCCACCACCACAGAGATCGTCATCACGATAACGGGCATCCGCAAGCCTGGTCTCGACGAGTCCTCCTTTCATGAGTACCTAAGCACCACCCACGCACCGCTGGCTCTGCCCTTCCTGCTGAAATACGGGATAAGGGAGTACAACCTGATCGACCAATACAGCGCTTTGGTTCCATTCGCCGAGGAGATGCAGATGTCCAAAAAGCTGGCCGACTACGATTACATTGTGCAGTTTGTCATGGATGATGTCGCGCAGTTTAAGACATTGTGGGACGACGAGGAGTTTCGGAAAACAGTCAAGCCCGATCATGTCAATTTTGCGGATGAGACGCGGTCTGGGTATGTTCTCGCTTTTCCTTCTTCGCCGTTTTGCGAAGTGTCAATACTCATGGGGTTGTATAGGATATCGATTGGGTACAGGACAAAGTTTATTGCGCCGGAAACGGATTGGCTGGGCCGCTTGAAGAATTGAGGGACAGACTTACCCATGGTTGGGCTGTGCTAGGGTGTTAGGTTCCTGGAGGTAACAATAAGAAGTGGAAATCGAATAGACTCAGAATATTTATAATGCTATTGGATGGTATGATATGCCTCCAGCGCCGATTTTATTTCAATGATAAAAACCTACACAGGCCCAGGGAATCACAAAAGAAAAGTATAAAGTGGTGTATCGCAACTCCTTCGTCCTCCGCTGCCGGAAATGTAGAGATTCGTGACTTCGTGACTTTATTGTTCGTTCAGTGTCGTAGATGAGTATATATATTGTATGCAAGGCGTCTAGGCCGTTTGGTCTAGACGAATCCATTCGCGCGGAACGTCCATGCTGCGGTTGACACGTGCGCCAGGAGTCAACGGCACGTCGACTCGTCCTGAGCCGCGCTCATCGTCAACGCGCTCCTCATAGGTGGAGAGCCGCGAGAAGTAGTCCTCTAGAACTGCCTCGCGGTCGTGGTTTCCCACTATACTTGTGTACTCGGGTGGGGGTGTTATGAGCGGTGGTGGGGGAGGAACATCATCGAACGCGGGTGGTGCAAAGGACGGTGCGCGAAGGAGGTGCATAGGTCGAGGGACCTGTTCGGTCATTCTTCCGTCTGGCTCAGAGGCCAAATGGGCTGCAGGGGGTCGAGCTAGACCGCCGGAACCGCTGGTGAAGCTTCTAGAAACATGGACAGGCGGGTCATCTCGGTCAGAGCTCGATGGGGTGCGAGATGCATTTCGGCGAACTTGGGGAGCACCCGCACAACCGCATTCAAACTGTGGTGCTGGACTTGCCGGCTCCGATCCAGGCGTTGTATAGGCCGGGAGGTATATGTTCGCCTGCGTAGCTTTACATGATAGCAGATGGAACGGGGAGTCGATAGAAATTTCGAAATGTCGGCGTTTTCCCGGGTCGCGTTCATCTTGCTTAGACAGGCGAAGGACAATCTGATTTTGATTAGTATCAATTTCTATAAAGAAAAGAAGTGGAGACATACCTTGATCCAATGATTGATCTGAATGTTGTCATACGTCGTGTCAAAATGCAAGCGCTGCGATTCATCCCGGTTCTTCATTTCGTGGCAGCTCGGAAGCTGGACGCTGAACTCCATCTCGGTCGGCCCGACTCCAGACTCACTGCTCAGATTTCCAAGCAAATTCGTGCGACCCCGATCGACGATTTCCTCCCCTCTAGCAGCAGCAGCGCGTTGATCCCAGTCAATGCCTCCACCAGCCATGACGCGCATTGAACTACCAGGATATGTACTGGTACTGGCTTGATCAGCCCGTTTCTCGAAAAGGAGGACTTTCTTCGCAGGCTGAAATCGGTGGACGCTCTTGTCGGCGGTCCAATGCTGGATGTTCTCCGTCACAAAGACCTTGATCCGGTGGCACTCAACCTTGGCTAGTGGCGTAAGCTTGAAAGCGATTGGAATTTGGGATCCAAGCGGGAAGGATTTTCCCGAGATAACAATGTCATAGTGCAGCTGATCCTCCCAATTCCGCGAAATCGCAATCGGTTCGACTTGCTCTAGAGAGCCCTCCGCTGGCGTGCGGACGACGGGTACTTCCAGTGTGCCCAGCAGGTTTGGCCGGAAGGCGCCGGAACGCTCCACGATTGCTTCTAGATCGTACTTCACAAAGCCGAGTTCCGTTTTGATCGTCTCTGGAAGGGATCCATCAATTGGGAACTCGAAGCTGTACAGGTAATCGCCAACCGGGAACAGTCGGTAGTTGCGCTGAGGTTGAGGCGGCCCAGCTGGCGGCGTATCGCCCTTGCCGAAACTACGTGAGTTGCTAGACTGCAGAGAGAGTCGCTTCGCCTCCCTACTCGTTAGGCCGTTGAGTGACGTGGAGGAGTTACTGTTGCTGAAAACTTCGCGGGTGACTGTCGTCGTATTATCCTTGTTTCCGGTGAAGACACTTAGAGGTTTGGCGTACTTGTAAATATGGGCGCCATAATCGTTTTGCATAAGAGCTGTGTCGCCGTGGTTAAAATACACAACTCCATGGGTGACGAGGTCCTTTTTGTCGTGGAAATGGATCTTTTTGGGTGGAATTCCTTTAGTGAAAAAGTCAATAACTAAATGCGAACTTGAAACCAAGGGGTCGTACCATCCGGCCAATCCGTCTGCGCCTGGCCTCTGAAACAGATCGAAATTTTCTTAATCTTGACACTTTTCGTGACCTTCAAATGTAGCTGCCCGCGCAGAATGGCAGACTTCTTCGTGGTGGGGTCATTCTGATCGTAGCCTTGAAGAAAGAGCACAGGCTCGGTGAGGGCGATTCCAACTGAGATCCCACTACCCGTTGCAACGGTCTTCTCGTTCGGCAACGACGGGAACGGCGCATTGTCTGGGATGCAGCCCGGCGAGGGCCCGCGAGAGGCTACCATCGACGAATTTGAGGAAGAATGGGAGCGCATTCTGCCCGGCTGAAGGGAGGGCGCGGCGAGCATGTTGACATCGTCTGGGGAAAGGATAATCTCAGAGACAGGGCGATGACGACGTGACCGAGCCATCGGGCGATCCTGCGACGGCGCTGGAGATTGGGCGGTTCCTAGGCGGAGAAAGCGCTTTGCGTTTTCCCGGGGACCCGCCAGCTTTCTGAAAATAGACCCGCGACGAGTTAGCCCGGCTTGCTTGGGGAATTGTTGGGTCGCGAAATCGGTGGTGTCGACAGCCGCAGTCCCGTTCGCAGTATATGGCCGGCGATAATGAAGCCTAGGATGTAACAGGCTCGACAGCAGAGATTCGGGTTCAGGCGTCTCGCAGGGGAATTGACCGGCGACTAGATTTGCGGCGGTAATTGATCCTGGTAGATCCTGAGGCACATGAGCAGTTGTCATCGTGAAGGCCGCCGGCTCAGGGTCATTATCTGGGGTAAGAGATTGGGAACGAAGCGAGTATGGAAGTCCTCTATGAAAGCTTGGGAAGAGGAAGAAGGAATATAAACAGATGGGACAGGGATGGAAGGGACCGGGGCGGGAGTATAAAAGGAAACAAGGGAGTAAAAAAATAAAGAAGCGACACAAGACAGAGATCACAGAAAAAATAAAAACAAAGGCCGATGACCCTCTTCAGGTTTCAACTTACCGCGTCTGGACTTTGGATCTGATTTTCTGAATCTGGAGGGATGGAGCAGTCTCAGGCCGGAAATTGAGGGATTTGCGGTGCAGCAACAGCAGCAGCTTCAAGGCTTCAGCATTCAAAGTCTAGCAGGGCTATAGTCTCCTGCACTATTGGGCGGCTTTATTGGTTTGGTACGAATTTTACGCACAATCCCAAGGCGATCTGAGTCGTGCGACCAGCGTTGGGTTGTTCTGTGACCTTTGCTTTTCTGCTTGGCTCAGCTATTTCTTCTTTCTTCGTCCTTCCTTTCTGGGGAAGAAGATCGACACGCAAGGAGCTGAAGTTCAATCACGTTGCAGGGCGACTCAAGCCCAAAAGAAGGTGAGGACGGAAACGAGAGACTGCACAGCCTGTCTTGGAAAAGGGTCAAGAGGGTCAAGACAGAAGAGGGAAGAGGTGAAGATAGGTCGGGTCGAGACTTTTGGATGTATGTATGGGAAAGTGGATGACAACACAGACACAAGAATGAAAAGAGTGAGGCGGTGCGGGAGAAAGACTTTTTCTGCTTGGGCTCCAGCTCGCAGATTAATATTAAGGGATCATCAGACAGGAAACGGTTCATGGGCGATGACGCGGAGGGGATTTTGGTCCATCAAATTGCTGTCCAGATTCTCTCCGGGCTTCCGGGTGGTGGACATCGGACAGCGAGCTTGTGGCTCTGGAGATTACCTACTTGGGAGTCAAGATTTACCACAATATGACGACTGGCTTTTTGTTAATCCTGATGTATCAGTGGCAAGCTCGACGCGTCTCTGCTCACACCCTCGCAAAGACATGCCATTCTAGAATTCACTTTGCATTTGTATCTACCTCCGCTTTGACTTCTGTCCGCTGGCCATGTGATGGTTCAGATGTGCTGTGCAGGATTGATCCGTCTTTGAAGATTACCGGAAAAGGCCTGGTCTGGCCTGCTGGGGAACTCCTCGGGATGACGTCGGATCGCCTCGTACGCCGATACACACATCGACTGCGTGGAGATCATGGATCTGGTTGTTCTAAAGAAAGACGGAGGCCCCGGAAGCCTTCTCCAAGATCATTAATCAGGGCGTCGTAGTCTCAGCTACACCGTACCCTACGATTAAGGCATAGTCACACACCAACCATTGATCAGCAGCGCCGATGTTCAGGGCGCAGCCAAGCAGGACGGCTCAAGCAAGCCAAGCAACTCGTCCAGAATAATCAATGCGGGGATCATCGACGGAAGCCTTTTCACGTCAAGCGACAGTGACATCATGAGTCCCTCATTTCTCAGTCCCTCAGAGAGTCAGAAGTCCATGGGCGACTGGGCCTCAACCAGGCTACTTTAGCGCATCTCTCTCCCGCTTGCTTGGGGCTTGGGCACCACCGGCACTCAATTGCCTCACCCAAGTTACTACTAAGTAGTAAGGCAAATCTTCATCTTTTCAATAGAACGCGGTCTGGCTCGTAAGGCTCAAGTTGCCTACTTCAGTTAGGTACTCCGGAGGAAGAATCTCCTTGTCCGCAGAAAGCACCGGATATTCGGGGTTTCCTCGGGGCTGTCGGTCTGCCATTTGACTCAGCACGGCTTACCGGCGATTTTATGCATGATTTTGTTCACTTGTCTCACGGTTTGCGGGCCATGATAGATCTCGAGGGTAGAGGAGTTGGGACAGGATTTGACTTTGGTTGAATCGGTCTAGAACCACCGGGACTTGCAGACGGCTTACCGGTCATTGTGTTCGGAACAAAAAGTGCGAAGTAGTATACAGCTATGGCTACCGCAGAAATAGAATAAAAAATTACCAAGGCCAACAAGATGAATCGCAAGCTCTTGTTATTTCCTACCGTTTAGGTTCGGTCCCGCTAGGTTGGTAGCAACTAAGGTTGCTCTCAAACGTGTGGAGCATTCTTAGGCTCGCGTGCCTGGCATCGTCTCGCAGCTCAGGTACCCCGGGGTGTCATCAACGGAACTCAACTCCGGCTTCTCATTCAAGTGAACCAAGTATCATCAAACTCATTAAGCTGCATCAACCCATCGCCTCCTAGCAAATCCTGGTCTCCGGTTTCGTTTCCTCCCATATTCTCACTCTCCATAAACAAGTCGTCAAAACTGGACTCTCCTGGACCTATAATATCATCTGTGCTACCCCCAAATTGCTCATTTGGATCGCCGGGTTGAGTAGCGAACTTTTGCAGTTCAAGGTCGAAAGCGTCACCCCCTGTTGCTAGGGCATTATGATCCTGACCAGGATCGGTATTCGACATCTGAATATTCCCGCCTTCGAGGCTAGAGTCAGCGTTTGGGTCGCCAAAGTTCGTATTGAAGAAGTCTTCATTCCCTGCATTTCCGTTGTCTCCAAAGTCGAGGTTAAGGTCGAACTCGTTGGACTCGGAGTTGTTCAGTCCTGAGCCGTAGACTATTTGTTCCGAGCCCCCAATATCCTGGCCAGAGGGAGCGGGAGCAGCGCCGGCGTCGTGTGGCTCCTCTTCTTTCGTGTGGGCAATAGCCGTTTCCAGCTGATCTGTATTCAGATCTGTTTGCTCTTCTATTTTCACGTCGTTGACGATTGGTTTGGATTCGCTCCCATCGGGAGCCGCCCCGGCTGCTGCCGTTTGCTCCGGAATAGGCACGGTTCGAGGAGCGCTCATTGCATCTGCCTTTCCCATGACAACATCATCGGCGGGACGCTTGCGTAGGGCAGCTTTCCGCGCCTTGATAACATCATAGTCTCTTTCCAGAAATGCCTTGGCAACAAACTGTCCTCGGTCAGCTTCGGCAGGCTCCACACTCAGTCACTGGAAGCGGCGTACTATTTGCTCGGATAAGCTATCTAATGCTGACTGAAACTGTTCCTGTGCTGCAGGGATAGTTCGCTTCAGCTGAGACCGAGACTGTAGGGACCCTTTATTTTGAAAAAACCGGCCGGTCTCGATCAACTATTTAGGGTTAGCAAGAACTTCGTCCCTCTCGGCTGCTTTACTTATTTTTATGCATAGCAGGGGGTTGAACAACCTACCGTTTGATTTACCATCTGCGTCAGGACCTCAAGTGATTCCGGGTTTGAGAGAGCTGGAGAAGTCATGGTGCGGTTGGCTGGTACGCTTCGCTGAGTGAGTCGTTAGATCCCTGAGATGGGCAGACCGCGCGGCAACGCTCCGGTTGAAACGCTGGAGGTTCGTCCACAGCCAATGAATTGGAGCAGTTCAAGCGACTGGAACTGTGCAGAGTTCAGGTGATTGGTGGATTATTTATATATGCTTAAAGCGAGACAGGCGCTTCGATTGCCAACGTTGTTGTTCGGAGGATGAAGCAGCGGTTAAGCGCCGGCCCTCTGGACCAACATTTCATTACCGTGACGCTAACCCGACCGGGACTAGACCCTCCCCCACCGAGGCGGCTCTTGGACCACTAGTCAGCCAGGAGAACAAAAGCACTGGGGTGGACAGATCGAGGGCCAGAGGTTTCTGGTACAGAGGAGGATTGCAAGTCGATCATGAACGAAGGCACCGGAGTCCCCGTAGTCTAGCAGTGCCGTATCTGATAGTATACTTGGCTTGATAGACATCGTTCTATTGTTCTCCCGTAGAAGCCCAAACTTCAGCTTCCTTAGGTACCCCTGTTCTTCTACATCCCCTCCTGCTCTCCTTTCCATTGCTTGCCGCCGTACCTAAGTTTGCTTATTTTATATTTGCCATCTATTCTTACTGTCTGCTTATAACCAAACCCGATCGCGTTCTCCATAGCCTCGCTCACACCAGTGGTTCCCGGAGGCGGTCCTGGCAGCTGGAGGAGCCAGGATTCCACTTAGCGCCTTTCATCCATCACAAAGCTTTCCACCATCCCCTCGACTTGTCACCGTCTTTTTTCCTTGTCGGCATCTGTTTGCTGCTTGATTGTATAATCTAGCGTTTTCTCTTTTGTCGCTTCTCGTCTCCTTGCTTCTTGTCTTTTTCGAGTCGAGTTTCCTCCTCGTTTGCCTTGCTGTCCCCCCCTCTCCTCCATCCCCGCGTCGCTTTTTTCCGCCTTCGACCACCACCATTTCAGTCTCAGCGTAACACCCTGCATCGTCCCGTCACAGGCGATTGCCATATCATTCATCGCCTACTCAAACGCTGTTTTCGACTTCTCGCTTGCCCGTATATTTAGTCACATTCCAATCCGCTTTTGTACATTGCAACTTGATCCCCCCACAGAACAATGGCGGATAACGTGTCTGCTTCGACTTCGTCGACCCATGCGCCGCCACAGCCTCCGACTGCTGCCTCGAACCAGCAGTACGATGCGTCCCAGGGAAACGGCCAAACCAATCCCTCCCACATGCCACCCCCGCCTCGCCCTCCTGTGATTATTCCTCAGAACACCAACCCTATTCCGACCGCTATTACCTCCCCGATGTCTGGAGGTATGGTGTCTCCAACCAGCGCTGGCGGATATGTGCGTCGTGCAGCCCCTGAACCAAACAAGCGGGCCCTCTACGTTGGCGGCCTTGACCCGCGGGTGACGGAGGATATATTGAAACAAATCTTTGAGACCACTGGACATGTCATCAGTGTCAAGATCATCCCCGACAAGACTGTAAGTTTCCAGGTTCTGAGCCTTGCGTAGGTTCCCCGCTGGAAACATACTTATCGACCGGCACAGCAATTCAACAACAAAGGGGCCAATTACGGTTTCGTTGAGTTCGACGATCCTGGTGCCGCTGAGAGAGCGATGCAGACGCTCAACGGCCGTCGGATCCACCAGTCGGTATGCGCACGCCTCTTACCTGAGCCATTTCGGGTCTCTTCTAATACTTGTTCTAGGAGATCCGCGTGAACTGGGCGTATCAATCCAACACCACCAACAAGGAGGACACTTCGAATCACTTCCATATTTTCGTCGGCGATTTGAGCAACGAGGTCAACGATGAGGTCCTTCTTCAGGCATTCTCTGCTTTCGGTTCTGTCTCTGAGGCACGCGTGATGTGGGACATGAAGACTGGCCGCTCTCGTGGCTATGGTTTCGTCGCTTTCCGTGACCGCGGAGACGCTGATAAAGCGTTGAGTTCAATGGATGGAGAATGGCTCGGTTCCCGTGCCATTCGCTGCAACTGGGCTAATCAGAAGGGGCAGCCCTCCATTTCTCAGCAACAAGCAATGGCGGCAATGGGCATGACACCCACAACACCATTTGGCCATCACCACTTCCCTACCCACGGTCTCCAGAGCTACGACATGGTTGTCCAGCAAACCCCACAGTGGCAGACTACGTGCTATGTCGGCAACCTTACCCCTTACACCACGCAGAGTGATATCGTTCCCTTGTTCCAAAACTTCGGCTACGTCATGGAGAACCGTATGCAGGCCGATAGGGGGTTTGCGTTCATCAAGATGGACAGCCACGAGAATGCGGCCTCGGCAATCTGCCAACTTAACGGCTACAATGTTAACGGACGCCCCCTGAAGTGCAGCGTATGTCCCCCAGCAGCGTCCCATCATGCTTCGTTACTAGCGCTAATTGTAATCAGTGGGGTAAGGATCGTCCGCCCACCGGCCAATTCGATAACTTCTCCGGTCAACAGGGCAACTCGCCCTTCAGTTCCAGCCCAGGTCCGTATTTCCCTCAGTATGGTGGCCCTGGGGGTCCCATGACTCCTCAAGGTAAAGACCGTTCTCGTTCGCCCTGTTACTGCCTGTTTCTGTGCATAGTTAACCCGTGCGATGCATTAGGGCCAGCACAAGCTGGAAGAGGCTGGGAGCAGCCCCAAATGGGCCAGCAGGGCTTTGGCCAGGTTCCCGGAAATACCGGTTATGGCCGTGGACAAGCCACGCCCAACTCTGGCTGGAACCAGGCTAACAATGCCAATTTTGGAAACGGCTTTGCCGGCGGCTACCAAGGATAGGCTATCGTCGTCTCGCCAACGTTGGTATGAACCGTTTCCTACCATGCCTTTATAAAGTGGTAGCAAACTTCTTTCCCTTCCTTTCTCCACTCCCCTTATAACCACATTTGAAACTTCTTCGGCCCCTGCCACATCTTGAGTTCTGCTATATCTGCTTGTGCTTCTTGATGATTACCAACTGGATCTCCGAGCGCCATATCCCATCCTCGAATTGTCTTGTTTTCTGAAATATGAAATTTGTGTGTTCTCATGCACCAATACCCCAAGTCCACATTGTTGAACCAAATCTCGTCTGCTCTTTCTTTGAACGATACTACGCTACTTCGATCAGAGCTAAGCTTCTTGGGCTTCGGATTCAAGCGTCCTGCGGAATAAACTAAAAGTACTTCCTTCTGTTCCACACCATGGGTGAGCCCGTTTTGGACCATGTATCTGCTTAAACTTGTCTTTGATCTGTATCGTATCTTCTTCGTATGTACAAGTGGTCTTGGGGAAGACTTGTTATTTCCATCTGGTCCCTGGTCTCCTGTGTGAGAGTGCTTCTATCCGTTCAAAGACGTCTCACTTCTTCTAGCTAGCGACTCAAGTTTCCCTTTCTTTTTGCGTCTTGACTTCATGATATGCGTTCTAGATCTTTTATTGTTCTAGTGTCGAGTATATTATACCCCAGGCATGTCGGATTATTATTTCTCTAATCTCTCAATAAATACACCATACCGGAAAGAAACCGCTAAAGATATCACACAAGGCATACAGGCCTTGTTGCCATATTTAGGGCACTCTTGCCCGCTGAGGGAGGAAGCTGCGGGGAGAGATACCTAACCGTAGGTACTGTAGGTAGTGACCGCCTCCAGCATCCCCTATTCTGCCCCTGGTCTCTACCAATCTTTAGAAGACCCTTTTCCACGCCAGCACCCTGTATTATTGCATATACATGTGGATGGACTCACAGGCACCTCCTTAAGGCCACCCGGTCAATGGAAGATGCAAACAACGGGAAGGCTGCGGCAACGTCACTCGACAATGAAGACCAGCTCTCTGGCCGAACGCGGTCTGGAAGCGCAAGCAGTGGACACAAGCGCAATTCCTCCGGCTCATTGCTCTCACGACTCTCATTTTTACGCATGATGCAGGCCAGTCAGGGCCCCTCGGACCGAGGACGTTCCAACCTCGAAGCAGATGACGACCGCGACGATCTCGGGTCCGGGTTAAGAGGCGCCAGGGCCATGTCAACTGCGCTACAACAGAGAAGGACACGACGGAGGAGAGGCTCGCTGAGAAAGACGGCTTTACTCGGCACGCGATTTGATTACCGAGATAAGAAGGGTGGCAGGCCGGCTGTCGATGTTCGTGGGGATGTTGTCGATCAACATCAGGCTCAATCGCAAGCGCCGCAGCAACAGCGACTTACGCCGCCTCCTATACCTACCCATACTCGCATGAAGTCCTTCGGCGACCCGGTCTCACCAAATGATGGGTTTATACCTAGTCAGCCGTCGGGTCGGGAGGGGCTGGGGCAAAGTAACACAACTTGGACCCTGATGGACGCACCGCAAAGAGGTCGGAAGGCTTCTGCGTCGGCGCCGCAACACCTCCAGCCTATTCGGTCGAAAGAGAATATGCTCGGCGAAGAGGTTACCACTGATGATGAAGATATTGTTTCTTTTCCTCCAAGGAAGAATACCGGCTCTGCCGCGACCGCGTTCCACAGTTCCTCTAATACCTCAAGCAACAGCGGGACTGCGGGCTTACGCATTCCGACACCCTCATCGAGCACAGACTCGTACTACGGGTTGCCAGCGGACCAGAAGTACAGGACCACCCATCGCGCGAAATCGCCTCTCGCAACGCACGCGGTCGATATCACTGGCAGCCAGGAGGCGATGAGCTGGGACTATTCTGAGACGGAGTGGTGGGGCTGGATAATCTTAATAGTGACATGGCTGGTCTTTGTTGTGGGAATGGGGAGTTGCTTCGGGGTTTGGAGTTGGGCCTGGGATGTCGGGGAGACCCCATACGCGCCCCCTGAGCTGGAAGATGACCCTACCCTGCCTATTGTTGGGTACTATCCCGCGCTCATTGTACTGACGGCGGTCATGTCGTGGGTTTGGGTTATCATTGCATGGGTTGGCATGAAATATTTCAAGCATGCCAACATAACTGGGGATGACACATGACCTAATAGAACATCCTTATACCAACAACCCTAGTCGCTGCAATGAAACGTCGGCTTGTGCCGGCCTATATAATGACACCAAAAACCAAATAGACTACTTTCAACCGCTTCCCAACTCCAACGCCGTTGACTCCGTAAGCCATGTCAAGGTTTCTAAATTGCATATAGCCAGCCAGCAGTTCGCTACCTCGCTACCTCGCTGCCTCAAGCTGGCCTCTTGGTATTCCTCCCGTGGCCACATCCGGCCCAAGCCCTGGCGCACTAACCCTAATATCAGGCTTGGGAAGAGAATCCGCGCCCTGCGGCTGGACTGTCGTTCCCGGCGCTGTGCTGACAAGACCCTTCGAGACGGCATAGCATGAGGACCGATCATGGTTTCCGTCTTCGCTGTAGTACTCATCCAAGATTGGATGCAGAAGCACGGTTTGCTTGTGTATCGTCACGATGGAGTTGGCTGGGACGGAGACCCAGTTGTCTATACTAGTTAACATCACCAGAATGAAAGAAGAACTAAGAGAAGGTAACTCACGCCTCTCAAATGTAATCGGCTCACTCGCAACGAGCACAATATCCGCCCCCTTATCATGCCTCTCCATCTTAAAATGGCCCTTAACCTTGCCCTCCTTCCATTTCGTCCCAGACGAAAAGTACAAACTCGCCGGCTCATCCGTCTTCGAACTAATATACCGCGTACAAACAACCGTGTGTCCATCCGTAACTGCAAAGTTCAGCAGACTCCTCGTTTCCAGCCCCTCAGGCACGTTATGTCGATTCGGAATATCCTTGATGAACTCATTGATCTTGGCAATCGTCTTCACCATCACCTTGCGGAGCAGCGCCTGCCCAAACCCCTCTGGCCCAGGATCACAACTCGGATCAACCCCCTCCTTCGCGAGTAGATCTAGGAACAGCGCAAACGCCCACTCGCTATCAGTCCCGCCCTTCACGCCGAGATACCACTTGTCGGCGAGCGAGTCAGCCAGCGCGCGCTTGATGTAGTGCCATCCGCCGATGCCGCCATTGTGCATCCACATGAGCGTGTTGTGCTGGAAGGGGTGGCAGTTTGTGTCGGAGAGGGTCCCCTCCGTTGTGGCGCGCACGTGCGCAAAGATCAGGTTCGAGCATGTCTTGGACGCGAGACGTTCCAGGTTCTCGCAGTTCCATGCTGGCAGGGTTGATGTGAAGATGCAGGGTTCAGGGCCCAGTTTGGGATCTGTGTAGAAGCCTACGCCGAAGCCATCGCCGTTTACGGGGCGGCGGTTGTCCTATTTCTTTTTTGAGAAAGAGTCTCAGAAATTGGCACTGATGGGCTTACTAGTCGGAGTCGCGAGTCGTAGGACTGCGTCAAGATGGAATGGCTGGGCTCTGTGACTAGCTTGCTGAGACGGATCTCATGCCTGCCCTTGTATACCTGGAGAGAGGTTAGATATTGGCTCCCTAATGGCTGGGTTGACTCACTAGAAAACGACACATGGTTATTTGAGTACGCGCGACTCGTATTATATGCTCTAGATATCTTCTCGATAAACAGTGGTCTGGAGTTGGGATGAGAAAGAAGTGCTGTACTTCTACTATGCGAAATCGGCGGTCACAGACGGTGAAGATGATCAGCTTCGTTCTTGCAGCAAAGGCTCCCCAGCCTGACACAACAATCCGGTTTATACGACACACAATCAAGCAGAATAAGTCAGACTCTCAAGATTGACTTTTGGACACAAAAATATTCCCCCTTGTTTTGCTTTTTGTCCAACAAGAATCACGTCAGTTCAATAGCCCACGTGACTCATCTTGGGCCTTTACGGGCACCGAAGCGGCCACTCACGCAAGTCACGGGCGGCTCTTCAAGACCATCCGACTCGATCTCGACCGGCAGAAGTAATGACGTTCTCTCCACCATATTTCCCATCTTTTTCGAATCACCAATATACCTAATACACCAACCGTGGCAGGTTAGCCCGGAGATGACAACCACTTACTCGCCCGAACCGACCACAACTGTATGAGTCTTCAGCAACCATGAGCGGGAGGATTCTCTCGCATCGTCTTGTTCCGCTCCTGCGGAATGGTCTTTTATCGCGCCATGTACACAACGCCGCCGCGCGGACCGGAGGCCTTCTACGAGCCGAAAGTGGTGCTGCTCTGCGCGGCCGCGCCTGGCCTGTCGGCGCGAACTCCATCCACAACAATGTGCCCGCTGTGCGGGCAATTTCCTTCGCACGCATCCTGCCGAAGCTTGCGGTGAAGCTGCTACGGGTGCCTGCGATGTTTGGGGGTGCGATGGTAGCTGGGTTGGCGTATTTCCAGTATCAGGCTACACGTAAGCTCTATTTGACCCTGATGCGGGGGTTCGGCAAGCTAACGGATGGGCATTATAGAGGCGGGGAACTATGCGATAGATGTGCTTAAACGTGCCAGTGAAACAGCGGGGGATGCGGCGTCGGGATTGTTTGCAGGTTTGCAGAATGTGGCTGATCAAACACAACGAGGGTGGCAGAAGTCTACAGAGAACATTGAGGCCCCCGAGTGGTTGCAGAAGATACTACGGCTCGACCAGGACTCGCAGGGTGACGGGTCGTCTGGCGGCAGCGGTGGTGGACAGCCGCCAAGGGAGAGCCGAGCGGGCGTCGCCGCTGCTGGTGCTGCTGTCGCGACCGCATTCGGGCAGGAGGAAGACGATATTGCAGGTCGAAGAGATGCAGAGAACGATCAGATGATGCTGCTCACCCGGAAGATGATCGAGATTCGGAACATTCTTCAGACTGTCGGACAATCTGGTACTCTGACCCTGCCGTCTATCGTGGTCATTGGTTCGCAGTCGTCTGGCAAGAGCTCTGTTCTTGAGGCTATAGTTGGGCATGAATTTCTTCCGAAGGGGACGAATATGGTCACCCGACGTCCGATTGAGCTCACTTTGATCAACACGCCGAATGCGCAAGCGGAGTATGGAGAATTCCCTGCTCTTGGATTGGGGAAAATCACCGACTTTTCACAGATCCAACGGACGTTGACCGATCTAAACCTGGCAGTCCCTGAGAGGGACTGCGTTTCCGACGACCCGATTCAGCTCCAGATCTACTCTCCCAACGTTCCAGACCTATCTCTTATCGATCTTCCCGGTTATATCCAGGTTTCCGGACACGATCAGCCACCGCAGTTGAAGCAGAAGATCGCGGATCTCTGTGACAAGTATATCCAACCACCGAATGTTATCCTCGCCATCTCCGCGGCTGATGTTGATCTAGCCAACTCGACTGCTTTGCGGGCAAGTCGCCGAGTCGACCCAAGGGGCGAAAGGACGATTGGCGTAATCACAAAAATGGACCTCGTTGATCCAGAACGAGGCCTCAATATCCTTTCAGATGAAAAATATCCTCTTCGCCTTGGATACGTGGGTGTTGTGTCTCGCATTCCTCAAACCAATGCTCTATTCTCCCGGGGAAGCGGAAATATTACAAGCGCAATCCTCAAAAACGAGACCGCATACTTCTCAGCACACCCAGCAGAATTTGGCGCCGAGTCAGGCGTGGCCGTCGGTGTCTCGACTTTACAGAAAAAACTAATGCACGTCCTTGAGCAAACGATGGCATCAAGCCTAGCGGGTACTAGGGATGCCATCAGCCAGGAACTAGAAGAAGCGACATACGAGTTCAAGGTCCAGTATAATGACCGACCTCTGAGCGCCGAATCATATCTTGCAGAAAGCCTTGATGGCTTCAAGCATTCCTTCAAAGCTTTTGCCGAAAGCTTTGGTCGACCTCAAGTCCGTGAGATGCTAAAGGCCGAGTTGGACCAGCGCGTTTTGGATATTCTCGCCCAGAGATACTGGAATCGGCCAATTGACGACTTGTCACCACCAATGGCTGAGCCGGACCCTCTCAGCGACCTTCCTAAGGCTGACCCTGAATCGCTATACTGGCACCGCAAGCTCGATGCCTCGACATCGTCCCTTACAAAGCTTGGCATTGGCCGATTAGCTACCACCGTCGTGGCGAATGCGATCCAAGGTCATGTTGAGCAACTTCTAACTAACTCTACTTTTGCCGCCCACCCCTACGCTCAGAAACAGATCGGTGATGCCTGCAACAGTATCCTCAATGACCGGTTCTTTAGCACTAGCGACCAGGTTGAGAATTGCATCAAGCCATACAAGTATGAGATCGAAGTTGAGGATCCGGAGTGGACGAAGGGCCGAGAGAACGTCAGCAAAACCCTAAAGGAGGAACTGAAAGCTTGCGAGGCAGCCCTCAAGAACGTCGAAGACAGCGTCGGAAAGCGGAAGCTCAAAGACGTCATCTCCTTCATCGACAAAGTCCGAAAAGGCGAGGTCGTCCTTGACGGCGACGGCTCCGGTGGTGCAGGAGGCTTCAGCGCGTCACTCTTAGCCCGAGGTTCGTTTATTCTTCTTCCAAGCCCCATCAGTAACACTCCACTAACAACCCCTTTAGGCCGAGAAGGCGCCTTCCTCCGCGACCGAGCCGACATTCTAAAGATGCGTCTGCTAGCAATCCGCTCCAAACAGTGCGCCTCCCAGAAGAACAAGTACTACTGCCCAGAGATCTTCCTCGACGTCGTCGCCGACAAACTCACATCCACCGCCGTGCTCTTCCTGAACGTCGAGCTTCTCTCCGAATTCTACTACAATTTCCCCCGTGAGCTCGACATGCGGCTGGGCCGGCACCTCTCCGATGCAGAGGTTGAGCGCTTTGCACGCGAGGACCCGCGCATCCGTCGCCATTTGGACGTTATCCGCAAGAAGGAGCTGCTTGAGCTTGCGCTGCAGAAGATCGAGAGCATTCGCCAGCTTGATGGGCGGAGTGGTGGGAAGATGAGGTCTGAGCGGGAGAGACCGCTTGGTGGTGCTGGGAAGGGGGAGAGGGGACGGGGGTGGAATATCTTTTAATCAAGCGAGTTTAGTAATAAGAGGGCGGGCGGCGTTGCGTTCGTCCCTTCCAACTGCTGCATACATTTCCATCTTTATAAGATTCCCGCTCTGGCGCTTGGATTATACATACATGCCTACTTACATTGGCCGACCTCGAACCCCTCACCTCCTGTATACTTCACTGTTCATAGTCACCAAGAAGGAAGGCGTTATGTTAGGTACTATCAAACCAGCACAGCGTGCTTCTTATTACTATCCTTCCTCGCTCTGTTCCTCCAGGCTCCGAATACACTCGTCACTTTTGCTCGTAGATTCTGAAATGAAGGGATTAATCCGTATTTACCTGGTTTGTGACGCCATTACAGAGAGAATGCACTAGGCAGACATTCAAGTAAAGCGGTGATCGACGCGCAGTGGCAAGCCAGGCCAGGTGCTCCTAGAAGACTCTAGTAACAGATATATGGGCTGTTAAAACACAGGCACAAGTACAGACATGATGGCACAGAAGAGAGAAGATGATTGCAAAGTAGAACAAGCCGGAAATAGTATAATACCAGATGATATTTAAACAGAAAAGGAAATACGTTACTGTTACCTATTAATTCGAGATCGAATGCCACGAGCTGAGACTCGGGAAAGAAGAAAAGAAGAAGCACGGACAAAAGAAAGAGTGCAAAAGCAACAAAGAAACAAGTCTATGCGCAAACCGGCAACCCAGTCTATCAGAGTCCAATCGTACATGCTGAATAAGTTGAGATGGGCAAAAAGAAGCGACCGCGGGGGAAAAAAAACAGCAATCCGTACGATCCCGATTAGTACAACTCAGTTTTGATTCTGCTGTTCGTGGCCTATCGGCACCCACGAAAGATAAGGAAGATCGGGATGTTTGATGACAAGGGTGGTGGTCAGAAGACGGGATATCGAGACAAACCGGATGGATACCTCGGTTCGGTGAGAAAGGTCGTGGTGGCGTAAGTTTATGTGGAACAGGAGAAAGTGAGGGAGAGGTAGGATTAACGTTCGGAAGAAAATGTGATGTCGCGCTTGAAAGATCATAACGTAGGGGGCGTCTCTATTGCTGTTGTACATGGTGCCTAGCATTCAATCTAGGGACTGCTGTTGTTGGCAGCAGGGATCATTTACTCGCGAGACACGTCACGGCCGAAGAGTCTGGCCTTGATCCAGTCAAGGGCAACGAGGACACGGTTGCGGGCTAGATGAGAATGTCGTGTTAGCTAGGGGATCCAATACGTTTGAAGTGACCGAAGCAAAGAGGATACTTACTGCTGAAGCACATGCTCAGATAAGCACTACGCCAGAAGAGGTAGGTCATAGTTCCACCGCTCGCAATGTTGCCGCTCAGCCAGCTGATGTCCGCAACAGCACGCTCCTTTCCAATGTAGGCCATACTTCCCTGGTGGGAGTACTGGAAGGGACCAATCTGCTTAGTTCTCCGCAGCTGGCGCTGGTGGTCACGGATTTCATCGAAGATCTGGTTGCGCTCCTCATCGGTCTTGGCGGCCGACTGAGCTTCAGAGAGTCTCTGGAGGTCCTTCTCAATGGCCTCGGTCTTGGCCATGGTATTGAAGAGACGGGCAAGGAATGCACCTTCCTGACTGGCGACCTGGGCGGTAGGAGCGTAGTTGGTGATAGCGCAGTCTCCTACGGCCCAAACGTTCTCAGTGCCGTTCACAACGAGGTATTCGTTGACAGCAAGACCACGGCGGGAGTTCTTCTGGGCGGGGAGCTGGCTCATGAGGTCGCGAACGATGGGGCGGAGAGCGTTACCGGTGGCCCAAACAAGCAGACCGTAGGGGATGGTCTCGAGCTCCTTGGTTCCGTCGGGGTTAGAGATCTCGGCTTCAATGTACTTGTCGGTGACGTTCTTGACCATGGTCTTGGTGCGGATGGTGATGGATTCTTCTTTGAAGGTCGATTCGGTGTAGTCGATCAGCTGCTTGGAGAACATAGGAAGCACGTTGGGCAGAGCTTCGACAAGAGTGACGCGGAAGTTCTCCTGGATCTCAGGAACCCACTTCCTCAAGTCGTGCTCGAAGAAATCTTGAAGCTCACCGGCGAATTCAACACCGGTCGGGCCACCACCGACGACAACCATGTGCAGAAGACGCTTGATCTCCTCCTCGGACTGGTCCTTGAACATGGCAGTCTCAACGCAGTCCATGATGCGCTTGCGGATCTTTTGGGCATCCCCAACCTCCTTCAGGAAGCAAGAGTTCTCCTTGACACCCTTGATACCTACGTTATGGTCAGTCATTGGGCTTTTCGATCGCAATAAAATCAGTCACGCACCGAAAGTCGCGTTCTCCGCGCCAACACCCATGACGAGCATGTCGAAGGGGACCTCGGTGTGGGAGATGTCACCCTTGATTTCCGAGTCGTCGCTAATGTACACCACGCGCTTCTCGTAGTCGACCTTGGTGGCTTCGGCTTCGTAGAACTTCACGTGGGCCTTCTTGTGACGGAGGATGCTTCGGATGGGCTCCATGATAGAGCGGTGCTCAATTTGGCCAGTTGTGCAAGAGGGAAGCAGGGGAGTGAAAAGGAAGTAGTTACGGGGCGAGATGACGACAACGTTGTAGTTTTCGGTGTCGAGCTTCTTGAGAAGAGAAACGGAACCCCATCCAGTTCCTGAGTTGGATCGAGTTAGTCGAAGCTCTGGACGGCTTCACGCGTGCGCGACAAGCAGACGCGGTGCAAACTTACCAAGAATCACGAGGGTCTTCTTGCTGGGGTCGGGCACGAATTGCTCAATGGGATGACGTTGGTCGTAGATGTTGTAAGCGACGTCGCCGACCAAGGCAAGACCGGCCAACAGCGTCAGACGGTAGGTCCATCGCAGGAATCGGAATCGTTTTTTGGGCTTCGGAGCTGGCGGAAGGGCAGCATCGGAATAAGGGCGACGAGCGGCACGCAGAGCGACCTGCTGGGTCAGGGACTGCGATGCGCGCAGAGCCTGGACAGGCGACCGCGTCGTGAGCGACCTGCGCGACAGCGACGACAATTGCATGGCGTTAGCCCGGAGAGCCAGCGTACTTCCAACCATGGTGAGGCCGTAGTCGCGAAGGACGGGAAGGGAGAGGGTGGGAGAGAGGAGAGGAGATAGAAGAATGGAGCGAGTTAGCGGATGGATAAAGCGATGATTCACAATTAAAGGATTAAAAATAAAAAAAAAAATCAAGGTTTTCCTGTCAGCGTCTGATAGAGGGCCCGAGCTGTTTTGGGCTCGCCGGTGTGTGGCCTGCACTCGGGAATTTCACCGTGGGTGGACACCTCAGGATCCACAGCTCAGTCTGTCTTGCCCACTGTCCAGAAGGAATTGGAGATGCCTCGGCCGTGAGGGGAAGCTGGACTGCTGCTGAGGAGAATACAAGCACACGCTCTCGGTGCTATCTCCGTCCTCATTACTCTTAGCAGGCGCGACTGCCTCGAAGCATCAACGAGCGACCCGGAAAGACACCCAGATTGCATCAAGCTGCCTTACAGAGGCAATAGATATCTTGACTTACAGTTCAAACCACCTACTGCCGTCCCCTCACGTGGCCCATGACCGTGAGGAGAGCTTCTCCAATTGCATGTGCCCCATTCATGATTCGGTATGCCGACTCTGCTGAGTCATCCTCTTACGGTCGTTTCCGATGGCGCCGGGATCTCCCGCATCCACCTTTTGTCTCCAATTCTTGATTCTTCCCAGCCTGGTCCTGCTGCAAATTTGTCACGAGAACGCTCGATCGGAATCCGGGGAAGCCTGCGTGATCCACTGGCTCCTAGTCCTAGTTCCAGCCTGCCACGCCCTAGGGGTAATCCGTTTTCTCCCATTTTGGCGTCGTCTCGAGTCCAAATGCCTCGGCTCGAGCAACACCCAGGCAGATGACTACTCCGTCCTCATTCATCTTCACGAGCGAAACAGACTATTCGATTCCTGAATGAATATATCATTCGCCGTTGACGAGATGGCTAAACTCTTTTGGTGATACGGGCTCGAACTTGAGAATGACAATGTCGGATGGCTTGTAGGGTGAAAGGTCCATGGCTGTGATGGAAGCCCGGGCTGTTCATACGCCCTATACTCGCGCAGTCTGATCGTGGAGGTTTCCGATAAAGGTTTCAACGGGTCATGTCTTGACATTGAACAAAAAGAACACAAGAAGTGATCCCGGCTGCTTTAGGACCCTCAACATCCCGTCCGCTCTCGAAGTACTATGTACGACTGTAACCTGACCGTGAATAGATACAAATCCCAATCTCGACCAACAGGACCTGGTTATTCCTGCCATTCTGCAAAATCAATAAGTTGTTTTATTGGAATCGACTATTTTGGGAGACCGAAGCAGAATCCTTGGACTATACCGCTTTTCCTAGCCTCATGAGTCCTCCTATAAGTACCATCGAGTACGGCCCTCGAGATAAGATCTCGAGGGATCGGGCTTGGAGGTCCATGTTCCTGTCCTCATGACGGGGGGCAATCGAACCTGGTGCGCTTCTCGTATGTTGTTTAGATATCTCCGTTGAGAAACTCCCCTTCTGGATTCCGGCTGCCCAGCGGAACAGGCCGTTCCCCTTCCATATAGGAGAACTAGAATATCCTCAAGACATTCAGCATCATGGATGGTATTCCTTGCAATATTACCCACTACTTGGCGACAGAAAACCACTTTTGTTGCTGCCCACTGCCTCCTTTGTTAACGACACATTGGTTTCCATCACTTTCCTGCATGATCTGTTCAAGCGTGGGCAGCAATGCTGGTGGGACGAGTGTTGAACAGGGTACTGGAGCTTCTGGGGTCAAGTGCGGGTGTGATGGTGTCCGTAAAAAATTTGTGAAGCTGTGCATGCCCAGAGCCTCCATGCGAATGGAAGATCGCCGCATCCGGAGCTGGCCGCTCATGATGTTCGACACGAGAATAGCGTGGAAAATCTTCAACGATACAGACACTGTTCCTCACAGGAATTAACAACCAGCGGAATATGTGTTGGAGCTCCGGTAGGCAACAGAACTGCCACAGCTTGACAGCTAGGGGCCTGACACAGATGCACCACTATTTCTCAACGATGAGGACCTGTTAACCGCTTGGGCAACACAGAAGGTCCTCTCCTCCCAATCGCAAAGGAAAGAGGCCCAATGTGATCCGGAACGTCATTGATCTCCGTAGCCGTCTATCCAAAATTTCGACCGGTCCGGCCTATATATGCAGAACTTGGTTTGCCATACTACAGTTGAGCTCGTCTGCAGATTGCCCACCATTGTCATTAGGTGATATGGCGGGTCGAGTCCACAGGAGAAACAATAAGTCGAGGGTATCCCCTCAAGGCGTGATTGTGATCCAATGCCTAGCAGGGATGAGCATGGGATTGAATGGCTTCAAGCGTATCTGCGGCAAAGGACGTGGGACTCAGTGGCGGGAATCCTTGTGCAAGACACAGGAAAGACCGCCTCTCCCAAGCCCAAAGTATCCTTTCTCAATTGAGACAACGTCCATTCGAGCATGTCTATCAGAGGCCGAAGTTATGTTCTGGCACTCACTGTTTTAGTATCATCAACTTACTTACGCGTCATCTGCATTACCTGCATCATGTATGAGCGTCCTAAACCTCTCAACCAAATTATGGGTGACATCCTCGCCTACGAAGGAAGCATCGTACAGCACGAGCCAAGATCAATCAGATCCTTCAAACGCTAGATCGCTCTGCTGGGATTCCGATCCTTGTCTCTCATCAATTTCTGCAAACTCCGAGATCACATTGCAATTCGGCCTGCAGCTGCCGTTTGTCTTGGAAGATACCGACCCCGGTTGATACCGAATGCTACCCATATGAGACAAATTACTGACTTGGACCTTGTCAGTATGGATTCTCCTATCATTGGAGTATACGCCCTCCGGGCCTCTCGGCCGCCGTCAATAACTGGCATCGGTGCTCAGTATGTCTCCTGCAGCATCACGCTCTATCAAGTATTAACTAACCACTACCTCCAGCAGAAAAAGCAATATCCACCCATGCCTCGCTACATATGCCTCCGCCTACGGTATAGTGCAGCATATTTTCGGCATAGTGACCTCAATTATGCATTCATTTTCTTAACCCGGCCTCCTTGCAGGGACTTCTGGCTCGTTTCCGTACTTCGTACTCCGTACTCCGTCCTCAAACTGCTGCGCGTGAGTTGGCTCAAGCGATTTCCATCCCAACCGGGCGCGATGCACGTTGCCTTTACCGGAAATCCGCCCTCGGCGGTCTCATAAATGGTCACCATTTGCCAATTTTGTGCTTAAGATCGTCTCTGCATCTCGAACCCAACCGGACCAACCAGAATTATCCGCCTCGGTCTAATCTACCACCATACGGAGTACTCAGCAAACCCTATGCAACCCCAGGTGTCCCACTGTCCCAGTCTCCCAGAGCATGCTATGCTACACCACCCACCCCCGACAACCCATTGCAAACGCAACCGCGCGACCCAGAAACTTGAGTCCGATTCTCATGCTCAGATTTGACTGGCTACGGAGTTACAACAGCCGTACGGAGTACTGGGCCAATCTTTCTTTTCATTTTCCAGCCCCCGCCCTCCCACCGCGTCCCGTCTGACCCTGGGGTAGTAACGACAAACGCCTGTCGATATCTAACTTTCCAGCGCATCGCTCTCCGGTTGTGTCCTTCTGCATACGAGTCACTCCGCGTGTCGACATAGTTGCGGGCGTGTCTATTCGGAATTAACTCATCGGGGCGGTCACTGTAGGCCATGCGGGAAACGATCATTTCAAACACTCAGATCGTAGATGCGGAGTATAGATCCCATCGAAGCGTAGCGGGCATGAGCTTATCCTAACCCTGGCCTCATCCCACCACGGTAACTCATAGCCATGGCCCTCGACATGCTGGGGGCTATCGCAGACCGAACGAGTAAGTAAGTATGCACTGCTGCACTGCATGTGTATCTGTCTCATCACATCGCATAGTCCGTACCGAGCCCCTGGATTGGGGTTCACACGGGGCCCCGACTGGCTCCAATGTTGGGGTACACCGCCAGGTTGTTTGCTGAGTTCTTCTTTCTGGGATGCGTCTCTCTAGAGATAGGAAGGTAGGTTGTAAGCGAGCTGCGCGTATGGACGGGAGTAAACTAAGCAGTCCGAGTCGAGATTTTCGAGCTCCAAAAGCTGAGAGTCAGTATCTTCCTGTCTGATTACGTACGTAGGTTCGATAGATTCGTCGGACATCATACAGCATGAGTGAATAGTACGGCGGCTCGTGGAGTGAAGCGAACTCTGAGGGACGGTGGTACCGGCTGGTGTTTCTGGAGTTCTCGAGGACAACATGAAGAGGAATGCAATAGACGAACAGAATAGATATCAAGCCTAATATACAGACACATAGTTACAATCAATCACTCGGTATACATATCCATAACCGACACCGACACCGGCACCGGCAACCCATGCTCCACGCCTATCCAGGCCCAAATCCACGAACAGACAAAATCTACCAAAGCCTGTTCTCGGGGAGAACCTTCTCCTTCTTCGGCCCAGACGCCGCCTTCCTCTCCACCGGCGAGCGGAAGAACAAACTGGGTCCTTCCAGGGGCTTGAGCAGATGACTCAAGTATCCCCGATGCGCCGGGTCACGGTAGTACTCGATATCCTTACGGTTCGTCGGATCCGGCAGCCGGTACTTGTACCCCTTAGCCGCCATAATCTTCGCCTCCTCGGTAAACGGGTTTCCGGACGCCGTGCGCGTCGAGAACTCCAGGTCCGCAGCGGCATGCAGAGCCGGGTTCCCGCTCTCAGGAGACCAGTTCGCCGAGACGAAGGGGTGGGTCTCGCGCTTCATGATGCGGGCGATGGACGCCTTGGTGTAGAAGCGGGTTGTGACGGTGCCGCCGGTGGCCTCGACGGCGGCGATGGCAGCCGCTGAGGCGCGCGAGACAACGAGGTGGATGGGCTGTTTGAGGACGGCTGCGGCGGCTGCGGCGGAGGCGGCTTCCTCCGCGTCGGATTGTGTTTGGGCTTCGGTGGTTGTGGAGGAGGGGGTTGTGATGTCGGAGGGGGTGGGGGCGTTGACGCCGCGGGCGAGGAGCTTCACGCCGTCTTTGGGGTTATGGATGCAGCGCGATTTGGCGAGTTCGCGGACGGTGATGGGTTTCGTGGGGTCGATGCGGCCCTGGTCGATCCATTCTTGGATTCGGTCGAGGTTGGCGGGGGCAAGGTCCAGGGTGAAGCTGTGCACGTATCCATTAGCTTTCACAGGTTCAATCTCAGAAGGAGAATCGAATCAAGACGGCGTACATGTTCTTGAACCCCCTCTCACCGTGCACCACGATCTCAGGTGTCTGACCACCATTGAATCCCGCCGGAACCTTTCCGTGCTGGCCTTGACCCTTGTGACCTCTTCCGGAGGTCTTACCCTTGCCCGAGGCAGGACCGCGACCTCGTCGGATGCGCTTGTGGTAGGCCCCCGGGTTATCGGAGAGCGAGGCTAAGATGTGTGCATTGCGGGTTTGAGATTGGATAGAGAGCAGTAATTGCGACGGCTGCTGGACTGTTGAAGGGCGAGGTAGGACACTGCGGAGGTGCAGAGGGAGGATCTGGAGCCTGGGAGGCATGATTGCGTTGCTGGTTGTTTGATGATGCCCGGCTGTTGGCTGCGTGCTGGGTTGAGGCCGACAGGATCTTTTTGGTTATTTGCGGCCTCAGGTTGCGCGGAGAAATATCGGGCCGGAGTATAAAGGTATGACTGAAGATTGAACCAGGCGCGCGATTTGACATTCAAAAACAGTACAGTCTGGACTTCCAGGTTTTATCAAGTGTTCAACTCGAGGGTCTTTGTATATGGCGCCCCATGGAATCATTCTCTATTGATCTTGACATTGTTCACCTGCGCCAGAGCAAGGCCAGTCTTTCACCGCCCGGTATCGCGGCAGAATTTCAAGCATTCTATAGGCGGTAGTTTTGGTCTACTTCAAACTTCTGTCCAATAGAGGATGGAAGATGCGCACAAATGAGAGCTATGCACTCATAATTCTCATTGTCTAATGATACACTCGACTGATCCCTTGGGATATCCGCGCATCATGTAATGCAGACATCGGGGTGCAACCACCGAATATAAACAACGCCATGGTAATGCTATAACACAGACAGATCACCTCCATATCCCCGTGTAAAATGCATGCAGAGCTTCTTTGAGGGCCTTCTAAAATGCCAAAAAACGCCATAACAAATGCGAGGTCGTAACAAGAAAAAAATGTGTATCTGTACATGGTAGGAAGTGAATGATGGTGGAACACAAAGGGGAGGAGAAGTCGGTAAAGATGTGGTGTCATGAATCGTGAGGCGTGAACTGAGATGATTCAGGGTGCATAATGGGGTGTATGATGGAAGCTGGGAGGGATGTAGGGCCCTTGTGGCCACGCGTCATGATGAAGGTAGGGCAGCAAGCCGGTTCGGCGTTCCGTCGACTTGCCCAGCGGCTGGTAATGCATATGGTGGAAAGGGATGGCGCGCTGTTGCTCGAGGGAAGCTGATGGTGGAGGTATCAGCAGGGTGTTGACGCTTCGGACCGGGCGGTACGGAGAGTTCCTGTTCGCCAGAAAATAGGAGGGGGAGAGATGGGTCGTGGGGGTGTGGACACCATATGCAGACACAGCTGAAGAGATAGGGGCCGAAGTTGCAGGATACGGGCTGCTGTTGTGCCTTGAAGGATCAGGCAGTGGCAACGCCGGAGTCAGCACGCCGTTGACCAAAGGCTGCGGCGCAGTCGACGCTGGGATTTGCGGGGCCCAGTTGGTCGGGTTGTAGACAGGAGGCATAGTCGGGCGAGCAGGCACAGCGGAGAGTTGAGGGATCGAGGCCGGAACATTCGGAACAAACGCGTGGCTGGATGGCAGCCGTGGAGCAGGCCCAGGGATGGTTTGCTGGGGCGGTGCTGACGTAGGGGCCATCATTGGCGGCAAAGCCGGAACGCCTATCTGACTCGCTGGGGGTAGGGTTGAAGATGAAAGCGGCATGGCATGGGGTAGAGCGACTCTCTTGTGCGGATGCTGTTCCTCAAAATGTTCTTCGTAACGCCGCTTTCGAGAGCTAGCGGTGGGCATCTGGCTAGCAGCTTGGCCAACGGCATCATATGATGGTCCATTGACAGGAGCCCAGGATTGCGGTTGGAGGGGCTCAGCCGTAGGCGACGGTAGCCTGGAGAATGAAGTCGGTGACACCTGACTCCGTGTCGATCCAGAGTTTGGTGAGAGAAGACGGACTGGGGGTGTTGGGAGATCGTGATGATCCGAAGCAAGAGGAGCGTTGTTGAAGAAGTCCGCAAAGAGTGACAACTTGACATGCCACTGCGCCCATTCCTTCTCAGATGCGTAAAGATTGTACCGCAGGTTGCTCAGAAATTCTACCTCCATAACATGGATTTCTTGAACTGTGATCCTCGACACATCTGCCCACGTTTTGTTCGTATAAGTGTTATCATCAAGGACTATAACCCGTTAGTTTGAGAAACGGAGGCTAGATACTCAGGAAACCCACATTTATTGCCCAGCATGAGTGCAACCGTCATCAGCCGATACTCGCTGCCCTTCTTCCCACGAACAGCCGGGTTGGACTTTTTCAAGCGGTAAATGAAGAGAAGTGCCAGCAGAATGACGTTCTGGCTTACTTGAGTCGTCGAAAGGATGGTCGACACCCACTTCTGGAACCCGACAGTTGGAATTGCTTCAGGAGAAAGGGAGAGACCGTGACTCGACTGTTCCTCAATTGCCCTCAACTTTGGCGTGCTCTCGAACCAAAACAAGCACGTCATCTACCACTAGATTAGCTCGGAAACTGCTTCAAATACACCAGCTTCCTTACCTGAGCTGCAAAGTCCGGTAGGTTTCCTTTTCCGCCATTGATTGAGGAAGGAACTTGTAGATATGAAGGTCTGGTATCTTTCTCCTTTGCATGGTCGTTCGCCGACGGAGGTGCTTGTTTGCTCGGCGGCTGGGATTGCGGTTGAGTCTGCTGGATCATTCGAGTGAAGATGTCGGTGCTCATCCGCGGATGATAGGCGGGGCCTTTGCTGTAGACCGAGACAGCGTATGGATCCGGTTTACCTCCATAATGGTGGACGTTGGTGTAGGCGACGCCATTCATATCGCTTGGCGGGGTTGGCAGGCCGTCCCGGAAAGGAGCGGTCCTAGAAGAATCCGGCAAGTCCGAATGGTTCTGAAGCTGCTGCTTGTTGATCAAGGCTGAACCGTCTGGTCGAGAGTCGTAGGAAAGCGTTGGAGTGATTGGAGGGGCAGAGAGGTACGGATGTGTTGAGTGCGCCGGGACAGACATATGGCAGAACAGCAGGGTCCGCGAGAACCTTGAATGAGGGCGGAAAGAGGAAGGAGGGAGTCTGCGGAAGCTTGACGGTCATGGAAGTCTCATTGGCGAGCGATTGTTGTTGAACGCAACTGTGTTATTATTGACGGTCGACTAGTATAGTAGGTAGTAACCAGGCCAGGCGGATCCGGTAACAACATTCAGCATCGGCTGTCAAAGGAATGAAGGCACGTTGAAGGGGTGAGTAGTACGGTCCGCCGGTCCAGGGCAGAGGCGATCGGTGGCATAGCAGGTGGTGAGTATTCAGGCAGTCATGTCATACATATAGAAAGCGACAGACAAGTAGAATATAGGGAAGGCGAGGTTCGATGGAGTTATGGAGTTATGGATCGCGACCATCCAAAGTTGTAGACTAGCCAGTGGTGAGCTAGACCAAAAGGGCAAGTGAGAGGGAAAATTAAAAATTAATTAAATAATGGGAACAGCAAATGGGAGGCGGCATTTAAAAAAGAAACGGTTTAGTTATAGAAAACAAGATCCATAGACCTGGAGACCAGGACCGAATTTAAAATCGAAAGGGAAAAAAAAGAATAAATTAGTGGAAAAGGAATAATAATGGGCGGACTAAAAAAGAAACGGAGATTAAGCAGTAGTAGTGCTGAAAGAAAGAAACACCAGGTGTATACTATAAGAGGATCGTAAATGAAGTCAAGACATCACCTTTGAGCGGCAGCAAATAATGGCACTCCATCGTGAAAAGCTCCGCCCTTTTGGCCGGGCGAACGAACGAGGTTTAGCCCCGTCCGGAAGAGTCCAAGACGGACAGAGTTTGAGCCGGACGCAGGTCCAAAGGGCTGATCCTCCTTTTGTCTTGGAACAGGCAGGTGAAATTGTGAAATACCGGTTGATGTCAGAGCGGCGGGGATGGCTGAGAGTGATGGGATGGTCATGGATGGATGGACATTGGATGGGGATGGAGATGGGGGAGAGAAGGAAGGGAACAAGTGGATGCATGCGACAGAGAAGCAGACAGGCCAATGAGAGACAGCAGAAGTGGTCTCAGAAAGAGGCGCCTCCAAAGAACCAAAGAACGGAGGGGCGTTGTTAGTGAGTCAGGGAGGAGGATGGACTTGGGAGGGATGGAAGGGACGGAAGAAAGACGACGAAGACAGAGACAGACGATGAATAGTCCGGCCAACTGACTCTGTCAGCCCCATCGGCGATCCAATGGGAGGCCAGACTGAACGTCACATTGCAACGAGCATCGTGTGGTGCACTGCTGGTGTGTTGTGCCGGTGCCGCCTGAAATTCTTTCCTTTTCGGTTGCCCAGGAAGGGGGCGACACCAGCCCAGGGGGCATTGCTCAGCACGACTGACCTGCTGTTGATGCTGATCGCCGAGTCCGTGGAGGACTAAGCCTGGACAGACGGATCCTGGCAACCCAGCATACTTTGGTCGGTCCGCGTAGACAGCCTCGTACTATCGTATCAGACGAATCTTATCCTCTCTGGGGCGGTAAATTACGAGGCCCAGATACAAGGTTACCACCAGCAGTGACCATCTTGGCGGGGATTCGAGCTGGAGGCGAGGCAGGCCTCCGTTTTAGTGGTACAGCCAGCAAGGTGGGACGCTCTACGACATGGAGAGGTGGGTAAAGTATGTCACGGCGTGACCAGAATTCCAGGAGGAAGAGGCTGGGCGGCAGACAATCAAATCAATTATTATCTGGATTCTGGACGCCGGCAGAGAATTCGGCGGTTGGACAGTGAGGGGAGGCCTCAGGAGGAATCGATGGCATCTGCAGGTGGAGATGAGGAGTCCGAGTCGAGGACTCACAGACGAAGTACCTATCCACTGCGAGTGAGACGGTGACCAGGTCATAAATTGATGCACGCAAGGCATCTGGGTTCTGGATTCTGGTCACAGCAACGGAGCATGGGGGAGGTGCAATGCAATCAGAGCTCTACCACAGGTTTCGCATGCGTAAGCAAACTGGCAGCCGGCACGCCAATCGAATCGCTGCTTTCAGCGCTCTGTGACTGCGTTGGGTTGGAGCCACCATAAGCGCCCTGGGATATTCCGGGCAAAGAGCGAACAAGCAGCGAGCACCTAGCGTGTGTATGATGATTCTGATTATGAGCAGGTATTATGTGTTATTGAACCGGGCTGAGCCCACCCAGCCCAACCAGACTCACCACATCTGCAGTACACTTTTGAGCCCGGCCGCCATGTTCCGTGTATCGCGCAAGCCCACAAATTACCTCTTGCTGAATCCTTTCCTGACCACCCGCCAGCCCGAAGCAGGCCAGCTCCAACTGGTCCAATCCCCTTCTTTGTCGCAAGGCTAATCAAAGGTCAAACTTCAGTGGGATAACCGCCGAGGTAACTATCTTCTGTTTGTCACAGAGGGCCACCCAGCTGACGATCCGTAAAGGTGCAGCTGCTGATTCCGGTTTCTACGTCCGACAGCATGTCAGGTCCTGACGAATGTGCTCATGGACGCCGTATTATTTGATGGATACGTATCATCGTAACTGCTTTCGGTTTAGTCGCAGTGCTGCCTTTCCTCCACTGCTAGCCCATAGTTCGGGGCCATCCTTCTCGTTCAGGTATACACTACTACTCTGCAGCCTCAAGTTCCTGGGTCGATAGAGCCCAGACAACCTGCATTCGCCATCCCGTCTTTCTCAAAGGCTGAATGCGAGAAAGAAGGATGCCTAGAGAATGGCGTTCGGATGAGGACAGCCCCTAACAGTGACACCGCGGTACGTGTATCGTCATGCTGATGAGTCGACAAAGTATGCCAATCATCGGCTTTGATGCTGATGAACATCATATGCTTTAACCGTCTCAATAATGCTGTCCCGGGAAAAGTAAAGAGGCGCAATGAGAAGCCAATAAACTGCGTCTGAACGTCTTTGGTCCATCCCGGCTGCGTCACGTCCCTGCAATGGTGACAAAGGTTCAACTTCGAGAGACACTGGCCTGCCTCATCGCGATGCGCATTATTCAAGCCGGTGTCCTTTTGCCTTGAGGCACGGGAGTAGTACTCCGTACGCCCTACTCCGTACAGGCTAGGGCCACTACAGCCAACGGGGCTCAGCAGGGGTGCCCTGCGTCGAGACCTCAGCTGCGAGCAACATACTCAGAGATCAGGAGCTAGGAATAACGAGATATCCAGGCTGATTGATACTGCAGACGATGGTTTTTTTTGATGGCTCAATGAAAGACAACAATAGAGACGATCGAGACGACAGCTCTGAGCGACCTCTCATTCGCCCCGGCTGCCAGCGGCTCGTGATCCCCCGCCCTCTGGAATCCTTTCGATCATTCATGAGGGTGCAAGTGCAACTTGCAAGGGAAGGGAAAAATTCCGCAAGCCTGGGTTCCAAACCCATCCTAGTCGGCGGTCGTGGACGACGGTTGTCTTTCGGTTTCTTTTTCCTACCGAGGGAGCATTTTCGGGTCAACCCCTGCAATAGCATTATAGCACTAATCTACGGCGCACGGTGATAAACACCTTTGTCGATGCAGCACATAGAAACCCTGCCTTCCCATGTTTGAGACGGGTACCCCGTACCTGAGGGATGACTTTATGAATAATGCGTCTGACTCTCATCCCTGAAGCATAGCGCTATATACGTACGGAGTAGGCAAACTCGCTTCCACTATTCACCCCTGCTCCTTACTATTCCGTACTAGTGTCGGCCATAATTAGCAGGCCTACCGTTTCTTTTTCAGGCTTAGGTCCCCAAGATTTCGCCTGCGGCTTACTCCGGAGTGGGAAACTCGGCCAGGGCCCAGGATTGTTCCAGATTGATCCCTGCCGCAGTTTCGAAGCCCGATCATGTGATTTCCTCGGAGATGGCGGGTGAAGACAAACCACTCACTCCGTAACAGCAGTCTGGTTTGATACGGATACACCGATGCTCTTGGGCAGTCCGAGCCATACTTCCTTTGCCTCTGTGCTTAATCTTGTGCCAGAGCCAGAGCCTTGGGCAAGCCTCCTTCTGACAACATAACAGGATGAGGATCGCCGACTCTAGGTTACAAGGTACTTCAGGCTTGCATCGAACTTTTGAAGGCGTCGAACTGATTATCAGCAAACCCAATCAGCAGCCGGTTGCCCTTCATGGTTTAGGTCATCCAGGGTTCCATAGCCTTAGCCTGATGGATTCCAACCTGCAGCGTTCTATCGACCTGTTA